CCTGACAGCGACATCGGTGATCAGACCACAGCTAAAGGCAAATCCCGCAGGTGGTGGTCGTGTCTACTCCGTACTTTAGCAGCAGGGAGATAGATAGATAATACCGAAGTAATTGTGACGGCGTCACGACAATCGGATGATGGATGTGTATCGGTGGTGGCTGGTCTCACTCCCAAGGCAACACTCTAAGTAAGTTTGCCCAAAAAACTGGGTATTCGACGAGTCCTAGATGTTTTCACGACTGTTTCAAGGGACATTCGAGAACGGGGAGGGGGGCCCTAATGGATTAGGGGCCGAGGGGGCACCACACTGCAGTCGGCACAAGTAGGCAGCCTGCCCTAATGATATTAATAGCGATGGACTAGAGGGACAAGATTCCTGTTTTCAGCATGGTCGCGCCGGTAGTTACTCCGTTCCCATATGAGATGTGGATATGGTTCTGCACCGAGTGCGTAGTGACAGACCATCAGATCACTACTGCTGACTTGACACTTGGTCCGGTCAAGCCAGGAAGTCGGTGACGATATCCAGGACTGACCCCTTCCCCCGAGCCGACAGCTAGCTCACTGGTCAAGTTTTGGTTTGCTGTCCTCGAAATTAGCTTGCTGGCCGTTGAGTCGCGAAGGCGATATTCGACCTGTCGAACGCCAGACGGTGGAGATTAAGGATAACTAGACGACTTTTTGACATTGACAGACGTGCCCCCATAACCCATAACCAAGTCTGGACCCGTGCATGACTAGGGGGCCAATGCATGCCGCCGCAATATAGTTTCTGAGAACTAGTGGTGTTGGAAGTGGGAGGTTCAAGTTGGATGAGACTGAGAGGAGCTGCTGAACTGCTGAGGTGATCGGAAACCAGCCGGGTAGTCACGAGAGCTCAACAGCCGGCTGTGGCGCAAACCCAGCGTCCCTACTCGGGGTCCTTTCATATATTTACATTGTGTACATGGCGGATCGCGAATGGAATGCCGAGTTGCTGGCCAGTCTTCGGTCCTTCGTCCATGGGTCCCGGTCGCGTCTACCGTTGAAGGCTGGAAGCATTAAGCACGCACGCTTTTCTTGGCCAGGGGTCAATTCCACGGTTGAGTCGAATCGTGGAAACACTGGAGAAGAAAATGTGACGCATCGAAGCCCTTCTGGCTGGTGGCCCTGGCCCTGGTACGAGGATTCCCGGAAACCCAATGAGATGGTGGCGGACCTGAAAAGCCCACTTTTGAGGCGAGAGATGAAGCATTCAGCAGTCACTTGCAGCAGCAGCAGCAGTAGCAGCAGCGTGGATGTTGCATTCGCGCCTTAATATGGCGAGCTATGACTCGAGGTCGAGATTGCCACTGCCTTGGAAATTTCGCATGGGATGCAGACTATTTGCTCAACACGGACCACGTAGGGGCTTCCGGTGTGCATCAATACTTCGACAGGTGACCCCTGATTATCCAACCAAGCTCTGACCTGACCTAAGGGAGGGCTGACACCAGCAGAGAGTACTGTAAGTACACAGGAGGTAGCATCCGAGACAGTTCCCGACAATCCCCAGAAAGCCTTACGTTCCTTGACCCGGAGGAGAAGATCACCAGCAGGACCAATACGGTACCGCAATGGGGCCGATCATCCGTCGCTGTGATTTAGAGTTGGGGGAGGGGGGGAGGAAGAATCTCCAGGTTGCCTTGGGTCGGATGCCCATAGGAGCTCGCTGACTGGGGGCTGAATCCTTGGGATAGGCATCTCGTCGTCGCATCGTATCGAAGCGCAGACGCAGAGGGCCAAGACGGCCTCGCTAGGGCTGTGTGGTACACGGATAGTACCTGGTACTTACAATCAAAAGGAAAGCAGCTGTGCGACATGCGGGCCACACGCCGTCCCAACGATCGATCTCCTTGCCATCTGGACTGCCTTCTGCAGTGTACCGACATAGATACTTGATGTATGTGTATATGTATATGTATGTACTATAGGAGCGGTTTCTGCACGGCAACTCGCAACATGGTTGGAGATAGTTGTAAGTAGTCCGTACTCCGTACGGCTGGCTGAAAAGGTGCTCGTAACGGGGGGTTTGCTTACCTTACCGTCCTGCACATTCCGATCGGGCGCAAGTGGGGAGAACCGCCACCAACACCATGGTTCCTCCACATTACATATTTTTGGATTTCTGGTGTCCTCCTGGCTCCTCAGCAGCAAGATAACGCGATGATCTGTCAGGCTGATGATCCCCCCCCCCCCGGTGAATAATCGCTTTACAGTGTCTGACATGATCTCCAGACTATCGGTAGTTACATACCCATTGCGGACCGGAGGGGAGGGGATGGGGGAATGGGGGGGAGGGGGGGGTGTGCGGACCCCGCGGTCCCTCCCTCCCCAAGGAAGTCCTCCTTGTCATCTCCGTTGATCCGGGAGAACAATAATAACCACGAGAAACGTCCCTATTCATTGTCCTGTCCAAGGGGTGGGTGGCCAGGTCGAACTAGGGGACAAATTGGGTTACGGGCGAGAGCAGGCTGGATGGAAAGGGAAGTGAGCTGCCGGGCCAAGCACACTAACTGCGCGGGTGGAAATCTTCCTCGGTGGGGTTCCCGTTGATATGCAGCAGTTCTGTTCCGTACCGCTTACCGCTTACGACCGCCGTGTCGACCCTCCGCGTGGAACAGGGGCGAGTATAACCTCGACCTAGAAACCCAGGAGAAGCATGCCAGATCGCCTCTCCGAAATGCCATAGGCCTGCTGCGCTGCCCGGACGGAATTCAAATGCCCACCGCGTCCTGACAGCCAACGCTCGGGGATCGACGTGCGACTGCCGAAGTCGCGGCCAATCTTTGCTGGATTGTGCAAGAGCAGGCTGAGCAGCAGTGGCCGCCTATCGGATACCACTGCCGGATCGAACGAGGATCGTTATATGAAGGCCAATAGACCAGACCGACCGCTGCGAGTCATATACACTGGACAGGACTATATGAGAGGGGCAGAGAATCCACCGGGATGTCACTCTGACAGACAGTCTTCAATAATCGTCAGTGATGAACGTCGCCGCCCGCAGCAGCCATACGCCCCGTTGTGGCTGGGCTGACGATGATAATGAGGAGGAGAAGGAGGAGGCGGAGGAGGCGGAGGGGGCAGAAATCTCCGACGATTGAGAGGTGTTTGATGAAATGGACGGATCAGTGTCGGGTCAAGGGACATGCAATCAGACACCCGACTGGACGGGCCATCAGGTCTACGGTACGACTACCCCAAGTAAGGGGAGCCGAAGTGATGGATCGATGGAGTCTTTTTCCCAGCAAAGTTGATCAACCACAGCCTGGACCATGTTCCGCGTTGCTCTGACTGCGCCGTGCATGAGGATGTCGCTTAGGTATGTACCCCATACATACCTGCGCATGGTTCGAAGGTAGTATGTACGAGAAAGAGGCTAGAGAAGGGAGTGAGGACCTAGATACTCAGGTCTCAGTATTTATGGTAGTTACGTAGTACTCCGTACTGGGTAAGGTAGTATTATTCAGGGGTATTTAATTTCAAGCTCCCCTCCAGGAAGGTGGTATCTTATGATGGTCTGGTGTATTTCGTGTAATCCACGACGGTTCAGTCCCTGGATCGGCCCCACTGCGTGGTTTAGGGAGTTCCATCAACCCATGGCTCGGCTGCCAGGGCCCCACCGGCGGCGGGCTGGTATTCCCGGAGTTGGGTGTGGTATGGTACCGCCGTACCACAGATACAGGAACGAAAAAGGATCAACCCCAACCACGGAGCACCGCCCGATAAATCAGCGTAATCAGCGGGGTGGGGCGCGGCGCTAGGCTGCATGGAGCAGGAAAATAACACGGTTACCGTACGCAACAGCGGAACAATACTGATCGCTCCGCCCCAGCGACTATCAACGGCCTCTCAAGACCGGCTCGGACGCCGTCGTAAAATTGTTCACACCATCGCGATATCTCCATCTTCCACTTTCTCCTTTCCTCTCCTCCTCCTCCCAGTTTCTTGTTTCTCCCTCTTACATGCCTGCACCAACCTTTCGTCTGTCCTTCTCGCCATCCACTCAGCGTTCTCGCCTTGGTCAATTCTCCTCGGGGCCTTTGCCTCAGGTTCGACCCCCACTACGTCTTATCCCACACCCCCCCCACTTGGTTCCCCCCCCAAATAGTAAATCCTTCTCTCCACTGGCGCTCGCAGCCTCCTGCTTGTGATTATTCCTTTTCTCCTGTTCCGTCAGGAGCATCATTCCCCTGCCCCCATGTGGAAACATCGGCCCTCTCCCAGATCGGAGGTCATGTCTGGGAACGACGACGGTCACGACACAGGCCCTCACGGTTCCGAGCGTGGCTCTGACCGTCCTAAAAAGAAGTCTCCGCTTCGTAAGTATAGTGTCTCGTACTAGCGTCACTCTTGATGATTGTTAAGTTTCGGCTCTTGAATCTTATATTACTATTATTCTTCTTCTTCGTCGCCGTCGTTCTCTGGTTGCCGTTTACACTTTTTGCCTTTTCTCCTCTGATTCATCCTGTTCTTGCCCTCCTTATCTCAAACTCTCCTCGCCCCGTCGGTCTATCCGCTTGATATCACCTATCCGCTCCCTCCCTGAAACACCTCTCCTGCTCCCCGGACCTTCATCCCACTGCTTTATTCGCCACGGGGCAGATCAAGGAACCTCCCATCCCGTCCCTCCTTTCCTCCACATTGGGGTTATGAAATACCTCCGCGCCGGCTGCTCGTTGCCGTTTTGTTCATTGGCCTCTGCTCTCGCCTCGGCATCCCTCTACTGGCATTACTAACCGGGACGGACTACCATCACCTGCAGACTTCTTCCGCTCGAATTCCAAGTCTCGACCCCCTCCTCGCACGTTCATCTATCGCCGAACAGATCGCCCAGACACCGGCTTCTCTGCCAACACAGATACTTCTCGCCCTCGCGCCCCCTCCGACGCCGGCGGTCCTTCGCTCTACCCCAACCATTCCGATTCGAATAACAACTCATCCAGCTTGTCGTTCGACTCTCGACCAGGCGGGTCAATGGCGGGCTTAATTGACCGCAGCCGTTCGCGCAGGGAACGGACGTTCGTGGGCAGTGAATGCGCGGTCTGCGAAGAGCCACTGGAACATACCTTGCGCGGAGAGAGAGTCCTCCAACTGTCCTGCACCCACGTCTCACACGAGGCCTGCTTTTACGAATTCATCCGTGAGTGTGAGGGCCAGTATTGTCCAACATGCGATGCGCCATTAGGGCTGGATACCAGTCGCGGGGGAAATGTACTGGACCTCGGTAAGTTGCATCCCCTTGCAGGGATTATCATGTAGACATGCTGATCATTGCCCAACACAGAGAAATTGAGCAACATTGTGCGCTCTGTCACCAGCGACGCTGCCACGCACCGAAGTGGCCTCACGACCCCCACACAATGGGAAGCAAACTCGGGCACGGGTCGTCGACCCAGTGATGCGGGAAGCCACGCAGCCAGTCACACCACAAGTCACGCAGTGAGCCATTCGGGAAGTCGCCAGTATGAGCGTCCTAGCCGAGACGCGTATGTCCGAAGGGATAGCCGGGACACCAGTTGCCACCGCGAACGCGTCGAACGTCTTACCTTGAACTCCCGCCAACAGCACTCGCGGAATGGTAGCGCTGCTGGGTCATCCGGAGAATACAACGAAGCCCAACAGCATACTGCGAATGCTAGACGGCATGACTACGACGTACAAGCAATGGAGTCCGATCTCAGCCCGCGTCCCGCTGTTGCGAAGAACCCAATCCCGGCGCCCATCGTGACAATCCGCAGCGAGTTTCCCACGCTAAATCGATCCCGCCAACAGCAGTCCCTGACATGTCTGATAACGGTGGAAGTCCCTGAGGGCTGCTGGCATCCCGATGCCGATGATCTGCGCCATAGTACGAACGGCGCAAGCCAGCCCCAGGACGAACCGTACGGCGCAATGCGTTTTCCTTCCGTTCAGGAGTCCAAACAAGCTCCCTACGAATCCCAGGAAACTCTCGACGAGATCGCCGAGGAACTTCGGAATAAAGTGGACAACTGGCACGGGCTCGAATTCAATCGGTAGGCAATCCATCGAGTAATTCCTGGACATGAAGCTGATACTATAATGTAGGTTTGGAAAGCTTCGCTTACATGGGAATATGAGCGTGGGAAAGGATCGTGCTTCTTGGCAAGATCTGGAATGCTATCTCTTCGGCGAGATGCTCATCTGTGTCAAAGAAAAGAAGACCGCACAACGCCGCCAGTATGACGACGACGAACAACAGTCCAAACCGAAAGCAACCCGGTGTACATTGAAGGGTTCGATCTTGATCAAGAAGCATCTTAACAACATGGAAGTTGCTCCAGGTATGTTTATGCAATGCTTAAAAGTGAGTCTTCAAGGCGTGCGCTAACCCATGCTGCAGACGAGCCTATTCTTGCCCTGAACTTGTCCGTCAGCGAACTTCCTTGCTTCTACCTGCGCTTTCAGGACCGCACTCAGCTCGATATCTGGCGCCGTTCCCTCCTTGACCTGCATCCGATGGATGGCATGTCCCGAAATGGCGATTACGACCTCGACAACTCGGGCGCGGAGGAGGATGACTACCGACACACCCAGATCAAACGACAGGCGTCTTTGAACTCGTCCTACGGAGCGGCTCGGTCAAACAACACGGCTCTTACCGACTACACCAACATCGGAGTGGAGAGCCCAGCCAAATCTATCCATATTCCACTCGACCTTGTGGTCGTGATTCCGGTCTCATCTTCCATGCAGGGGTTGAAGATCACTCTGCTCCGTGACGCCCTCAAGTTCCTCGTGCAAAGCCTTGGCCCCCGGGACCGTATGGGTTTGGTGACATTTGGCTCCAGCAGTGGAGGAGTTCCCGTGGTTGGGATGACCACCAAGTCCTGGGGTGGATGGCCCAAGATTCTTGAATCTATCCGACCCGTTGGACAGAAGAGCCTCCGTGCGGATGTCGTTGAAGGTGCCAACGTGGCCATGGATTTGCTTATGCAACGGAAATCGTCGAACCCTGTCTCTACAATTCTTTTGATCAGCGACTCGTCCACCTCCGATCCGGAAAGTGTCGACTTTGTCGTGTCCAGGGCCGAAGCTGCCAAGTTCGTCCCCCTTACCACTGCTAGAGTTATACAGGTATACTGACTTCTTACAGGGTAAACATTCACTCCTTCGGTCTTGGATTGACCCACAAGCCTGACACAATGATTGAACTCTCCACCCGCACCAAGGGCTCCTATCTGTATGTGAAGGACTGGATGATGCTCCGGGAGTGTGTTGGAGGTTGCCTGGGTGCGCTGCAGACCACCTCGCATCAGAACGTCAAGCTCAAGCTTCGCCTGCCCGAAGGCTCCCCAGCCAAGTTTGTGAAGATCAGCGGAGCCTTGCATACCACGAAGCGGGCTACTGGCCGCGACGCGGAGGCAGCTCTCGGGGATATTCGATTTGGGGATAAGCGTGATGTGCTGGTCCACTTGGTCATCCCGCCCGACAATTCGTCGGCAGAAGTCATGCCCCAGGATGCATGGGAAAGTTTGGTGTCCGGGCTGGAGGCATTGGGGGGTGGATCTGACGGGGATGACCAACGTGTCTCAAGCGTGGAGGAAGTACCTTTGATCCAAGCCGATCTTACCTACGGTGATCTCCTGCGCGATGGACACCTTACACACTCACCCCGACCGTCCCTTTTGGCGATTACCATGCTCCCACCAAACCCGAGAGCCAAGCCTGGCCGTCCATCCAGCCCGGCCATCCCTCCTCATCCATCGATTGTGCAACGACGCATGGAACTCTTGACGTCTGACATGCTGACACGGGCTTTGACATTGGTCTCTCGTGGTCAACATGACCGCGCACAGCACCTTTTGACCGAAACGCGCAGTATCCTGAAGGGCCTGGGCAAGGGCAGCCTTCCTCCCCTTCCTCCAGCTGCGAGGTCGACGGGCACCAGTGATGCCGGAAGCAGAGGGGATACCCCTGTGTCGTCTTCACCGAAGTCTTCTACATTCGATGGGCACTCGTCCACTGCTTCAGATACAGCCACCATCACGCCCGTGTCAGCAGTGGATGGGCAGACCATGACAGCGTTGGATGCTGATCTACAGTCGGCGCTGGAATGGATCAACCACCCGGCGGTATTCTCTCGAGACTCGCGCAAGGCTGTGCTGCAAAGCATTGGTGTCATCTCGTCGCAGCGAGCATATACTTTCCGGTCGGCGTCCGAGGCACACTGGGCCCAGCGCATCGCCGGAGTGCGGCGGCTGACGGAACGGTCCAAGGCATGGCGCGAAACCGGCGACGATGCATTGACTGAAGAATAAGCGTGACGATTACCCATACTAATAGTTTCCCCTCCCTTGTTTTCTGGCCATGCATGCGAGGCCCAATCTTTCTGTTTTTTCTTTTTTGCTTCCACCGTTTCTGTTCCCCCCATTGTTTCTCGATTATGATACCACTCTGTTCACCATGACTGTGCGACATGATACCACGGTTTGATTTCTGACATTTCCCTTGTATATTCCCCCACGTTCGTGTATATACCAGGTTTTCTTCTTATCCCTAATAGGTTGGCGGGTATGGTCTGGATTTTGGATGATTTACGGCTCCCGGTGGTATGGTCGGTGGCAGTCATGATGTCTTCTAGTCTACACTCGCAATTCATAATCCGATCGATGTCTATGTATATATTCTGCAAATGACTCAGCAGAGTGTCAGTTAACGTAATGGACTGTCTTCAAAAGCCTCATTGATTTCCTAAATCCAATCATTGCCCTATAATCGGTTGTATTTTTCAAACCAGTCCCCACCGTGAGACCAAGACAGCGTAAGCACTTTCAGCAATATAATATCCTGCCTGGAATTAACGCCTGACTTTCCAAAACCCAAACATCCCCTGTATAATACATGACCAATCTATATCCTATACTGTCCCCCCCCCATCTAAACCTTTCTTCATAGTTTTCACCGGACAATCTAGAATGCATACCGGGAAGATAACAATGACTGACTGCCTTGCGAGGAAGGGGGAGGTAGCCTCAGGCACGGAGGGTGTCTTGAATGAATAAAAGTATTATTTCTTTTTCTTTTCTCATTTTATGGTATTTTACATTGGGAAATAATTTATCGGGAATAAATACCCCATTTGTATTATACAGACGCCGAGAGTGAGAGATAATTGTTTCTACATATAAGTTAAAACATGGAGATTTCACAAAGGGGAAGATAATATTATAGTTATAATGTAGGAAATGATAGTAGAGAGAGATCAGTGAATTTATCCGTAACTTTCTCTTAACATGGCTAAATATTTCTTGCTCGGGGACATGGATGCTGGATAGAGTTGCTAGAATTGGCAGAATTGATGTGCAGTGTGATAACTCTACGGATGGAGATTTGTTTTGACGGTGTATAGAATTAGAGATATGGAGTTGATTGAGCTGTGATTTGAACATGGATGTAATGCAATACATACTTCATCGATGTTTGAGAGAGGGGTTTTGATACGGCTGAGGATACCGGATCAGCTGGAGAGGATTGGGTTGGGTCAGATATTTATGGTAATCTGGTTGGGTTGGAGATGATTGAGGTGTTGTTATATTACTCAAGCGAGCAGGGGAGTGGGAAGGAACTGCGCGAGGGTTGAGGCATGGGTTCATCTGGTGGAGGGGGGGATTGAGGAGATATAGGTACTAGTCATAGTATGGTGAAAGTGCAGGTGAAAGTGATGGTATGATAATGGTGATGATAATACCCATCAAAAGATTTCCAATGGGAAAGAGGGGTTGTTGTGGAAGGAATATGGGAATAAACGCCATATTTTTACACTGGCAGTTTACTTGTAAGGAGAGGGGTAGGGTAGTCTCATTTTCGGATAGTATATTCCCAAGTATAAGATATGAGAACTGGGAGGGTACAAGGGGTCTTTCTTTGAGGGGTAAAAAAGAAATTCATATTTAGAAAGGCGTTAAAGGCACAGTATAAGTATATCGCACTGTTGAACTCCAAGGGTCGACGAAGTGGAGGATACTACTTATGGAATGAATCTTTGTAGCTAGAAAAGGGACAGAATATTTAGGTAGAAGAAACCCCGATTTCCAGGATCTGGCATAAGTGAGGGGCAGGACTTCGCTACCTGAAATCACCGGTAGATGTACCTTGAGGATGCTAACTGGCCAGCAAGGCAGACACATTAAACCTCTAGACTAACGTGAGAGCTTCACAGAAGAGCATCCCCACCGAAATCGCACGAGAAAATGCACAAGTATCATGTTTCCATCTGAATACGCAGATAGGTGCGAACAGAGGAGAGTGATTCCCGAAGAAATGGGCTATACCTACATCCTCAACCCGAGAAACCATGCATCTAGAGAAGTGATCACGCCTCTAAAAAAGCATGACAGGCGGACTTGCACAGATGGGGTAACTCTGCCGGTCCAGATCATTCTGCAGAAATACTAGCAAGGTCCTGGCCTGGTGTAGTTTAGGAAAACTAACTACCAAGGAGTCAAGGACCGAGCCGAATCCTGTACACGTGCAGTTGACGGGAAGGAGGGGTTGCATCTTCTTTGTGACTTATCTACTAGGTGTGCTTTGATGCCCTTCATCAATTAAGAGCACAAACCTGTGGGGTTGCTTAATCTCAGGCCACTGGATTGAAAAAGCATGGAGGATCCTGATGAGCTCATGGAAGCATGCAGCAACAACAGTATAGACAGTCCTTGCTGTGCAAAAGCTGGGTAGAAACGGTGTGTTCATACCCTGCTGATAACAAACAACCTGGCAGAAGCGCCGGGGTCCGGTCTTCGACCGAGGAAAAAAGAAAGATGGTCCTATTTTAGAAACGCGGGTGATCTGTGACAGGAAGCATCATAGATGCAGTAGCATCGCAGTTGAGGTGGAAATATGCACCACTCTAGCTGGGCAGGGCCGGGTGTGATCCCTGAATGTAAGATACCGTACCGTACAAGCCCATACTGGGGACGGGTGGCATGGAGGGTGATGGCCATACAGGTCAAGCAGGAGGGGGAGGGGAGGGGGGAAGAGAGGAGACAAGAGAGATGCAAGCGCTGAGCGGGATAGTGTGATCTATAATTAACAGTCTCGTGGCGGGGAATATCCCTCGATAGGTGTAGTTCGTGTTCGTGGTGGAGACAGGAACACAATAGGTCAGTGTGATGGGAGGGGAGATATGTAGGTATGATAGTATGTACGTCGACTCTTGCAAGACGAGGGGGCGCTTACCTGACTAGTGGACCATAACTTGCTGTGATTGATCAGTACGTTAGCAGCCAAGTATCATAAGCGCGGATGGAGCCTATGCAACCCGCACACTATGGGAATAAGAATAGAACAGGAGACAATGACGGTTCCTGTCTGGCTAGCATGATAGTTAATCCTTAAGACTTAATCAAAGGCCTTCGTGTGACTGGAGCGGGAACGAGGGTCAATCGAGCATTGACCAACTTGCTTTCCAAGCGGGCTGCGGAGGAGGCGGATGGGGGAGTTAGTGTAGAGGGGGACTTGCTATTAGGTTAGTACAAGAGAGGGTTGGATCAGCGCATCGCCAGTATACTGCCCTCGTATTGGTTGATAGTGGACAATAGATTGTCGTCTTAGTTGCGCGCTGGTTTGATGGCCGTTCGGGGTTCTGTAGGGACGACTGTAGAAGACAGATTGAAGACTTTCTTGGTTTCTTTTGAGACAAATCCGAGTATGATCGAGAGGGTACTGAATAACACCCATCTTATAATGCATTTGAGTCGCTTCCGCGCATTTCCATCGCTCTGAGCCGGGAGTAGATACTTTAGGTGTAGTTATGAGGTTGAGATAGCGTGCAGGAATCCAAAAATAGCCTGGATCTGCAGGGATCTTATTCTTAGAACAGCGGCCGATCTAATCTTAGTACCCGCCGGGGTTGCCAGTTGCCAAGAATATCCCATCGGCGCTTAAAGGCTCGCCTGATTGGAAGGAGGATGTTCCTGAACATGAACGGTCGGAGATTGAGCATCAGCGTTAATTCGATGCCACTCAGTCGCCAGTCCAAAGCGCTAACTAGGGTAAATTTGGGATTGTGGTTTCGGCGTTTCTGGAGACCCTGTTGCTGTTATGCGGGTGTTGCTGTTTATAGAAACACACCTGTAGTCCAACCATGTCGTAGTATGAGAAGTTGGTGTTCGTCGAAGCGCTAATTATCCTGGTCAAGTCAAGGATTCCTGAGCGCGTATTGATGCTCAATTATGACCATGCAATCGTGCCTATGCAAATTGACCAGAACAAAAGTTGGTAAATAGTTGTAAAATAGGGTAGAGTTGGGGGCCGTCGAAGCTTTTACTTCGGAGTGCTATACTGTTTTTTTTCTCTGCGTTGTAAGCGTTCATGTTGTTAGAAAAAAAATAATAACTAGGATTGAGTCGAGAAACTGAGTGTTCTAGTATTCCGTAGAGTTCTCAACCGACCGAGCGCATAGAATGAACCCGAGTCAACAGGCGCGTAGCTCAACCACCCCAGCGCTAAATGATATGCGGGGATATCACACCTGGCATGAATGAGCCAGGTCCTAGTTATTGTGATATGGCCAGCGACAAAACTTGAAGACTGGACAAATAGCCCATGTCGCTCTTCTTTTTACGGGAGGACGCAATGTGCAGAGGGATTGTCTCCCTTGGCAACAGGCGACCCTGAGTGCCATAGACGCTGGAAGCATATACCAGGGTCCAGTACTATCTCCGCAAAGCGCCATGTCTCGAGCTTAAGATGCAAGGGGTCTCCAGTTGAAACCATTATCTCAACAGCCAGATGCGCTCCATACTCAGTGATTGGGACACAGCCTTCTTCTGGCGTCTGCGATGCTGTTTATCCTGGGTCAAGTTCTGCAGGCTATGCCGTTTGCGCTGGTAATTCTGCAGGAACACGTTTGGATCCCCCGTGCTTTTCGCTGACCGTGGCGACAGTGGAGTCCAACAGTGGTTGTAGTACCGCGCGCGTTGCTGTGACGAACCGCCCACAGGGACGAATGGGTGAATTGAACAAGATAACCGTCGAGATCTCTGGAGAAGGGGGTGCAGAGATGAGACTTGCTTCAGATGGCGCGCGACAATGCTGAGGACGACGCCTCTTTTGCTATCTGAAGCTGGGCGCAAGCAGCTCAAGACGGCCTATAAATCAGTGGAATATCCTGCTAGCCTTTGTTCCAAGCATCAAGCATCCATCTCCAAAAGTGTTTCTTTGTCTTCTCTTCGTTTCTCTCTTTGCTGTCATACTTGAGGCTGTACTAGCTGGACTGTGTACACCTCGGCTAGCCCAACGGGATTATCTCAGAATTCAGCAACTTCCAACGTCGATCGCCGTGTAGGGCTGAAGTCCCTTAGCCAGGCTGTGCAATAATCCTTCCGTCACCTGCGGACTGTTCTTGTTTTGCTCTTCGATTGTTTGTGTGTAAGTGGATGATGGCGAGTGTTGCTATTTTGGACAGCTGAAGGCTAACCGAATCGGGCTAGATAATATACGGCTCTTCCCCGTACATAGCCCGTCTCGATACTGTCCGGTACAGCACCTGGTATGTTTACGCTGGATAACTTACCAGATGACGGAGTATATGGTTCTGACTGCTATCCAGCTCCTGTCGTTCCCAGAAGCCACCCAAATCTAGTCCACCCCTGGCTGTGTCTGGCTGGCTAGATAAAGCTGCTTATTTCCTTCACCTGTACACCTACATCCACTCCTACTTAAGAAAGCTGGCAGGCCAGCTCCTGAACCCTTCCCACCTCACTCTCATCCTGATTACCCTCTCCACAACATCACATCTACACTCCCTCTTCCTCTCAAGATGGCCCCAACAAAGCCAATCCTCCACCCATTAACCACGCCGAAGAACATGACGTTCCCCTCTGAGCTCCGAGAGCGTACCTTTAACTGCCTCGACGTGGACCGACCCGTGAGTGAGAAGAAAGAAGAAGATGATGAAGAAGAAGAAGAAGACGAGGACGACGAAGAGGCCACCATCACCCCCCCACCAGCCTACACCGAATTCCTGAACACCTTCAGTCCAATCTTCTCCAGTCCTTCGACCTCCCGGGCGAACTTCTACAAGTACATGCGTGACAAGCCCCGTCCTTCTCCCACCTCTCCACCAGCCAGCACCACATCCACCACCTTTCCCAGCAGGATTCCTCCCAAAAACGCCGTGCACCACCACCAAGCACCACCAGCTTCATGGGCCACTAAAAGCCCCGTCCATACCCAGCGCATGCGCCTCCCTCCACCATACATCTGCACCCCGGTATCCGCGTCCCCATATACTCCATCCGAGTGGAGACAGCAGCGTCCCTTCGACTCGCCCGTCAGCGAGACGGGAAACTCCTTTAGCGTACGCCACGTGGTGACCACCACGATCACATATAAACGGACGCCTCAGCTGGACCCGCCTCCGCAGGGCAAGCGGAGAAGGAACCTCAGCCGCCGGAACACATAGGCGACCGATCGACTTCCTACTCCCTTCCTCCCTCCCGCCCTCCCTCTTTCAATTATCGTCTGACAATGATCCTGGCGAATCGTCTCGTTTTATTTTGTTTCCTGTTGTTATGAGGTGCATGGTACACGGCAGCGTGGTACGTTACTCAGCAGCTTTGAATTTGTTTGTACGACTCTCCTATGTCAGTTTCACTTCGTTGTTGTACTATGGGCTCTGATCTGGTAAATGCATGCTGTCTCTGGTATGTTGGGAATGGCGTTGTGAACTGTTATTATTTGTTATATGAACTTGCATTCGCTATACATTTAACTATCCTGTTTTTGTGTATTGTTTCTGAGTTTTTTTTTTTTTTTTTTTTTTTTTGTCTGTCTGTCTTTTCCTGTTCATGTCTAAGGTACCCTCGAGGGTTGGTCGAATAACCATAACCTAACCACTATCCATCACCCCAAGTAGATAGCTCCCCAGTAACAGTAACAGTAACAGTAACAGTAACTCTCCGACAAGAAAGACTCTATCCATCCCACCTCCCCAAACAGAACCTCACCCCTCCCCCACGCTTTACCCAACCACGGAAACAAAGCAAGCCCACCGCCCCTCTAACCCACAAAAATCCTCCAGGATCCCATTCCCTTCCACGTGCAACAGCCACCTTCCCTCGCGACCCAATCACAGCCCTCATTGTGGAATGTGTCGCTGTCAAATGTCAATAACTAAGAACTAAGAACTAGGAACAAAGACCTAACAAAGGCGTTTCCTGTCCGTGCACCACCAACCCACCAACCCACCAACCCCGGAGCCGCGTGGGAGATGCGTATTGGTTGTGAGATGTCCATAGATCGTGTTTTTCTTTTTTTTTTTTTCCCCCTCTCTCTAGGAGGGAGGAGGCTGAGTTTTTGTCCGCGCGGCTACTGGGGATGTTCAATGGGTCTGGGGGTGGTGATAGGATAGAGGCTGGTTGTACGCGCTTGGGTCTGGTCTGGGATTGGGACTGGGACCGGGATCGGGACTGGATGTTTGGGTCGGGGATGTGGGTGGTTGGTTGGTTGGTTAGTTAGTTACTACTCCATAGAAATATAGTGGGTTGAATGAAGGTTGTTGTGGATGGGTGGTTTACCGCTATTCATAACTGGATGAGGTGTTTTATGGGGAGAAAAGGACCAGAGGTAAGTACAGAGGATGAAAGTGGGATGGAAATCCATTTGGGTAGCCTTACCGGTTGGCCTGACTACTAGTAAGTGGGCAGGCACTGGAGTATATATTCGAGTAACTTCAACTGCCTACCCACCTACTTACGGGTCATCATCCAACCCTTTGAAAGGCACGCCTTATTGCTACGCTGAGTCATAAAATCTACGGTGTAAAGCAGGTAAGAAAAAAAACACTACAAATTCAGAATAACGTAACTAACTAACTAACAAACAAACAAACAAACAAACATCATCTCATCAGACAGTCATCAATGCTAGCTGTGGCCGTAAAGAGGGAAGAAGAAGGTCTTCGTAAAGAAGAGAAGAAGAGAAGAGAGGAAAAGAGATAAAAAGTGAAGAATAGGAAAAGAGGAGGAGGAAGGGGAAACAAAGGAAAAGAAAGTAAATAAGAACAGAAACAGGGGGAAATAAGACGCCGAAAGCCGAGGAAAGCAACTTCATCAAGAAGGCACAAAAGAAGGTAGGGGCTTGACACCAGCCAACAACACCAACACCAACACCGACGCCAACACCAACGCCCAAGAAACAAAACCGACGCGTCCAAATAAAAAAAAAAGGGGGCCGGAAAACCGAATCCAAACACAAACAGGATGGAAGCGAGCGTGTGAGCGACAATAAACCAAGGCAACGCAACGCAGAAGATAACAAAACGCGGTTCAACACAATCCATAGACCAGCCAGCCAGCAAGTGATGAGGGAGCAGCGAGTGTGACAAGGAAAGAAAAAAAATCAGATCAACTGAAAACTCAAACTACTGATCAAAGTAGAAGCTCAAAAATCAACACGACAAAGCCAACGCGTGCAGAAACAGAACAAAAAACAACACTGAATGGAAAACGTGTCGGTGGGATGTCAACTCCCAAGGCCGAGAAACATCCAAAGAGGCCTGCCTGCCCATTTTCCTTGCCCCAGGTGCCAGCACACTTCCTGCCCGTACTTACATGAGCAGCCAGTTCCATTCGTTGCGCTTCATGACGGCCCGCCAGTGGACGTCTTCGACGGGGGGTGCCTGAAGCCCCTCGTACTCCTGAGGCGCGGTCGACGGGCCAGCAGCCCCTGGAGGGGGGAAGTTGAATCTCCCCTTTTGGGCGTCGGCGTCGGCGTCGCTGGAGATGGTGATGAGAGGGCCCTCAGCGGTCTTCCAGACCTCCTTCAGCACCCGATACATCTGTCCGAAACTGCCAAAGTCACCAAGGTAACCCAAGGACACCACTCTCTCGGTCAAGACCCTTCGGAAGTGGCTGGACTGCACGGAGTGGACCCCCGCCATGAACAATGGCCAAACCAGACAACGGTCGAAGCCGGTAGGGCCTAGGGGGAGGTACGAGAGAGTATCTGCCATGGAGCCGACCATGTTCATGATGGAGCCATCGTGATGGCTGAAGCCCGGAATGAGACTGTAGAGATAGATGCGAGCTCCGATGCGGAAGACCGCGGTGAGGATCTTGATCAGATTGTCGGGGTTGATCTTTCCATCGAGCTCGTAGACGGGGTCGAAACTCGGATTCGAGGGCTCAGTCCATTGGATCTGGTTATTCAGAGCAGAGATATGACCGCTGAGAGTGAGCTCGTCCATATGACCTTCGAGCTTCAGGGACTCGAGACATGCGATCTCCGAGATCAGATACATGATCCGGTCATCACAGCCCATCAGTCTCTCAAGACCCGATCCAATACCCCGCAGGTGCTTGGTGCGGTACGTGTGAGCGAACTCGGGCGTTCTGCCCGTCATGGTGGCACCGAAGATGTCGATCCAGGCGATCAAGGACACATTGAACGGCGATGGCTTGCAGTTGAGCTTCTTGACGCAGTTGATCACCGCGGAGAAGTGCTGGCTCCACGGAATGTCAGGCAGGTATTGCTCCTTGGTGCAGACGGCGCAGTGGTAGAAGATCATGGCGAGCGTGCCGTTCAGCACCTTGTCTTTCCCATCCCCGGTCCGCACAGCCCTTGAGAGATACCCGATGGCGGTATAGCGATGCTCCATGATGTCGGGATCCATCTGATCTTCGAGACCCATGCTGGACTTGAGGTGGATGGCGGACATGCTGAGACAGCAATGAAGATAGGACCGGTTGTTCTGCATCGACCCCACGATTTCCCTCATGTGTACCTGGTTTCCTGGATAGATATCAGGGATAGGAAGCACCACCCGTACGACCTGGTCGATGAAGTGATCCAGGAGTGGACGGTCGGTGTCGTTGAGAGGGATCAGAGCCTGGAGATATGCGGACAAGGATCGGTTCGGGTACCCAAACCCTGGGGACACGGGGTTGTACGGCTTAACCTGGCTGGAACTGCCTTGGACCCAGGTGGTGGGCATGTTCGGATTAGCCATTTGGCCAGGTGCGATCGGGCCCGGGACCGGTAGTGGAGCTGCGGGTGACGATTTCGGAGGGTTCATGAGCCCAAAGGAAGTATTCTGCACCGGTGCGAGCCCGGCAGAGGGACCAGATGGCAGAGGAAAGGTTGTACTCATGGTTGAATCCAGCGACGTGCCCGAGAAGCCGTATGGCGTACCAGAAAGAGCCAGGGAAGGACCCGATGATGGACCAGGGACAGCACCAGGGACAGCGCCATGGACAGAGACGGGAGCAGAATCAATGACAGAGCTGGGGACAGCGTTGGGGACAGCAGTGGCGACAGAATTGGAGACAGAGCCGGGGACAGAACCAGAGACAGCGCTAGAGACAGCACCAGAGACAGGACCAGCGACAGCACCAGAGACAGAGCCAGGGAAAGAGCCAGTGACGGGAGTCGAGAGAGGAAACGAAGACGTGAAGTCATTCTGTGCCGGCAAGGCAAAGGACTGGCACGAAGTGGACACGTTGACATCGAAAGGCGAGATGGGGGTGAGAGGATCCGAAGGCCCCGAGAGAGGGTTGTACCCCTCTCCAAGCATTGAAGTGAAGTCGAAGTCCGACGGCTCAGGAGTCAGCTGGGAAAGGGCCCTGATACTCTCCATGTATTCTAAATCGCGACGGGTTAGAGGCCTCTTATATGCTCAACGGGATAGGGGGACACACCTTGCAGGGTATTATCCCTGCCCATAACCGTGGTCTGGCGGATCCTCGACTTTATCCTGCCCATCTGCGTCCGGCGTAGCTCAGGTGTAGCCCACCAGTTTGGCGTCTTATAGTCACACTTGAGTCCAAGCTTGGAGCATGCCTTGCAGATTGGCCGGGTCTCATCACATTTCTTCCTCCGTCCACGACAGGTAAAGCATCCTGCACCAACAGGGTCAGTAACTAGAAGGAGAGCCCCAGGCCAAGACATAAGCGCCGTTGTCGGACAACGGCGCAAGATGCTGGAGTATCTATACCTGAGCGTGATCTGCGATTACCGCCCGCTGGCGCACGCCGTTCCGCTGGCGCTCGACGTTCCACCGGCACACGAGCATTGCGTGCATTTGCAGGAGCCGTGCTCCTGGGTCTGCCTTTGGCCGGGGTCGACGAGCCCGAGGAGGGCCCCGCAGAGGATGGCGCCGCACGGGGCATCGTGGGTAAATGCGACGACGTTGTCAGGATCCTTCGACGACGGTAGTGTGGAGTGTAATTGATTAGAGCTGAACCGATGATAGGAAGTGGCGACGTGGTGTGGTATAGAAGTTATACAGGAACGGTGATATCAAGAGGAGTCAAGAGAGATATAAGAAACTGGATGATGACCTTTGTTGTCAACTGCCTGTGTTGACCCTGGTGCATGGAAACAGAAAGAGATGAGGAAGGATCGAGTCGGTCTTTATGACTTCGATGCATCTCGGTATGACCCAGGGCAATGGAACGGAGGAGGTGACCTTGATCAAGGTCTGTCGGCACCGTGCTTCTATTTTTTGCTCATCCAGGGTTGGGTAAACGAGGATGTTGTTTCAGAATCTAGTCCAAGATGCGAACCTCGAGTGGGGACCGGAAGCGAGGGGCAAATCACCGTTGACATGATAAATCGAGAATGATACTAAACTGAGCCTAAGCTAGAGAAGGATATATGATGGATAGTGGTGGTGGTAGACAGAATAGTTCCTGGGGTGTGCATGCTGATCCCATGCCACTATGTTGCGTATGCCGTTAGACGCGCACTGAGGAGTCGATGGCTGCAGGGATAATTCTTGGGCGGATGGTGTGAGGTTCCTGTCAGGGTCTAAGGCCTGGTAGTTAGCGCGGGCTGCGAACCGGGCGGCTTGCCATGCTTATTGGTAGCGCCGCTATGGGATTTTTTGATGCCCTCTGAGCGTGTCCCTAGCCGCGCAGCTTGACCCCCACTCCCCAACTGCTTAATCTTGTCGCTACGCATCTCTCAGCACCAACAGCGCTTACAGGGCTGCTCCCCTACATGTTGCGCTTTCTCCTATATTTTTACGATTTTTCTGTGATTTTTCACAGCCGTTCGCCTTGGGGCTGCCCACCCACGATTTAGTCGCCGGGTTGTGATAGTTGTGATGGAAGTCAAAAGATAATCAGGCCCCTGGTCCGTGTCGGCCAATGCGACGGCGGGATCAGTTCGAGTGGGCCTCGGCCCGTGTGAGGGCGGGGCGGATCGGGGAACGCTTGGACGCCCGCCAACCCTTAATTAGCAATTCTTAACCGCCGGGGCTGCATGGGAGTCGGACCGGGGGGAATAATTATCTGCGTCAACTTGCCCCAACCCATTGGTTCCCGGAAATTTAGGCTGTGGTTATATTTAGTTAAATCACTTCCTTTGACTCCGGTGTCCTAATTATAACTCTTCTGAAGCTGTCATAATTGCTCCCAGGCGGGGTACCCCAAGCGCCCGGGACTGAGTGACTTTGTTACCGCCGGGGATTCGCCAGAACGCCCGCCAATAACCAAGTCCGGAAAAGGTATTGTGCCAAAAGCCAGGACTGGCCGACAAAGTGACAAGAATAGAACAGCAGTTTGGCCTTGCTCGTCGAGTACTTCTCCCCGCTAGCTTGCGTCGGCCATGCTCGCTGCATGTCAGCACCCAGTCAAATGATCCTATTCCGCACGCTATTGATCCTTAGACAAGGCGATTATCATGAATGCCACGACAAAGATAGACTACAGCATCATCAGTTCTAAATAAAGTTCCTGGGCTAATGTTTCAACTTCATCTTGCAAGCATCAACGCCGGGGTTCTTTTTATAGATTGCATCAGATGCATAGTTTCAGATGGGTATACGAAAATAGAACTTCGATCTGGGAAACGCATCTAGTTCCCAGCATCTCGGAGCTGGCACCCTGGAATAGACTGTTTCCAACTTATGCAATATACCGCAACATGTTGATAGACCTGCTCTGAAGTGCGAGATCTAATTTAGGATTGACAAAGTTGGTTTCGGGTTCCTGCACATGGCACTTTCCGGCGAACCGACCATGCTGTGCCAAAAATAGTCTCTATAGTTCTACCCAAAGTAAACATCATGCCTACAGTATGAACATTGATGCCCACACTACAGTCGCATGGCGTTCCTTAGTAGTCTAGGAAACGCAGATGTCCCATTCTACGAAGATAGCCGTGGTCCTGACCGATAGACACCGGAAGGCTCCTAGGCCCATGTACCCACGGCGACCAAAAAGCGGCTAATGTAGCCCGGTGGGACTGTCACTATCACACCGACGACTCGTCGGTTCCCCGCCTCCATCACCTCTCCCCCTTCGGAGGTGCGCTGCGCTTTGACTGCGGGCGTGACGATTGAAGTTCGCTTCGGAGGTATATCCCAGTGGCTATCGAATGGTTTCCATTGAAGTTGGATTCTGGTGAGGGGCTCCCTCCCTCCCTCATAGTGTTGGCCCAGAGACAGTCTGTCCCCAATATCGAATCGCCTAGGTAACCAAAGGCTATGAGATCATATCTTCCTCCAGAATCTCCGGCATAATCTTTCCCCACCGTGCTAATCTCCCACGCGTCCATCTCTACGCTACCAATGCCTTGTCTGGATAGAATTTTGCCCCGTCACATGTGCCTTGACCGGCTGTTGCTGGAGTGAAAGCAGGCCCGTCACATCTGCAATGCAGCCGTTTGCCTACGTTACATTATGCAGTCACTCAAACTTTTAAGCGAGGATGGCTCTATTGCTGAGAAGCTGGGTACACTATGGCTACCAGAAGGAACGACCTCTTTTTTTCAGTCACGAGGACCACTGCTACCACAATCTCAGATCGATCAGGGAACAATGGATTGAGGGACAGATGGATGCGCGTAGAACAAGGAAATCGGGGTCTGCTATGGCATTGACAGCCGGGGAGATAGGGACTTCTCGGCGAAAACACGAGGAGGGATCATCCACGGATCAGAGGATGGATGAACCTGTCGACGCTCGGGCACAACCGCTGGGGCGAATCGCAGAGGAAATGCCCTGGATGGACGGACGAAGGATCACGCTGCAAAGGTAGACTGCCAGCCACCAACGCCCAGGGATTGGATCAGAATGGATAGAGCAGAGATGACAGACGGAGTGGATAGGCGTGGTTATTTAATTGCTGGACGATAACCGGGAGGTGAAGAAGACCACTGAAGAGTGAGCGATGCATGGCGGCGGGGCGGCGCTAAGGCTGGGCCAGTCATGGCCTGGCAACATCCCGCGCATCGCCCGCCCGGCGCGTACAGACACCACAACGGCTCCTCCTCGGCCTCTCTCCTCGCTCGCTCCCCCTCCAGGGCTCTTGTCTCCTGCGTGATTCCTGCCTCAGCGCCTGTCCATTGGCCCAACGTCCCCCTTGACCTCTCGACTACTGCAAGGTGATCACCCTCCATCACGTCTCTTCCTGCCATCCTTCGTCGTCGGCCCACTGGACCGCCCTCTCCGCCTCGCCAGTCTCGCCAGTAACTGGCAAGCCCAATGCCTCAACGTTTCACCATCCCTGCACCACAGGATTTGAGCCTGACCGTCGCTGGGTCCTGATTCGAGCACCCAGCCTTTGGCTCGCACGATCATGTTTCACTCCCCGCCGACCTGTCGGTCAAGGCCGTCAGACTCGCTCTTCCATATACATATACGGCGGACGGCCCCAGGGCCCCCTTCGTCTACCTTCTCCCTGGCTGCCTCCTCAGTGTACGTGGACCGTCTCACTGTGTGATACCTGCTTTATTCCCTTTGTGTATTCCTTCCCATCTACTGACGGGCGTTGTATGATTCTTCCAACGCCCGGTGATCTCTTTCGCTCGATCACCCTACTACTAAACTTGCTTGCTACCCAACCATTCTGAAGCCCCCCAGGCGCTTCCCAGCAATCATGGTAGGATTACTCCTCGATTTCCCCAGCCAAGGTTATAGTAGCATGCTAATGCTTTTTGTACGCAGGAGTCCCTACGTTCGCGACGCAAGGCAGCGCCTGCATCGCTCGATATGACAAACACCAAGAAATTCCAACCAGCATTCACCGTAGTGAAGGCTCGTCAATCTGCAACGACCAACTTTGATGATACAGACTTTGAGTACAGTGATTCGGACGAGGAGTCACCTCGCATGAGTATGGGCTCGGTAAGTCTTCTATGATCAAGGCTGCAAGACCCTCACTGACAACCATGTCCAGTTCGGATACGACAGTGTCTCCTCTGCCTCTACGCCGGACCCGCCCACCCCAGAACATGTCCCACGAGAAGTTTATTTGCACCGCAAATCGACTGAAGGACCCTCCGGTCCCCATCTTTTCACGCCCGATCTCTTCAGGTCATCGATTATTTCGTCTCGTTCGGTGCCAACAACTGAAATCGATCTCTATTTCGAGAGGTCGCCTGTGCAGTCTCAGTTCCAATCTGATATTGAGACCCCCCAGTTCCCAATGTCGGAAGTCGATACTCCCTCTTTTCCTGTCTCGGATCTCGATACAGCGCAGTTCACTGGATCGAGCATGGGGAGCTTCACCCACTCCGAAGCTTCGATGTCCCAAGCATCGGTGTCTCAAGCGTCGATGTCTCAAGCGTCGATGTCTCAAGCGTCGATGTCTCAAGCTTCGATGTCCCAGGCCTCGGTGTCCCAAGTGTCGAGGTCTGAATCATCAAGCTCGGGCAAATATGTGTTTCCTCCATGTGCTCCTCAGCCTCACAGGACCGTGTACCCAGACGTCTCACAAGTTGAGGAGGACGAGATCCGTGGCTGGGCACCAAGCCAAGTCGCACACTGGATGCACATCGGTGGCTACGATGACTCCGTGATCGAGAAGTTCATGATCAATGACATCGCCGGAGATGTGCTTCTCAACCTCCATACCGATGACCTCAAAGAACTTGGCATCCAGTCGTTTGGCAAGCGTCACCAGATCATGGGGTCGATCGACCACCTGCGCAACACTATGCTTAAGCGGTCAGCGTCCAGAAACAGAGCCTTTTCATCTCCCTCACAACACTCGTATGCAGAATCGGCGTCTACCAGCAGTCGCTCGTATGCAGCATCTGTGTCTCCCACAGGCGAAGTGATTTCCCGTGAACCCAATGGCAATCAGCTCACTGAAACAGAGGCTGTCTCCATTGTCGGCATTGAGCAGGTTCTTCCCAAGCCACACAATTGTTCCAAGGGGGAGAACTGTCCCAAGTACAGGAGATACCAACGCCAGATGGAGAAGCTGGCAACGGAATATCCTGAAGCCATACTTATCCCTGGACAAAGCATCGTCACTGGAAACCCTGGGAATCCCCAGACAGCACATAACATGTTGCGACCAAAGTCAGATACTGAGCCTTCGGTAATCGCGTCGTCTGATGTCTTTGGACCTCAAATCACTCCGAGGCTCTCTGAAGAGGCGCTGAACGAGGTCAAGAACCTTGATCCCCAGGAAAAGATGCGTCAGTTCTTCAGCTACCAGCATGTTGATTACCATCATTCGGGGTCAGACTCGGACTCGGACTCAGACGACTCTATGCCATCACCGGCACCGCATGTGATGGTGACAGCTGCGGGAACCTCACCTGCCTCGTCTCCCCCGGCTGCCCGGCTCAACAACATGACTGCGAACCTGCGCAATCTTCCGAAGTTGATGATCCCCACGGATTCCGACTCCGATGACCTGACAACAGCGGTGACAGCCCAGCGAACCATCACACCGTCGATGGGCAGTCACATGTATGGCTCTCCGACCGTGGTGCAGGAGTACGGGCCATTCAGTAACGCTCGGCAAGTGGCGCCGGCCGATTACTACCGCCAGGGCACACCGTTCTCGGAAGTGGACGCTCCTGTTGTCGGCTTGCCAGAGGGGCCCGTCGCCCGCGAGACGTCCCAGTCTGTTCCTCCTGACATGCGATACGGCAACCTCATGCGCGCCCGCTATGGAGGTCCGATTTCGCGGTCTCCTTCCGTTCGTGCCCCAACTAGCATGTCGCTGCGTCGTGTGAAGGAAGGGAAGCCCCTCACTCCTATTGATGATCCAGCCGACCTGAGGAGGAGCCCTCGCATCGCCCAGAAGTCTGGCACCAACACGTCCGTAGCTTTGAACCCCGATGTGACCCGAAGTGGATACATGAAGAAGCGCAAGCCAGCCCGGTTCCTCCGCCACGACTGGCAGGAAGCCCACTTCACCCTGCGTGGAACCAACCTGGCAATGCACAAGGATGAGCTTTCTGCTCTGCGTCAATCCAGGGCGTTGGATGAGATCGACGTCGATGCATATGCCGTCGCCTGCTCATCTTTGGCATCCAGTTCCAAACTCACTGCTGCCTTGAAGAAGTCCATCCTGCGCAATGGGAACCACCCCGGCAAGGACGACTCGGCGTTCACATTCTCCCTCGTCCCTGCCTCCAAGGAGAACGAGAAGAAGATGCTATTCGGAAGCAAAGACGTCAAGAGCCACCACTTTGCCGTCAAGACCCGAGACGAGCGCATCGACTGGATGCGTGACATGATGCTGGCCAAAGCCCTCAAGAAGGGCAAGGACGAAGGTTATGAAATGCGACCCGAAGGAAATTTCATTTAGGTGTTTTTTTTTTCTCTCTCTTTTTTTGTTTTCTGCATAATGGTCGCCCACTCCCTCTCTGTATTCTAACCCAGCCCAACCCTCTCAAGTGTCTCATATTCTGGCTTTTCATTACGGTTTGCATGCATCCTTTCCCTTTGTCTGTTATGAGTGAACGACCCAAGACGCATCTGTCGCTGGACGACGGTGTCAGATATCCAATACCCCTATTATTTCCCTCTTTTCCCACCGAATACAATGTAAGTACCAGATTGATTGAGCAAGGGATAGTTCTTATTTGGGCTTGACATATACAGAAAAGAGTGATGGAATTTAGTTAGCTGTGCGGGATCGGGATAGGTAGTCTAATGCCAGTTGAATGTGAAATGAATATCTCTATCTGTCTCCATCTCTATCTAGACCTACTTTCCTACTGTCCTAGTGGTAGAACCGCCATTCCCACTCCTCTCTCACCCACCTCTCCATACCGAAGTGTGATGGCGCAGTGTGACTAACCTCGTAACCCCCCCCCCCCCCCCCCCCTTTCCTTCCCCCAGAGAACCACAAATTAATCACAATCGTAAGAAAAGAGACGTAAAGTCTATTTCCATAGCACCTACCAAATTTACCTGCCTTGAGTATGGAGTACAGAGGTACCATCTCCGGAAATATTCACAACCGGGCCAATTCCGAATCTTAGCGTTGATACCTTTCAACGGGCTAAAATGATGCAATCTATCTACTTTATCCATCTAACCGCCCTGGAAGACAGCAATCTATCTATCTCCCCGGCGTTACGATAATGGTGCCTACTGCCTACTGCCTACTGCCTACCCGGCGCGGTGGCGGTCTCGCTGGGTTGTCGGTTCAGCTGAGAGTTTTTATCGGATAAAGAAGAAAGAAAGAAATAAACATAAAACATGGATACATTTATTCCATTTTATTCTATTCTATTCTATTCTATTTCTATTCAACCTAGATGGTCTAGGAACTGACTGAGGGGTAGGGAACGGAGATAGATGGTTATATATGAGAGATACCTATCTACTTACCTACCCCATTGGTAGTCCATACAGAGAGAGAGAGAGAGAGTCCTAGACTTAGAGATGGTAATCACACATCACACCACAGAAACCTCCCCCTCTATCTATTCTGTATATCCAACCAATACCCACTACCCACCCCCATCACGACGCACACTCATCACATCACACCGTCACTGGCTAAATAGCGCGGGCGGGTGGTCATTGGGTGCGGGGATGTCACTGGGGCGGGCGCTTAAAATGAAGTCGGCGGTTGGAATCCTTCACCTTCATCGGCATGCGGGCGGGTGGGCCAGGTGATGTGATATGTCATATGTGTGATGGGATGGGATGGGATGGGATGTGATGTGAATAAGGGCGTGTTGCATTGCATGCAGATGGATGCAGATGGATGCGGTGTGATGACTCGAAAGACTGTAGAAAAGAGGGGTAGGGCTACTAGTAAGCTAAGCCTACTTCGGACCGTGCGGAGTAGATACCTGCTTACTTACTTGGAAGGAATGGATACCTAGGAGAAATAGATAGGTGGGATAGATTTGGAAGAATACGACCTATACTTATTTGGGTGTTATAGGCGGGTGGTTAGTTGGTTATTATTAGAATGTTTGGTCGGGGAGTTGGGTTTAGTAGATGAGATTATTTGGTGGAGGAGCTTGGGCGTTACTTGAAATTTTACCTGTTGAGAGGCTACTATGTAACTGTACTCTGTAAGAGAAGTCTAACTCACCAGCTACCGTAAGTATACATGATGATTATTAAATTCCTCATATAATGCTGTTGCTGAGTAGTAGTTAGTACTGTCACAGTCCTACTACTTTGTACTGCCTGTCTTGGCGTCGCCAGTCTCCCGCTTAATGATTCGCACCGGGACTTAACCCGGAAGGATAGTTTGGTTGGGGTTAATTAGCAGGCACCGAGGACAAGGGGCGGGAAGCTAATTTGTACCACTTAGCCGGGGTGTAGAAATGATGATTAAGGTAACCAACTATTCTTGGCTATATAGATGTATATACTATCGAGTCAGCAGCTTCGAGGTTGGGATGGAATCAATTCTAGGTAAAGACTAGATGTTGTATCCGAATTAGCGTCTGTGGATGCTATGTCCCAGTCCTATCTTGTTTGCTTATTTCAACAGTCACTGGTCTGCGGAACCCAACCCCGAGAAGCCAAATTCACGATCAATTCAAAGATCCGAACATTATATGAGCCAGCTAAATAACAACATTCCCTCATCCCTCTCTATCAAGCCACCCAGCCCAATCCATCCCACATCCCACACCCCATATCCCCACCAGCCCTTTCACCCAAAAACCCACCCCAACACCCCAACCCAACCTACCCCATCATCCTCACAACGATATAAACCCACCCATCCCCATACCCCGCCGCCCTTACGACCTCCTCAACGGGCGCCCCATCGGCACCGCGGCCCCATGCAACACCGGCTTCGCCAACACGGGGGTCCTCCGACTGGGAAACAAATGCGGGAGGAGGGTATGCAGCGCAGACCCGATAGTCTGCGTTTGCGGGCCTCTCGCGGCAGAAAGAATGGATTGGCTTGCGGCGATGCTCGTCGCGGAGGCAGTAGACGGTAAGATGGAGGGTGGGATGGGCGACTGCACGACTTTGAGGGATGGGGCGCCGGAGTCCGGGGGCAGGGGGAGGAAGAGGCGGATGGGGACGTTGCGGAAGGGTTGCGAGGGGGGCGGGAGGAGGATGTTGGATATTCGTTGGAAGGAGGGGAGGTTTACTATCTTTGTTTTTAGTCTGGGGGTGTTGTGTTATAGTATATTATAAGGGATGTTTTGGGGGGGGGAGAGGGGAAAGGGGATGGAGTGGAGTGTAGAGTGTGGAGTGTAGGTACGCACCATCTCTAACCGCCTCCCAAAGACCGGAGGAGTCCTCTTTCGAGAGCGTCATTATTCCCTTCGCGTTGCCGTTGCGCAGGAAATCCGCCTCCTTGACGCTGTTGATGAACGCGTCGTGCATGACCATTCCATCCGCGTCTAGGCGAACGAGCTCTTCGTCCGGCCAGTCGCTGAAGTGGATGGTCAGACACCAGGGGAGCGGGTCGTCGTCGCTGGCGGAGGCCAGGTCGGTGTCGGTGCCGCCTTTGGACGCGGGGTCCGCGCCGGCGTAGAGGTCATACAGGAGACCGACGGGGTAGTGCCATTTCAGCGGGACGCCTTCGAAGGAGAACCAGCCTTCGTGGGGGCTCGTGGTTGGGTCGATCAGAGAGGCGGAGAAGAAGGCCCTCAGTTTTGGCAGGAGGGATGGGAGGTATGAGACGCGGGGGTAGGAGATCTGGATGGTGGTCAGCTTGGACTTGAACTTGGTGTTTGTTTCATTCTGGATGGAATGGAGGAATGGCTTCATGATGGGAGAGATATATGATATGACATGACATATGGGAGGGGGGAATACCAGATAAGGATCGGTCTCGTCATATGTCCGACTCTCTGCCGGAGCGAGAGTGATTTGTAACGGCAGCTTTCCGTCCCAGACAGCTTTCTGGATACTGCCCAGGGTGGCCTTGGAGTCCATGCCTTGGGGTCCTTCCTATGATGGGGTTAGTTACATGCGCGTCATGGGATGGGAACGGGTCTGTATTGATCATACTGGGAGAGGATGACGCGCGACAATTCAGTGCCAGTTGCCAGATCGGGTGAGAGTGGCCCGCACCATCAGACCACGATCGTTCACCAACGAGGGAGTTGAGATGGATAGATAGATAGCACTCTGACAGTGTCTACTGCCGCCTGCCGCCCACTTCAGGCTGCGCCTCCCGTCGGGTCGGCACGTGCTTGACGTTCATGCCTCAGGCAGAAAGGCTACCACCCGGGGGGTTCTGCCTGACTGTCCATGTATACTCCAGCCAGTCACTACTGTGGAGTTCCATGGTCCTACCACTCTACATATATCTCTAATGCTTATGGAACAGAGAAGTCTGGCTCTGAGAAGAAGATAATTGATCAGTTGATCAGTTAGTGCGTTCTACGTGTTGAATGTACTACTGGTAGAGAGACTCGTTCCAGGTTTCCAACAACTACAGGGTCATTCGTGGCTACGGAGTTCTGATGAGAATATGATGGTTAAAGTACACACCATCCCCGGAGAAGGGGGAGTGATGTGTTCTTCATTTTTAATGCTGGGACTACTGCGCAAACTAAATAAATCCCCAATGCACAGACGATCCCAGCAGCGAGAGAATAGGAGACACCGAAAATAGGCACCGAAAAAGGTCACCCAAAGAGAGGAGAAAAAGAGCCGAGAAAGATACACCGGAAAAAGGCACCGAAGAGAGAAGCCAAGAAGAGCTACGAAACGAGCGACAAAAAGAGAAGACATGAAGATATCAAAAAAGACCAACCGAGGTAGCAAAACAGACAAAGATCATTGCTTCGTTAGCAGGAACATTTTCCTGAGTCCTGACGGCGGGAACCCCCCAGGGGGCCTCAATCACCAACACATAAAAAGCAGACTCATTCACTTCTTCTTGGAATTCTGGCGGCCTCTAGCGGAACGAGGTGGAGGAGAATCGTCTACAGGAGGGTTGAGTGTAGGAGGATGCGCAGGAGGCCGGAGAGTTAGAGCACGACGCGCAGGAGGGCGGAGGGTAAGAATGCGACGCTTAGGGGGGCGGACTGTACGGACAGGGACGCCCGGATCAGGTTCCGGATGATCCTTTTTCAGATGGCGAGTCATGTCTGCTTTCCGGATTCTTGTTGCCCGGCAACCCTCTACGGGGCACTGGAACTTGGGGCCTCGTCTAGTGTGTTGCTCGCGGATGTGGGTCCGCAGAGAGGCCTTTTTCTTGAACGTTCCTTTGTACTTGCATCGCGGGACAGGGCATTTGAAGGGGGCTGTTTCGTTCATGTTTTCTGTATAGAATTCATATTGAGAAATGCCCGAACTAGCGTCACTTGCAGATGTGTTGACCTCTTCGGGTGGTGTGGCAACTTTAGGGCTGTTTGAATCATCATTTCCAGAACTACCCGAAACTTCGGCTGCTGGGGCAGCCTCAGGACTCGAGATCGTAATGACTTCAGGCCTGACCGGGCCATCATCCGACTGCAAACCTCGGGATGTGCTCCACCTGGAGCTAACTGGACGAGCAGCGGCCGTGATGGCCTGAGGCCTAGCCAGGCCATTATCTGCTTGCGACGTCCGAGATTCGTTCGATCTAGAACTACTAGCTAAAAGTCTAGAGACCACGGCATTAGTCTCAGCCAGGAGATTATCTAGCTGCGACAGCCGAGATTTGATCGATCTAGAATGACTAGCCGAAGGACCAGAGCCCGTGGTGGCCCTAGCCCTATGGGAACTATCATTCGAACGCGATATCCCAGATTCGGTTGATCTAGGGGGACTGGCTGAAGGACTAGAGGCCAAAATGGCCTGATTCTCAATCTCAGCAGTCAGTAAATCACATAGCCGCGGCCTCTGAGATCCGCTCGATCTAGGACGACTAGCTGAAGGACTGGAGGTCATGATGGCCTCATTTTCAGCCAGTAAACTAATTAGCCGCGACCTCCGAGAGCTACTCAGTGAAGGACGACTAGCCCAAAGAGTAGAGCCCGTGGTGGCCCTAGCCCTGGCCGAGCTATCATTTGAACGTGATATCCGAGATCCGATTGATCTAGAATGAATAGCCAGGGGATCGGAGGCCGTGGTGGCCTCAGCCCTAGCCGGGCCATCATTTGCTTGCGACCTCCGAAATCTAATCGTTATAGGACGAGTGGCCGAAGTTTCAGAAGGCGTGGTGGCCTCAGCGGCAGCCCTAGCCAAGCTATCACCTGACTGCGACATCAGAGATCTAATTGACACAGGATCACTACCCAAAGGACCACCCGTGGTGGCTCTGGCCCGAGCCTGATTTGGCAGCGATACTTGGGATCTAGTCAATCTAGGACGATTAGCCAAGCGACTAAGCAAAGGATCAGAGGCCGTGATGGCCTCTGCCCTAGCCGGAGCATCAGTGGATTGCGACCTCCGAAATCCAATTAATCTAGAACGCCTAGCCGAAGAAACAGGGCCAGTGCTGGCCTCTGCCCTAGCCAAAGCATTAGACGCTCGCGTCCTCTGAGATTTGGTCGCTTTAGGAGGAGGACTAGCCGAAGAACCAGAGCTCGAGCTAGCCTCGGGCTCAGCAGAGCCATCATCACCTTGCGGCGCCCTCTGAGATAAGTTCGTAGCACCAGAAGCCGCAATACCCGGGCCATGGCTGGACTGCTGCCCCCGGATATCAAAGGGCGACTCGGAGGCCGTGCGAGCCACAGACCTAGCCGGAGGATCAGCCGACTGTGACCTCTGAGCTCCGGTCAGTCTAGGAGGACTGGGCGGATGAGCCACGACCGAGTAAGAGCGAGAGGTAGAAAGGGGATCCTCGATTCGCAATATCGGAGGAGCTGTAGATGTGGGACTGTCCAGATTAAAGTGGCAATCCCATATGTTCTGCAAAACGCTCGGTGAGATGCCTAGCTCGGCATCGGACAGGCGTTCGAAACTGGGCTGGTTTGTACCATAGACAGAGTCCCAGCCATGGACGAGGTCCCAAGAGGCTTGATCAATGACTGCATCGAAGCTCGTGGGTTGGAGAGCCTGGGCGGGATCGGGAGTGTCCCCCCCTGGGATTCTGTAGTTTTCATACACTCTGCCGGTGTCAGGAGTGTTGATGTCCTGGAATAAGTCGTTGAGGGGCGAGCAGAGATATTCGTTATCTAGAAAGACATCGAAGTCGTTTCTAAATGCTGCTGCTGCTTCTTCCCTTCGAAGGGTGGCCGGGGAGATTGAAACCTCGGATTCTGCTGGCCAGGAGTGATTTGAGGGTGGTTTCGGGGTAGATGGCCGGTTGTGGGCTGAGCCTTTGTCATTTCCTTCAGAAGGGTGCTGTGGGTCGGCCTTTGGGATATTGCCTTGCGGCTGGGCTAGCGATAGAAGGTATTCTATTTCACTAGATGCCCAGTCGAGTTGTGTCTCAGGACTTTCCTGATGACCTGAACCAAGGTTCCGATAACCTAACTCAGTCATGCACTTGTCAATTTCTTCAAAGGGGTTTTGTGGGTCGGCCTCTGGGATATTGCCTTGCGGCTGGGCTAGCGATAGAAGGTATTCTATTTCACTAGATGCCCAGTCGAGTTGTGTCTCAGGACTTTCCTGATGACCTGAATCAAGGTTCCGATAACCTAACTCAGCCATGCACTTGTCAATTTCTTCAAAGGGGTTTCGTGGGTCGGCCTCTGGGATATTGCCTTGCGGCTGGGCTAACGATCGAAGGTGTTCTGCCTCATGAGGTCCCCTCTCAAATTGTGCCTCAGAACTTGCCTGGGAACCCGAACCGGTCAGGCTCTTGTCACTTCCTTCAGAGATGCGCTGTAGCGCGGACTTGATGGTATTAGCTTGCGACAGGGCTGAAGATAGAAGGTATTCACTTTCATCAGCGCCCCACTCGGAACCAGAACCTGGCTCGGGACTTGAACCAGTCAGGTCGATGATCGGATTGGGATCTGCCATTGTCGCGTTGGATAGCTTCAATGTCGGTGATGAGGGAACTTTCACACCATCGTCAGTTAGATGTCAATTTATAGGTGAGGTTTACCACTAAAAATTAGTTGCTGTTGATCGGAAGTTCCCTGACAGATTTGAGGAAATCTCGATTCCATTCAAGGAGAGTACCGTCGAGTGTCGGACTTTTCCTACAGGTGGAAAGAGGCTGTCGTTGGATGCCATGTTCCAAAGAACAAGAAATACTGAAACATGATTGGATAGCATGCAAACCACTAAGCAGCCTCACAAGGAAACCTCTTGAGCCTTGGTCTCCTGTTGGTAGACCTAGTAGGTAAGCTCCGTAAGCTTAATTGAGATATCCGAAGAAGTGATCCTAGAAGTGGTGTAAACCATACACGGGTGCGGAAAACTCCTATCATCAGAGGAATAAGCCGACTCCAGTGAGGCAGGCGGGAGGAGGGGTGATCATATTGCTTGCCATCATAGAAGACTCTGGACCTCGGTGTGGTTCCAAGATGAATCTGTTCTGTGTCAAAGAGAATATCTCGACTAAGAACGGACCCCAAGATGGTGGTATGTTAATTGATGAATGCATGATTTCTGATAGATTGTCGCCGCAGCTTGCTGCAAAGTTAGCAAAGAAGTTGCGATTATCTCAAGCATCGAAAGCAAGCCATTCAATCAATCACCTTCTCTCCATCTACGAGAGTCCGTAAAGTTCACCCCTACTCGATCCACTTCATAATGACAACATGAGTGATCCTCTTGCCCAGCGTAGTAGACCAGTTCACGATCTAACACGGACAGGAAAGATCTGGCTTGACACAGCTTTATTCTGCTTACCTATGGTCAACTTTCTAGGAGGACACGGAAGAGGGAGGGCGGGGGGTTCCACTTTTGCCGCAGTATCAATCAGCCTTAATAGTGCCGCATGGGGCGATAGAGTTTTCTTTTTCACGAAGATCGAGTCCCTTTTATAGACCTCGAGTCAACCACCATGCATCCTTTGTCACGGCGGATTCCTTCTTCACTGTCGTCCGTTATTGTCAGTCATTATCTAGGATTCGGGTTCGGCTTCTTCCATGTGTAACTCGCTATTTCTTCGATCGTCAAGGAAGTTCCCTTCCGTCCTCAATTGAGCTTACCGAGTCAAATTATTACTCGGGAGGTGCCCTCGGTCAGAGCTGACTCTCTCTTCTGCATTCTACCAAGTAGTTCAAACACGGAATACTCCCCTCCAAAGAGTCACGCGTTAACGCAGGCCATGTGTGGTGGCATGGCAGGGAAGTACTTCTTACACAGTCATCGCAGGGCACATTGACCGCAGTATGCCCCGACCACAGTATGTGTCTGCGTACTGTCCTTGATGCAGTTTGGATCTTCCAGCCTCGTGTGCCTGGACAGCTTCCCATTGGTATTCTGCGAGTACCCGATTGTGTCAACTGGTCAACTCGTATATACCATGATCCTTCCGGGGTATACTGAATTTAGTTCGCCTCCGTAAGACTGAAGACGGGATTGTGGCACATGTCACACGGGAGCCACGTAGGAGGATGAGTTAGGCGGGAGAAACGTCATCCAGAAATAGATCACAGCACCTGACCGTTTAAATGGGGTCTATCCGGTTTCTCCCACGCGGGAGAGCATCCTGACTTCGCAGTGGGGGTCTTGTCGAGGACTGGAGTGCTCGAGATACCGTCTATGCATCTGATCTTTTCGTTGTCCTCACACGACTCCAAGCCGTTGCCACCGAGTCATGGTTTTGAACACCAACGTAACAATTGCCCCCACAATTGGGTTAGCCAAAGGTCGATTGGCATCCACCCTAGACACTGCAGCCTTAGTCAATGACGTTATGCGATTGACAGGCAAGATCGGGATTGGATCGTCTAACGCCCAGCCACTGTGAGTAGCTCCATCCTGGTTGCCTTCTGGGTTGCCTTGAGAGGAGTTTTCCTGTGACAATACTGCCATCATGGCCACGTGAATGGTATTTCGGTGAATCGGGTCCAGCAAGTGGGGAATGTAAGGTTTGCCATGACATTTTCGGATGTAGAGCTTCGCTTGTGATCATTGTCCCCGTTCGCACATCTCCCAATGACAATGTACGTCATCGGGGTGGCTTCAATCCAAAGCCATGAATATCCAAGGCATTCGTAGAATGTTCTGTGATGGTGGTGATCTTCGTATAAGCCATTACACTAGGCTCCACACGAAGAACGCGCAGCCCAGCACGGCAGGACCCCATCTGCAAATGAAACCTTCATCTCTACTGTCGACTGACCAAAGCAGATCCCAGCCCGGGCAGGTTCGGGCGTCCTATCAGCCATCTCCACGGTTGTCCGGATGACTTCGTATCTCCTTTGACTTCATCCTCCACTCAGTGAAGACCTCTGGAAGGTGCCGCCTGTAGAAATCCGAAGGACCGTGACATCCCATCACTGTCACATTTCAGGCATCATCTGGTCAGGGGTCCCTATACCAGACACAGGATGCCAACTGTATGAACCAAAGTTCGGTCAGGCTTTCACCGGCCCCGAAAGCAATGATTAAATATCTTCTTGTCTCCACTTTCAGTACCTTTGTTGGGCGTAGAGGTCCTTTATTTGTCTCCATCCACTGTGCTAGGCCTCTCTTGTCAGAGGCGAGATATGCACACTGAACAGACTCGCGCAAACACCCAACCCAGGCAGTCAATGTGTGATCCCATCATGTGGCGGCAACAGCGGGCTTCAATTTTACAGAACAGGGCTCCACGCATCGATACTTGCCTTTGGATGAACCGTGGGGTGTTTGGAGGCCCGATCACTGGATTGGTATCTGCCTAAAGCCGGTTTTAACGGGGCAAACAGGTGTCTGGTAGTTTATCGTATCCTTGTCTAAAACGGATGAACCATTCGATGAATCTTATGCCTGCGTGGACAGATTATGTCGCTCCAGCGTGACGTTCTAGCCACGAGATTAGACATTTCATCTCGCTTGGAATGCTGTACCATATCAGTAAATGTATCACTCAATCAAGGAAGACTCACTCGCAAAATGAGATGCTTGAACATACGCTTCGATTAGTGGATTTTGGAGTAGTGATCTTCATCTGTTCATCGCAAAATGCAATTTGATTTCACCTGTCCTTGTCGTGTGACAAAGAAGGCTGTTTCAGATACCTCCAATATCGAGTCACTCGAGTCTCTTCATTCCTTGCAATCACGCAAAAGCGTGTACACCGATTAAGTCCACCGATTAAGTCCTTCGATATAGACTCATAAGTCCCGTTTGAGGATTTGTCATATATCAATCACTGTGTCCATGCACGAAAGGGTACATGCCTGAAGCCAAGTGATAACAATGCATTACCAAGGCGCATGCATAAGGCAGAAAATGACTCATTGGCTCTTATTCTGCGCGCGGCTCAGCCCGATGGTCCAAGGGTCCAGCCTCGTGGAGACCTTTTGCCGAGAATACCTTGCTCTTTGCATATGTAGTCTAAGGCATTCGCGGAAGGGAATACGAGTCCAAGTCAAATGCCGAAATCCCAGAGGCCGTATCTCGCTTAGTACTGCTTGTTTGACATTCTGATTAACGAGCGACAACCCCTCAGCTTCCTTATTCCTGGGAGATTGGATAGGGGAACTGTGACTCCCGACACGCTCTCCAGATCAGGACTTTTGGTTAGCATCCAGCCTGTGAACTGGTGTTGTGGCGCGGATCCCTGCCTGTCTTGTCCACGGCCCGAGCATGCCTTTGGGAGGAAAAAGGGAGAAAAAAAAGCAACAGTGGTTGGCTTATTGGCGAATGCCAATGCATCCACGGAGAACCCCGGATAGCAGCCATTCACGATCGCGGCGGAGGCCTCATCAGCTGCTGGCGTCATCTCTCGCTTCTGCTGGTTGACGTAACTTACTTTTGGCGGCCGTTTCAGCTGTACTGTGCGTGAATTCCCATCGCTAGGTTGTCATGCTAATTTTGTGGCGGCCGGAAGGGGCTGTACAGGGGAAAGAGTTACGCCGAGCAACAGGGCAGGAGAGGAAACGGATCAATTCCCCGGAATCCGGTCAGCCTGTTTCATCCTACTTAATCATCTTTTGGGCTCCGGTTCAAGGAGGATCGGCGACGTGCAGATGCGACGGCGATTCTTGCCGTTCTCGTTGTGAACGCCAGATCTCACTGCCTGCGCGACGACAATAGCAGTGAGATACCTCTCCATGGACAGCCAGCCAACTGAGCGTCCTGTCCCTGAGCTTCCAGTTCCATAGCCTTGAGACTCGGCAGCCGCCATAATTCGGGTCGGTTCGAGACATGGCAGCCCTGACCAGCGGACCATGCGGAATGGTATGCTTGGCTGTGTCGAAGATTAGTTATTCCTTTTTTTCACCCCTTTCCCTCTTAGTCCCACCAGTTATCCCTCTTTGGTCCGTGGGCCGGCCTCCGAGCGAAGATCAATCTGTTGGCTAGAGTCATCTGGGGGTCATAACAGGACTAAGCCCCGTAATACCTGCGATTCCACTGCCAACGTAATCGGCCAGGTGTGATTCATGCGGCTTTGCAGGCCGGCTTTCTTGCCGAGCGCAGGAAGCAGTTCGCGAGGCCAGGATAAAATGGAGACGAGAGATAAGGTTGCTGGAACCTGGAGCTTGGACCAAGTGTGCCTTGCAGGCCGCGCAGTGGAACCAATGAACCCGTGTCGATGAATAATAATACCAAGGGAAAAGACCAACAAGAATTATTGATATCATTATTCACTGGGCTCTTCAATAAATGCGTATCCTCGCGCGGGCCGCAGTCGAGCTTCGGTCGCTATGCACAAATAGGAATGCAGCCCGCGTCTCGGACGCAAGAAACCGATAGCACTCGCAGAGTTTCCCTATAGATGCCTATCGCCGCGGGCTGATCCGCAGGCCGTTTAGGGTCCATACTCCGCCCACGGAGAATCCCGCAAGGGCGCTGCTATCACCGGGAAAAGCGAAGCCGAAAGGAGCAAAGTCGGCGCAGTCGGGGGAGTCAACGTTGGTGGACGAGTGGATGAGATCCGTTAACCCCCTTTTCGGGCGAGCTTCTCCGAGGAGCCCTGAGGTATCTGCAGACACCGTTTCGCTTTCATTGCTCCATCAGCAGTCCAGGCGCTCTAATCATCCTTAGGCTGCGAGTTGGGCCCGGTGTTCTGGTAACCCATGCAAGCTAAGAAGGCAGCCGGACCTTGATGACCTCTCCGCGGATCTAGCATTACTTGCCAAAGAAGATTGGTTACGTCCGTCGATTGATGCAGGGTGCTTTGGTGCGTACGCCGTAGTTCGCCATTATTTGCGTTAGTCCCAACAATCCGTAATTGTCCAAACCAAATTTAGAAAATGACAATTGCTTTTTCAGGAAATCCTCATTTCTTATCGCGCGGCGTGGGCGTCCCCTTTCTGACTGGTCCACAAAAGCAATCTGACAGCGCACTGGCCAGCCGCAGTACTCCCTAGGTAGGGAGAACGAGGCTTAGCCCAGGATGCTCCTTTTCAGAAGGCACATAGCTGATCGTTTGATTAAAGGGTCATCGCTCAGTCCGGCAGGTGAGGTAAGCATGCCCGGGAGGCTGTGACAGGAAGGTATGCGGATGCATACGGATCAAGATCGGGGATGATCGGTGCCTCGATCAATGCTCTTCAAACCTCAAATCTTTGGTTGCGGAAAGGAGACGAGGGAACGATTTCGCTCTTCCAACAGATCGAGGTGAGCTATTCTCATTTCCGGTCAACAGCACAGCTACAATGTGGCTGTCACTGCAACTCCCCCGACGTACAAAAGAATCCTGCACGCTGTAAGAGAGACATTGTCACCTGCAGCTTGCGCAGTGACTGCAATGTCACGGATGCAATAATACCGTTGGCTGCTCGGAAATCAAAGGAGCCGTTAATGGGTTTTGCGGCCAATCCTAGCTGGATGGGGTAAGGACGTAGGAAGATGAAGGGGAAAAGAAATTATCGAGGCGCGGAAGCGTGGGTGAGAGGAAACGACGCATACAGCCCACCTATCCCCTGGGGCAGTGCGTGATCACTTCTCTGGGATCGACCACGTTTTGCCCACATCGGTGTGGTGCTAGCCGATCCTTTAAACGGTCTATCCTCGATCCCTTCTCCCTTCGGCTGTCTCCCCCATCTATAGTCCGAGGAGGCTTCGGGCTTGACCATAGCATAGCGTAAGTGCGGACAGGGACTAGGCTGACAGCCAAAGGGGGCGGAGGCAATGGTCTAGATTTCGGATCAAGTCTTCAATCTTGGACTGCATAATCTGAGGCTGGCTTTCGGCCCTTAACCCCCCTGATCGATGACGAATGCCGTTGGGCATTCACGATGACCCATCCTATTTTGGAAGGACTGTGATCTGAGATGCATACCGAATGATCGGTTACGGTTTCTCTCGGTTCATGTGCCCGATGTACGCCATGCTAGTGATCGTTCATGGGTTCCCCAGAATGCCCATTCCGAACCTGGTCATACCCTCCGTCGTAATGCTGACCTTGCAATCATCGCCTCTAATCTCCCTAAGGATTAGGGCGAATGTGACTAAATCTGTCTCTCGGCTACCCGGGCTGAATTTCGACAGACCCTAGGATGTGCAATCATCTGGGACTTGCAGGACAGTCTCATCTCGACCACTGGCTGATCTTGACTACAAATCGCAGCCAATCCTTGAAAAGGGCTTGGTTAGTCAGAAATACGTTACTGAGAAGTACGATCACACTGAAGATCTCTATCTGCCTGTGTCACTCACTGGCTGCTTCCTTGGTCTCTTACTTCTCTCTCCTCCAATTTTCATCTTATCATTTCTCTTCTCGTCCGTGACAGCCCGGTTTGGGGGGTATCTCAAGGCATCTGCCTATTCTTGTATCACATTCCCTAGTTTTAGTCTTCAGCAGCGGTGGATCGCGAAGAAAAGCTGGACTTGCCTAAAGTTATATAAACAGAGAGCTCGCCACGTCTTATTGCAACTCATCAGCGCAAGTTGCAAAGCCTCGATTCACTCCAAAGAACAACATTTCCTCCAACCAAACTACTGTGCTAAAGACTGAGAGCACTCAACTCAAAGAACAACCAAAGCGACGCGCACAACCTACCTATTGCAGCCCCGTTATACGCCATTCCAAGTCTATCCCAGCTATTGATATCCCAATCAAATCGACAATGTCCGGAAACAAGCAGACCTCCAAGTAAGTTCAAGTTCATGCTCTGGAAGTTCTGTGCTCATTATCTGAAAAACAGAGCTGCCAATGGCACGGGTAACAGTCTCAACGCAAGCAACCTGAGTCTTATCCCAGAGGGAAGTCTCGGGGGCATGGACCGCTTCTCGCAATTGCCCTTGGCCGACGGGCCTTACTTTGCACAAGCACGGATCCAAGATCGCTCTGATCACTTATCACGCCTCACCAGCCAGCTCGACGCGACAGAGAAGATCTTGAAAAAATGAACAAATACCAAACCGGAAACAAAAAACAAAGCGAAAAAATATGGAAGGAGAAGAAGAAAGAGCGAAAAGTCAGTCATTATGAGAGAATGTTTCCCATGTATCAAGGAAAGCAGGGGGAGAAAGTTTATATACAGGGTCTATTAGAGACTATAGTCAGGGCTGCGACGTTGTTCCAGGCAGCATATATCCAAAAGAGCAGAATCCTGTGAGATCGGATTGGAAGCGATAATCTTGTCAGATAGTTTCATATGTCGAACACTTCAATGCATTATTTCCATCATGTGCTGCGCCACTTCCTCGTATTTCGTACTCGGGAATTCGTGGCCCGCATCGAAGTATTTGAAGGTCACTTGCCCTTGAAGAGCCGAAGTAGCGTCGGGAACCAACTCATTTTTCACAATGACGGAGTCATTATCGCCACACATGATGACAACCTTGTCACTCGGAAGACCGTTGATATACTGGTCCTCATGAGAAAGCTTCTTCTGCGCCGACAGGAATGCTCCCAGGCGTTCCCAGGTTTCCCTCTGGCGTTGTTGCAAGATCGGTCCATGCCGCATGCTGGACATAAAAGCGTGGACAAATCCAGCATGTTCGTTTACCTGCCATTTCACAGCATCGGGGACATTTATGTTTGGGTACGTCCGAGACAATCGCTGGACGTCTGCCGCACCTTGCGTGGGCAACTCCTCAGTGAGCGCGTCCTCGGCACTAAGCTTCTTACCCTTGGTTTTCGGGACAGTCAGAGGACCGGCACGGAGGCGACGTCCGACAAGGAAGCCTAGCACCCGCTCTGGGACAAGACCGTTGGAATAGAGAAGCCGTGACTGGAAACTGATCTGAGAGTCACGGATCAAGCCTGCGGGTGCCAGCAACACCAGCGAGGAGAGAAATTGGGGGAAATATGACGCGAAGGACGCAGCGATACCGCCGCCCAATGAATAGCCCACCAAGCAGAATCTACCAGAGCTGGCGCCAGTCCATGACAGGGCCGAAGAGTTCAGAGCGAGCAGAATTTGGGTGGTGAAGAGTCTATCATCCTGCGGGATGTCAGATGGGCTGTCGGAGTAGCCACGACCGAACCTAGCGGGACTTGTCAGCGATTCGGTCCTGTTGGAGTGAGATCGAGTTCACCTACAGGTCGAATAGCAGGACTCGACAGCCCCGATCAACCAAGGCATGGGCCAGTCCGCCCAGTGCGATACAGGGAGTGGTTATCCCATGGATTAGTAGAACTTTGGGGCCATCTTCCGGGCCCCATTCGTAGACGCGCAGGGATCCATACGGAGTTGGCACGTCCCGGGCTCCCGGGAGTACGTCCGCAGGCAGAGGGAGCTCCCGGTTCACCGAAGCGGGCACGGACAAGACCTTTTTCCGCGGGGAGTCCAGCACGGTGCTCTCCAGCTGTGCGTCGGAAAGGAGTGAGCGAAAGAGAAGGCCCAGGGTGAACGAGGCCCCTGTCACGGCCAGCAGCGGAAGGTGGGTTCGGGCGTCCCCCACTGTTTGGGAGAGGGACTCGATGGTTTGGCTGTACCAGGCCATCGGGGCTGGTTGCTGTTTCTTGGGGGAGGATTATGGATCTTAGGCTACACACAGGAAACGGATGGTGGAAAGCAAAGAGTGGATGATTGGGGGTCAGCTCTATAGTGCAGCAGTCTAGATGGATGATTGAAGGAGGGGAAGTTGGAAGGCCGCTTCGGTGAGACGGAAGAGGCGAGAGGGCAGCCTGAAGACGGCCTGAGGACGGCGCGATCGGGCGGGCCACGTCGGTTTAGGCAGGTGCCGAGGGCCCGATAAGCCAGCGCCGATCAGCAATAACAATGCTGGAATGACTGCATGTCTCACGGTGCATAGGACATGGACCAAGGTGATTGCAATGTTATACAGTCATACCGAGGTTGTGTCAAAAAAAGAGAGCGAGACAGAGACCTCATCATGTGTCTCGCGGAATATATCTCCCCGCAGATCCGCTCAATTCCAGATCCCAAATTCTGGCTTGAAGATATATAGTAACTGTCCTGCCACATTAAAGAAGTATTTCAGAAAAAGAAATTCCCGGATGAGTGTTTAAAACTAAGGGAGCAGTCATGACATGTCCTGAATCATGTGATATCTGAACATACAACTCTGGGGGAGAGATTTTGAGTGAATGTTTACAGTAGATCATATGATTTCAACACTCCCAGAGGATGGTTATCAAAGGAGGATTAGACCTGTTGACTGGTGTGTAGGCTTTGGATAAACCAGCTATAGGAAAATCTTTGTGTGACTGTTTCAATAGGCACGTCATGTGATTCTTAAACAGACACTTTGGGCTCGAGGTGTAGAGTTATGGACTTTATTTAACCTTATTACGGCTTCAATTCCTAAAATATGGATCTAGTATTCTGACCAAGATATCGAGTCTCTAACTCAGTGACTCTGAGGAAGGCCTGCAACGATCGAAATCACAGACGAAGATTCGACTAGGACTTCCTCAAGAACACTGTCCAGAGTACGCCGTATACAAAAAGCCAAACGGCTTCCCGAACATGCTATGGGGTATTTCCTATAGCCTTTTACAGCCCTCCCCCTTTCGTGCACTGATTTCCAAATTGGATGCAACTACGGAGCATAGCACAGCTGTATATGCATGCAGACGGAATTCTTTACCGAGGAAGATGCGACATGTTCATGGTTGAGAGTCATGCTGCGGTTACCTTCCAGTTGTTACCGGAAGAAGAAGTCCCATAAAGCCAGAAGAGGATCTTGCCCTGTGCATCGCGGAGCTTTGCTCCGTGCTCGATATATTGGCGCATTCCGGCTAAATATGACAGCCGTTGGACGGTTTGACCGGAGTACCTACTGTGTAGTATGCCGCCCGCGATAATCCGGAAGCGATCTGCAAGGTACGGCACCATCTCGTGGCTCCCGTCGGCATTGTCAGATGTCTGTGGTTTCTTTTAGATAAATCAACTGACATGAGTCGGTCATGGTTGACCCGATCTGTCACGGCGGCAAGGAAATGAAGGGAGGGCAGCGCTTAGAGAAACACGATACCTGCTATGGGGCCATTATACGTCGCAAAAGGATCGTGGTGAAACGATCCCGCGTTGATAGTTAAGCGCCTCGTTTGAGGCGAAAGCTCGGACCGTAGTGTCCGAAACAGTTCCTGGTTTGGAATTAATGAGCTTTCCCGGGCATACCCATCATGCTGCTGGGGCCAGATACAGTGCCCCCCGAGCTGCCTGTGTACCTGAGTATTATTATAGCGGTTGAAGGATGTCATTGATGGGATCTTGCACCCCGCATCCCGGAGATCGACAAGGCTACTCCGTAGCGAGGCTAGCATGGGACCCTGGCAATTAATCAGGACCAGCAATGCTTCGGAGGCCGGCCGACGCCCAATCGGCGCCACACTGCCACCGCATCATGAATTTGGCGGTTAGATCGACGCAGAAGAGGGCGCAAATGACTTTGGCTCGGATGCAGCTGTAGCCATATCCATTTGCATTTTCCGATTGAAAATATCGATGCGAGGTCTTCGAAATAGTTGCAATAGTCAACGGAAATGGGATGGGGTGGCTGTTTGAAAGATTGCCGCCGTATGCTGTCTCCCCAATGTATCAGTCATCCTCCACCCGGGCTTCCTGAATCAAAGCGAAACACTTGCTGGAACAGTCTTCTTCAAGGCCTCTCTAAGCCGTCACTAAGCCATTATGGGAAAGGAACGACCCCTTTCTCTTTATGACCCTTCCGTACGGTTCCAGCAGATGATACAATGGTATTTGGTTAGACCGCAGTTATTTCAGTCCGCATAAACAGCTCGGAGGCATCTCCATTAGCTCTGTGGAGAATTCATAAACCAATTATGTGTAGTATGTGATCAATCCGGTGTCTTAAGGCCTGGGTATAGATGTTGGGCCCACTCTCAGGCATGTTCCGACACAGAGACATCTCTTTCTGCAACGCCGGCACTCTTCGCTTTGCATCCTTCATTTCGCCGCGCAGAAGCGCTTGACCATTTTGAAACGTCAATCAACGGGGTGACAGTCCGTGGCGCCGGGAAAAATGAGTTGTATTCCCTTCTCCCGGATGAATGCTAGAAAACATGACGCTACAACACAGCAGTCAGTCAGCATATAAGGAAGCAGGATTCCCGCCATATGTCTGAATATCAATTCTGCAGGACAGACAACAACACCACCGAGAAAGGAACTGGACTGGACTTCCATCCGAACTCATCGCAATGCACCAACGCGCCCTTCTTTTCTCTGCTATCTTGACGGCCGCTGGCGCCCAGCAAGTAGGAACCCTCACAGAGGAAACACACCCTTCCTTGAGTTGGCAGAAGTGCACTTCCGAGGGCAGTTGCACGGTGCAAAATGCTTCGGTTGTCATTGACGCAAACTGGCGCTGGACCCATTCCGTCAGTGACAGTACCAATTGCTATACTGGAAATACTGTGAGTTTTGCAAAGCTGGCGCGCGCTGTCGAGACTAATAAACCCAACAGTGGGATGCAACCCTTTGCCCCGATGATGTGACATGTGCCACCAACTGCGCGCTGGACGGAGCAGACTACGAGTCGACATATGGTATCACCACTGACGGCGATGCGTTGACCCTCCAGTTCGTCACCGGCTCCAATGTGGGCTCACGTCTGTATCTCATGGACACGGAAGATAAGGGTTACCAAACGTTCGACTTGCTAGACGCAGAGTTCACCTTTGATGTTGATGTCTCCAACCTGCCATGTGGCTTGAACGGAGCTCTCTATTTCACCGCAATGGACTCCGATGGAGGTACGGCAAGGTATCCCGCGAACAAGGCTGGAGCCAAATATGGAACGGGATACTGTGACTCCCAGTGCCCGCGAGACATGAAGTTCATTGATGGACAGGTACGTAGACTCCATCCTCGGCTTGGTTACTGGTAAGCTAACCATGAGATAGGCGAATGTCGATGGTTGGGTACCCTCCAGCGACGATGCGAACACGGGTGTAGGCAACCACGGTTCTTGCTGTCCCGAGATGGATATTTGGGAAGCCAACAAGATTTCGAATGCATTGACGCCCCACCCTTGCGATAGCAGCGAGCAGACCATGTGCGAGGGCGACGCTTGCGGCGGTACTTACTCGGCAAACCGCTATGCAGGTACCTGTGACCCTGACGGTTGCGACTTCAACCCCTACCGCATGGGTAACACTTCGTTTTTTGGCCCTGGAAAGACCATCGACACAGCATCCAAGATGACGGTCGTGACCCAGTTCATCACTGGAAGCTCCGGAAACCTTACCGAGATCAAGCGGTACTACGTGCAGGGCGACAATGTTATCGCCAACTCCAATTCCGATGTGTCCGGGGTTAGTGGCAACTCGATTACCTCCGACTTCTGCACAGCCCAGAAGAAGGCCTTCGGTGACACGGATGAATTTGCCGCGCACGGTGGAATGTCCGGGATGGGGGATGCGATGTCCGCCATGGTTCTTATCCTGAGTCTGTGGGATGATTACTACTCCAGCATGGAGTGGCTGGATAGCAACTACCCAGAGAATGCGACAGTCACAGAGCCGGGTGTGGCCCGCGGCACATGCGCGTCTGCTGTTGGCGACCCATCGACCGTCGAGTCGAAGTATGGCAGTTCTTCCGTGACCTTCTCCAACATCAAGTTTGGCCCGATCAACTCGACTTTCAGCGCCACTGCATAGATTGGGGAGCCCAGAGACTAGAATCGAGGGTTCGAAGCGAGCTTGACCGATCAGGGCAGGTTCCTGAGAAGGGAGGGTGTGTTCAAGCTTGTATATATAGTCGTCAGCGTTGATAGTCTGGGGATTTCATTCCATTCCGGTCAATCTGTTCCAAGCAGAAGAAGTCTCTTAGCCCGTAAATTGATTGTTCCGCCTTTTACTCTGTTCGAGTCACCCTCGTTCCTTCTGTGTATGTATCGAGTTGAGTAAATGGGAAAGAAGTTCCGCTACGGCGATAAGCCCCAGGCATCCTTAACCCCAGCGCCGGAAGATTCCTCGGCCCGCGTCCCCTCGGAGTCGAGGCAAATGACCCGCTTCGCCCGAAGCTGCAAGCTCCGCAAATCAAAAAATAATTGCGGTGCGAATCTCCTCGTGCAAGCCCATTTATCGCCATGTTCGAAACGGTCTGTACACTTCCGCTATCCGCGGACCTGTTCTCGCAGGCTATCCACCCCAAGGAATCCATTGTGTCTGTGGGTCTCTCCTCCGGTCACGTACAAACGTTCCGCCTGCCCACCGAAGAAGCGGACAGCGAAGACGATGCGTCGACTTCCTCGTCGCGCAATGGCAGAGGACACATTGATACGATGTGGAGGACCAGACGGCACAAGGGCAGCTGTCGGTGTCTGACTTTTGGCATTGACGGGGAAACACTCTACTCTGCCGGAACGGATGGGTTGGTGAAGGCCGCAAAGGCGGAGACGGGTGTCGTGGAGAACAAAATCGCCATTCCCACGATGAATAATGGGTGAGCTATTTGTTTTTTCAAAGAAAAAAAAATTGGATGGACTCAATTGCTCATGTTTACTGTCCGCAAACAGATCTGTCGATGCCCCGACTGTCATCCATGCCCTCTCCCCTCAGACTCTCCTTCTCGCTACCGACTCTAGCGCACTCCACCTTTACGATCTCCGCACTCCGTTCTCCAAGGTCTCCGCACGCTCACAGCAGACGCACCATCCCCATGACGATTATGTCTCGTCCCTCACACCCCTACCGGCGTCGGACACCAGCACATCTGGGTTCAGCAAGCAATGGGTGACGACAGGCGGAACTACGCTGGCCGTTACCGATCTCCGACGTGGCGTGCTCGTACGCAGCGAGGATCAAGAAGAGGAGCTGATCAGCTCTGTGCACATTTCCGGGCTGGCGACCTCTGGCACGAGTCGGGGAGAAAAGGTGCTTGTGGGTGGCTCTGGTGGTGTCATGACGCTCTGGGAGAAGGGCGCCTGGGATGACCAGGACGAGCGAATCTATGTGCAGCGTGATGGAGAGGCACTGGAGACCATGGCCGTTGTTCCTGAAGAGCTGGGCAAGGGCAAGGTGGTTGCAGTGGGTCTGGGCAGTGGTGGGATCAAATTCGTCGGGATAGGCGCCAACAGGACCGTCGCGGAGGTGATGCATGACGAGACGGAGGGTGTCGTCGGTCTCGGATTCGATGTTGAGGGGCGCATGGTCAGCGGTGGTGGACAGATAGTGAAGGTCTGGCGCGAAGCACCAATGTCGGGCGATAGATATGGAGCGATGCCGGGTGAAAAGCGCATGTACGACGACAGTGATGACGATGACGACGAGGACAATGAAAACAGCGACGACGAATCGGACGATAGCGATGCTGGCGGAAAACAGCGCCCGCAGCAGAAACGCCAAAAGGGCAAAGGCAAGGGCAAGAAGGGGGGGCAGCACATCATGGCTTTTGAAGATATGGATTAAATTGGTTTCATTGATACCCCAGACGGGAGATCTTGTATGCATAGCATTGGTGTCCGGAAAACAAAACGGGGTGAGCTATATGCAGGATCATAGTGTATTAATCTGTGACTGATCGAGCTGCAGCCATAATCACCAATGAAGTTGGACTTCTAGATCCAGCTTTCCGTGAAACGGTCTTCGCAGTGCCTCTTCTGGCTAGTCCAATAACATGACGACAGCGCACGCCCAGAGCGCATTGGACTACAGATTAGTCCCAGGCGGTGACTTCTAGGGTTCCAGTAGTAATCACTAGTATACCAAGCCCCTGATACTTAGCAAATAGCTCAGATTAGATGATTACAAACCAGTCAGACTCAGCCTTGCGCTCAATCTATGAAATATAACTGCCTAGCCGTCCCGTCCAGTCCACTGCAGCCCAGGTCGAACCAAAATGTCAGGAACCATTGTGATCACCGGAGCCAACAGCTCCTCCCAGGATCCCAGAGGACCTGGAGGAGCTGGTGAAACCGTCTACGAAGAACGATGATCCAGCGGGGAGAGGATTTCATCGATATGCCGTTTCGAAGCTGGTGGTGATTATGTGGATGTATGCGTTGAACCGACACTTACAAAATTATGGTACGATGATTTTTCCGCTCACGCAGGCCCCTTCATGCAGTGCGTTGACCTTGATATCGTAATAGGATGAGAGCCTGAAGAGAGTTACGGCGGTTGGTATCAACCCGGGCAATCTCAGCGACCCCCGTGCCCTGCGGACAAACACACCCGCGGCTATCAGGTTTATGTCGCGGTTTATCATCCAACCGTTTAGGCCTCTGCTGAGTCTGAAGGATCCCACCATACGTACATCCGCGGAGGCAGCAGTGGACGTGGTGGAGTTGGCCGTCAACAAGACTTATGCCGGGGAGACGGGCTTCTTTACTCTGCTGAAGAAGGACGATAGCTCACCCGAGAGCCAGGACGGCGAGAAGCAGGAGAAGCTGTGGAAGAAGACTCTGGAATGGGCGAAGATCAGCCCTACGGATATCGCGCTGGTTGGAATGACGCAGCCCTACGGGTGTGGGGTGTGGGACTCAGTACTATACTGGATAGCGTTATTATTACAGCAGATCATTCCGTATTTCCCAGCAATCAATCCTCTTATTGACCATCTAATCATCTCAATAATAATAGATAGTAGTAAGACGAACAGCAACAATTCCGAATAACGGTTCAAACGCCCGGAGACGATCAGGACGCAACTGCCGAGCACCTCCACCGTTGCGGTCCGCCCCACGGCAAAGGCCTTTGCCCCGGCCTCCAATGGCTTCATGACGTTTGCTCCGCATGGGGGATTATGAATGATGATCAAGCTGCTTCGGCTTTTCGGCTGATTCGCTACGGAGATTGTTCCAGGCAAAGGTCAACACCGACCCATCATACTTTAAGCAATCTTCCTCCGCGCTTTCAAATCCACTCCAACCCCTCTTCCCCTCAACCCCATCCGACGGCCATCATGGACGCCTTCGAGTACAACGCCAACCCCGGCCGTGTTATTTTCGGCAGCGGCACTCTCCAAAAACTGCCCGATGAGATCGCCCGGCTGAACGTGAAAGCGCCATTGTTGCTGTCGACCCCCCACCAAGTCGATCAGGCCGAGAGCGTCAAGGCCGTTCTCAATGGACAAGTCGCCGGTATCTTCTCCGAGGCTACCATGCACACCCCGACGCACATCACCGACAAGGCACTGGAGTACGCGAAGGCCCAGGGCGCCGACGTGGTGATTTCCATCGGAGGTGGCAGCACGATCGGGCTGGGAAAGGCCATCAGTATCCGCACCGGATTGCCGCATATCTGCATCCCGACGACGTACGCCGGAAGTGAAATGACCCCAATTCTGGGCGAGACCGCCGATGGTTTGAAGAAGACGCGCTCCGATCCCAAGATTCTCCCGGGGACTGTTATCTACGATGTCGACTTGACTATGACCTTGCCTGTGGCTATGAGCTCAACGAGTGGTGTCAATGCCATTGCTCATGCTGGTCAGTAGTCTCCATGTGTGTCTCTTATCCGGGTCGACATGCTAACCAATGTCACTACTACTGTAGTCGAGGCTCTCTACGCCCGCAACACGAACCCCGTCATCAACCTGATGGCCATCGAAGGAACGCGCGCACTCGCCTCCGCCCTCCCCGAAATTGTCGAGAACCCCAACTCCCCATCGGCGCGGTCGTCCGCCCTCTACGGTGCCTGGCTCTGCGGTACCTGTCTGGGTAGCGTGGGGATGTCCATCCATCACAAGCTTTGCCACACCCTGGGCGGTAGCTTCAACTTGCCCCATGCCGAAACCCACACGGCCGTGCTGCCGCACGCCATCTCCTACAATGCTCCCAACATCCCCGAGGCCATGAAAAAGCTGGCGGAAGCGCTGCCTGAGAGCAACGGGGATGCCATCCACGGCCTCAACGTCCTGCTGTCCAAGTTGAAGGTCAAGCGTGGGTTGAAGGACTATGGTATGAAGGAAGAGGATATCGACAAGGCGGCGGATATTGCTGTCGGCAACCCCTACTGGAATCCGAGAGAGATCCAGCGTGAACCGATCCGCGAGTTGATCAGGCGAGTGTGGGCTGGAGAGCCGGCGCGGGCGGATCTGTAGATGGGGTGTTTTTCCTGTAAATAGCGGATATAGATAGGTTCCGGGCAAGGGCCTTGATGTGAATATGACGGTGACTAGTATCACGCACTGTCCTTGCAAGATAGACAGACAATTGCATTCTTCGTATGGTGCCATGTGCATCCGGTGTAATCGGTGCGGGCGCGATTGGTTCCTCTGCGGATGGCGGGGTGAAAGTGGGGGTGATTCCATTCGGTTTTCCTCAGGCCGAAAATTCAATTCCTCCCACTTTCCACCCCTCGTCGTCGACAGAACCTTTCGAATCCAGTATACACAAACACAACTTCATCCCCTCTCTGTCTCCACCATGGGCACCGCAATGGAGGCTGCTCCGGTCCTGTCGACCCCCGACGATCGCATCCTCGAGGCCACCGACCCCGTCACTGCCCAGGAACCGAACCGCATCCTGTCCGACGAAGAACTCTCCATCACCTATGACATCGAGCGCACTTTGAAGGAGATCCGCCAGGCGCGGTACAAGCGCATTGCGCTGCAGTTCCCCGACGACATGCTGCCGGATGCCCCCCGTGTGTTTCAGCTTCTCAGCCGCGGCCTGGATAAACGTGATGTCGATGCCAGTGTCCGCAGTGCCGCCAACGACTCTTCGGAGACGGACGGGCTGGCTGACTCGGTGTCTCAGCTGAAGGTGGAAGAGACGGAAGTGGCCCCGCGACTGTACATCTTGGCCGATACATCTTACGGAACGTGCTGCGTGGACGAGGTGGCGGCCGAGCACGTCGATGCGGATGTTGTCGTGCACTACGGACGGTCATGCCTGTCCCCAACAGCCCGCCTACCGGTCATCTATGTCTTTACGCACAAGCCCCTACCCCTCGACCCGCTCGTTCGCGCGTTCAAGGAGACCTACCCTGACCCCGCCACCAAGGTCATCCTGGCGGCGGATGTGACCTACTCCGACCATGTCCCCACGGTGTACTCGCGTTTGGTCGAGGAGGGCTATACCAACCTGTTTGCGACGGAGCTTGTCCACGAGCCCTCGTCTGCGATCCCCAATCGTACGGTCCCAGACGCTGTGCGGGAAACCCCGGAGGCGTTGTCGGAGTGGCAGCTTTTCCACATTTCCGACCCGCCCACAGCGCTTCTTCTAACCCTTGCGTCTCGCGTGGCGGCCATCTACATCTATCCCACGAACACGACGAGCGAAAATGTGAAGCCCTTGCCCGCGTCGACGACGGCCGCCTTGCGGCGTCGCTATGGCACCCTGACGTCCCTGAATACCGTGCCGATCTTTGGAATCCTGGTCAACACGCTGAGTGTGAAGAACTACCTGCATATCGTGGACCATGTGCGGGAGCGGATTGCCGCCGCCGGCAAAAAGAGCTATCTGTTTGTGGTGGGCAAGTTGAATGCGGCCAAGGTGGCCAACTTCAGCGAGATCGGCGGATGGGTGGTGATCGGATGCTGGGAGAGTTCACTGGTGGACAGCAAGGACTTCTGGAAACCGGTCATCACCCCGTCCGAGTTGGAGCTTACGCTAAAAGGGGACACGGAGCGGGTCTGGACGGGAGCTTGGCGGAGTGACTTCCAGAACGTCCTGGATCAGTCGGCCGCGGAGGCACAGGAGGACGCCTCGCAAGACGGAGCGACCGAGGAGGGCGACGACGACGATATGTCGGAGCCCGAGTCCGCGCCGCCTGAGTTCGACCTGCGCACTGGCCGGTATGTCTCGCATTCCCGTCCCATGCGGAATCCTGCACCCCGCGTTTCTGCCTCGGGAGAGGACGCTGCGTCGGCGGCCAGTGGACCGTCGGCGGCGCGAGCCCTGGCCAGGCGAGCCAAGGGGGATGTGGCCATGATCGGCGGGGCCATCTCCCCAGGGGCGGAGTTCCTGCGGTCGCAACGGACGTGGAAGGGCCTGGGAAGCGATTTCGACATCCAGTACGAGGATGATGAGGAGACGGACAGTACGCGGGTGGTGGAAGGGCGCAAGGGCATTGCAAGGGGATATACAGTAGGCGAGGCAATAGAGCGGCACTAGCTGGGCTCCGCCCTGACGCATGGGAAACGAACCCCGTTTGTTGGGCGACCGTTGGATCGGGACAACAACAGCATGGCTGGGACGGGACGGGACTGGACCAGCGGACTGGGCAACCAGACAGTTCAACCACTTACTAGTTGGGGGGAGGGGGTAGTTTCATGCCCTATTGATGCCACGGCCCAAAGCGGGTGCAGAACTATGTGCTGTGCTGGATCGACGGGAGCCCTAGTAGGAGCGGGGAGGGGAGGGAAAGGAAGGGGATGATGGGTAGGAGGGTTCAATACTTGTCAATAGTTCATACCAGGCAGTTAGATGATGCCAGACGAAAAAAATAATCACGCAGCCGAGCGCATTTCCTATTCCCTGACCGGACTGTGAGAGAAATCGGAGGGCCAAGGCGACCTATCACATGATGAAGGGCCGGGCTGATCCCGGCTTCCCGTTGGATTTTTGTCCCAATCCCCAATTGTGAGGTGAGTTGTCAAGCCACCCCATCATCCGTTTCCTCCTGTTCTCCTGCTCTCCTGCTCTTCTGCTTTTCTGCGCTTCCTCCTCCTCCTCCTCCCTTGGATGGCCTTGGATCATGTCCACCTCTTGGGTCTGAACCGCCCTCCTTGCGCATGCTCACCTTCCCTTTTCCCTTATGATGTGCGGCCTCTCCCGCATTCTCCGCTGTGCTCGCGACCTCGCGACACTCTGACCTCCACTCTTGTGCCCGAGGCGAACACCGGCTGTTGAAGTCTGAAGAACCCCAGGGTCCTGCAATCCGACCGCGTCCGTCGACTGATACATACCTCCACCACCACCTCCTCCCCCCCCTCTTCCTCCCCCCGGTAGTGCCCGCCGTAGACCGATCGGGGCCTCCACCGACCATGAACGGCGAGACCAGCGGAGACCAGCAAGGCCTGGTCGAGTCTGCCTTGGAACAGTCGCTCGTCCCGGCCCAGCACCCTCTGTCGACCTTTGAGCTCGTTGTCACCACGCATGCGCCCATCCTCGAATCCCTCCTCTTGCAGACCCCCACCGACGCCATCCTCAAGCTCTACCACACCTCCCGCTACCTCCGTTCGTTCCTCCGCTCATACCCCACAGCATGGAAGTACTTATCGTTCCGCTTGATGTACCCATCGGGTACGCCACCGCCCCTCCGAGTCGTCTTCACCGGGTCCAACGAGGCCGTCGTCCCGCGCCAGTCGCGACCGTACGCCCTCGATCAGCTGTTGATGAACGTCGTGATTCCGTTTAGCCCATGTCTGCGGAGTCTGGAGTTGGACAACACGGCGGTGTCGGGGCAGATCCTTATCTCCACGGTGTTACACTCCCGACGCGACAGTCTGGAACATCTCTCGGTTCGGGGCTGCAAGAATGTATCGCTGAAGTATCACATCATCCCGTACTTGACGATGTTTGGCCTGCAATACGACGTGAATATGGAACAGAATATCGGGAGCTCGCCCGCCACGAAACATCTAGCGCTGAAGAGCCTGTACACGTATCGATGCCGACACCACCGACGGCGACCGTATCTTACCTCCTCCCTGTCACGAAAGGACTCCGACTCGGAACCGACGCACGAACTGGTGAATCTCTGTCACAAACTGGGCATCTGGACGGATACGGCGTGGTGCTCTACCCCCGCGGGAAGATGCTACCGTAGGAGGGGTTATGTATCCATGCGGGTTCCCCAGGGGTCGGCAGAGGTATGGGTTGTCTTTGACCGGCTGTGGCGATCTAAAAACTGGATCGGCCCGGTAGAGCAGACGGCTCGTTTGGGGCACCGGGATGGCAAGCTGTGGGAACACAGCGAGACCGGTTCCTATGGCGAGGCTCTGGGTACTGGGGAAAGCGGAGACCACGGCGAAGGAAAGATGATGCCTGCACATCTGCGTCGGAGCCATACACATTTTGTTGACAACATCCGCTGCGACAACTGCGACGAGCTGATCCCGGAACGGTGCGAGCAATGCAGTATCTTAATGCACTGTGTCGGATGTCGAAAGACTCTGTGTGCTAGCTGCGCTTACGAACGGCCCTACCTTCACTGTCAGCCGAAGTCGAACCCCACCCCGGACCCCAGTGCTTTTTGGTGGGCTCCTACTGCCACTGTATCGCCGTGTTCGATGCAAGACCCTGTTGAGCATGCCACTACTACCAACCCGAACAACACGTCTCCTCCCTCCTATCCCACTCTCACCTTCCACTGGTGCTGCACGGAGCCGATTTTCTCCGGTGGCGGTGGGATCAGCATTGGCACTCCGAACCGCGATGTGGACCAAGTACGAGCGGTGCCTCTGCCCCGTGGACAGGGCTGGGAGGACCTGGAGTACTCGGCCCAGGAATGGAGCAAGACCTTCCCGAGAGATGCCTACGGTGACCCGCGCAGGCCCGACTACACGCTGGAAACGGGACACATTGCGATGATGAAGTGGCTGCTTGGACCGCCTGACCGGCAGCCGGCGGCCTGTCCGCGCAATCTGTGCCAGGACTGCTACGACACCCCGCAGTGGAAGGTACACTGCAAGAGCTGCTCTAAACCGCTGTGCATCGAGCACGATCTACGGGGGCTCAGGCTGAGAATATGCGGGTATCGGGATCTGACCTTGGAGAAGATCGCGATCCAGAACCACGCGGAGTCAAGCTCTCGATCTTACGCACCATCACGGGTGCCATCTGTGCCGGAGTTTGAGCTGCCGATTCGGACGCAGCGGATCCTTGATTCGACGACGAGCAGTTTCACCGACGACCACCACGACGGATTTGGAGAGGCGAGTAGCAGCACATTGCATGACGCGAGGCCCACTCCATTACTGCACCGCCGCTCGCGAAGTCTTTCAATATCAAACTCGAACCGCTCGCGCTCCTCGTCCCATTCGTCAGTCTACATCGACTCGCCGTCCGAGCAATCGAAGTGGCAGGGGTGCCAGTCCTTCTTCTGTCCGCAGTACCGGGCGGTGGGCGACCAGCGCCAGCGCTGCGCGAGCGTCCTCCGCGAGTGCACCAGCTGCTCGGTGTACGTGTGCGAGGACTGCACGTCCGCCCACCCACCGTGCAACTGCACATACTGCGAAGTGAACTACCTCTGCCCGAACTGCCTGAAGGTACGCGAGCGAGACGGAACCTGCCGCCGGTCGGCAGAAGAACACGCTCGCCGGGAACGGAAGCGGAAGGAAGACATGCGCCTGCTGGAGGGAATCCTCGAGAACAAGCTGGCAAACGAGATGGCCGACTACGCCCGGCAATTCTTCGACGCTGTGGAACACGGCGACGACGTCGACGTCGAGCACATCGAAGACGCCCCGTCGACCTACCCTCTCGAGGATCATGATGCGAACCTTTTCGGAGAGGGAGCATTGACGGACAGCACTGAATGACGGCGTGTGGGATCTTAGTTCTACTTACTACAAGGCGTCGAGAGGAACGGGCTGGGTTTCGGAGTTCTTTACTGTATCTAGGGGTCACTTGCCGCAATCACCAGGGTGGTTGGTTGTCTACGACTGCGTTTGCATGGTATGGTTGTCGCGGTTGCCCAGCAGGCCGGGGCCCGGGGCTGCGAGTCTGTCTGCCGGATGGACGGACGAGCCGTGCGTGCGTGCGTGCGATATTTGTCATTTGACGGCTAATTGCTCATAATTAAAAAATAATGACCTACGACTTGACATTTTTTGCCTGTAACAGCTGTAGCGTTGTAGTTATACTATCTACAGTAGATAAAACGATAAACCCACTCCCGAGTCCGGCCAGTCAAGCTCAGCCCCGCATCGCGGAAGCTACTCGAAGCCCGCCGAGTCCAGACCGCGAATTTCATCCCCTCCCCTCCCCTCCCCTCCCTCCGCACCGCACCGCAACACTTCTCTCCAACATACCATTTACCTACCTACCTACCCAACAACATCAGGTACGCACATCGCACCCTCCCTCCCTCCCTCCCTTCCCCCAGCCCAGCCCAGCCCAGCCCAGCTCCAAGCCACCCAACCAACCACCCTAACCACCACACAGACCAACCCCCGCGCGCAAACGAGAAAAAGAAGCAACCCAAACATGTCCGAGCAAGACCAAGACCCCACCCCCCAAGAGACGGCCATCCGTGAAGCGGAAGAAAAAGCCCGCAAGGCGCAAGAAGACGCCGAGCAGGCCAAGCTGCCCTACAAATGGACCCAGAGCATCGGCGACCTGGACGTGACGGTCCCGGTGGCGGGGAACCTGCGCGGTCGCGACCTGGATGTCGTGTTGACGAAGACAAAGATTAGGGTGGCGGTTAAGGGGCAGGAGGCTGTTATTGAGGTGGGTTTGTTTTTTATTTCTTGCTTTTTGGTTTTTATTTATGGTGGCGGTGGTTTGGGTGTGGGGTGATGGGTTGACTCTGGCTGTGGGATGGGATGGATGGGCATACTAGGCGGGATATGATAAAGTGAAGGGATTGGATTGAAAGCTAACTATACTTGATGCGTTTAGGGCGACTTCCCCCACCCCGTTATCCCCGATGAATGCTCCTGGACGCTGGAGACGACGTCCGGCCCGCCTGGCAAGGAGGTGGTGGTGCATCTGGACAAGATGAACAAGGTGGAGTGGTGGCCGCATGTGGTGACGAGCGCGCCGAAGATCGATGTCAGCAAGATCACGCCCGAGTCGTCGAAGTTGAGCGATTTGGATGGCGAGACGCGCGCGATGGTCGAGAAGATGATGTATGATCAGCGGCAGAAGGAGATTGGCGGGATGACGAGTGATGAGCAGAAGAAGAGGGATATTTTGAAGAAGTTCCAGGCTGAACATCCGGGTTTGTTCCTCCTCCACCCCCGTCCTTGTCTTTGTTGTTTTGATTGTTGTTGTTGCTGCTGTTGTTGTTTTGGTGAGGTTGGCTAATGAGTTGTGTTTTGCAGAGATGGACTTTTCGAACGCGCAGATTGGTTGAGCGATGTATATATAGGTTGCTGTGTGGATTGGGTGTGTATGAGTTATGAACCTGTTTGTTTGTAGCAATTGGGCATGGCATGTTCGGCTGCTGCCTTGCCTTGGCTGGGTACTTCGTACTTCGTATACTTCATGGAATCAGCGAATACGAGATTGCCGTATCGGGACTAGTCCGGCCCCGGGGGACTTCCGATCTGGAGCTGTCTTCTTCTTCTTCTCTCTCCATTTCCAGATTCCTTGTGCTGCTCTGCGGCCTGCCTATTACATCACCCTCGGCATGGGCACATGGCTGTCCATGGAATGTAGTCTAGCCAGCCACGATGCAGGGCATCCTCCAGCTTAATCCCCCCTCCGGGCGCGTCTACCACGCCCGTCGCCCGCACCGCAAGTCGCGCGCCGGCTGTGTCAAGTGCAAGCAGCGCCGGGTCAAGGTACTACCATGGCTCTTGTGTTCCCACTTTTCTGACGGGGTAGTGCGACGAGTCGAAACCCCACTGTCTGCGATGCCAGAAGCTCGGCCTCGACTGCAGCTATGACGCCAGCTCCGGCCGCAGCGTTACCGTCTTCCTGACGAGCTCGCCAAACTCCCAAGCGTACTGTATGTCGCTAGCTGCTGTTTCCAGCAAAATCAACGAGCTCCTGCAGTTCAAGTCGAAGAATGGCCTCGACCACATCATGCAGGCGTTACACCATTTCCAAGAACTTACGAACCCTGCCTTCGGGCCGAAACGCGCCCAAGAAGCCATGCAGGGTAAAATCATTCGACTGGGGCTGGATGTACGTCTACGCATACTGGTCAGGACTACAGCTGACCAGACTATCAGTCCCCCTTCCTCATGCACACTATCATCGCCGCAGCCACCTCCCATATCCGCCATTCCGTTCCTGAAAACCGAACCTACGCCGTGACGGAATCCTACCACTGGCAGCAGGCCATCTCACAGTACTCGGAGGCTCTCACGACCATCGGTCCGGACAACACAGACAGTCTGATCTCGGCCTGTCTGCTCATGACGATCCGGTCCTTCGCGCTGGACGAATACAACCCGCTCAGCTCGTTTGTCTTCTCCGACGACTCAACCTCGCTCAACTGGCTGAGCCTGCAGGCGGGCCTGCGACATCTACTCGAAGCGACATACAAATGGCAAAGCGACAGCATGTGGTGGGAGGTCTTTAATAAGACCGATAACAGCAAGGTACAGTTCTTCGACGACGACCGCCCGGGAAGGGTAGGGATACGCCCCGAGCTGGCCGACCTCTGCGGCATCGACGAGACGACCACTGCGGCGACGAGCCCATACCACGCGCCGGCGCGGATTCTGACGGGGCTGCTGTCGCTGGAGCGAGGCACACAGAACTTTGGTCCGTATACAGGGTTCATGGGTCGGTTGTTGCCGGATTTCTTCGAGAAGCTGATACAGAAGGATCCGCCGGCGCTGGTGCTTCTGAGCTGGTGGTTGGCGCTGATGCATGGGACGGAGATGTGGTGGGTGCACATGCGAGCGCGGTCCGAGATTGCGGCCATCTGCTGGTACTTGGGGGGTGATGAGGGGATGGTGCGGCTGTTGGAGTTTCCTGCCGAATGTGTAGGCGAGATTACCTTCATTCATGAATGAACTGCATAGAGATGCCGAATGAGGCTGTCGCAATCGATGACGAGGAATCACTCGTCATCGTCATCGGCTAACTTGCCGTTGAGGCGTGCGGGACACTCCGCCAATCAGCGGTGCGGGGAATGTCGATGCCTGGATGCTGAGGCTGGGCAGGCTCAGCCTCGTCGTTCCCCGGCTCGACCTTTGTTTGCTCGTCTCCCACATTTCTCTCCTCGACTTCTCCCTCTTAGTCTCGCACACACGGTGTCTGTGTCTGTGTTTGCTATCCCAACACCAGACACCGGTGGTGGCCCCTCCCCACCATCAATCACTCCACCAGAACCCCTCACCGGGTGACTCTGACTGTACAAGCGTACTACACGGACCTGTCTGGACCTGTCTGGACCCTTCAATCCAACACCACCACCATCATGCTGTCCGTCCTCACGAGCCTCTGCACCTGCAGCAAGCCCTCGAAACCCTCCCCAACCACCACCGCAGTCCCAACCCCAACCCCCACGACCCCGATACACCACGCACCCACCGCCCTTCCCCATCTTCCCCTCCTCCACCGCGACCCTCTCCCCAAACGGCAACGCCAACCCTTACACAACCCCCCCACTACCAGCCTACACGCCTCACCCGCACCACCTCAACGAGAAAACGCTCGAAGCGCACCTGCGCGACCCCCCGGTCTCCTCCTCGGACGCCAACACCCACCTCGACGAGAAATCCCCACACTTACACCAATCACACCCGCATGATTCCGACAGGCCCGAGGACGTAACCTCCGACGCGTCCTCGGCGATCTCCTTCCCCAGCACCCGTAGCTACGGGAACACGTCCACCGCGACGAGGGATACGCCCCCGCCGCCGTATTCGCCGTGGAGGGTGGGGCGAGCGGGGACGGCGTCGCCGGTGCCGTCGCTGTCGATGTCGGTGGAGTCGAGGAGTGAATCGTCGGGGTCTTCTGATGGGGGCGGGGAGGAGGGGATGGTGCAGATTGCGGCGCCGAGGGCGGTGTTTCTGGGGAGGGGGAGATGGGCGGGGGCGATGCGGAGGGAGGAGGGAGGGGAGGGGCTGATTAATGCTTGCATGAGATAATAATACTTCTGATCCAACTGGAAGCGGAAAGGAAGGTAATAATATTCTGCTGACTGTATCTACGCAACTAATGTACGACATGCCTTTATGGATTATATAAAGGATCGGGTTAATTAGGGCTAAGGTAAATGATCTGATCTGGACCGGTTCCAATTATAGCAACCCCATAACCCATTCCAATACTGACCAGAATCTAGACCAAACTGAAAACCGAAACCAACAACCGACAAAAGGTTACACTACATACATTCTCCATTCTCAGCCCTACATCATCATACATCAACCCGATCACCTCAGCGCTACGATCGAACAACACAACCAGGAAACCCAATAAATATGATGCATGCATACCATCCCATTGATCTATATGAATAATTTCAAAAACAATAATACTAAATATATATATATATCCCAACCTCGATGCCCCCAAACGGAACGAAAGTGACAGGCAACAATCCACACTCAACTTCCCACATCCACATCTTTCATTCCCCATCTTATCAAATCTACTCATAAGTGACCTTCAACTCCGTGGAGCTCACAATATCCGGCACAGCCTGGACGGTAGAGCTCGTGCTATCCTCGACGGCATACAAAGCGGCACCATCCAGACCATACGAGTTACCCCCGGCCTTGGCCACACAGCCGGAGAAGTAGGCCTCGCCAAAGTCAATGAAGGTCAGGCCATCGCCATCGATGCTCAGATCCTCGACGATCCACTCGGCGTTGGTCCCGGTGAGGGTGGTGTCGGAGGACGGGGCCGAAGCAGTGGCGGTGGCATTCTGGCCGGTGGTCAGGTTCTCGAGGGTCGCGACACCGGAGCTGCTGGAGAGCGCCTCAACGGTGGCGACCACGACGTCACCCTCGGAGAAATCGATCCCCGAGAAGCTCATGCTGTCGCTGGGGTACCACTCGTACCAGGCGAAGAAGGTCGTCTCGCCGTCTTGCACGTACGTGTCCACGCCCGCCTGCCAGATCGAGTTGCCGCCCGTCGCGCCGTCGATGCCCACCCACAGGGACACCGCCTGGTCGTCGGACGAGGATGACGCCGCTGTGGGCGTCACCGTCGGCATCGTGAAGGTCGCCTGGACGTACGTCCAGGATGCGCTGGCCGGGGCGGTCTCCTGCACCGCGCCCGCCCAGTTCTCGTTCACTTCGTAGTCGGTCGACTCGTCGCTGCTGCTGCTGTGCGACACGGAGGAGGTCACGGCGGGGGCGGCCGCGCTGCTGGTGCTGCCGATGGACTGCCCGGTGGGTTGCGCGGCGGGAGGGGCTGGGCCCTGGCCCTGGCCTTGACCCTGGCCCTGGAAGCCAGAGAGGTCGTTACCACCGGGGGCGCCGCCGAACTGGCCCTGCTGGGGGTCGCGGTGATCGACGCGGCTGTGGCCGTGGGGACCGGCGAGGGCGGGGGCGGCCAGAAGGGCCGTGAGGGCGACGGTGGAGGCGAACTTCATTGTGAATGTGAATGAATGCGGTTTATGTATGTATGTATGTATATATGTATGTATGTATGTGAAAATGAGTGTGAATATGGCACACAGAGGCGGGACCAAAGTAGAGAAATGAAGGTCAAAAAAGAATGACAGAGCTCTGCTCGAAGATATGAATCTCGAGAGAATATGAGCGAGAGAGAGAGAGAGGAAAAAAGAAAGAAAGAAGGAAGGAACAGATACCGGATCTGAGAACTGGGATGGATGGAGGGAAGGAGGAGAAAAAAAAAAAAAACAGCATGAGGGCAGTTCTGTAACATTTTATAAATATTCTGCCCCGTGGCGTGATAAGGGTTGGATGCAGATTTGAGGCAATTGTGAAACGTGGATTAGGGACGGGTGGAGACCGAAAGGAGATTGACATCTATGGTTGAGGAGAGCCGGCGTTTCAGGGATAGGGCGTTGCACGGCTTCTGGACTTGAGGCGGCAGTGATGCTCTTGTCAAGATACTTGGTTAGGGTTAGTTGCATGGTCCGAACGCTGAACGCTGAACGCCGTCTGTTTCCCCCCCTGTCGCATCATCCCCTATCTACCACCATCTACAATCTACTATTCTCATGAACCACCCATCATACCTGACCCCGAGCGAGTAGAGTTTCCCGTTCGTCAGTGACTGGCAAGACTCGGAATCAGGGCGAAGTGGCGGGCAAGTGGATCAGGCTATCAGCAGCGTCGGGGTGGGGACATCGGCGGATATAGAACCGTAGAACGGGGGCCAGGAACCATTTTTGCTGCTTCGGGGGGTCAGGATTGGGCCTCGGATGTGAATCAGGGGGGGCGAACGGGCGGGTTAACGGGATGGCTCGCGGAAAACTCTCTTCTTGGGGGGTCTAGGCTGTGGGTGTGGATCGGTGCCTGTCGGGAACCATGGCGTCAAGATCTGAATAGTTGTGGAAGAGTTGTTCAACCGTAGTACTGACTGTGCAGCACTATGGTACTACCCAGTAACGACTGGGTGGTGTACACGTGTTATTCCCTCAGTCTTGAGTCCTGGAACTCGGAGGGTATTTACCGCCCACCACTTCATATGGTGGATATAACATCTCGACTCTATACAGACAGAGTAGTTACATCCCGTACACTAGACTCCGTCCGGAGTAGTGCACGGTAGATAGATAGATAGTTAGCTGCAACCCCCCAATCCCCCACAGTCCACGCCAACCTCAGGGCCTAGCTACACTTCTACCAGATATCCATCTATCTACTATGTACTCCCTAGTTATGTGTTAGTTATCTACAGCCCTCGAAGTCCTCCGGACGGAGTAAGTATAGCCCGAACCAACGTGGTCTCGGATCTTCATTAATTCATAAGTTCATTCATTTAGACTCGGCTCCCGCAATACCGATGACTCAGCATAACTAACTAGTTAGTTAGCATATCCACTTCCCGAAACGGACTAGCTCCGTTCGGTCCGGACACTAACTAGGCGCTAAGGTTTAGTCCGTTGCATGTCCGGTTTAAGCTTGAATTGATTGCCCTGCCCGGCTGTGTGACTTGACATGCATGCATGATACGGAGTACATCTGGTAGATATTATTGTCAATCCTCGACTCGGATAGAAAAGTATACTATACAGAAATTTACTCTCACTCTTACTATGAACTGGTAGTTACTACGGTATGGTAGAACTCGTCATCACATACCCATGGCAAAGACTTTACCCCTACCCTACGTATCCTACGTATCCTACGTATCCTACGTATCCTACGTATCCTACGTATCCTACCATACTTTGCACCTCCCCTTCCTGCGGTACGCCGTACCAGCGGAGTATATCCGCAGGATATCCAGAGTCCAGGCCAGACACACTGGTCCGGACGGCGACGGCTACGGCGACGGCGGATATTCGGCAAGGCAAGAAAAAAAAAAGTTATATTGATTGCCACCACCATCATTAACTACACGTCACTGCTTACTATTCCGGTTAAAGTAAATATTGATTTTTATCCAGAGGAGGCAACAAGCATGGTTTAGGAGGGTTTCTTGGTTCGGGTTCGGGTTCGGGTATTGCGTGGTGTGGAAGAGGTTTTTTTTTTTTTTTTTTTTTTTTTTTCTGGGTGGAATGAGTTGGATGGTGAAAAGTTTTCTTTTTTCTTTTTCTTTTGCTTTTTTTTTCTTTCGTCGTGCGAGAGGACTAATGAGTCGGTCGATCTTTGCAGATCTGATCGTCTGACAGGGCAGGGCAGGATGGATATATGGTTATTTCTTGTACCGTCTTGGTATATCTGTAGATCAGGGGATTATTCTATAGTAGCAGACAATTTGCATAATGGTTGAGATGGCATACCGGATGGAGCGGTTAGATTCTGTGGTAACTTTGGTTGGAGACCTGCATGTGCAGACTACTGTATCCATATCTATTTCCCTTGATGATCGTTCATTCTCTACTTGATACACTCGGAAGAATATCAACATCTTACCATCGATTACACCTCAATCTAATGCTGAGATAGATGGATATCAACATTTTTGAAGAGAGATACGAGATACCACTCACTACCATACACAGCTCACAAAGAACATTCTCCAAGACATCAAAGCATCCCAAACCATATTCACAACCAGATCGACGATATACTTCACAGTATGCAGATCATCCATTAGCCACCCGCCACCAGATCTTCATCAAATCCACATGATAACCCCCCCACCATCATGTCAACGACTCAACCCACCCCTAACTCTATACCCCAGAGGCAAAAGCATCATGTCCCCTAAGCCCCAACAGCCCCGTCCCCTCCAGACACCCCACATACTCCGCTCTGATATCCTCGCCTCTCAAAACAGCCGTCTCCACCCACAATGACAGCCCGCCCCCGAACAACACCCCACCGGGCCCATACGCCTCCATAAACGCCCTCCGCAGTTTCACGTGCGCCGCGTTCGTCCTCCCCAGCTTCTCCATGTGACCCAGGTCCGTGAAGTAGAAGAGCTGGACATCCCGGCCGAGAGTGAGGGGGTATCTAGCTTCCGCCGGTGTGAAAGTAGAAATGGATGTAGAAGTAGAAGTGGCAGCAGGGGAGTAACAGCCCCTCGAAGAAAGAACCCCCTTCTCCACGCCGGCGGTCAGGGCATCGTGCACCCATTCCTGGGAGAGAGCGTCGAAGGTCTCCGTCCAGTAGGCTTTCTCGTCTGCGGATGCGTGCGTGTGGTCTTGGCCTTCAACGACGAAGCAGATGTTGTTAGGGAAGTTCGCTAGGGTGATTCTTCCTGCGATTATCTTTTCTTTTCCCTCTTCTCCTTCGTTCGTCGTGGTAGACTGTGAAGACAGCGCTGATAGATCTTCCCCCGTCAGCGAAGTAGAGATACTTTTCTCCTTGATCCGATCCGGATAACACCCCCAGTATCCGCTCAGAGTCGGGTTCAGCTCGATCTTGCCGAGATGCATGCATCCCGCGGCGGGCGCGTCATGGTTCGTGGCGCCCTGGATCCGTGAGGGGTCGATGGTGAGGGTCTCGTGGAATATGCCGGCGGTGTCGGGCAAAGAGGACCAGAAGGTGGTGAAGTCTGGGGAGGTGGACCATGCTTGGTAGGAAGGGGTGGCCAGTAGGTGAGGTGGAGTTCGGAGGGGGAGGAGTTGGAATTAGAGTCTGGGTGCTGGGTGAGGGTTTCGGTGTGGGCGAGGAGGTGGTTTGCTTTGGCGGCGTCGAGGAGAGAGGTTAGGGTTGCGCGGAGGGCCGGGGGCGTGTGGGGTTGTGTGCCAATGACGGTGAGGGTGAAGGGAGTGTCGGGGGGGAGAGAGGCGAGGAACATTTTGTGTCTGGTTGTTCTTGTCTTTTCTTGACTTTGTAATGGAACTTGGTCTCAAGAGATCAGGTTGTGGAATGCCGATGAAACCTAGTTTATTAATCAGACCTTGGTTCTGTTGCCTTTATATCAGCAGCCAATGGATGTATAGGGCCCGAAGACTTGACCATTTGATCTCTCTTACCTTCTTAGTTAGATGTAATCCTCACGCAAGACTTTATCAGACTGTGTGATTATCGTCTGGAGGTTTGCCCCTCAAAAAGATTGTATATAAAAAAAACCGACCGGCGAAATTGCGGAGTTGCAAGAGTTTCGAACAGCCCAGGATCAACGAGTGCTTAAATAGCCATGAACCCCATCCCAACGCTTGGCCACGGCTTTAAAATCCACTCCTTGCAGACAACACAGACCCAATCAATCCGAGTCCGTGATATGCCAATATATTCCCGATATCCTCATCCCATCCACCCGGGACGGCACTAAATCCACGCCAGTGGGCCCCATCCGTCAACTGAATCAGAAATGCACCAATCATCCTGAGCAATTCCAAATTAGAAGGTCTCCTACAACGTGAAGCTTGATCCTGATCTAACTCAGATTCAGGGGAGAGCTCTGTGATTGGACGCGTCGTCACTCGCAGACGGACAAAAGAGGCCGCGCTAGCTGCTACTGTCAGTTGTCACGCTCCGGCCATCTGGATCGCACGATCGATTCGTCTGAAGATATTCTGTCTGGTTCTGTGGTTGTTTACTCCGTAGACCGTCGGGACTCTCTTCGGTCTCGTGAGTTGCCGTATCGCCGCCCAGTTTATCGTTGCCCAGTCCCTCGTGTCATTACTCAGACCCTTCGCTGTAGCATGGCTGGCTGTGCTGGCGAGGTCAGAAACCTGCAGAATATCCATAGAGGATTGTAGACTCCGAAAGATAGGAGGAATGGAGGTTGGAACAAGTGGAGTCGAAACAGGTCTTTGTATGGAGATGGCAACGTTAGCATGCGATTGGTCTCGTATCCTGTCAGACTCAAGACCGACCGACCTCCATCTTCTAACGAGTTCATTGTGAAGTGTGCGGTGCCCGCGACAATTCGAGTGAAGGGGTAGAGGTGGATCTCCACAACCCCGGGAGTTGGTGAGAAGACGTTGGTGCCGGACAAAGAGAAGCCAGCAGAAGAAAGGTACCGACGTGCCGGTCCGGCATTTGCCTGAGGCCGCACCGGGCAGCAACCAGGCGCAGTCTGGCTGGTCGAATCCTAAACTACAAAAGGGGATGTGGTAAGATGTTGCACCAACGATCTATGTTCGTCTAGTTGGACCGTCAGTCCGCAGTCAGCTAGACAACTATTTACAAGAAAGATAAAATAAACTCCACCCGTCTACTCTAGCCCGTCTATACGGCACACCTCTACTATACCCCAGATCCCTTGCGACCTACTTGGCCAAGTTCGGGCACTCGCCCTGCGCCCGCTGGAACGCATTGGTGAACAGATCCTGCATCGCGCAGTAGTGGAACAGGATCCCTCCTAGCACTGCCAGGTGCCAGATGTTGTGGCTGCCGCCCACGTAGTCGAAAAGACCGGGTCGCCACCGCTCGGGCACCTGCGAGGCGTACACCAGAGCGCCGACGAAGTACACCATGACACTCTTCACCACGGGCGCGTAAAAGTACAGACACCACTCAAGCCCGCGGGTGTAAGTGAGCTGCGCGAGCGGGGCGAATCCGGTCAATGCGAGCGACACGTAGAAGGCCACCCGGGCCCATGCCATGTCAGCCCGGTTGAACGTCGGGTGCCAAGGCAGAATGACACCTCCGATACCCAGGGACATCGTCAGCAGGATGTAGGTCCACCGTGACACCGGCTCACAGTAGAACGCCGTGTACTCGGTCGTCACGATCGACGCCGCCACCAGCATCGAGATGCCCGTGTAATCCACACACGCGAACCGCTCCATCAGCGTCTGGCTGGCGATGCTGCTCATCGTGTGCCACAGGGTGCTGCAGACCAGGCATTTGCAGGCCGCGAAGAAGAACACCGCCGCCACCATGATGTCGGTCTTGGTGCTGAGGTGGAAGTTCGGGTTCAGGGGGTAGAAGTAGAAGGCCACGGAAAGCACGATGAACAGCCCGATTAGGTGTGACCAGATGTTGAACAGTTCGTTGGAGCAGGTGAACACGGAGGTAAAGCATTCCACCTTGGAGTGCGTGAATCGGTAGCCCTGCAGGATGTGCGGGTTCACCCGCCACGGGTGGGGGAGATCCGCATACGTGATCAACCGCTCCTCCTGGGCCAGCAGGATTGCGCGGTCGATGCTCTCCCGCAGAGAGTCCTTGGCTCGGCGGGCCCGTTCCATACCCTCGTCGACAACCTCAAGGGCGTGCGTGAGCTTCGAATCGACCGCCTTCCATCCCTCGTCCAGCGCCCCGTAGATCCCGCGGTCCCGGACGGCGTGGGCGCGGGACTCCAGTTCGACCAGAAATGACTCCATCAGACGCACGCCGGCCTGGGCCTTCTGTTCCAGGGTCTCCTTCGTCGCGAGGGCATCCATGTAGCGGTCCTCCAGCGTTTCCACCAAGATCTTGGCCCTCTTCTTGCCACCGCCCATGAGTTCCCCGGAGGCATGCGAGCAGGAGTCCCGCACCGCCTCCAAGGTGGAATATCCTCGTCGCAGGCTGGCATCAATCTGGTCCATGTGTGACTTGCGGTATTGTTCGAGCCAGTGTAGTCGTCTCTCGAGTTCGGCGAGGAAGAGTTCCACCTACGGGGTGTTAGTTAGGAGCCGGCCTGGAACAGCGTAGAGGGGCCGGTTCGTACTCTCAAAAAGACAGCCTCTGCATCGTAGTCGCAGGAGAGCTTGCGGGCCGTGTGAAAGGAGTGTCTGCGGCGGCGATCTCTCAGGAGAGCCATGTCTTCGGTGGGAGTGGCGGCGTAAGCGGAGGCCACTCCCTCGGACGCCTCGATGGTCATGGATTGCGCGGAGCAGGCCATACTGCAATGATAGCTACAGGTGGTGAGAGAATCAAATGTGCATGTCCTGGAGAGAAGAAAAGGGAGTCAGTGGTGATGTTGGGGGGTGGGGATCGGGAGGGCCGGCAAGCGGAGGAAAACAACGACTTACCGAGACTCGATCCAATAATAATATGCAAGGGACCGATGAAAGGAGACGGGAAGTAAAGGAAGTGGAAATAAAAGGAGAGACAAAGAGAGGAGAGGGGATAGGAGGAAAGGAAACAACGCCGTTGAGCCCAAAAAGCCAGCCAGTCGAGGAGAAAGAGCAAGGCCGAAAGGTGGGTTTGGGTTGAGGGGGAGAGAGCAGGAGAGGAGAGGAGAGGCGAGGCGGCAAAGGAGGAACGGACTGATTGACAAACTGTTAAGGCGAAACGGCGGGCAAGTGGGGATGCCGAGGGGAACGACGGCCTTTTTCTCTGCCGCTCACCCAACCACTTCGCCAATACTCAATGCAAGAGCCAGCAATAATTGACGGAGCAAACTTCCCATCCACCCAACCTTATCGCCCACTCGCCCACTCGCCCCAGCCTCCAGCCCATCAGCGCCCGCCTCTTCTCCACGTTGTCACGGCCCTTGCCACATTCACATTCTGCTCTCCGCCGCTCTTCCGACTGTCTATCCGGTCTAACAGCTCACCTCATCCACCACCTCTACCCACCATGGCCATTCGGGACATCGTCTCCAATCCCTCGCTGCTGCCCGTGCTTGGCCTCAGCGCCGAGACTCGCGATCAATGCATGAGCCTGCTGGCCGCCCTGGACCCAACCGTCGACCTCGCCGCTGACCCCCAGGACCGCGCCCTGGCCGCCTCCAAGGAGCAGAAGCAGCTGTTTGCTCTACTGGCTCGTCTGCGCGGGCTGAACCGTGATGCTATCCTCCGTGTGCGCGAAACCAAGCAGTCCACCGCGGAGGCTCGCCAGGAGATCGATCGGCTACATCTGCAGCTGCAGAACCTGTACTATGAACAACGGCATCTGACGGGCGAGATCACGGCCTGCGAGACTTACGAGTAGGTCGATGGAGAGCTCTGCCCTGCGGGCTGTTGGCTAACAACGATAGACACAAATATCGCTCTCTCCCGTTAATCCCCCTCGAAGAGTTCCTCGCCCTCCACCCCGAACACCAGGAGTCGGACGACCACGAATTGATGATCGCGCAGATCAACCACGAACATAGCGAGCGGGAGAAGCTGGAACAGGCGCGGCAGGAGCTCCTGAAGCGGAAGCAGGCGCTGATTGCCGAGAACAACAAGCGCAAGGAGGACCTGGCCAGTTTGGATCAGGATCTGGAGCGGTTCATTGACGTGGGTGTCCTTCTCCTGTCTTGCGGGCGTACTGCTAACTCCACCAGGCGGCCAAACCCATCCAGAAGCTCTTCGAAAAGGAGTATTAACATTAGATCTTGGGCATATCTGGTTACTTGTTGGTTGTTTAAGGATATAGGCGCATTGGTTAGATACCCAGCATTGGTTGTTTATAGGACAGGGAGAACAATCCCATGGATACGTTGTGTGTGCATCGAGTAGATCGACCGACCCATACTGTGTAAACTCCGGTAGAGACCCGCCAACTGGTGGCCCGCCCACCGCCTTGGCGGCCACCGCATCATCGATCCCGCATCAACATCACCACTTCCTCCGCGCAACTATCACCCAATCTGGTCCAAGCATGCCCTGGTCATGACGGCCAAGAATGACGACCAGACGTCTGCCCAGACTGTCTCCGACACCATGACCGCCCCTACGCCGCGTCTCCCGCCCCCGGAGAAGCCCGAGGCCGTTCGCACCCGCCTCAAGGTCATTGCGGCCTTCTGGGCTGTGATCATCTTCCTGGGCTTTCCCATCTGGTGGAAGACCACCTCCATCTACCGCGCCAGCCTGCCCATTTCGGACATGATTGATTGGGCGGATGGAAAGGTGAGCATACCCATCCGTCTCCGATTGCATCTCTAACCCACCTAGACCTGCCGTCCAGTCTTTCCCCTCGAGATCCGCTTCGAGACCCCTTCCCTGCCCGACACCGAGGCACAGCATCTTCTCCGCACCACCCAGCACACCCTCGACGACCTCAACGAATTCTCCGCGCACCACCTGCGACTCAAACTCTCCAGCGACGTCCCCGCAGAGCCCCACACCCAGACCAAGTCGCAGACACCGCATTGATCGTCCGTCTGCTCCCCCAGGACGAGCTGACCTCCCCCCGAGCCGCCTTGCACTCCGACACGACCCAGCTCGATGTCTTCTACCCCCCCAGCCAGATCCCACCCCCCTCGGCATCGAACTCACCCCTCTCCGCCTTCATCGCCAGCGAACTGCAATCCCTCTTCACGGAGGAGAAAGCCATCATCGCCCAGGTCCTCTCCGACCACAATGTCCTCGGCACAAACACCCACTCCCCCGCGTCCCCCAACAACCAGGCCCCCTCAGCCATGCTGAACTCCCTTTCCCCCGAGCTCATCGAAAGCATGACCCGCCGTCTGCGTCGCTCCCTGAAATACGCCGAGACCTACCATCTGGCCTTCAGCCTCTTCACGCCCGGCTCCTCCCCCTCCTCCTGGGACATCCAAGCCGCGGTGCACGACTACATCTCCCCACTCCTGGACGCCTTCTCCCCGATCAGCAACTTCACCGTGGACACGCAAGTCCAGCTGTACGCGACCTTCTCCCCCACCGCGCCCAGCCCCGAGTACGACGAAACCCACTCCGCGTGGACCCTAAAGAAAGACGACCTCAGCGCGTTCATCAACGCCGCCGAATGGCCGCTCAGCCCAAGCATCGGCTCCGGCCCAACCATCAACTTCATCCTCTACGTCCCCGCCCCATCACAATCCCCCCTCTTGGTGAAAGACAGTCTGGCAACCAGTTGGATCATCCCACAATGGGGCGGCGTGTTCGTACTGAACCAGACCCCTCTCTCCTCCGACCAACCCTCCCATCTCACCAGCGACTTCCTCGCCCCAGCCTTCATGACCTTCTCACACCAACTCCTTACCCTCCTCGGCGCCCCCTCCACCCCAACCCCCTCCCCCTCCGCCTCCAAACCCTCACCCGCCTCCGCGCCGCCTCCCTCCTCCTCTCCGCCTCCTCCACCATGGGCTCCCTCGCTCGTCTGACCGAATCCCTCCCCTCAATCCCCATCCCCGCCACAGTCGCCACCTCCGTCTCAACCACGCTGACCCATCTATCCTCCGCCTGCGCGCACCTCCGCCACGGGCAGTTCCAGGCCGCGCTGGCCAGCGCCCGCGTCGCCGAGACGGAGGCCGAACGCAGCTTCTTCGAGAAGAGTATGGTCGGCCAGATGTATTTCCCGGATGAACACAAGGTCGCTGTGTATCTGCCGCTGTTGGGGCCAATCGGTGTGCCCTGATCGTCGGGTTGTTGAAGGAGCTGAAGAAGTTGATTGCCGGGCGGAGGGAGAGGAGAGCGTAGATTTAAATAGATGTTAGATCGCCCCCTCCCCCCCTACTCCCCGGGTTTCCCTCCTTTCAGCTTCGTGATATTTATTGCTGTATATTATTATTGGTTACTACTTATTCCAGATATATGACGTGGTTAGTAAGATAACACGGTATTATAAAGTAAAGAGTGTATTTCGTGAGGTATCTATCTATCGCCAAACAACTACCATGTACACTATAACAGCCAGCTCAACACAACACAAAAACACACATCACACCAATTACCATCCACCACTCCAGATAACCTGAGTATACATAATCATGAAACATCTCAATAATCAAACAACCACGCATAAAAAGTCCAAGTATAAATGAGGAAAATAGCAGAAAGATCATTTCTCCATCGAATCAAACACCCCCTCCGTGCGTATATGCGTCGGATACGGGTCCGGATCCAACACCCCAGTCGTAGCGAAAACCCCTGGTGGCGTGTATATCCTGATACTCTCGGTGCGGGCTAATCCCTTCTTCGACAAGGAGCGATTCGGCTGCAGCGGAGTGACAGAGATGGGCAACGGGGGGACAGGCACCGGGACGCGAGCCCCGCGGTCTGGAACCAGGCTCCTTTGGCTGAAGGATCTGGTTACGGTATTTTGGGGGTTCTTGTTCGTGTTATTGGTGCTGCTGGTGCTGCTGGTGCTGCTGGTGTTGCTGGTGCTGGTGTTGTTGCTGAGGAACAGGCTTTTGACTCTTGTGCCGGTGCGTTGGAAGCGCGAGGACCGCTTGGATCGGCTCCGACGCAACAGGAAGTCTGTCCGGTAAGAGGTTTCTTCGGAGGGGATTGGAGAGGAGATCCCGATTAGGGTGCCCTTGGTGGAGCGGCGGGTGAATTGGGCGAGCTTTGCGGAGGGAGGCAGGTTCTTGCGTTGCCGTCTGCGGTGGAAGAAGACGCATAACAGGGCTAGTACGGCGCCAAAGATGGCGCCGGGGAAGAAGCCCGCCGCGATGGCGCTGCTGGGGTAGGAGGGGCAGGAGGCGGTCTTTGCGGACAGGGCGGCGGCTGAGCTGTTGTGGGTGCTGGTGGTGCTGTCTGAGATGGCCGTCTTGGAGGCGGAGGTCACGCGGGGATCGCTGGTCTCAATGATCGTGGGATCGGACGGGTCATTGGTGGTGGTGGAGGCGGAGGTGGCGAAGGTGTTTGATAATGTGTTAGTCGCGGTTGAGCCGGTCGTGGATGACTGGCTGGCTGTGGCTGTGGACGCGCTGGCTGTGTTCATCGCACAGATGGAGTCCCCGGTGCAGGTGTACCCGAACGGACAGCAGGAGTCGCCGCATTTGGGGAGGGAGTCGTCCAGCCGGGTGGTCTTGACGGAGTTCTTGGGGTGGGAGGTTGCGTTCTGCAGCTGCACATCACAGGTGATGGGCTCGATGTAGTCGCAGCTCTCTCCTTCGGGGCAGCAGATGGCGGAACTGTTGTCGTCCAGGCTGATGCAGGAGGAGGTGCTGGGGCAGCAGAAGGAAGACGGCAAGCTGGATGCGCAGTGATCGTAGTTGGTAGGGCAGGAGTCGGAGCTTCGTGGTAGTAAGCCAAAGGCCTGCGTTGGCGATACCGTCGAAGCAACGAGGGTGAGCAGCAGTATCATGGACGGTCTTCTGGCGAGGATACCAAGATAGGATGTCCTCGACATTACGGTGGGAGCTTCTTTCATGGCGTGAAAGTCGTAGGAACGTGAGCAGGAGACTCAGCCAGAAGGTCAAGCAGGTATTTAGGGCCAAAGAAAGAGAGTTGTCTGGATAAAAGAAGTTTTGAGACAAAAGAACTGTGCAACTGTGAGTCAATGAAGATGAAAGAAACAATGAACACCGTCACAAAGGCAAGTCCCTCCGCCACCAGCCCAGACAGCAGGCCATCTCCGGGTCGGCGCTATTCGCTGCCCAACTTTCTGCAGCATCATGATACAAACATCGACCCATGGCAGCAGCTGCAAGCGCCGGTCTCAGAATAGACACAGTGGATGGGGCCCGAGGCTGACGGGCTAATGAGGGAGATTAACACAGGCGCCGGGAGGGAACACGGGTAGATGACCGTCAACGACAGGCAGTTCGGTTCCAAAATGACCCAGAGGCCTGCAGATCAAGGCGCGTAGAGCAGCATGACGAACTGCAGCGAGAGGTTGAAGAGGAAGAAGAAGGAAGATGCAGCGGTTCGGATGACGAGCAGCCGTGAAGTAGATCGCGGCGCGCTGATTGGCGGGGCTGGCGCCGGCTTACATCAGCTGGGCTAGTCCCGAAAGAGCAAGGGCGATGGAGGGCCGGACTGGAAATTCTGCGGCGGTTCAAGCATCACCGCTGCTGCTCTGCACCGCGTCGCCAGTCCTCGCCCCCCATCACCATGTTGAACCGCCTCTTCCGGCCGCAGGCCGCGCTGCGTGCCGCTTCCGCTTTCTCCCAGGTGAGCTGGCCTCTCCAATGACCGCCGGTGACACGTCCAGCTAACCTCCAACCTCCGCAAGAAGCCCGTCTCCGCGCTCCCACGCCTCCAGATCCGGTCCCTGCACCGCGTGCCCCAGTTGACCAACGACCAGCACTTCAAGACAAATGGAGTCCCCGAGTTCCTATCACCAGAGGCGTTCGACTTCGCCTGGACGCAATACCAGACTCTGCTCATTGACAAGCTGAACCTGATGACGCAGGGTGCGTGGCCCGGAAGGCCTTCCTCCGGCGGAATCGAAGACTGACCCTTCCCCCCTGCTACAGACACCGTTGATGCCGATGCGAAACCCGGAGAACTGCTGGTCAAGTACTCCCGGCGTGCGGAGATGGCGTCAGTGTTCAACTACGCCTCCATGGCCCACAACAACCACTTCTTCTTCAACTGCCTGGTGAGTTGGCACCCTTTGGCCGGACTTGCCGTTGCTCGATCGATCTCTAACAGCCGCAGTCTCCCAACACCACCCAGATCCCCGAAAAGTTCGCCAAAGACATCGTCGACACCTGCTCGTCGGTCGAATCCCTGAAGCTCGATTTCCTGGCCACCGCCAACGCCATGTTCGGCCCGGGTTTCGTCTGGTTGGCCAAGAACCTGGAGAAGGATGGATTGATGCACATCTTCTGCACGTACAACGCGGGCTCGCCGTACCCGGCTGCGCACTCGCGGCGGCAACCGGTCGATATGGCGACGCACTCGCCCGACGCGCCGATGGGCAACCAGTACGCCGGCGCGATGGGCGCGCACTCGCCCAACCAGAAGAACATGGCGGCCGGAGCGTTGGACGTGCAGCCGATCCTGTGTGTCAACACCTGGGAGCACGTGTGGATGATGGACTACGGTATTGGTGGCAAGGCCGAGTACCTGGAGCGGTGGTGGGACCGGATCAACTGGGACGTGGTGTTTGACAACTACAACGCGGTCAGCTCGGCGAGGGCGGGCCGGAGCATGAACTGGAACCGGAATATGAACATGATGTAGACAGGCTTTGGGGCCCAGGAGTTTGTTCATGTTAACTGTATTATATACATGTGGTAGTATTTTCTTGTCTATTCTATGGTCTAAACCATCCCACCTCCATCTCCATTTATAAAACAACCAACCAATAGCCAACCCCATCACCTCTCCCCAAGAACATCCCTAATCCTCTTCTCAAACGCCTCAATCATAACAGGGGCCATCTGCCCCTCGACGGCCCCCATCATCGCAGCATGCAACTGACTCCGAAACTCAAACCCAATCTCCAACCTCACCTCCGTCAACTCCTTCCCTCCGGCGGAAACATCCCTCAACTCCCACCTCGTACTCAAATACTCAAAGATCCCCTCATCCACAAACCCCTCCATACCCTCCTGACCATCCTTCTTCCCCACCCCGAACTTCGCCCCGCTGCGCGCCTCCACCACCCACTTCGTCTCGTCGCAGTCCACCCGCGACGTGAACGTCTCGCTCAGCGGGCCGTATCCGACCGTCAGGAACGCGCGCGTCGGGAGCCCCGTCTCCGGCGAGCGGTGGGTGACTGTCGATGCGGTCAGGAAGGGGAGGAACGAGGAGTAGGATTCTACCGCGCTGATGATTCGGAATAGCGGTGCCGGTGGGTAGGGGAGCGTGCGGGTTGCGGTTAGGTGGCGCGTTTTTTGGGAGTTGTTGCCGTTGCCGCCACCGCCGAGGAGGGAGGTGAGGAAGGGGCGGGTTTGGGTTTTGGGTTGTAGATGGGGAGGAGGTGGGTGGTGGAAGAGGAGGGTGGTGATGGTGGTGTTGGGCGGTGGTGAGGGTGTGTTCTTGTTCTTGGTGTTGGTGTTGGTGTTGGTGTTGGTGATGGTGCTGTGGTCGTGGTGGTGGTGGAGAGGTGGCGAGGGGTGGTTCGCTGGAGGAGGTGGAGACGGGCTCGTGGTATAGGAGGACGCATCATGGTGGTGTTTGGTGGTGGGAGGTGTGGAATGGAGAGGAATTGGGTTTGGAGGCTGAGGTTGAGGTTGGAGAAGACCGGAATTGAGTTGTGTTCCTGACTGGGAACTTTTTTGGCGGCTTTCCGAATCGGGATCGCCGCCGCGCCGACGGGTTCTTCTTATCGTGGTCTACGGGGAAAAGAAGCATTCCCGTACGACTACTATATGTACAATATTCTCATGATATTGGGAATTATCTACTGCCTGTCGATCTAAATTTACAAGTTCATATCTGGCTAATTGCCGGGTCATCCCACAGCTCCATGCCCCCCTCGAAACCAGTATTCGTGATGTGCTCGTCCCAGAGACGCTCCTTCCGTTAGCCACACTCGAAATACTATTTAGTTTGGGCTCACGTACCCAGTCTAAGTTTGTCGGCGCGTCGAGCATTTCCTCGATGACGTCTAGTGATGGATGCTCGGGCAAATCGTTTATCTCTGGTAGGTCGACCAAGGGGTATGAACTATCCACCTGCCAGCTGTCATACGGCGGTGGTTGTGCTGAGATCGTTAGCAAAAGGACTCGATCAATGTGTGAGAACATACCCAGAGCCAATTGCTCCCTAGCCGCATTCTGTGCCCCCTTCACTCGGCGAAGCATGACTGTCAGCGCGGCGCACGCCTTCTGTACATCTGCAGACCCCCGTTGGCTCTCGAATATCCGGTGTGATGTCTCCAGGGTCGAGAGGAGATCCTCGCGGTCCTGCATGACTGCGCCGACGTCGTTGTCGGGGCTCCCCTTCCGGGCGCCGGTAGGGTCTTGCGATAGCTCCAGACAGATGATCATCGCGCCGAGCAGGTAATCGGCGTGTTGGAGGGAGTTCGGATACTGTCGATCGCGATAGAGAAGACCGCCCGGCTGCGTCTCGTGGTGCACATCCGCCTGGTGCCGGAGGATATTTCTCGAAGCGCTCATGCACACCCGGCGTGAGAATGCGTACCGGGAGTTCGTTTGCACCTCGCCCAGGTATCTCCGGTGCAGCACACAGCGGGATTTCTGGTACAGTAGCTCCAGTGTGTACCGCCTGAGGATCAGAACCGATGGGTCTACAATTGACTGGTTGAGAGGACGCATCTTGAACATAGCCGGGAGCTGATCGTGCGCTTCATCAAGTTGACGATCAATAGCCAGACTGTCCTCGTATGTCACCGGTTCTCGCGAGTACGCAAGATCTGCGATCTTCCCGAAAACAGACATGAGCCGCGACTTGCAGCGTATGTATGACGCGGTGGTCAGCTCCTCCTCGGGCCGAGACGGCGGGAGTTCCTGGGTAAATTCGTCGAATTCTTCATCGGAGATATTACTGGGAGGCTCCACATCTTGGTGCCATTCTTGCACGGTCCGTGGAAGCCCGACCTGGAAGGATATCAGGATATCCAGCTGACGGAGAACCGTCCAGACACGGCGTCTCATCTCCCCCTCGTACGGCGAGATGTCGGGAAACTGCCGCGGGTCTCGATGGTAACCCGTCCGCATGGCGAGTCGGATGGTGGTCCCTAGGAGGAACGAGACCCCAACCTGGGCATCCTCGGTACGGTAGAACTCACCCATCGTATAGAGGAAGAGGGCCTCGACCTTATACCGGCCGGGGACGGTGTAATTGAACTGGACCACGCATTGTGCAGTGAGCTTTCGGAAGGTTTTTACCGCTTCGGCTTGATCTCCCAGCTCCCTGGGCAACGGCTCGCTGGTACGTTGATAGATCGCAACGGTCAAGGTGAGACAGGCATACAGCAGTCCCAGCCATGAGATCGACACGTCCTGCGGGTTGGACCAGAAGCGATTATACTGCACTCGTTAGCAAACCAAACTCCACAACGCCCCTCGAGCATGGACATACCTCTCTCTGAAACGTCGGCACATGAACAATGACTGCAATCGCATCAACACGAGCTCACCCAGCAAGCAACACAGACATACCGCACACGGGTTCTTTGCTACGCAGAAACAGCGCAATCACTCGATCCGTGACCGGTCTCGGAGGCAGCCCATCCAACAACTCCTGCTTGGTGGCTCTTTTGTGCAGCCCAAGCCACAGCGTCGGGGCTGGCCGCGAACCCACCGTCTCATCCTGCTCGGGCTCGTCATTCGAGGCCTCCTCCCGATCCTGCAAATACTCCCTCACCCCACTGATCTACCACCCTCTACCCATCAGCACCTTCCTAGAAGAACCCAACCAGGGGAGAAACATACCTCCTCAAGGATAGCACTCCAGTGCGAGCCATCGATATACCTCGTCCCCGTCTCCCCAACAACCAGCTTCCCCGCCACCTCCGACGGCGAAGACCCCTCCTCCGTCCCTCTCCCAGGAGTCACCGACGCAGACCCAGGGACAGAGCCAGAGCCAGAGCCAGAGCCCGACCCCGAGTCCTCCGGCGTCAACTGCTGCTGTATCTGCGGATGCACCACCACATGTTCCCCCGCACCCCACTCAGTGCCCTGCCCCAGACCCATCCCACCCCCCTTCTCGTTCTCTTGCCCCCGCTCCAGTCCTTGTTCCTGCCCCTGTTCCTTCTTCATCTGCGTAAAAGACAAAATCAAATTCTCCAAATGCTGCAACCGATCCTGCACATGCGCGGGACTCGCCTGCCCATTGCCGGAATTCTTCCCGCGCGGTCCCCTTCCCACGAAGGTGCAGCTGTGAGCTTCGCCGCGTTTTTGACAGTTCGTGCAGGGGTGCGTGCGGCAGCATTTTAGTCTACGTGAGTGGGTATATCAGTTTCGATTATTGTGGTCTGGGGTGATGGTGTTGTTGTATATGAGTGGAAGTATGGGTGGATGGATGGATGGATGGATTATGGCTGTATGTATGGAATATGTGCTTGTGTTGTTGGGTATCCTGTATAGTGAAGTGCAGTGCGGGGGAGAGAAAGCGGGCAATCTGGCAGGGCGGCAAGCTTACTTGCGGGCGCGACAAGCCGTACAAGACAGCTGCACGCGGGTACGTTTCTTTTCCCTGAGGGGGAGACGGGCCAGGTCGGACATTTCGTTTGGCTCTTTGGTGTGAGTGGGGTGCTGCGGCTCGGAGTAATATAATGTTATGTAGGGATGGAGTATGTATGTTTGCAGTAGGGAGGGGGGGGGGGAGGGGGGGTGAGAGGGGAAGGTTGAATTGTAAGAGGTAAGATGGAGGTTGCGTGATAAGGTGGGTGGTGATGGGGTGGGCACTGACTGGGTGGGATCATAGGATTCGGGGCTGTTGTTATCTCCGGGTAAGTCCGTGGTATACTCCGTAGTTACTATTGGTAGGTGGGTTTGATGATTGAGGTTTGATCATTTGTGTAGATACTGGGATGTGGGATGTTGGATGTTGTTTGATGATGTCTATTATAGACTTTCTCCTATTGGGGTTTTTGGTTTATATGTATGGTTCGTTGGTGGGGATCAACATACAGATGTCAGTCAGTCTTAACTCTCAAGTCTGGTCGATTGGTCATCTAGGCTAGAAACAAGCTTTATGGTGGATGCGCACTGCGGTAAAGAATCCCACCACCCCCCCGCTTAGGACCCCCTTCCAGTTCCGAGTTCCAACACCTTCGACCACTATATAGTACTGTATACATCACACACACACCCGGATATCTACCAAATCTCCGCCTTCATAGCAACGACCCCTCCCGGCGCAACAATCTGGACCCTCCCCACCCCATCCCCCGCCTCCTCATCCAACACAACTTGATACTCATCCTCCGCATACAACGGACTCGTCGCCCGATAGGCAATCTTCTCCGGCAGAACCAGCCCCTCTCCCCCTCTCGTATCGCGCCACAAATCCAAAATCGAGATGAGATTCAACGGCCCATGCACCACAATATCCTTATGGCCCTCGACATCCCGCGCCCACGGCGTCGAGTAATGGATCTTATGCGGATTGAACGTCAACGCCGAGAAGCGGAACAGCGTGACGGCCGTTTGGCGCTGGGTGCGCGTGTGCGTATTACCAGTAGTTGAGGTGGTCGAGCTCGCCGGGGCGTTGACCGCCTTCGTAGCTGGGGGAGCGGACGATGTGGTTGGGTTTGGGGTGGTGAGGGCTTTGCGGAAGACCCAGTTTCTGTAGTGATTACAATTATGGTACTATATCAGCTCTGCGATGCGATTCGTGCCAGTGTAAGACAATGGATGAATGATGGATGGCCGGGCAATACACACCTGCGATCCAAAACCGCCACTCCATCCTCATTGCGAAACTCCTTCTCCACGCCCACAACGATCATGTCTTCGCCCGTCTTTCGCACCGTCTTGGGCTCCGCGCTGAGCACCCTCGTCGTCTCGTGTACTTCCTGCCCCACCCGGAGGAAGTTCGGCTTCCCGTCGTTTCCCCGAGGCCAGTGCACCTCGCCGCCGGCCCACATGCGGCGGGTGAAAGGCGATGCCGGGTTGTAGGAGGTGTCTGTGCCGTCGGCGCCGAGTTCATTTTCGAGGAATGCGGGCGTGAAGTACACGAGGTGGTAGCCTGCAGGGAGGGGGGTGCCGGGTGGGAGGGAGGCGGGGGTGTTGGATAGCGGGGGGAGTTAGGAAATAGCGATGGGCGGTTGAGGGTGAGTGAGAGGAGCTGGAGCTGGTTTGCGTCGAGGGTCTGGGAGCGGGTGTGAGGGCCGAGGGATTGGAAGCGGGTGAGGAAGGAGGTCGCGATGGCGCTGGCGGATGATGATGGTGATGATGCGGAGGTGTCGGCGCGGAGAGGCGGGCGGACGGAGAATGCTCGGGTCGAGACGCTGGGTCGGGGATCGAGCGGGCGGAGGAGTGATCGCGTGGACTGTCGGGCTGCGGAGGTGAAGGACATCGTGGATTGATGGATAGATCGATCAATTGATCGGGTTTGAGAGAGAAGAGGAGATCGCGAAGGAGAGGCGTTATGTACCTCGGGTCGGCGGGTGTTCCCGAGACCGGGATTGAGGGGTGAGTTTCCGAGTGGCCGACATAGTATATGCTCCACCAGTGGGACATGACATCGCGCAGATGGTCTTGTTGACAATGCTCTTTTAGTTTGAGTTGGTCCCATGTTATTTAAAAAGTCCTCTATCAAAGATCATGAAACCTGGAGTACCGCTTGTTATCAACAGCGAAGTTTACAGGCTATGGAACACGGATGCCCATTTCCGAGGGCGCCCCCAGACTGCCACTGAGAAACAAGCTCCTTAAATAGCATGAAAGATGTCTCTGTGTGATTGTCATGTCGCCCAGACATGTCTACCCTGACAGTCAAATCAACCAATGCTAACCCTATCACTATAGCTTGGCCTGTCCAGCCTGCAACCGGTTCCAGTCCTTCGGCTCAAAGGGGACGTATTGGTTTCCTTGAAGCCAGTAAAGGCGATCACCCGCAGCTACCAGGGATGGGTCCACCCCCTCAGTGCGCAGAACATGCTTCTGCTGCTTGTTGTTCCCCGTAGCTTGCATCTCTCCAGTGACACGCAGGAACTGAGGAGCAGCGAAGCGGGGGAGATTTTTCAGAGCGTGCGCTGCCAGGCTGTTCAGACTTTCTTGCGAAGGAGGGATAACCACGGATTGGTCCTCCGCTCGAGACTGTTGCTGGAAGACGATGGCAGCGCAACCAGCACGGCCATCATGGTTGGGCAAAGCCACTCCGTAGACGTTTACTTCATGCACATCCGGATGAACACCCAGGACCTCTGAAACCTCGCTCGTCGACACATTCTCACTCTTCCACCGGAAGGTGTCGCCTAGGCGATCGGTGAAGTACCAGCGGCCATCGCTGTCCCAGCGAATCATGTCGCCAGTGCGGAAGAAAGCGTCCCCTTTGCGTAAAACATCGCGGATTATCTTACCCTCGGTAGCTTTGCTGTTCTTGAAGTAGCCACCGAACTTCTCTCCCGGGTCCGCGGCGTTGAGAGCCCACAGCAGCTCCCCCGGCTCGCCCCGTGGTACCTTTTTACAAAAGCCCGTCTTGTGATCGCGCCAGGGCTGCTGCAATTCCTGGTCAACCTCGACTATGGCAATGCCGCGGCCCATAAGCAAGCCGGTGAGCCCGCCGTTCCACCCAATGGCACCGGCGGTGAAATCGTTGGACGAGAGGTTGAAGGATCCAGATGTACCTTCGGTGGAAGCATAGAACTCGGCTATCGTAGGAATGTTAAATCGTTCTTTGACACGGTTCCAAATGTCCGGGCGCAGGCCGTTGCCTAGTGCTATGCGGACCTTATTCTTCTTGTCTAGATCCTCACCCGTCACAGGGTCGATCACAGGCGGAACTGCTAGCAGGTATCGCATTGTCTCACCGACGTACTGGATGATGGTCGCATTGCTTTCCCGTACGTCTGTCCAAAAGCTTCGGGCGGAGAATTTGCGACCAATAATCAGGGCTGAGCTGGCCCATAAACAGCCCATGACACCTAGGATGGATGCCGATGAGTGGTAGAGAGGCATGCACTATATCATGTCAGCATTGTCAGGATAAGGTGCGACGCCCAACGAGGGCACCGGATCTTACGTACTGTATACATTCGGTCGTCTTTTGTCATGCTCAGCCAGGTGCTGATGAGGACGGCACTAGACCAGACTTTGTGCCAGGGGAGAATCGCGGGCTTGGGAAGGCCAGTGGTGCCGCTGGTATAAATCAGCAAGGCCATGTCCCGCAGCTGGGCACCGCTGCGAACCGTGTCATCTTCACGCGTGGGCTCCATCTGCAGGATCTCGGCCTCGACCTCCGGGGTGAAAAAGACCACTTCAACGGGGCCTTTTCCATCCCGAAAATCAACGGCAGCAAATACCTCAATCTGTTCCGGGGGAAAGCTTTTGCGAAGGTCCTCATCCACGAGCAGTAACCTGGCGCTCGATGTCCGGATCGAGTGTGTCAGAGGCTTCCCTGACAGGTTGTAGTTGATCAAAGCGGGCACGGCGCCGATACTCCAAAGACCGAACCAGACGAAAACGAACGTTGACGAGTTCATGAAGTCCATGGCAACGACTTCCCAGGGCTTGATTCCGTACACATTCCTGAGCCAAGCCCCGTACCGTAGCACCAGCACATACGTCTCGTGGAACGTCCAGCTGCGGCCATTATAGACGAGGAATATCCGATCTCGGGTTTTGGGGTCGCGCGCCTGCTTCTCCAGCACATAGAAGTGGTTGACTTGGTCGCGACGGGCTGCGGAGCTCGCGTTGGAAGTCGAACCGATTAAGGATTTTATCAAGAGTTTATCGTAGAAGAGAGAGTACTTCGCGTTGAGATACGCGAGTACGGTGACCAGAGCCGGGCCGGCGATGGCAAGAGGGATTTCTGGCAAGACCTGTGGTCAGCGACGGGGGGGGGGAGTAGCAGGGTCATTGGCAACACACCAGGAACTGTAGGCATTGTGAAGCTTGTTGGATATGCTTGCGGGTGGTCTGATGTGGTGACCTGCCGGCAGGAAACCAGTCAACTTCGGGATGTCGGTGATTTATAGATAGAAACCAGTCATGCGAACAAAGAAAAGCCAGGAAGGCGCAGCATCCTTGAAACCAAGCCTGGTGGCCAACAGACAGACAGCCATGCATCGTCCTCGCCGATGGGACACAGAGTTGCCTCGGTTCAAGCCACTATGACGGGTTATGCACCCCATGCACGGCGATCGGCACTTATTGGGAGCTGCATGCCCCACCGACTATTCACTACTAGGCTGGAAACACCCTTCCAGACGGCGGCTGCCCGGTTGGCTGCCGGGTGAGCCAGGCAACCAGTCCAGGCCTGGTTTCACATGTGTTCCATGTACCCGTGTACCCATGTACCTTCTGGCAGCATCATCCGTCCCGGTTTCGATATGATGGTGAATCATGATGAATTGGCAACGATGAATCAATTATTTCTGTAGACTGGTAAATCAGTACACCTGATGGTTTGGGGAAATGACAGCGTGGTGAGGCTGACGACGGTCCGGGTCGCTGGAACTTCTAATCCCCGCCCTATTTCATAGTGACGTGAAGAGAAAAGGTTCCTTCCCAATTTACCAGGAGCAGCTTCCGTTTCTACATCACAATTTCCCTTCTATCTTTTGCGTCTCTTCATCATGCCACGCACCATGGCGCCTGGGGCTATCTCTCATCCACGTTTCAGCTTTGTCCCGACGGCGTCAAATGCAATACCAGTGAGTTCGATAAAAGAGGCACACGATTATCTAGAAACATTTCTAGAGAGCATCTTCTCCGAAAATCTGCTACTGAAGGCGTGAATAGCTTCCATAGCTTCCATAGCTACTTAATGATAAGTCTTTAATCTCTATTTATATTTATACACTAGGTTCGAAGTGGAGTGATCAAGCCATCAGGTTTAAGGTCTTGTATAACAGATCCCCCAAACTAGATAGAGCATCACAGGCCCGGCCGGCGACATCAAACCCCAAAGTGTCTGGCCCAAATGGCTAGTATTTATTGACGTAGGGCCGCTTGAAATTTCAGCTCTTTACTTGCTCCGCATCATCGGCACATTCTCAAATTCCCGGTTCATGAACGATCCCAGTTCCTTCATGGCTTGCTCCAGCACTTCCGTCTCACACACAAACCCAATACGGACGTAGCCCTTGAAATCCTCTCCCTCGCCAAAACACAGGCTTCCAGGAACAAACATCACACCGGTCTTCTCCTGGAGCGCCTCGCAAAACGCGGTATCATCGACCGGTTCGCCCTTCTTGCTGAAGCGCACGAATGCCGTCGTACCTGCCCGTGGCTTGATCCAGTCACACGCCCATCGATGCGACTCGATGAACGTTTCCAAAATGGCCAGGTTCTTTTGAGCCAGCTCGATGTTTCTCTCGAGCAGGTTGTGGATGCAGGCCGGGGCGAGAGCGTAGCTCGCAATGGCGTCGTCGATCTGGCCGACGGAGATGGTCGTGTAGTCCCTGGCACTGGCGCATCTCTCGACGATCGAACGATCGCGAGATGCAAGCCATCCGACGCGGATTCCGGCTAGGCTGTATGCCTTCGACATGGAGCCGGTCACTACAGTGTGCTCGTATCCGAGAGAGAGCAGTGACCTGGGGAATTCGCGTTCCACGGGGCCGATGGAGTGGAAAATCGGTCGGTATACTTCATCTGCCTGGATGATGATGGATGAGCGACGGGCAATCTCAACGATCTCTTCCAGGGTCGCTTGGGGAATCACGGCGCCTGTCGGGTTCTGCGGGTTGCTGTGAGGCAAGCGCGAGACTTTGGTTAGAGAGCAAGTTGGATGGTTTCATCAATTGGGGATGGGGGGGGGGACTATACTTGAGGATAATTAATTTCGTATTCGGGCGGATGAGCTGCTTTAACTCTTCGGTATCCAATTTCCAGTCGTCCGTCTCCTTGGATTTCCACAGACTCACCTCGGCCCCGAGCGACGCAGGGACCGAGTAGAGCTGCTGGTACGTGGGGTAATGGCAAATGACATGGTCTCCCGGACCGACCAGGGAGTACAGCAGCAAAAAGTTGGCCTGGATGGCACCAGCCGTGACCAGGACATTATCTGCAGGCAGATGATTGGGTGTCTCGATGGAATACAACGCGGCCAAAGCCCCGCGAAGTCGCTCCGACCCACGAATGGCGCCGTAGGTGAGCTTGGTAGAGAAGTCCAACGGGTCAGATTTGTCCTCCGACAGCTCCCGGAGATCGTTGACCGAGATAGACGCGCAGCATGTCTCGGCCACGTTGTACTTGGCGGTGGTTTCATACTTGTCCATCCACTATGTAGGAGGTGTGGCAGAGCGGGGTTAGCAAATGGCAAACAGCAAATCTGCTCGCTGTATGCGGGGAATAATGCAATAATGGATCCTGGAACATGGCTGGAATCTGGACAGGCATTAGACGTACTTGCTCTACGGCAAACTCTTTGATGTGGACCATAATGGCGGATGGATAGATCGCAGGCCTATGTACAATGTGAGTTGCTCTACAGATAGATAGACAGAGGCTTTGTGTCCTTTGATCATCGAGCGGGGTTTGGTAATTGATTCCTTGGAATGAATCCCCGGATCGGGTGGGGTCCAGGCACGGTCACGTGGATGGGGTTGCAGAGGCGACAGTGGACTTGATGGGTGTATAGTTGGTAGATATATGATCGCCACCGACAGTGTGTAGATCGAGTAGATATAGCAAAAGCAAGTAGATAGTAGATAGTTCCTTTTTTCTCTCCAGAATGAGAGTTGCTACAGTGACATACTCCGTGGTACCCGATAATACCACGTCGCGCCCGCCCGCCATTGGTGGGTGCCCCAGGCTGTCAGGCCACAGGCCACCAGGCTCAGTCTAGCGCTTCTCCGCTCTCGTCATCGCCCCAACCGTTCCCTTCCCTTCCCTTCCAACCTTGTCCTCCCCCCATCTCTCTTCCCACTCTTACCGCTCATTTCCCTGTCCTTTGCGTTGGCTTCTCGCCCTGCAATTACATCCCAGTCTCCTCCGTATACCCTCCTTTGCAGTGGATGAGGAGAGTCTTTAGTCCCTTCCCCCCCCCTCCTCATGTTCTGTCGCCGTTCCTGATTCTTTGACGTCCGTCGTCGTTGGTTACTCCGCACTGGTTATCTCCCACGGTCCGACAGCCCGACAGCCCGCCAGATCTGTAAACCAGGTGTGAGGGTAGCTCCCACACGTCTTCATCAGCATGCGGCTGCCGTCACCTCTCCACCTCTCCCTAGCTCTCAGTCTCTCCCTCTCGGCCTCCACCGTTGTAGCACGAAGCAACTACTCCGAAGCCGACCTCATATCTCCGCTCTTCTCCACACTCGAAGATCGTCCAGACGGCTGTCCGCCATGCTTCAACTGCCAACTGGACGCTTTCCAGTGTGCGCAATTCGCATCTTGTGACAAATTTACGGGGAAATGTGTCTGTCCGCCCGGTTTCGGTGGCGATGATTGCGCGCAACCTCTGTGTGGGTCGCTGGCCGACGGTCACCAGAGGTCGCCTCGCCAGGGCGATCAGTGCGCCTGCAAAGATGGCTGGGACGGCATCAATTGCAACGTCTGTCAATCCGATGATGCTTGCAGCGCCATGATGCCGGAGGGCGAAGGAGGCGTTTGCTACAAACAGGGTGTCACCGTGAAGGAGAATTTCCAGATGTGCGATGTCACCAACCGCAAGATCCTCGATCAGCTCAAGAACCGCAAGCCCCAGGTGACATTCTCCTGTGAGGCCGAGGACCAGACTTGCAACTTCCAGTTCTGGGTGGGCCGCCAGGAGTCATTCTACTGTGGGTTGGATACGTGTCAATGGGGCCTGGAGACTACCCACAATCAAAACAGGACTCACTACACGTGCGAGAACATCCACTGCGAATGCATCCCTGGGCGCATGCTCTGTGGCGAAGAAGGATCTATTGACATCGGTGACTTTCTCCGAGAGTCAATCGCGGGCCCTGCTACGTTCTCGTCGTTGTCGACCGATGGAGGCAGCCCAGAAGACGGTAGTACGTTTCAGGAGCCGGCGATGGACGAGTTGATCAAGGCTGTCTTTGGCGATAAGAGTATCACCCTGAACTGCGACGCCGGCGAGTGTCTGTACCGTACCGACGTCCCTGGATATACACGCCCGGTCAAGCAGATCAATACGCCTCTCATTGCGGGCGTGATTGCAGGATGTGCCCTCTTCGTTGTTGCTGTAATTCTGGGAGTCTGGTATCTTTCACGCAGGTCGTATGGCCGCATCCAACTGCCGCTCTCGGATGATGAAGACGACGAAGGGGCCAAGCTTCTGGCGGACCACAAGCCTGCAGCTCTGTACTGGGATAACGTCTCGTACTACCTGAACGGCAAGGAAATTCTCAGTGGCATCCAAGGTGCTTCCCAGCCCGGTCAAATCACAGCCATCATGGGTGCCTCGGGTGCAGGAAAGACCACCTTCCTTGATATCCTCGCTCGCAAGAACAAGAGAGGTGCGGTCCGTGGTGAATTTTACGTCAATGGAGAAAAGATCAGCGACAGCGACTTCAAAAGCATGATCGGCTTCGTTGACCAGGAGGACACCATGCTCCCTACCCTGACTGTGCACGAGACCATCTTAACCAGTGCCTTACTGCGACTGCCACGCGACATGAGCCGGGCTTCCAAGGAGCAGCGGGTGTTTGAAGTGGAAAAACAGCTCGGAATTTACCACATCAAGGACCAGTTGATTGGCTCCGAGGAAGGTAAGGGCCGGGGTATCTCTGGTGGTGAGAAGCGCCGGGTTGGAATAGCTTGCGAATTGGTCACAAGCCCGAGCATCCTCTTCTTGGACGAGCCTACCAGCGGATTGGTAAGACATTCCAGTTCCTAATTTGCTAGCGAGCTCCACTAATTGAACAGGACGCATACAATGCATTCAACGTGGTTGAATGTCTAGTGACCTTAGCGAAAACTTACAACCGTACCGTTGTCTTTACCATCCACCAGCCCCGCTCCAACATCGTTGCTCTGTTCGATCGACTCATTCTTCTGGCTCAAGGAAGAACCGTCTATTCGGGCCCATTCTCGACATGCCAGCAGTACTTCGACAACTCGGGTTACGCTTGCCCCCCGGGCTTCAATATCGCCGACTACCTTGTGGATCTCACGATGCATGCCAGTGTTACTCGCACCCACGGCGACATAGTTAACTCTCCCTTGTTAGATGTGCGAGTGGATCCTCCGAAGACCGCTTCGAGCAGTCTGCGGGCTGTCAAGTCGGTGGCGAGTGCATCCAACGTGAGCGTCGAGGACAGCAGTAGTACTTTCGAAGCAAACCGGCGGCCGAAGAGCAAACGGCGAGTTTCCATCAAACAAAAGCAGGACAGACAACTCTACTCCCGGAAGAAGGATCCCGATGTCCCATCCACTCCCAAGACCGATGAAGAAGATGTGCAGTTGGATGATGTGGCCGACGACACACAGCAATGGCTGCGCCTTTCTCGTCAGCCAGGCAGCGTTCCCCCTCAGATTGTCGATGATCCCGACGAGCTGCCGCCGATTGCCCCGGGCCAGACGGACCTTGATATTCTGGTTGCCAACTACTCAGTGTCTGATATCGCACGCTCCGTCCACGACGAGATCGTCGCGGCCATTCAAAATTCACGCGCGGCCAATGGATTTGCCAACGGGGAGATGCTGTCCGCTCCTAATGGTGGATCTGGCAAGGGCTATGCCCGCGTCGGTCTTGTGCGGCAGTTTGTTATCCTGTCTCAGCGAACCTGGCGTAATCTGTATCGGAACCCGATGCTCATGCTCACGCATTATGCGATCTCCATTCTCCTGGCTGTGCTGTGTGGCTACCTCTTCTACGGCCTGACCGATGATATCAAGGGCTTCCAAAATCGGCTGGGTCTCTTCTTTTTCATTCTTGCCCTGTTCGGATTCAGTACACTAACCAGCCTGACGGTATTCTCCGGGGAGCGACTCCTGTTTGTCCGGGAGCGTGCCAACGGCTACTACCACCCGATCACCTACTTCGCGGCCAAGGTTGCGTTTGACATCGTGCCTCTCCGCCTCCTCCCACCGATCATCATGGGTGTTATCGTGTATCCCATGACCGGTCTTATCCCAGCCTGGGGCGAGTTCTTCCGGTTCATCCTAGTGCTGGTTCTCTTCAACCTGGCAGCAGCCAACATTTGCCTGTTCATCGGCATTATCTTCCGGGATAGCGGCGTGGCCAACTTGATTGGCAGTCTGGTGATGCTGTTTAGTTTACTCTTCGCGGGTCTCCTGCTCAACCACGACGCCATCCCTCCGTCTGCTCTGTGGTTGCAAACCGTGAGTTCCCCCTACTCCACTGTTTATCTCTTTTCTAACCGCCTTCTTAGCTTTCCATCTTCCACTACGGCTTCGAGGCCCTGATTGTCAACGAAGTGACATATCTGACCTTGATCGATCACAAATACGGCCTGGACATCGAGGTCCCCGGAGCGTCGATTCTGAGTGCGTTCGGGTTCGACACGCTGGCCCTGTGGAAGGATGTCATTGGGCTGGCCGTCATCTCGGGAGCCTTCATCGTGATTGCCTATGGCGCAATGCACATCCTGCTGGTCGAGAAGCGATGATCGCTTGCTATGCGTACGGGGATCCAGCTCCGGTTGGATCGCTTTCACTTTTGTTCCATTATACATTGGTTAATACCGCTGGGTAATGTAATGGGCTACGGACGTTTTGAAACGATAACTTGGTGATGAGCATGCGCATGAGACATTTTCTGTTCTGCTTTGATATTTTTGTGCTTTCTTTTTTTCCCCTATTCTTTCATGGCCATACTACTTAGCTACCTAGCCAACGACGGGCTACCTGTGTAAATAGAGATCATGATAGGTCTGATGGCATTAGCACTCCACCAGTCGGGGCTTACAGTAGCTGCGCCGATCGTCGGCCGTCGACACTCCAGTAGAAGCCGCCAGATGCGGATGGAAGCACGTGTTTTCCCCACGTCATCGACATCTGGCTTGCCTGGGGCGCCAAGGTTGCGACTGGAGCTGGATATCGTAGTAGTGAGGACGGATATAGCATCATGATCATCATCACTTGAGTTCAAGCACTCAGTCGCCTAGTTGTAGAGTAAATCCCTAGACCAAGGATCCGGTCTTCCCTTGCATCTCCGGCCAGATGCTCGGGGCGGATGATTGGCGGCGGTTCCGGTGTCGTTGGCTGACTGCCACCTGACCGTGATAGTATGTGGAAAATGACCGAACCTCGACTCGCCACTGGTCCCTCGTGTCCTGCCAAATCCCCTGTCCCTTGACACCTGGTATCTCTGGTCTTTTGTCCATTCTGTCGGTCGTGTTGCGGTGTCGAGGAGTGTTTGGAAGAGCGTGCTGCTATCTATAGAGGAGGAATCTGGACTGCCCCGGACGGCCTCACCGCCTGCCAGCTCCAATCGCGGCTTTTCCCCATCGGCTCGAGTCCACAAGCTAGTCAACTCACCAACCTTCGCCTTCACTTTCACTCTCGCCTCTTCCTTGCTCCTTCTCCCCTCCTACCTCCAGCTCTAGTCTTCCCTGCTCCTCAGCACTCCCGACTTCTCCCCCCCCCCCCGCACTCCTCTTCTTCCCACCTCTCCCCGTTCACATCCATTTCGTGCCTCTTGACCATCCCTTCTCCTGCCCACCATGTCCGGCGAAGCTTGGCTCTATCTGTTGGCGGTGTTGATCAACGCCGTCAACCTGTTCTTGCAGGTCTTCTTCACCATCATGTACAGCGACTTGGAATGGTATGAATTGCCCCTCTCGCTCACCGTGCTCATGCCTGCTACACCCACCCCCCCCTGGTGTGGCTCGCTTGGAGCTCGCGGTGTGATTGCGACAGCATGATGTGTGAGCCGGGCTAATCTGGTTCGCTCCCGCAGTGACTACATCAACCCCATCGACCTCTGCAACCGCCTCAACGCCTACATCGTCCCCGAAGCCGCCGTCCACGGATTCCTGACCTTCCTGTTCATCATCAATGGCTACTGGGTGGCCATCGTCCTGAACCTGCCTCTGTTGGCGTTCAATGCCAAGAAGTACGCGGCCCTCTCAGTCCCGCCGCGCATCGGCCGAATCCGGGCACCCCAGCTAACCAGGCCCGTCTTCCTGTAGGATCTACGACAACCAGCACCTGCTGGATGCGACCGAGATTTTCCGCAAGCTCAACGTGCACAAGAAGGTGAGAGCGCCCCGCCTTGATGCTGCTCGCATGGCAAGCGGCCCGCTGACGCGAAACTGCAGGAATCTTTCATCAAGCTGGGCTTCCACCTCCTGATGTTCTTCTTCTACCTCTACAGCATGATCGTCGCTCTGATCCGCGACGAGTCTCATTGAATTCGGGAGAAGGCGGAGCACGTAATGCGAAACGGCCGGCCGGGCTGAATGTCGCGTGATGCGCTGTCTCGTCTTTGCCCGCCAGTGGGGACGATGAGACGGGGCATGGTTTTGCGAGTATCGGTCTCGCCGCTGCATTTCCGACACTATTTGCGTCGTAGAACTCCGGCTGCCCAAGGCTATAATCCGCATGTCGGCGCATGCAGCCGGCGAGACCTTGTATATGACGTGACTATGAAAGCATATCATTGATGACAGCGAACGTGTGGGGTCCTCTAGATCTTGATGTTTTGGGTTTGCGAAGAATGACGGGCGATGAATGAAGCAATCCTATTATTGCCTGGAGGCAACGTCCAGGGAGCTGTCTGTTACTTGTGCGCTTTTTTTTTTTTTATTTTTGCTATTTTCCATTGGTTTCCGATATTGATATATTCCTGTTGATGTCTTCAATAATGCTGTATATACCTCAGCGGTGTGACAATGAAGAGCGTACGATACCCGAAGTGTCACCAGCCGTACCAGTAAGCCTGATGCCGTAACAATCGGAGACGCAAGTCTGGTGGAGAGGAGACGAAGATGGAGACGAAGACGAAGCCGAACTGCGCGGGTGGCTGCTGCGCCGCCCGTAAAAAGCCCGACTGGAACTTCTCCGCGCCGCAGCTTCCTCCGCCTTCAACTTCCCGACATCTCAGGGAAGTCCACGCCGGCTCCCCCTTCTCTCCGTCTCTCACCCCAATCACCATGGCATCTTTACTCGGAGCTGGCTACGAATCCAGCGACGATGACTCGGCCAAGCCAACGCTCCAGACGGCGCCGTCAGCGACCAAGATTGTTGCGGCGCCTGAAGTGAACACAGAGGTTTGGTCCACCATTTCCTTGTTGCCATGGCCCTCATGAATTGCTTTCTTCTTTTTGTCGTCACCGTACCTGAATCCCATATATCTAACAAATCTACAGGACCAGGCACACATGCAGATGATGCTCGCGAACACCTCATCCACCGCGCTCACGTACAACGCAACCTACGATGATCTCTCGCGGCCGTCCCAAGGCCCCGCCAACCCGTTCAAACCTGCCGGACCAGCAAACGGGCTTAAGCGCAAGAACGTCCCCACCGGTTTCGCCGAAGAAGCTTCCATCAGCGAGGCGACCTTCGCCACACAACACCGCACCTTCCAAAGTCTAGGCTACACACGCAACCCCGGCCTCCCGGGCCAATTCGTCGGCAACCTCGACAATGCGGCCCACTTCGGCGGCCGCGATGTCATCCAGATGAAGCCCTCGAAAGAGGTATCGGCAGCTCTCCGCTCTAAGCGGCAACGGAAGGGTGACCCCAGCATCGTCGAAGGCGAGGGCTCCTACCTCGGCCCGTGGGCGAAATACCAGCACGACGACCGAGTGTACGATGAACAAGCCGCGCTGGACGACCACGAGCTGGCCAGCGACGAGGAATACGTGGAGGTGGAGGAAGAGGAGTCCCTGGCCCCGGCTCACATGCCCGCCATGAGCAAAGAGTCGACCGACTACCAAGACGACACCTCCAAGGTCGAGACGAGCGAATTCCACGGCTCCGAACAATTCGACTACCAGGGCCGCACGTACATGCACGTCCCACAGGATCTGGATATCGACCTGCGCAAAGAGCCCGGCAGCAGCAAGAACTTCATCCCCAAGAAACTCATCCACACCTGGAAATCGCACACCAAGGCCATCACCTCGCTCCGCTTCCTCCCGCGCTCCGGCCACCTCCTCCTCTCCTCCGCCGCCGACGGCAAGGCCAAGATCTGGGACGCCTACCACTCACGCGAACTCCTCCGTACCTTCTCCGGACACTCCAAAGCCATCTCCGACACCGACTTCCACCGCACGGGCACCACCTTCCTCACAGCCTCCTACGACCGACAGATCAAGCTCTGGGACACCGAATACGGCAAATGCATCGGGCGGTACACCACGGGCAAAACCCCGCACGTCGTGCGCTTCAACCCGGGGGCGGAAAACTCCCACGAATTCCTGGCCGGTATGTCCGACAAGAAGATCGTCCAGTTCGACACGCGGTCCGGCGAGCTCATCCAGGAATACGACCACCACCTCGCGGCGGTCAACACGCTCACCTTCGTCGACGACAACCGGCGCTTCATCTCCACCTCTGACGACAAATCCCTCCGCGCCTGGGAATACGGCATCCCCGTGCCCATCAAATTCATCGCCGAGCCCTACATGTTCGCCCTCACCCGCGCTGCCCCCCACCCCAACGGCAAATACGTCGCCTTCCAGTCCGGCGACAACCAGATCGTCGTCTACGGCGCCACCGATAAGTTCCGTCAGAACCGCAAGAAGAGCTTCCGCGGCCACAACAATGCCGGCTACGCCATCGATATCAAGATCTCCCCTGATGGCCAGTTCCTCGTCTCCGGTGACAGCGGTGGCTATGTCTGTTTCTGGGACTGGAAGACCGGCAAAATGTACCATAAGATTCAGGCCGGTGGGAAGGAAGGTGCTGCCACGACTTGTCTCGATTGGCATCCCCAGGAAACTAGCAAGCTTGTTACGGGTGGCTTGGATGGGTTGATTAAGTACTGGGATTGATTGATTGATATCTTTCTTCTTTTCACTATTTTCCTGCTTTATTTTTCTCTTTTTTTTTCTTCCGGTGCGATGGATGTGTAATAGATATATGGTTCGTATATTAACAATATCTGTGGCGAAAATGCATTATGCCTGGCTGGGGGTATACATACTATACTATATTACCCACCTACCTCCCTTCATGTCTACCGATGTCTCTATCTACCTACATCCCTACCCCTACCTTCCTACCTCTTCACGTAATAGAAATGCGTAAATAGAAGCAATGATTGTAGATAAACTAGATCAGATCCATCAAGAGACTATATCATAGGACTAGTAATCTTCTTCCGATCATCAACGGCCTTCCCTTCTCTCAGCCTCATCCTTTCATAATCAGATACTGTACAGTTCTCATCCCATTCATTCATCCATCCATCCATCCATCCATCTCACTCCATCTCATTCCATCCCATCTCGTCTCATCTCGTCCCATCTCACCCAAAGCCATTCAGATAACCCACTTTGAAACGAAAACGATCGAAAATCATATCATACCATATGTATGTACACCCACTCACCCACCAACCCACCACCCATCATCCATCATCCATCATCCACAATCCACGCACTCAAACCCCCTCTCTCATGGCCCGCAACCTAAAAACTAGCCATCTCAATCCAACTCGCCACGAACGCCAAAGTCCTTCCCCTATCCATCGCCATGCGCTGGGCAAATTCTTCGAAACTAAGTTTCGCGCCGCTCCCACCACGCGCCTTGGACTCCTGCTCCACCTGGTTCAGGTACGCGAGGCGGGAGAGTCTCGCGGGCGAGGGGGGCCGTATAGGGCCGGAGGGGACGTGTTTGGGGAGGGCGGTGGAGGGAGAAGGGAGGGGTTGAATGGGGGAGGGGGAGAGTTTGGGGGCGGTGGCTTCGGCCTCGGGGGAGATGAAGGGGGAGTGTGGGACCGGGAAGGAGGTTGTGCCGTTGGGTTGGAGGCGGAGGGAGGTGGGGAGGGGTGGGGGGTGGTGGTGGAGGTGGTGATGGGGGATGGGGGAGGAGGAGCCAGAGCCTGAGAGGATGAGTTCGTCGGAGGTGGAAGAGTCAGGGTTAGAGATTGAGTCGGAGGCTTGGTCGGAGGCTTGGTCGGAGTCTCCTTCGTTGGGACGGTGGTGGGGGAGGGTTGGGTCGTAGTAGGAGACGGAGGCGACCGAGGGGGGACGGGAGGGGGAGGGGGAGCCTGTGTCTGAGTCTTCTGCGACGACGATCTCGTCGTCGTCTTCTTCGAAGAAGGAGGAGGTGGATGATAGAGGCGCCGGGGGGATCCGCGGGGAGGGAGACATCATGCGCATGCGGGTAGGGGCGATCTCGCGGAGGAAGTTGGGGATGGGGGGGAAGTCGAGGGCCAGGGCAGCTGCGGCGGAGGCTGCGGCGCGGGAATGATGGCCTCTTTCGTCGTCGTCTTCGTCCTCTGGGATGCCGAGGTAGACGACGTCGTCGTTGGGGAGGCTGGGGTCTGGCATGGGAGGCGGAAGCACGGGGCTCTCCTGGACGGGCTCGAGAGTCGGGCTTTGTATGGAGTATCCGGAGCGGTCGAGCAGTTCGTCCAAGGGTCTGTCGCGGAATGGGTTGTGCAAGGGGGATTCCGGTGGCTCGTCACTGCTTGCTTGCTTGTCGGTGGTCTCTTGTGCACGTTGCTTCCCTAGCTCCGCTCGCTCGATTTCGCGGGCCCAGGTCTTGCGGTCTGCCCGGGTTCGGTAAACTTCCATCAGCAGGTCTTCCTTGGGTTTGAAGAGGAGATCAAGCAGTTCGTTGAACCCTTGCTGGGTGACTTGGTAGAGGATCTCTTTGCCGACGTCTCTCTCGACCTCGGGGATTTCAAACCCACCCCACCGCTCACCCACGAGGATGCTGCGCGAGGAGGTCGACGGGTTGGAGCGTACGTCGTAGTCGTCCGTGAGGTCGTCTTGGAACCGCACCTTGGATGAAGATCGAGAGCGGGGCGACGGTGGGTGAGACTCAGAGGAGGGCTGTGGTTCGTCGACTTCGTCGTCGTCGTCGTCGTCATCATCATCTTCGTCTTCTGTCAAGGCATCCACGTCCATGTCGCTACGATAGCCGTGTGGGGCGGCTGCGCCATCCTCCTCGTCGGTGTAAAACCTCCTGCGCTGCCATCGCTCGTGGATGCCAGCACTGCGGGTCATATTGACACGGAGTCGGTCCTGCGCGCACATTCGGTTGTAAACTGCCGTGCCAACACGAGCCCTGTCGACTGGATTGGTGATCTCATGAAGCGGGATGTAGGTCCCCAGTGCGTGGATGATGTCTTGTTCGCGAACGTGCTCTGGCGGAGGCCAGCGATCGCTGCCGCCGGACGAATCGGAGGCATCGTCAGGCGCGTCGTCGCCGTTGACATCTCTTCGAGTGTTGCTTCCTGAAGCGTGAGCCACACCTGAGCCGGACGGGGTCGTCAAACGAGCAGTGGTCGGAAACAAGGGTCGCACGCTGCCGTAATGGCTTCGAACGGCAGCATCGCCAACCACCGCGTGTCGGTCACCGGTGTCAGTGCCGTCCAACCGTATGACGCCCTCGTTGTCCACAATTTCCATGTCTCCGTCCTGGTTGACGCGCTTGCCTTCTCCAGTCCTTGAGGCTTCGCCTGAGGGAATGCTGCCTGGAAACGCGGAGCTGATCGGCTGGCTCCCCAATACAACATCTCGGGCACCCCCCTCCAGAAAGTCATCCTCCATGCCGGCAACCATGTCCCGGGTCAGCTCGCGACTGAGTGCATAGTAGGCCCGGAATACGCGCAGGAAATCCTTCCGTTCAATGTAGCCGTCGCCGTCGATATCATAGCCACGGAACACGCGACGTAGCCGCTCGTCGTTGCTCTTGTTGTTGAGACTGGCAATACCCTTCAAGAACTCCTCAAACCCAATCAGGCCATCCCCGTTGGTGTCGTAGAAGGCAAACATGCGGTCGTAGATCAGGCTGGGTGGCGGCGGGCGGATGGACGTGTTCGGCACGAAACACCGGTCGAACGTCTTTCGATCAATCGCCATATACAGCCTGTTCGGGTCTTCTTCCCACTCGTGGTTAGCCAGGCACCGGAACTGATCCCAGAGCGCATCCATCTCCATATTCTCAAAGCTAGTTTCCTTCATCAGACGCTTCGCCATAGTCCGGGACAAGCTGCGCGGCAGCATGGCAGGCTTCCCGGGGTACCACACCGGCTGAGACTGCCGGGGGTTGCCCAGGAAGGGCGCCGGGATCCGGACCTTGTAGAACAGATGCGTCTTGATATGGACTCCCATGGCCTCGCACGTCTCACACAGATCATAGTCGATGCAGTTCGCGCACCGGTACCGAATGCCTTGAATGGGCATAGCGCCACAGCTATTGCACGTCACTCCGCGATGAATATACCCATCCCGTCTAGCCTGGTCCTCCGCAATATGGTAGAGGAGATTGAGCAGATTCTGCCCCTCCCTAGCCGGCGAAGCATCGTTATTCCCATCTCTCCACGAAAAGACACTCTGATCATCCACCACCGTCTCCCCACCATCCATATTCTGCACCGGCGAGGTCTCATCCGGGAAAGTCGACGTCGACAGCGTCACCCTCTCCCCATTCTGACGACGCCGCCGCAGCTCCTCCCCATAGTTCTCGTCATCATTGAATCGGACCAGCGCCCTCTCGATTCCCGCTCGCGAGATCCCGCGTCGCTGAAGCTGCTCGATCAGGTAATCCCGCTCGGGACTCCCTTCTTCCAGCGTATGCGTAGGCGGGAAATCCAGCGCCAGAAACGATTCCAGGAACGTGTCTTCCATCATCTCGCGCATCCGCTCCGCATGGGCTTGGGGCACGCCGACCACCTCCATGAGCTGATCTCGCGTGGCCAGGAGGGACGGGAGGAGACCGCTCTCGACGCGCCTTCCATCTTCCGTTTCTATGCGAAAGGTGCCGTAGACTCCGTTCTGGCGCTCGAGCAGTTCGAGGTGCGCGATGGCTCGCGATGACGGCGTTTCCGCGGCGGCGGCTGCGGAGGCGGCTGCGGAGGCATCGTCGGATTCGCCGCGTCGCTGGCGGCGGACAGCTCTGCGGCGGCGGAGGGATGGTTGGGATGAGGAGGAAGACGCGGGGGAGGGGAAGAGGGAATTGTGGATATAGACGATCGCGTAGGCAGCTGCAACGCCGGAGAGCAGGTAGAGAATGGGGCGGTACCGTGACAGGGCCGGCCGTGGGTGGCCTTCCGACATGGCGGGCAACAACGGAGGATGACAGCTAGGTAGAGGGGGTCATCCTTGTGGAGGCCGACCTGGAAGTGGTGAGTAGGAGCTCGGTGGAGCTTGCGGAGCTGTTGAGGTGAAAGAGCGACAGTGAAATGTGAGTGACGAGTGAGACAAAGACAACTCGGTCAGTTGGTGGGCTCCGTTGTTCCGCCCACCACCGCCTCGAGCTGCGGAGGCGCCGCCGCCTCTTCCACTTCCGACCTTCCCTCAGCTTCCCCCCCGCCAGAAGGGTCATGTCACCTTCATGAACAGCATCCCATCAGGTCTCGCCGTTTCTGATGGAGTTCGTCATATGTCTATAATTATGATGCTGTCTGTCACTCAGCAAGACGAAACCAGCATGCTCACTGGAGTTATGGTGTCCCCGAAGCTCGAGAGATTTCCCGTCACTGGCCGCCTCAATTTCCGCTACGATCTACTCGAGTCGAGGGATTTCGCTTGTCCTTGAGAGTCTGTCGCATCGAACTGCAATCTGCGCCGGCCGATTCGACCTGGCCAGGATTGGGATGACGTTACTATCAACTGCACCGACGAGGCGACGATCATACGTTGGTAGTGCAGCCACAAGAGACACTCTGACATATACCTACCCTGACTGGGCTGCTGGAACCGGACCAGCTGAATAAGGGAGCGCAATAGATTGAAAACAAGGCGGAGATGTTCAACTCTTCGGATTTATCACTCTTGTTCGGGCCCCTGTCACGGTGTCCGAACCTCTACTGTTCTTGTCTTTCAGACACTATAGTACGATTCGGCATTACGCTTAACTCCGCCCACTCACCGTGGATCTCACGAGCACTAATAAGATCGGTAGATACAGGTTGGAATTCAGTATCTAGGATCTCGACAGAAAGTACTCACTACTTCGCACTCTCACTGCAAAGTTTGATTCTATTACCTTGCCTCCAACAACAATGGCTATCTTACTGACGGGCGGCACGGGCAAAACATCAGTCCGCCTAGCTCAATTCCTACAGAAGGCCAATATCCCCTTCTTATTGGCCTCGCGCGGGGCTCGTTCTGGCGCTCCTACCGGCATGCCTGCGGTCCATTTCGATTGGTTAGACCGGTCTACCTGGAAGTCGCCCTTTGAGCATCGCTTTCCCGGAGGCGATACTATCTCAGCCATATACCTGATGGAACCGCTTGTGGCGGAGCCGTGGGAACCCATGAATGCCTTCATCGATTACACTCTTAAGGAACACAAAGTCGCCCGATTTGTCCTGGTAGCCGGCAGCTCTGCGGATCCTTCCCGCCCAGGAATGGGACGAGTATGGCAACACCTCCTCGATCTTGGGGTCGACTACTGTGTCCTGCGACCCAGTTGGTTCATGGGTACGTTCCCTTCATTCTTCCAACTCTTCAAGCGCCTTTCTCGGACGCGAGATGACATATCACTGATAATCAACTTCAATGCAGAAAACCTCTCCGACGGAGACACAGCGGCCCTTATCCGCGAGCATGGCAAGATCTACACAGCGTGCGGGAACGGCAAGATCCCATTCGTGAGCGCAATCGATATCGCCGCCGTCGCGTTCCGCGCGCTCACAAACCCTACGTCTCCGAATTGCGACTACCGCGTCCTCGGCCCCGAACTCCTGACCTACGACGAGGTCGCGCACAAACTGGCGGCGGCTCTCGGACGGCCCGTCGAGCACGTCCACCTGTCGGGCGAGGAGCGCTATCAGGGCTTGATCAACGCCGGGGTCTCGGAGTACTATGCTCGATTCATTGTGAATTTGGAAACAGCCGCCGCCACGGGATTTGAGACCCGGATGAATACGACGGTGGAAGAGGTGACGGGCAGGCCGCCCAGGAGTCTGGAACTTTTCGCTTCTGAGCATCGAAGCGTGTGGTAAGGGTCTGGCGAAAAGTAGTGTCTTGTGCTGTATGTACTAGTGAAGGCAAACAACTGAGCAGAATCGAAGATGGAGGGGGGCACACCTCTCTCAGTATCCAACAATAAAACACCGTCAACCTCCCCACCCACAGCCCCAGGGTCTCTTTCCACCTTTTCAGCGGAAGTTCGTTGTCTCAACCTGCCCTTCCACAGACACGCGCTGGGGCTGATGCACGTGGAAGCCGTCAACTCGTTATATAAGTATATATCTAGTCTGGCCCGGGAGCTCTCACCACAAGGCGTTAGCTACAAGAACACGCAGATAATGTTAAATTTGCACAAAGCACTTGAGATCTATCCAGTGGCTGCTTAATTCACGAGCGTATCTGCTAGTTTCTAATGGTTGGGATGGGATGGGACTAGCGAGAGAGAGAGAGAGAGAGATTTTGAGATAAAAATGGGTCTCTTGAGATGAATGAATGATTATTGAGTGAGTTATATTAGGCCTGTATGTAGTCTATTGATTCTACATTCTACAACGCCCTTGAATCCGGGGTGTGGAGAGGAGGGAGCTATTTGTGATTGCATTCTTCACCGAATCACTGTGTAAACAGGGGGCATAGATAAGTAGGAGCATCTAATCCCCACGATCCTTGACGTAGAGCGATGATATTTACATTCCAGTAGGATAGACAGGGCGTTCAACCTGATGTAATTAGCAGATCTATGAATTTTTTTTTTTTTGAATTTGGAATAGTATATAGTATATAGTACTAAGGTTCTATCATAGGGAATCTGCATGTCCTCAGCAAAACCCTGTAGACTGTAAAGCACCACATGAAACCATCAGAGTGAGAGGAAGGGATCTTAGTATCTGTGCTAATGTAACTTTTACTGCCTGCTCTAACCATACTCAAAATAGAAATGCTATCAACATCCAATGCTATCAGATCTATCTATAGTAAACGCACAGAACCCGAAATGCTATATACGGACGGAATGCTTATTTCACCAATCCCTTTCCTATCCCCAATCTCAACAGTATACTGTCCACTGTCCACCTCTCTTCCACAATCACATCCCATCGCACCTTTTTATTTCAACCCCCCCCCCCCCCCAAACTATACACGATGCAATATATCACCCTTATCTCAACTTCTTCTCCCGAATAAACAAACTACTCACAACCGCAAAAAAGACCACGCCAATCATGAACGAAAAGCCCTTATTCGTGGCAAATCCATAGCAACTCCGCACGACCCTCGCGACGGCGGGATCCAGCGTCTTGATGAAATCGAGGGACTGGCGCACGCCGTCGACGATGCGGTCGATGTCTTCGCTGTCGCGCAGGGCGTAGTGCAGTCGGTCGCGCAGGATCTGTTGCACGACGGTGGCGGAGAGGGAGAGGCCGATGACGGAGCCGAGGGAGCGGAAGAGGTAGGAGCAGGCGGTTACCACGGCTTGGTCTTCGGGGGGGGAGTTGGAGACTTTGAAAGAGGTGAGGTTAGTGTGTGTGACGTGTGAGTGGGGGGTGTTGGTTGGGAGGGATTTGGGGTTGGAGTTGAAGTTAAGTGGGCATGTGATTGGGTATACGGGTTGGGGAAGGAACATACTAAGACTGATGAGGGTGGTGGTAACACCGATGCCGTTACCGAAGGCGCAGGCAATCATGCCCACGACCATGAGGGTGGTGTTGGAGGTGACGCCGCCCGAGGCGAGGAAAATGGTGGTCATTCCGAGGGTGAGACCGGTGTAGGCGGCGACGGTCAGCCAGTAGAACTTGCCGGTCCACTTCATGATGTAGCCAGACAAGAGGGAGCCGCTGACACCGGCGAGGATGCTGGGGAGGAGACGCACTCCGGCAACGGTGGCGGAGACGCCATCCACGGCTTGGAAGTAGAGGGGGATGTAGAACAGGCCGGCGAGCCAGCCGCCGAAGCTAAAGAAGTTGCAGCTGTAGGCTGCGAAGAAGGTGCGGTTGAAGATGATGTGGCCCGGGGCGAAGGGCTCGGCGGCGTAGAAGACCTCAACCACGATGAAGAGGACGAAGAGGGCGGCGGACACAGCCAGCGATACAATGGTGGTGGGCATTGTCCAGGAGACGTTACTGCCGCGGTCCAGGCCGAGCAAGAAGCCGAAGACGGCGCCCACTAGGACGATGGCGCCGGGGAAGTCGATGCGGCGGAGCTTGGTCTTCCAGTGGCTGTCTTCTTTGGCGGGAAGCTCCAGCATGACGGTGACAGCAATGAAGGCGAGGACGCAGAAGGGGACTTGAGCGATGAAGGCCCTAGGCAAGAGTTAGAATGGTAAATAATTTGGACAGAGGGTAGGGGAGCATACCATCGCCATCCGATGTAGTCGGCCAAGATGCCACCTGTGGAAATAGGTCAAAAGAGGCTCGTTATGTTGTCAGTGAGTTTGGGCTCATACCTAAGGGTGCTCCTGTACCCGAGCCAGTCGCATAGATGATATTGATGATACCCTGCCACACGCCCCGATCGCGGAGAGGAACGATATCGCTCATGAGGATGCTCACGACGGTAGTCATGCCGCCGCCTCCGATGCCTTGGAAAACCTACACACCGTGAGTTACTACAGATGGTCCGAATTACACCTGACACAAGGACCACCTACACGAGCAGCGATAAGCTGGTGGATGTTTTGAGCGATGCCGCAGAACAAGCACCCGATGCCAAAGACAGCATACGCAAACAGCAAACAGCCCTTCCGACCGAAGATGTCACTCAGTTTACCGTATAGGGGCTGGAACGAAGTCAGTGTGAGGAAGTAGGATGTCGCAATCCAGCTTGTCAGATTGAGCGCCTCCAGATCACTGCCAATTTGCCCATAACTGGCCATGATAATTGTCTGGTCGGCTGCCGAGAGGAAAATCTGCGCCGGAATCAGCATGGTTCGGTTCAAAAGGAAACGGACGAGAGAAAAGTTCGCAGGTTCATACCCCGATAGAGATTGCGGGAAGGATATATTTCAGATTATTCTGCGTACTGGAAATATCCTTGTCCTGGTCCTCTTGTGACTCAGGCGTCTGCTGGGCCGACTCAACATCCTGCTGGCCGAGGTTGGGGATAGCCCCCGTGGTAGACCCGTTGCTTTGGGGCCCCAGCAACGGGGATGTCTCAGTGGGGGTCCTTTCTGGGGGCATGGTGGATGTAGGCTATTGGATGGCAGTCTCCATAGCCAGGGACCAGGTCGGGAGGGATAAATAAGGGGAATCGGTTGACTGAAGGATGGAAACGCGACCACTAGTTCGAGCCGGCCTGGGGCCTCCATGAGGCCATCACGTGGCGATAAGCCCCCCATGGACCTGACAAATCGGGCACCGCTGAGGGGAAATTGATATGCGCGGCGATCTGATTGGACGCGTCGGCAAACGGCTGAGATAAGATGAGGTCCTAACTCGATCCGGCGACGGGAGGGCCCGCAAATGGCGATGTCACTCCTCACTCCTCTCTCCTCACTCCTCTCCCTCACCATACTCCTTGAGATATCGCAATCGCAGCCTGATCCGATCTCGGAGGACGGGGTGCTCGGGGCTGTGTGAGCCCGTGCGGCTGATAGTCTAGTCTCTATTCAACAGTCCACATCATAATGGCTCATAATGGCCCAGTATCAATCATGTCGGAGCCAGCGGGGTCCTGTTTGGGTTTAGCCTATTGCGCGGCCGAGGCCTTGCCTGTTTCCTTCTGCTCTTTTCGTCTTCATGTAGACTGGAGCCGCGCAGATGGACCAAAATCTATCCCTTCATTGGCCTCGCGCACCTGCCACATCATGACGGCTGAGTCATTCATTGTCGTTCATGCTAACTACAGCAATCTGCTTTTGACTCGTTCAACATCACATTCATAACACCAACACATGCAATTATGTCCCGCGCGGAAGTACAAAGGAACATGGCAACGAACTATTTACACACTAGTGTGCGAACACCTCAATCCAAACCCATATTTGGATGGTGATCAATCGGAAGGAAACCTAATGTCGTAATCATCAACGTTCTATCTCGTTTACTCTAACTTCACGCAATGGTGTCGCAAAATCAAGCCTCCGTCTTCGGTGCCTCGGCGGCCGGCATAGGGATAGGACCGCCGGGGGAGGTCGGCAGGCGAGCCGTGAGAATCTCGACGCCGTCCTCGGTCACCAGAAGAGTGTGCTCGAACTGGGCAGACAGGGCTCCATCCGCCGTAGAGCTGGTCCAGTCATCAGGCCATGTACGATCGCGGTGGGTACCGAGGTTGATCATAGGCTCGATCGTAAAGACCATGCCGGGCTTGGCCGTGCCCACTGCCTTGTTCTTCGCGTAATGGGGAACGTTGGGAGCGCAGTGGAACATCTGGTTGATACCGTGGCCACAGTAGCTCTTGACCACACTGCAGTCGCGGGACTTGGCGTGCTTCTCGATCACGTTGCCAGGGTCGCGGAACAGCATACCGGGCTTGACCAAGTCAATAGACATGTCCAGACACTCCCGGGAGGTTTCCACCACGCGCACAGCATCGGGGTTGGCCTTGGCCTTGTCGCCGACGTAGTAGGTTTCGTTGAGATCGCCGTGGAACCCGTTGTGGTAAAGGGTAACATCGATGTTGACGATGTCGCCGTCCTCGAGGGGTCGCTGATCGGGGATACCGTGACAGATGATCTCGTTGATGGACGTGCAGACGGACTTGGGGAAGTTGTAGTAGTTGAGTGGTGACGGGTAAGACTGGACACATCAGTATCAGGCGACGGACCAATATCCCCAGCACTTACATCGCGCTCCAAGCAAGCCTTGTGAACCACCTCATCGATGTAGTCGGTCGTGACACCGGGCTTCAATTCTGCCGCGGCGATGTCCAGCACCTCACGGGCAAGACGGCACACTTTCCGCATCCCCTCCTGCTCCTCCTTGTTCAGGATCTTGATGTTATTGCGGCCGACGAACTTCTGCTCCGAGCGAGCAATACCGTCCTTGGCATATTCGGGGTGGGGGATGGTCTTCGGGACGGTTCGGCGAGGCGACAGCGGGTAGACGGGTCTCAGGTTTCCGGGGTACATGAAGGACGGGAAGGGGTTGTAGAGCCCCGTGGCTGGATCTGGTTCAGAAACTACTTTTGGGGTGAAGAGATTGCTCAGGATATTACTCTTCTTGTGAATGGTCTTGTGCTCGCCCTGCAACGACCGAGTCAGCAAGCAATCGCGGACGACGGAGAAACCGTCCAACCCACTTGAGTCAGAGGGGTCACGTAGGGCAGCCTACCCAGCTCTTCTTGAAGCAGTCCTGCGAGCAGAAAAAGCTATCAGTGCCTGCCTTCAGGCACGTCGGACACTGCAGCGTCCCTGCATTCTTGTCACAGTCGACCCCGATACACTTCCGCGGTGCGACTTCGGCCGTCATGTCGAAAGGTGAGAGTACAGCAAGGGGGGAGTGGAATGAAGAATCGAAAGACAAAGGTTGCTATGGGCCCGGAAATAGAGGTTCGCTTTTCGCAGAGACGATGGTACGTTGGCGCAAGATGGAAAAAATGGGACAATCCCCCGCGGATGGTCCTGGCGCTTAACTCGGGCCATCTGTCTGGCAGGCACCACCCGCTAGCCGTATCCGGCTTAGGCCCGCCACGGGATCAGAGTCTGGAAAGGGACTAGTGCCACCTGCATTATGCGCTGTCAAGCGCGCGGCAGCCAAGTCAGGTGATCCAGCGCCGGTCCCGATACCAGCCGGCCGGGGCGGCCAGAGGGCGTTCCGGTTGGCTGAAAAGTGGCGCGGGTCCACCCGTGGAGGCCGCGCCGGGTGTGACACAGTGACGCAGTGACGCAGCCCGGTTAGAAATCAATACCAAGAACCCGAACCCTGATCTACAAAAAAACACCACTGGCCACGAGGCACAGGCCCGCAGACGCATATCATCAAGAGGGGCAGAGCGATTGATCCACTTGGCTGGTTGTTGAAGTCGGCCCCTTCTCTCGCCATGGCCCAGCCCTCAGCAAGCGGACAAAAGGTGGTGATCGTAGGCGCAGGCCCGGTGGGGTCACTTGCTGCGCTGTACGCTGCAGCCAGAGGCGACGATGTCGAAGTCTACGAGTTGCGCGGAGGTTAGTGGTTCTGACCTGTCCTGCTTCCCTGGCTACATATCTCCCTGTTTTCTCTCTTGACGCAAAGGTTGAAGCGACCTGTATCACCATCAGTTCCGCTTCATCCACCATTCACAACACCACCACCACCACAATGACTCGATTTTCTGTTGCACGTGCTCTGGGATATAGAGCGTTTCTCACACCATATCTTGGTTCCTAGATCTGCGTGATCCAAACACGATCCCCCTCAACTTCACCAAGTCCATCAACCTGGCTCTATCCGAGCGCGGCATCACAGCCATGCGGGAATCGAACCGCGAGGTGCTCATCGAGCGAGTTCTCACCGAGGCCATCCCCATGCACGGTCGTATGATCCATGGCAGAGACAACGGCAAGCTCTGGGAAGCCGCGCAAGTATACGACGTCCATGGCCGAGTACGTGCCCACTTATCCCCAATCTCCCACCCCAACTAACCCAACCACAGGCCATCAACGCCGTCGACCGAGGGACCCTGAACAACGCCCTCCTCGACGAGCTCGAGCGAACCCCCAACGTCAAACTATTCTTCAACCACAAACTAACCGGTGCCGACTTCCGCACCAACCGCGCCTGGCTCGAACGCCGCACCCCAGGAGGTCCTGCAGAATCCACGACCGAAATCGAAATCGCCTTCGACCTGCTAATCGGGGCCGATGGCGCGCACTCCGCCTCGCGGTACCACATGATGAAGTTCGCGCGCGTCGACTACCAGCAAGAATACATCGACGCGCTATGGTGCGAGTTCCGCATCCCGCCCTCCCCATCGGGCGACTTCCTCATCTCCCCAAACCACCTGCACATCTGGCCCGGGAAAGAGTTCATGTTCATCGCGCTCCCCTCGGCCGACAAATCATTCACCTGCACTCTCTTCGCGCCTGCCTCGCACTACGACGAGCTTGAATCCGGCTCACCCCAGAACCTGATCGATGCCTTCGACGCCAACTTCCCCGGTGTCTGCCCGGAACTGATCTCACCCGAGGCCTTGCTCGACCAATTCTCCTCGAACCCGCATCTCCCCCTCATCAGTCTGAAATGCAAGCCTCACCACTACGGCTCCAGCGCGGTGATCGTCGGAGACGCCGCGCACGCCGTCCTGCCGTTCTACGGCCAAGGATTGAATGCGGGCCTGGAGGATATCCGCGTTCTATTCAGCATCCTCGACCAGCACGGCGTGTACGACGAAGGGGCTAGTCCGGAGACGCGGACATCGTGCCGTCGGGCGGGACTTCAAGCGTACACCGATCAGCGGTCCGCAGATACACACGCGATCAACGATCTATCCAAGCAGAATTACCTGGAGATGCGATGGGGGGTCAAATCTCCTTTGTATAAGCTGCGCAAATCGGTCGAGGAGACGTTGGACCGTCATCTGCCGAGCCTGGGCTGGCAGACGCAATACGCCCGCATCAGCTTCAGTAATCAGCGGTACTCCGAGGTTGTGCAGGCGGTGCGCAGGCAGGGAAATCTGCTGGGGCTGGGGTTCGGCTCTGCGTTGGTCTCGGGTCTGGCAGCTGTCGGCATCCTGGTGTGGAAATGTCCCGGTCAGTTCTCGCCGTCGTCGGTGTTGCGGGGAACTTGGCAGGGAGTGAAAAGTCTTTTCTTTGGTTGAAAGCGTTCTTGATGCGGATGCATGGCCTTCGGCGATCGCGCTGGCTGGCTATTTATCTATGCTTCCTCGTTATGGGTGTCGTCTACTTTTTGCATATTATCTAGACTTCGCCTTGGTGTAAAAACACAGGTGGGTCGGGTACACTTGACTTATGTGGCGTGTCTACCTAGATATATCTATATACTGTGAAAGATACTATATGATGTTAGAGAGGTTGAAGGGAGTGTGTCTACTTAAATCGTTCCCGCAGGAACATGAATGCAGTGTTATAGCAGACCTTGTCATCCTGATGATGTAAGTTCTCGTGTAGCCAATCTGGTCAATTTCTCATGTCTTTGCAGGGGCTCCCGACCCTGTTTTCCTCCAACCTTTCACTTTCGTTCTAAGTGTTCTTCTGCTGATGGCAGTTCTGGTCAGTCAGGCTTTGATAGCTTCCAGGACTGTCTGTTTGTCAAGTAAAGAGAATCGGAGCAGTATTTCTGAATCTGCTGTCTGATAATTGCTTCGATCTGTACAACTCATTAACAGAGTTGTTAATGGCAATTCCCCGCGTAACGCTATTCAATAAACTTGAAAAATAGCAACCGTCAGATGTATCGACCCAGCATAGGAAAGGCATATCCGATTCAGACAGTTGATACCCCTCATCTGAAGCAGGCCAACAAAGAACTGCCAGTCCTTACAGGCATCCATCGCATCCGGTGAAACATCTAAACCAACCAACATGGATAGAAACTCAATCAGAGAGATAACCGCCCCAATCCACCGGAACTGGTTTATACATCATAAAAAAAAAACAAAATATTCCAGGCCAATAACTGAGGTGTGAAAATCGACAAAAAAAGCAAACCCGAGAGTATATTCCGATCACATGGAAATGCCAGACCGTAGAGTAAACGACGCATCGCAAAGCAGAAGAGAAAAGCAAGCACACAGAAAAGCCGGAAGTAAAAACTAGTCGAGAGGACCAGAAAACCAAAAGGTACCTTAATGTCATATCATAATCGTGCGTCATTATCCAATGGTGGAATGTACTGATCCCAAGAGAACCTGTTGGGGTCTTGGAATAATATTATCAATCTGGGCTCCTCGAAATTGGCCAATCCTGGGCGTGTTTGGTAATCCAACCTTCAGGGCCATATGTGGGACGCTTGGATAGATTCACCTTGTCCGTGGGGGCGGGAGTAAAGGTCCATAATTCCAATCAATGCACCGGGTGGGCAATCCGGAGAGTCCAAGGGCAGCGTGCGTGTGTCCATGGGAGATTTCCTTCCTGGGATCAACCTTCCAAAAAGGTGCGGAATAAGCCACAAAAACAGGAGCATGCCGGTATCCTGCGGACTGGTCTGGGGTAGGCAAGATCGTGGCCATAACTCAAAGATCATCATTATCATCATAAGGGCTGGAAGACACCAAAAGATCAGGGACTGGCAAACTTCACTCGACGACTGCGCCGATCTTGAATGCGTTTTTCCGTGTCAACATAGAGGCGGTCAAGGTATTCCATGGCACTGGCATCCTTCAAAATCTTCGCCACCTGCGTACCAGCTGAAACAAGTTGGAGTACGTTTCGATCATCTTTGATGGGCCTAGACTGATGCTTGGCCGCATGTCTCATTTCCAGGGAGTTCTCCAACACCGTGACTAGTTGCTTGATCTGACCATTATACAAGACCCGGGCTGGGATGCGACGCTTGGTCGCCAGTCTCTTAAGAAGATATACCCATTCAGTCCACTCACGGTCTGAGGGAACCCTCACCTGTCTCTTATCCGGTTCCAGCGGGATAGGGAACTGATACTTGGCAACGAAGTCAAATGCGCATTGTGACAGTCGGTCATTCACCGAGGTCAGAATTTGATCTTGTTCTGAGACATCAAGATTAGTAGGCAGATGAGGCAAATCCCTTCCTTGCGCTGCTATGACACGCGGAGAAGGAGGATCGAGCAATTGGTGGGGTCCATCAAACTCATCCCGGTTAGACGGTCGTCTTTGGGAGTGATAGCGGGTTGTGCCTTTGGCCTTCTCCGCAGTACGTCGGCTGTTTCTCTCAACCAGGTACTCTGGGGTCTCATAAGGTCGGGTAAATTCATAATCACGCCGGAGAGATTCCGCTGGGAAGCGAGCAGGGTGGTCCCATTCGGGATAAAGAGCGGCAGGTCGTGGCAATGGGCCTCCTGACGACACGGGAATGCTCCCCAGTGCATGTGGCAGGGTGGTCACTGGTATTCCGCTGTAGGGCATAGGAAAGTCCGGTGAAACTTGCTTTGGGCCTCTCGTGGCAGCAGCCTGGGTGTCTATGGGACCCCGCTCAGGGTGTGGAGGGGAGAACCTTCTGGCGCTAAGCATGAGTAACACGGAAGTCTCAGTATAATAAATTCTGCGGAAAGAAAAAGAACAAAAATCGATACAAGATGACTAGGTACCTTGGATGGTAGATCACGGGGGCTTCGCCGGGAGTCCCGTACACTGGCGGTTGTGGGGGTAAAATACCACTGTATACGGTGAGCTTCTCTCAGGGACGTCATTTGGGGGCAGGCAGAACGAGAGGAGTTCTTGTTGGCGCTGACCTGTGACGAGACCAGGAATCATCGCTGCTGATTGAATGTGTGCAGGAGCCACTGCTTCCCGTAGCTCTTGAGAAGTAACTGAGGCCCGAAGACATCGTGATAACTGGAGGAAGAACAGTTGACATGAGGCTGAAGGCAAGTTATATATAACAGCAAGATCAAACTTAGAAGGATGGAAGAGCCGGATATATAGTCGGGGGAGGGGCCGTAACCACGCAGTCCAGACCTTTCGGAACAGTCCCTGGCAGCGAGTTGAGAGGGTTGTTTATTATAGTAGCAGCGACATGGAAGAAAGGAGAAACAGACGTAGAATGCTCAAGGCGCTAGATAAGCTTTTAATTTCTGGACCGCGTGAGATATGGTCAGGGAGGAAGGGTGTGAAGAACTCCACCGTAGTGGCAAGAGGAGACTCAATCAGTCACAGACGGACTCCGTTCATGTCAGGGAGCAAGCGCGTGCCGGAAGTCACCTTATGCTATACGGAGAACAACAAATCCAGCTTGGCTCGATGACCAATCGAATTGGGCCCCCACTGTGCCTCGTTGACAGGGTTGAGTAGGATCGATTGAGCCAGAGACGTCCGGGAGAACGGGGTGACGATAAAACCGCCATGGGAATCCAACTCGGGGCAGCACCAAGGACATTACACCCGGAGCTAGCTAGACGCCCTGCCAGAGTTCCGTGCAATCAGTGGAGAGCTGCACAGGCATACTGGGGTACATGGCCATGGATGGACCCGGCAGTATATCGCCGCGCGACTCCACCAGCAGAACATCGCCAACTCTCATATGCTGATCCTGCCCTCAACCGCGCATGTCAGGACGGAGGATGAGGAGGAGTCGAAGGATCCGGCGGTGCATAGGGTTTTGGGCAGCAACCGCGGATGCAGCAGGGAACATGCGTCCACTAGGCAGGAGAGCGGAAAACATCTTGAAGGCTGGGCCCATTGGAGAGTCGGTTCATTGATGACATTGATTACGGCAAGCTGCTTTTGGGAGGGAATAGAGTTCCTGGGCAGCGAGATGGATGGTTCCATGTCTCCACTGGCGCCGAGTGGGCATTTTCAGGGCGGGAGAGGACCAGATCCAGGGCCAAGGAGATGAAGGGGGTCAGAGGAGGAGTATCCAAAGCGAGTAAGAGATGGAAAGAGTGGAAAGAGTGGAATGACGAGGCGGGGGAGAAGGCGGCCATCCTGTTTCCGGTAAGGGTGTGGATGCCTGAGTCTCTTCCCCGGTGGTCTCCTACAAGAAACGCATTTCCCTTACTTCTAAACCTCGACACGATCTTCGTTCCCCCTTCCCCTTCCCCTCCCCCCCAATTCCGCCTTGCGATTGCCCCATTCATCGTCCAGGATCTTTCTTCCCATCAGCGGATACTTTGTATGAACAGTATACTACTCCCGTACTCCGTACCGTGCGATTCAATACCGAGCTGTGAGTGGGGCAACTGGTCACCCTTCCACTGATCGTCCCGATTCTGGAGGATCTTTGCCAATCGACGCCCACGGCCAGATACGCCCGAGCGACGGTCGCAGTTCCCGCCGCCACAGACAAGCTGGGAATATATTGAAGAGTGGATCGCGGGCGGGCACCATGATCCAAGACGGATGGCGGCCTAAAATCGAAGTGTCCAGTGTGGGGAGCTTCAAAATCCCGGCCTGAATGCCATTGCTCCTCGAGGATGTTGGGCACGCATGGCTGCATGCCTTGTCGCCCAAATCCAGGGCGATCGTGTCGGCCAATACTCGGTCTCTGAGACCGACTGGATGAAACTACTACTACTACTACTACTACTACTACTACTACTACTACTACTACTATGCCGTACGAGGTCACCGACGCGTAGAGGGCAATCGTACTAATGGCTGAGGACAGACTCATGGACTTACAATCCAGGCTGGGCAACGCACTGTGCCATACCGATGGGATCCTTGACCAACGTTTTATATCCGGACACATTAAGTCGCCGTTACCTTGGCAATCCATAATCCATACGTCAGACACACGGCGGGAGCCCGGATGAGAGGACCGGACAAAGAAATCAGGAAAGCGAAGCGAGAAGGGTCATCTCCTTCCAAGCTGGACCGATGATTCGATCAGATTAATCCAGCTCAAGCTGTGAGACATTGCCGACATACGTATGGCGTACATCATTGCGACCCAACGGGAAGTCGCTGAGGTAACCCTCCCGTGTAGGGGGTAAGATCGATTCGTGGCTGCTGCTATTGCTCCAGAGCTCATCCGAGTTATCTTGTCAAACTCACCAGGATGGCCTTTTCTTACCACCATGGTTTCACGGTGTTTCTCAGGCCACACATGCTTGATCTTGTCAATTTCGTCTTTGCCGCCTGTGCCTATATTGTCCGATGTATGAGTGATGGGGGGAAGCATATCTGCCCCAGTGATCCTGAGCAGAGATCCGGACAGTCCGGGGATACAGGTGATCGTTGGCTTGCATTTGCCCTACACCCTCGCTTCAAAAATTCCCACACGAACTTCGTAACAGGATTAACCCTTCAAAATCCATGTTGATTGAAAACCTCTGGTTCCACGATAGCAGTGTTACCATTCCGACAGCCCGGGCAAGTATATAGTACACCTGCTTACTGCAAGCAACAGGATCATCTAACAGGATGAGATGAATGAGCATGAACTCCCAGTACCTGGATATCCAGCAACACGAGATCTCTTGGACGCGTGAGCTTTTCCGGAGCAGTCGTGGCTCGAATCATGGAAGCCAAAATGTTTGTGAGCGCTTAGCCGGCTTCAAAGATCCGCTCCCCGATGTCAAGGACGTGCACGCTTCGAAGAACTGACATGAACAGGGAGTCTAGCGCCCGATATTGGCATGGTATCGGCAGCTAGGCCTGTATGGAAAGTAGGATCTAGTAAAGCATATCAGTATGGTGCAGGATACCGACTCGGTTGAAATATTCGGTCCTGATGGATGGTTGGAGGTTTGATGATCCTGCCGTCGGTCAGCAGGCCCCTCCCAGAACTCGCTGCTGCATTTCGTCCACGAAGCAATCCATTGGATGCAAGTCAGTCCATTGTCGGCTCTTGCGTTGGGAATCCAAATGATGGCAGTCCTGGCATGATTCAACCGGTTTCAACAAGTCCGGACTGTTCGAAACTCTATCCAGCGGCGAGACCAGTCTATTAAGCATCAAGAGGTCGTTGATAACCGTCACGGGTCCCCGGCCAGGCATTTTCCTCCCACAGTAAGCGCGATGCCGTAGTGTAGGGACAAGAAAGAATAAAGGGCTTGAAAGAAGGGGTAAATAGTACATGAAGTGACCTATGTTACTATACAAGGTATCCATCCCAAAGTCGCGGGCATAAAACATACAAAGCACATGGGATGAGACACGGCGACTGACCAAACTCCGCTAGAAATGCAAAACCACACAGCACGCGCAACATTCAGGTAAAAGCAAGCCTCTGTCCACCGAGGTCTCAGCGGATACGGCACAGGACCATCCCACCAAGCTTCTTCTCGACACATTCCCTGGCTTCCATGATGCCCCGATCTGTTGACACGTACAAGCATTCGCCGGGATTCCGGAGACCCTCCACACTTCCGCTTCGGTCTCCACGGATCACACGACGAAGTCCAGGCAGATCGATCGTCACCCTGCGGGTGGGCTTGCTCTCCAGGCTTAGGTGGCCCAGCACGGGCTCGCTCTGCCAGTACTTCAAACCCAGCCAGAGTCTTCTTGTAGCAATGTTGCTCTGGGTCACAGGCTCGACCTCCTCACCAGGGGTAGGCGTGCCAAGGAGAAGGTGCGTGGGGGGCGCTTTCGGGCCTCCGCGGACGACGGAGGAGATGAGGCCGTCGTTTTGGAGCGCAAGGCAGAGCTTCAGGTGTAGTTTCGAGTTGACGATGGACGTCATACCGAGACGTGCCTTGGTGGCATTGTTCAAGTGGGAGCAGACGTGGGCAAGGTTGACGAGAGACATTTTGGATCGTAAATTGAAGAGAGGGCTCGACGGGGGTTAACGGCGCGGAGGGTTCGAGTGACTGGCGGAAAGAGTGAGCAATCCAATCCAACCACTGCAGCGGGGGGGAGGCTTCCTGTACCTGTTCAAGTGGGAGTAAAATTAACGGGGGAAAAAGAGAGCGATATTCGAGCTTCAATCAGGGCTCGCAGCAGGACTTGTCGGACTCGGCGCACCGCTCGCAGACAATCAATCGCCGATGATGCGGAAGCTCAGATGAAATTTTCGGAGAAATGAAATCACCCGCGCCGACAGGGACAACACGGGTGTTTTTGGTGCCTGGATGCCTCGGTGACTTGATGCCTGGCGGATCAGGCCGCGTCCTCTCCTCACGCCCGCCAACCAGGCTGGATCTCCGCCGGCAGCAAATCATCGGCCTGGACGAGTCTCCTGGTGCCCTTGTAGCCGCCGGGCTTCTGCACGCTGCATCTCGCGGCATCTTACAGGCCCGTAGAGCGTCCCCTCGCTCGAGGTTATAAACCATGGCGCTTCCTCCCCTATTTCTGTCTCCTGCGACTTTTCTTCTCCATTCCACATACCCTGGCGGCACATTGCTTTTATCGGCAGCAAGTCGCCTACCATGCCTCCATTGCCGGGCGAAGAGCGTATACTGACAGTGTAAGTCGTGCTACCCCGCAAGTGGTCGTCAGCTGCATCTCCAACGACGCGCTGATTTGAATTCTGTCTGATCGCACTGCAGATTTGCCGATATTCATTATTACTTTGCCGCGCCGACCCCTAGACCCCTCCATCACCGATTCGAGAAAGGCTCCTATCTATATCTCTATCACAATGCCGTCCACCAGAAGGTCCGGGTTGAGGTGGCGAACAACCCCGGGGCACTTGAGCAGGATGCATTCAACGGAGGTTAGTTCGACATCTCTTGTCGTCCGTTTATTATTCTGACCATCAATCAGCCCTGGAAAATGTCCACCTGCGGCATTCAACCAGATTCCCAACCCTCTGCACCGTGACAGTGGACGGGCAGATACAGAGTCAACTGCAAAACCAAATGGCTTTCCCGCCGCCACCAGGCGCCATCTCGCAAGAATGGAAACTGTCTCACACCGATCCGCTGAACCTCCTTCCTATCCACACCATGGATATTTATTTCTGGACGACAGACGACGCCAATCAGTTCCTCGACCTGTTCGAGACTCACCTGCCTCAGTCGCAGATCGAGACAGACCGACACCCTTATCCGCCTCCGCCGCACAGCACGGTCAGCTCAGTCGTGCAGCAGCTGGAGACTGTAGCCATCACCGACCCCGGCTACCAGAATGGGCAAACCCGCAACTCTCAGGCAGAGGTGGTCCCCAACCCTATACCCAACTACCAGGCCATCACGCCACCAAGCAACCTTCCTCCCCCACCTCCACTGGGCGCTCCGCCCACCGCCGCCATGCACCCCGTAACCCCCAGCATCGAATCCATTACCAGTGAAGCACAGAGCTCTACCCCGCCCCCGTCCCCGCCCCCGCCCCTCTACCGTACAACCCAGCGGCCCCAGCGGCCCCCGAGCCGATCAAACACCGGGAGAAGACCCCTCCCCCAGACGACGGCGAAACCGGCACGGGGCTCACCACCGCAGCGATAGTAGACACATACCCTTCCTCATCCCAGATGCCCGCGGGAGTAGGAATGGGAGTAGGAATAGGAGGAGCAGCCAGCGGAGCACTGCCATCACCACCGCTAGGCCCTCCTCCGTATTCCATGCCCGGAAGCTATGGCTCCCCGCCGCCCAGCGCAGGTCTATCATCATTCCCAGCAACCTTCCAAAGCCCCCCATCATACACCTCGTCGTTCCTATCAGGCCCCAGCCCAGGCTCCAGCCTCAGCGGACCACAGCAACTCCAACAACACCAACATCAACAGCACCCCTCAACCCCCAACAACAACAACAACAACAACAACAACAACAATCACCACCACCACCACCCCAAATGCCAATGACATTCGCCCCACCCCCCACCGACCCCAACCCAACCAACCCAAACGCACACCTCCTCTACACCCAGCAGCAACTACCCCTACAACCACAGCAACACCAACTCCAACAACAACAACACCGACAAAGCGGCGCCTACAGCGCCCCCCGCTCCGAATCACCTCCTTCCCCGCCTACATTCCCCCCTCTGGGCGGCTACGCGCAATACTCGTACGAAACCCCGCAGCGCCACGCCTCCGTGTCAAGCAACGACTTCAGCATCCATAACCAGCTCTATAGGCCCACCGAGCTAGAATCAACCTCCCGGCATCAGAAATTCGCGAAGGAGGCGATGCAGAAACCCGGGGATCGACCGCAGACGTTCGTGAAGGCGGCGTATAAGGTCGAAGGTGGCGTGAATCGGTTTTTGAGGAAGTTGGAGAAGAGGTTGTAGGTTGGTTGGTTTGCGCGGGGGGGGTTGTTTTTGTTCTTTAGGTTGGTTCTAGTAATGCTGGTATCTCATGTCGTGATGCTGTTGTAATTCCGTGTCATTTTGGATATTGGATATTGGATATTGGATATAGGTAAATAGTACTGGTATATATATGCTTGATGCGTTCGGCGAGATTGAGTTTGAGATTGAGATTGAGTTTGTCAATATCATTCATTCATTCATCCATCTTCAACCCGGCGGAATCGTACCCTTCCGAAACAGGATATCCATACATCCCCGAAATCATATAAACCCCCCCCTTCTTCTTCTTCGCATTCTCTTTTCAACTGCCCAGCTACTATACCATCCCCGTAACGAAACGAATCCCCCTCCAGCCTAGCTTAGCCTCCAGTCCAACCCACGCACCCACAGAACACCCGCACCATAGCGCTAGCCTTCCATCTATATCCCGTCCCTCTAGCCCGACCTAGTAACGTAGACAGCCATGCACTCGCTCTACGCTCTACTCGATCCTCGATCATGTCCTTCAATCATCATGGGCTGCGAGGGCAGAGTGCGGGGCGCGTATCATTATTCTTGAGAGGTTAGAGTAGGTTGAAAGGGGAGGTATAGGTCTGGATGAATTGTTCTTCGCTGCGATGTACCCATCAAGCCACAGGGCAGGGTGTGATAAAGGTTCCGTCATTGTCGACATGATTATGATTGAGTGGCGGCCAAGTTGAAAGCCTTCGCTGAACCTTGCACCGCATACACTAACTATTCACTATAACTATCATACGTCGACTACGGCATGCAAAGGCAACCAAAAAAAAAAAAAAAAACCAAAGACAATAAGTTGATATGATGTATGCTACTGACAACCCAGTACACAAGCAAGATGCAGTACTCCGTACACATCGCTAACTAAGATCAGATCCATCAACTCCACCAGCAATGCTCCGACATGCACCGTCGCCGTTGTCGTCGGTCTTGCCCCCGTAGATAGAACAAGATAATGTCCGCTCCCGAGCCCGAGATACTGAAGATAAAGATAACCGGAGATCAGAATGGGATAAACGAAGAAACAAAAAGGCCAAGAATAAAATCGGTATGGAGAACACGTGGGGACAAGCATATGTACCTGGTCACATCACGAGTATCAAGGGTATAAGAAGATATGTCACGAGAAGGGAAATCAGAAGAGAAGATGAAGAGAAGATATTCTATTTCAACTGGTCAAGGTTGGTATTTTTTTTTTGGCTTGGTCTGCCGTTTAGTGCAGAGAGAGTTTGTCCATGTCAATGTCAACTTCGCTGGACTCGGGCTCGGCGACAGCTTCAGTGGCAACCTCTGCGGGGGCAGCGATGGAGGCTTCGGGCTCCTTGGTCTCAACAGCCTCATCAATGACGGCCGGTTCGACGGTCTCAGTAGCAGCCTCGACCGGAGCAGCCTCGGAAACGTCCTCGGGAACCGCCGCAAGAGCCTCAATGGCCTGCGCAACAAGGGCGGCTTCCGTGGGGCGCTCAACCACCTCAGCTTCAGGGGCAGCAGTGGTCTCGGGAGCTTCCGCCGTAGGAACAGCAGCTTCTGCTTCTTCAGCCACAGCCTCTTCGGCGGTCTCGACAGGGACTTCCTCTGCAACCTCAGCAGCAACCTCGGCAGCAGGCTCAGCAGCAGGCTCAGGGAAGACGGCCGGAGACTTAGTCGCACTCTCCTTAGCAACCTCGGGGGCCTTGATCTGAGGCTCCTCCTGAGGCTCCTCCTTAGGCTCCTCAGGCTTCGGGGTTTCAACGGGAACCGCGCGTGGCTTCTCCTGCTCGACCTTGACCGGGCGCGAAGGACGGGTTTCAGTCTTGGAAGGAACCCTTCTGGGGACTCGCGCCGTCTTGGTGCGGGGAGGACTCTTCACCTCGACCTTGTCGTGCGACTTGCTGGCAGAGCTAGCGGTGGGACGCATCATCCGGGCCAGGAACCCCTCGTCGACGGGCTTGGAGCTGGTGTTGCTCACGCGGGACTGAGGCCGCTCGTTTCCGGAAGGAGGAGAGTGGCGAGCAGATGGTTTGCGCACGTTGGAAGCGGTCGGGGTAATCGCACGCTGCTGGGCCGTGGTGGTCGAGCTCTTCAGGGTTGATGGCTTGCGCGACAGGGTGGAGGTTGTACCGGTGGTGGTCTTTCTAGCGGTAGAGGCAGCAGTTGAAGCCGGAACACGAGCAGTCTTGGCTGGAGATGTAGAACGCGGCTTCGCGGTACGGGTGGTGGTAGGAGCCGTCGGCTTCGCCTGATCCCGGGCAGGCATCGAAGAGCGAACGGGTCTTGTAGCGGGCTTGGGCGCAGTGTTCAATGATGGCCGGCTGGGCTTGTGTGTGGCGACTTTGGGGGCCTCGCTGGTGCTAGGCTTTGTGGTCGATGGCCGCACAGTCCGCGTGGGTCGGGTTGTCTTGTCTTCGGGCTTCGCGGTCTTATCCTCGGGCTTCGCAGGTGAAGTGGGGGTGCGGGGATGCGCTGGAGATTTCGCAGCTGGTTTAGTAGGCGAGGCTGTCTTGCCAACCTGGATAGCGGATGGTCGCTTTGTGACAGTCTTCGTCGGCTTGGTGGGAGAGAGAGCAGCCGGGGCGGGTGTGGGGGCAGGTGGGTTCTCCTTATTATCCTCCGATGATCCTATGATTTGTACCGGAGCAGGGACAGGATCGTTCTTCTCGAGGGGCTCCATCGCCTTCGGCGCAGGTTCTGGGCTGACGGACACCGGGTCAGGCATTTTCTGGGGAAAGCCATTCCTGGTCGGGGAAACGGATAAGGGACTCTTCAAGCCACCTTCAAAGTCCTCCGAGTTGAAGCTCCTCACCCGGATCGGGGCCGCTGGACTGTCGCTGCGAGCACTCACACCACTCACACTGCGTAGCCCCGCGAGGGGGTTCGGCTGAGTGGCTCCATCGACGGCGACGAAGCTCGCACGCACCTTCGACAGCGGTCTGCCCGAGCCAGAGTGCTCCGAGCCAACGGGAGATCGGCCGCGGGAGGGTGGAGAGGTGGTCTTGGTCTGGGTATTCTCGAACCTGGCCAGGAGGTTTCGCACGCCCGGGTGGCCGCCTGCCTCGCTCATGATGGCGTGTTGTCGGAGGGATCGAGGGTCGGAACAGGGGGGAGGGGGCGGATTGCGCCTGACAGGGCTGAAAGGGATCGACGGTTGAGGGGGGCTTGACAGGTCCAGGGATGTAGTGGTGTTGATGGGTGAAAGGGTCATTCAGGAAAACGGAGATGTTGGGGATGCAGTCAAGTCAGACGCGTCCGTGAGGGAGGACGGGGTGACGTGATATAAACAGAGCCCAACAACAACAAACAGGAGGGAAACCGTGGTTCGGTTGGTGGTGGTGGGGGGGGGGGTGGGAAGTCAATGCTGGTGAGACAACGCAGCTGCGGCGGACAGAACCATGGTGTGGTGTGGTGCACACAACAAGGAGAGGAATGGCACCAAGCGGACCGGGAGTTGTTGGGAGCAGTAGGTGGGAAAAGGGAAAGGGAAGAAGAGAAGAGAGAGGCAAGAGAGAGAAAAGAGGGGGAAAGCAGGAGAAGAAGAGGGAGAAGAAGGGAAAGAAGCCGAGTCGAGTGGAGAGGCGAGAGAGTCGACGAGAAACGGCGGGCGAAACCAAGTGGAGAGGCCCGACACCTCAGGCACCGGGCTCAGGGGTCGGGATCCGCGGCTTCACTTTGATGGCGCGCCGTCTCAGGATCTCGTCGTATGTAACTTTGTAACTTGGTACCTTGGCCATTATTCTTATTATTGACCCCCCTCCTTCGTCCGAGTGGTTGCCCCCTGGCCTGATAGTCCCCGGCACTATTGGTCTCCCAGGGTGGTTAACTGTTGACACTGCCTGCCTGCCCTTGGGGTTTCTTTTTTTTGCGATCGCCAGATTCATTATTGGCCACTCCTTGCAAAAGTTTCCCCGATCCTTCAGATGCCGATGCGGATGAGGGGTTGAAACAGGCCTCTCACGGCCTGAAACCTTTGTTCGTTTGCTCTTCACAGTTCACATGTTTGCCAAGGGCTACAGACCTTCACAGACAGACCTTCAACGTGAGTGGTTCAGCGTCTGCCATGGAGCCCGAGGGGACGGACTTCCTGCAATCTCCTGCAGGCCCCGATCGCACCCCACGCCCCTATCTAAAGGCCAGCTTGCAGCTCAGGCTCACAGATGGACGGATGACGGAGGAGTATCTAGTACATGGTCGTGGATCTCGCATATTCCCGTCCTCCAATCTGACACCCTCGAATCGTGTGACATGGAGCCCACCACGGCCGTTCCCCTGTATGCTGCCCCTGGATAGTCTACCTAGATACACAGTATCCGTACTCCGTACCCTGTTATCCATCCATCCATCCATCCACCCATCCATCCACCCATCCCCCCATCCACTCATCCCCAACAAAGGTTGAAGGAACTGCCGGATGACTGCATACCCCCCCGGTGGATCAGGGATGGATGGAGACCGGGCTACGGAGGGCTAACGTAATTAATGTCGGCCAAATTTCCCTCTAGTGCCATTCTAGCCTTTCTAGAGCATTCATGGAAGGATCCTGGGACGGAGACCTTGACTCTTTAGTATCTAGTATCGTAGTTAGCGAGGTAGCTTAGTGCTTCCTCCGCAGGGGCCGCTCTGCCCTCGCGCCCTTCCTCCCTTTCCTGCCTGCGTCCTGCCTTTCCGCCACCCTCCGTTGCAATGACCCATAGTCTACCTACCCCCCCCCTCCCCCTCCCTCCATCCATCTGCCTGTCATCGGCTATCTATTCTAATCGTGTCTGACTCGAGAGAACAAGACGACACATGGTGCCCGAATCAGACTCCAGAGAGTGAGGGATAGATACACTGCACTTCCCCCCTCCTCCCCGGGCTCAGTCAAAGCGCCCCCACGCGGGATCAACCTTATAATAATCAGGGGAGGAGACCACCTCTCAGCTCTCAACCATGGAAACTCCCTAAGCTACGACCAGTTGCTGCTAACCGCCCTGCACTCATTGCCAAATTATGAGCCCTCTAGTTATATCTAACAGGTGTAGTCAGCGAGAAGTAGAAGGGCCAATCTTCGGAGGTATATATTCTGTCAAGCTTGTCGGAAACATTGATTTGAGAACATTGATTACCACGGTTGCGCTATGCGCATGTGAGGGGACCTTTAAGGCTATACCTCGTCTTTACTGGGTGGGTATAGAAACAATTATATAATTCAATGTTCAAAATTCAATTTATACGAGAAACCGGGCCAGCGCATTCTCTTACCAAGCAAGCACTGTCAACCAATGTGAAACAAAAACTATCTATCATACATGTAGTAGATCAAAATAAGATGCCAATAATACTTCCATGACGTACCTGACTCATAGATCTGCCGGGTCAGAGGGTAAAATTGTCTCAGGCAAATCGTCAATATCCTCCAAATCATCCGTGAGGATCCCAATCCCACTATCCAGTCGCTTGCGTTGTTTGCCCCGACCGACCTCCACATCCACGAACCGCGTCATGTTGACCGGTGTGATCGGCGAGCTGCCATTAATGGTGCTGTCCGACCGCAATTCGTCCGACTTGAGCTGCCAATTGGCAGTCCGGACTTTGGCCTTTCGTCGCTCGCTATTGACGGTCTCCTTCATGAAAGCAAATGATCGCGCTTGATCCGCGGCCCATTTATCAAGTAGGTTGTCTCTGGCTTCCAGCTCCAGGCGCAGCTGGCTCTCCAGGTCAGTATTGCTGCGACGAAGTCGCTCAATGTCGGACCTGGCTTCGTCAAGCGATGTGTTCAGCTCCGAAACGAGAACGTTCATCGATCCGGCTTCCTGTTCGTGGTGCTGCTGTTGCTCCGCCGCTTCTCGCTCCAGGCGCTGAATCGCTTGCTGGCGCTCCATCTCGATCGATTCAGCATTGGCTATCAGGTCGCGCACCCGGATGCGATTTTCTTCAACAATCGCTTCCAATTCTCGAATGCGCGTTTCTCGCTCGGCAACAGTTGATTCAGCAGCATGACGGGCTCGTTCATGCTCGTCCACCTCCAGCTGCAACTCCTCAACTCTCTGCTTGTGCCCTTCGTGGCTTTTGGTCCTATCTTCTTCTAACTGCATTACAAGAGCCTCTAAGCCTTTGACTTCCTCCCGGTATTTGTTTAGCGCCGTATTCAGCCTCTCAATACTGACTGCGTGTTCCTTGCCTTCATCTTCCAGCTCATGCATCCGCATGCGGGTATGCAGCATGTCTCCAGCCGATGTGGCAATGGAGTCCTCAAGGTCGTGGATTTTCTTCGATGCGGTTTCGTATCGACCCAGCAGGGAATCAAATTGACCACGAATGGCATTTTCGCGGCCTACAGAGCCTTCCAGTCGGGCTTGCTCGTCTCCAAGGCTCTTGACAAGCATTTCAACTCGCTTGACTAATGCGCCGAGAGTTGCATCGCCATCATTCAAACTCGCATTCGCGGTTTCACCAGGGACCGCCCGCTCTAGCTCTAGGCGCGCCGATCGAAACCGATCGCGCATAGTAGAAACGATCTCGGTGGCATCATCGCCTGGAAAGCCTAGGCCGGAGAGCTCCTCTTTAATAGAGTTGAGGGATTGAGCAGCGTCTGAAGCGCGACTAAGGGTTTGAGTCAGAGTAGGCAGGATTTGATCAAGAAAGTCTGGAGGCGGAGAGGATTGTCGAAGATGAGGGTCGATTGCGGTCCCGCCAAACGAAGCAATGCGAGCGCGGCACGCGTCAAACAGGTCTCTCTTTTCCTTTCTGGCAGCCTCAAGATCAGCTGACAGCGTCGCAATATCTGTGTCCCTGTCATGACTAGATATAGACACTTGAGTTGAAGCATCAGCATTGTTGAAGCCATGCCCGAGGAGCGAAAGTTCTTCAGGGACAGGGAGTTGGCGTTGACTCAGACCTCGGATGTCCGGAGAGTCTGATATGAGAACTGTGTCGCATTCCCATCCGCTATCTGCAATGATCATTGTCTCCTCCTCAGAGTTGGTTGTAGTGCAGCTGTCATGGTGGGTATCCGGCGAGGGAATCGAAAGTTGCTCCTTGAGTCGACCATTTTCGGACTCCACGTGCTCTAGCAGCGACTGAGGTGACATCCACGTTGTCTCATCATTTATCGACTGGCTTTCTGACAGGCTTCGGCTTCGCTTAACAGTCTCCAGTTCTTGCCTCAGCGAGTCCCGCTCCCGCAGCAACGACTGGAGCGTCTTATGATTCTGATAAGACTCTCGTTTTTCGCGCTCCAGTTGGGTGATTTCGTCGCTCAACCCTACCCGTCGGATTCTCCGTTGAGTCCGCGCGTCTAGGATTTGTCGCAGGGGAGTGAACTGCACAATGCGTTCGGAAAAGGGTGTACCAGCATCCAACGTAGATTGCGGGCTGCGTCGAGACCGCGGAATAGGAGCTGACCGTTGTCGCAGGCTGCGACTCGGAGTACGAGTCACAGAATCCACATCCGTGGGCACCTGGAACGAGGTGCGTCGCATGGCGGGGGTGAGGCCCGTCGAGCGATCTAAGCCATGCTGTCGCTGATTTCCCGGATCTGAGAAGCGAACCCTTTTGCTTGACCGACGAGGGGTTTCGTAGGGCGACGCCGAGGCAGCATGGGACTCGGATTGACGAGTCTTCCTGCAAGAGGCGGGGGAAGCTGCTTCGGGGCCGGAGATGGAGCTGTTGCGTCTCTTTCGTCTCGTTTGCCTCGTGTCCATCGCGATTGCGGATGGGTCTGACTGGCTTAACTCGGGCGTTGCACAATTGGCTTGAACCCGGATTTTTATTGTCTTGGAATAAAGCCACCTGGATGTTTCACAAACACCTGGCAGAGACTAAAAAATCATGAGAACGTAGATATAGTGTGAAGTAATAACGATCGTAGGAATAACAGCAGTCGCGGCAATCACCTAGGGAATATTATGTTTTTTCCGGAATAGGCAAGGGGCCATCGTGCCTGCCTACTACGCGTGAGGGACTCGGCCCCTTCCCAATCTGGAACGCGTAAACAAGCCACCCTTGCATTTGTCAGGTGATCCCTCATGCCTCAAGGCTTAGGCGGTTCTGTCTTCTGCCGGGGCTTGGGGGGGGGGGGGGATAGACACAAAGTATTCCTCATTATTGCATTGACCATTCATGACCCCCGGCTCAATGTGTGGTCGCAAGGTTCTGACGGGAGGGGAGGCTGGAGGGGCAAATTACGGGTGTCCCAATGGGAGTGGCGAGGCACCCGTATCTTATCTCAGGGCTCCCGCAAAGAGGGCCGATCGACACCAAGTGCCTGGAGCCTGGACGGCCATCCCACTCACATCCTTTGGAGTCTGTCTCTTTGGGACCCTGTCAGTCATGGCACCCACGCCTCATCTAGAACTCAAAGAGCCATGCTACACCGCTACCCCTGATCTGGAAGCGAGGGATGAAAAAGCTTGCAGACAACTTTCTCCCCCAGCGCGTCCCCGGATGATGATGGGGTGATGTGATGGGAGGGCCTGCGGGAGTGATGTCATCCGGGCGCCAGCTGGGCTCGCCTTCCCCTCGCTAACTGCAAGACTAACATAGTATGTTTCTAGACCACCACCATCTCCCTTCCCCTCCGCCACCTGTCAACCTTAATCAGGCCGGTATCTGGTGAAGAGCTTCACTCCTCGCTTACTGCCCTGGGTTTCTCGACTTCCACAACTCCAGGGACTTGCCATGGCCGCTGTGCACATGGTCGGGGATGCGACGCTGCCTGCCTTTGGGAGGCAGCCACAGGCATCAACGGAGACGGAGAACATCCTTCAGGCGTCGGTTTCGGACTCAGCCCCCAGGACATCCGGAAGCATCCCAGTGCCCCTTCTCGAGCTTCCTCCTGAACTTGTCCAGGAGATTCTATCTTATCTCTCGGCACAAGATCTCGCGCGTCTGTCCGCCGCCTGTCGCGACCTCGCTGAACATGCGGCGAACGAACTTTTGTGGGCCAATATAATCAACTCCTACCTACCGGAGGCAATCCACGATCCCGGGGTCTTTGACTCGTTCCGCAGCCTCTATGTTGCCCATCACCCTTGCTGGTTTATCCCGCGCCAGAAAGTTTGGTTTTCGGACTTGGAGCATACGGGCAACTTGATTCTGGCTCGGTACGACCACCGACGGGGAGTCATTGAAGCCTACCGAATCATCGCGGAACGGCGTTCCCACCAATTTCAAGTTTGGGACTGTAACCCAGACGTCATCATCCAGACCTTCAACCCTAAGGTCAGTCTTTGGCTAGATGATCCAATCCTTCTTTTGAAGAATCCCCGAGAGGGACAACCACAATATCTCCGTGGCGAGACACGCATGCCTTTGCCTCTTGAGATACAGCATGTCTTCAACGCCTTTTCCCTCTGCTCCACCCAGCTACCTCCAGATCTCGACCCGTCCAAACAATGGCCTCCCAAGACCATTCCAAGCAATCACCGCGTTTATCGGGACGTAGAGTTTCAGCTGCAGGAGGAGGAACGCTGGCCTCGATACGTGGAAAATATGTCTGAACATGCATTTCGAATCAGGAGATGGGCTCACTTTCGAATGGGGATGCCAACCTTCACCGCTGGTCGGAACGAGACACTTTCAACCTTTGCAACACTCGACCCCAAATTGTATACCCCTACGAAGATGAAGCCATATCAAGGAATCTGGATCGGCGACTACTCGGCGCATGGATGCGAGTTTTTGCTTTTCCTCCAACGCGGTCCAAAGGACGAGCACGTGAAACCCACAGAGACTAGCGAGCCCGCCGAGGAAATTACCCCCCAGTACAGCTTGGAGGCAGTCAAACTCACCGGAGATCCTAATGTTCCCCGTGGCGAAATATCGTTTGCAGCTGATGATACGGGCCCAGGGGGGCTTGTTCGCATTTCTGATGAGGCACTCTTCCAAGGAGCACCGATAGTACGCAGCAGAGGTCATGTAGCGGGCCTTGGATTTCGAGATGGTAGGCTTCAAAGATTAAAGGACCAACAAGGGGCATGCGATCCGCTAACTTGTTATAGATACGTTCATTCCCTCCCAGCTTATCCTAATCTCGACGGACTGTGTGGCTCACTATTGGGAAGCTATGGGCCATATCTCTTACTACCGTCGTCTTGACCTCGACGCACTGCTCCGGACTTGACCACCGGTATCTTACGAGAGTTACGAATTAACGAGTCATGACACCTACTCCCTCGCTCAATGATGGATATGTATTCGGACCTTTCGCGGGCGATTCTGTTAATTAAGTGCAGAAATTCTGCATTGTGGCGATTGGACGTGTGGCGAGGACTTGGTGCACCTGCGTCAGGCTTTAATAGACCGTTATGGGTCAAATTCCACGAGCCCCCTGTGATAGGGTTCCACTGTGGACACACTCGTGATTTGGGTCAACCTTGGGGTTTTCAGGCAGCACCAGTCTAACGCTATATGATTACAGAATCGAGAATGAATTGGAGTCATGGTGCTGAAAGAATAATATAGTTTCGTACCTAGCCACTGACCTGCAAGGGGTGACTGTACGGGCGGAGACAATCAGCAATCCAGAAACAGCCTTAATGGGTAATTCGGCCGCAAGGGCCGCTGTTACTAGCTAAACAACGGAAAAAAGAGACGACAGTTGAGTTTTCCATCAACAAAGACCTTATATGTACACGAAGGCATGCTGGGGAGAGGCGGATGGTCCAAAGTAGGAGATATCCATGCAACGGATCAAGGTATACAGTCAACGCAGAATACCTAACGCCATGGGTTGCGCAATGCAAACCAGCCGAAGCAAGCAAAATGCCATCATCAATCGTGAACAGCCACCATGCATACCTGGACAATCATGCCCAGCCATGATGGGTGTCCTTTTCGTTTCCGTACGATGCACTCCATTCCACATAGCACGTATGCGACCAGCACATCGTTCTACCGACCCCGACAATCGCGACTGGAGATGTCACCAGCGCGGAACTTGTATACTGATAGGCGATTTGAAGCAGAGAAGGCATCGGAGTAGTAGTGTCTACCGTCTGCGCTCGAACCAGCTGGTGGAGCCCAGCACGGCCACGGACTGATCCATCACCCACTCTCCCACGCCGAGGTAGCTATCGATCCACTTCTTGAAGTCCTTGTTATCGGTGATTTTGTCGGAGTTGAGACTGGGGCTGTGAAGGACCCCACGCAAGCCCCCAAAGGGAGACGTGGAGTGAAAAGATTAGCCAAAAGTCCAACACACGCAGCTCGTATTAGACATAGGAGGTTTTCGGCATCACGGCCAATTATCAGGAACAGCGGGGGCTAATTACGTTAAGCCAGTCGAACGCTTGACGCCAGCCAGGAAGGCAGAGACTAGAAACATCCAAGCACTAGGTTAGCATTACCGATCCAAAGCCACTGATTCCAGAACAGAGCGCAGAGCACATACCGAGGACCGCATCGAACGCGTAATGACTAAGACGGCCCAACTGGACGCGCGAAAGCAAAGGAACCACAATCAGTAACGACACACTAATCTCCGAGCGTCAACCCAGGACATACCACCATGATGACGGAGCGATCGGATCGGCGCTTCTTCTTTAGTGAAAAAGGATATCGTGTTCTCAGCACTGGATATGCTGGATACTTCCGGTTTGGGGGGAAATAGCAATAGATAGCGGAGTTCTGAGTTTGAGAGGTCAAAAGGAAGGGGAGGAGAGCAATGCCTCTTGTTCACCCCACAGAGCGGATGGAGAATCGAGGTCGGTTCACGTGCCCCCGCTTGCACATGACGTGGGCGAATGACTGCGCGGGTCGTGAGGCGGTGAGAGAGGCTGGGTAGTCTTCCCGGGTGGCTGGAGAATGGCCATGTGGCTGGTGTCGGTTTGCCTCACCTTTCGCCGAGTAGCGTAGCGTACGGAGTAGCATGACAGGCATCAACCTGCCCATAGTTAGTAGGGTGACCACGCATGTGGACTACTCCATACTTACATATCTTCCCATGCAACCACCCCAATCCTGCCAACAGGACTTCCCAGACAGCCCACCTCTCTCAAACCTCAATAACCAACCAATTCAACGAACCACACGAGCAAGAAATGCAAAGAACAGCACCGAAAGCAAAAGCATACTTTCTCCGGGCCCATCCCCAGTCCGGTCCAGTTCCGCACTGGTCAAACAAACACCGAGCACCCCAGATGGGGGTAGTCTAGAGTCTAGAGTCTAGACAGTCCCCTATCTCCGTAACTAACTGCACCTAAGTACCTACCTACAACGTAACCCCTCCCATCCTACCTATCAACAAGCCCACCCAAAAGCGCTGTGCAGTCAGTAGTACGGAGTACTTACTCGGTATATCCATTCCTCAATTCTGAGCGATCATCACCGCCAAGTCCCAACCTCAACCACTGCCACTGCCACTGCCACTGCCACTGTCACTATCACAATCCCAACCCCCAAATCAATATTTATACGGAGTAGTAGTCAATACTGTAGATCCAAATGCAGTAAGAATGATAACCCGTCTTGGCTCTGCAGTCTGCACACTACAGCACAGCCTATCTACGTACTAGTACCTATTTAACTAGATAGGTATTAACTGGATATAGGCACAGAGTACCGCTCCGGTAGAGCAGAGTAACAGACGAGCCGTCCCGTGACTACTTCAGTATAGGTAGTATGATCGTACTATACCGGAGAACCAGGGTACAACCTGCATGCACGGCATGCATTTAGTTAGTGCTAGCATATCTGTGACTAAATAACCAACCAGCTAGCTAACTAACGACGGGGGGAGGTTCTTTCACCGGGCGCCCCGAGTCGGGTTTACCCTACGGAGTATGTATGTATGTCTGCATTGTAGATCGGGAACTCGGAACTGGATGGATGGGTGGGTTACTACTTATAGTAATCCCAAAGATCCCGGTGTGGGTGGTTCTGGGAGTGGGAGCCCCGCCAATGGGGGGAGGGAGATTAAGAGCGTGGGATTATTGCACCTGGTGGCGGATGGCGGATGACAGATGACAGATGGCGGAATGCGGCGGTTCCCATGTCCCATGTATGTAGGTACTATGTAGGTAGGTGGTACGGATAACATGGTGACGTGAAGTACCCTGGTGGATATGGACTGCTCGGATGTAGATGGTTGAGGCGCCTACCTATACTACCCATCTATAGTACTCCGTATCTTGCCACAGGAAAACAGAAGTACGTGACGGTACGTGGTACCTACCTATCTACCACTGATGATGTGGAACGAATTACTTTTATACCAGTACGGAATCCTCAAAACAAAATGAAATCAGTGACATAAGTGGAAGGTTGACCCCCCCCCTCCCCCCCCTACTACTGTTGGGTCCAGGTGAGCAAAATTCAGCCTTATGGGATACGGACGGGTTCTGGAGAGACAAAAAACCCAGTCAGACTCAGGCAAACAGAGAAAGGATCCATCCATCGATTGATCCGCCAGCCATGTGGGGAATGAATCCGGGCTTGCTCCCCTCCAGTGACTCTGTCATGTGGCCCGTCCAGACGCTCTGGGTTTCCTGGCCGGCGGTGCTTACGTTTTTCCCAACCGATTGCGGATGGAGGGACTTGGGTGCCTGAGGATAGGATTTTGGTGCTCGGGCAGTGTCCAAGAAAAGAACTCCAATGTGACTTGACTGCAGCCGACAAAGGCGAATTATTGAGGTTGATATCCGGTGATAGCGTGGCCGTCCAATCAATTAATAATAGAAATTAGCCCGACGACTGAGGGGCGTTGTGATTGTATCTACTCGGTAGCAGGAGGCACAGGGCGGGAGTGTACACAGTAGCGTCAGTACACACCCACCCGCGGGGAACCGACCGACAAAGTCCAGTCCCAATCGAGGCCCGTCCCTCTCCCACTCGCTGCCAACGGGCAGCGGCCACCAACATTTTCCTTGCCGGCCACCCACCCCTCCTCTAGCTTGGCCAATCCCTCCCTCGCTCTCGCTCACCGGCTCCGGCTCCGTCTTTTCTTCCCTATCATCCCTCCTCTCCTCCCCTCTCTCCCTCTTCTCTTCTTCTTCCCTCCCCACGCTCCAATTCCTCTCTTCTGTTTCTATCCCCAGTTCAGTAGAGAATATCGCCCATCATGGCCGCCACTTCCTCCCTCGACCACCTGAGCAACCGTATGAAGCTGGAGTGGCACTCCAAGCTGAACACGGAAATGGTGCCCTCCAAGAACTTCCGCCGCACCTCCATCATCGGCACCATCGGTATGTCTTCCCCTGGTCCAGTATTCTCGCGCAGGCCCTCTCCAATGATCTCCGTTGAATTCGAGTCCGTCATGCTAACCTGTTTTTTTTTCCCTTCTCTTCAGGTCCCAAGACCAACTCCGTGGAGAAGATCAACTCTCTCCGTACCGGTATGGGCGAACGAAAAAAATCCATAAGTCCCCGGGACCTCTGAACTAACAAGCTCCTCAGCTGGTCTGAACGTTGTTCGTATGAACTTCTCCCACGGTTCTTACGAGGTAAGACTTGGAGCGACCGGGTTTTCCGTTTCGGGCGGTGCCAGTGTGCTAATCCGTCCAGTACCACCAATCCGTTATCGATAATGCCCGTGAGGCCGCCAAGACCCAGACCGGACGTCCTCTCGCCATTGCCCTTGACACCGTAAGTTGAACCCCCGATCGCTTCAGAACAAGTCGGTTTGACTCGTCTGTAGAAAGGTCCCGAGATCCGTACCGGAAACACTGTCGGCGACAAGGACATCCCCATCAAGCAGGGCCACGAGCTCAACATCTCCACTGACGAGCAGTATGCCACCGCCAGTGATGACAAGAACATGTAAGTCCACGCCTTCGGCTCCGTCCGAAATTGAAATGGTCGGAGACTTTGCGGCCAAGGCGTCAAGCGTAGATCGGTTCAACTGACAAGATTCCCCATAGGTACCTTGACTACAAGAACATCACCAAGGTCATCTCCCCCGGCAAGCTCATCTATGTCGATGACGGTATCCTCTCTTTCGAGGTTCTGGAGGTCGTCGACGACCAGACCCTGCGCGTTAAGTGCTTGAACAACGGCAACATCTCTTCTCGCAAGGGTGTTAACTTGCCCGGCACTGACGTCGACCTCCCCGCCCTCTCCGAGAAGGACATCGCCGATCTGAAGTTCGGTGTCAAGAACGACGTCGACATGGTCTTTGCGTCTTTCATCCGTCGTGGAAGCGATATCCGCCGCATCCGTGAGGTGTTGGGTGAGGAGGGCAAGGAGATCCAGATCATTGCCAAGATCGAGAACCAGCAGGGTGTCAACAACTTCGACGAGATTCTCGAGGAGACTGACGGTGTCATGGTTGCCCGTGGTGACCTTGGTATCGAGATCCCCGCCCCCAAGGTCTTCATCGCCCAGAAGATGATGATCGCCAAGTGTAACATCAAGGGTAAGCCCGTCATCTGTGCCACCCAGATGCTCGAGTCCATGACGTACAACCCCCGTCCCACCCGTGCTGAGGTGTCTGATGTTGCCAACGCCGTCCTCGACGGTGCCGACTGTGTCATGCTGTCGGGAGAGACCGCCAAGGGATCTTACCCCAACGAGGCCGTCCGCATGATGTCCGAGACCTGCCTGCTCGCTGAGGTTGCCATCCCCCACTTCAACGTGTTCGATGAGCTCCGCAACCTTGCTCCTCGCCCCACCGACACCGTCGAGTCCATTGCCATGGCTGCCGTCAGCGCCAGTCTGGAGCTCAACGCCGGTGCCATCGTTGTCCTGACTACCAGGTATGTAGCAGCGCGGCGACGTGTAGATTGGTTGGATAAATTGCTGACATGATATAGCGGCAAAACTGCTCGTCTCCTCTCCAAGTACCGCCCCGTCTGCCCCATCATCATGGTTTCCCGTAACGACAAGGCCTCCCGGGTAAGTTGCGAATCGTGTTGGCGTTCCGTCGAGTGACCTGTGCTAACGAATCGATTCCAGTACTCCCACCTGTACCGTGGTGTCTGGCCCTTCCTCTTCCCCGAGAAGAAGCCCGACTTCAACGTTAAGATCTGGCAGGAGGACGTTGACCGTCGTCTCAAGTGGGGTATCTCCCACGGTCTTAAGCTCGGCATCATCAACAAGGGCGACCCCATCGTCTGTGTCCAGGGATGGCGCGGCGGTATGGGCCACACCAACACCGTCCGTGTGGTCCCTGCTGAGGAGAACCTCGGCCTGGCTGAAGAGTAAATGCAGTCTGGGATGCCACCGTACGGTGGATGACGCGGTAACGACAGCGATTGGATAGAAAGCAGCGCCAAGGGTGTGTCTCTGGAAATCGTAGACCGGTCTCGTCGCCACACGATGGCCCAGGGAGTCTGCACGCGTGCGGGTTGCCTGTGTCTTCACTGCGAGGCTGGTCAGTCCGGGTAGGCCGAGTAGCACCAGGAGTGCCCACTTGCGTTTACCACAGCATTCACTCTTGACCCCGGGGCGCGCTGGGAGGGACACGCACCTTTGGGAAGGTAATCTGTATTCGTGTTGATTTGACGTTAGTTAGCCAGCCAGCCATGTTTGGTGGTTTTCACTGCGATCAAAAAGCTAGATTAATGAGTTGTTCATGTCCATGATCTGAATAGATAGATGTTTCTGTCCAACGTATCCTGAATTGTTAGTGCTGGTCTGTTAGTTCACAACCCGGTGTCTCAACCAAGCCTTCAACTTGAGTAGATGATAGATGGCAGCTTCAAGAGCGCGCCAATAGTTCCCGAGGGAAAGACTGCTGCCTCAGTACAGTAGTGACAAACACTAACTGGCTTCTTCTCGATGATTCTCAAAAACCATGAGTGATTCCTCACTCCTTCCTCTCAAACAACGGAGCAAAGAGTAAATAGACAGAGAAAGAGATAGAGGAAGAGCAAAAGAAAGAGAAGAAAAAAAAAAAAAAAGGGCACGCGAGATGACCCGACACCCCCCTCCCCTCCCTTCCAATTCCCGGAGGGGAATGCGGGGAACCGACAGGACAAGCAGGGAAAGCAGGGAAAGCCCTCAGCCGAGGCAGTCAGTTATAGTAAGTTAGTTAGTCAGTCGTCGGTCATAATAGCTCCATTTCATCTGTCTGTTCATATTCACAGTTGAGTCATTCGCAGAGCAGGGCCGCCACTGTATTTAAGTATATTGATTGAGTCCTCATCCACTCGACTCACTCCTTGCATCTCATGCGACACAACAGCATAGCACAGCACAGCGCACAGCCATAGCATAGCATTGACACTATCACAGCGTACAAGGCACACACAGACACACACACACAGAGAGAGCAAAAGAACGGGAAAAGGTGCGAAAAAAGAAAAAGAGAAGGAAAAGAAAGGAAGAGAAAGACTTACCCCCCGCGAATAACCCATTTTCATCGAAGAACTAAAACCGTGGAGGGCAAATCATATTCCCGAGGGGTAGGCCGACCGTCCCGGGTTCAGCCGATGAGGGGGGCGGGCGTCCCGGGACGGTGGAACGGAAGCTGGGCTGCCTGGACGGCGCTGAGGCCGGGCCGGTTTACGACTGGCTACGGAGGATATACCCGTGCTTAGTTAGTATGTACTACGTGCTATGGAGGCATCGAGACAGGGTGGTTAAATGAAATAATGGGTTTATTTTGCGGTGATAGTGGCCATCATGAATTGTTATTATGGTATGTCTTGGGCAGAAAGCTAGGTAGGTTAAGGTGGGTAGGTAGTGGTTTAGAGGGTTTGTACAACCATAGGGAGAGAGTTGCTTCAGATGGAGACGGTCCTTCAAGGTGCATTGCCGTGCAGTGGAGGCCGTCGATGTATTAGAGTCGATGAGGGAGCGTATGATTGTATATTAGGTCGTGTCGTAAAGTCATATTCATCATGAAGATCTATCGGTACAGAATAGATTGATCCGCGGAGGGGTGACGAGGGAGGCCCGGCTCAGCTCACAATTTCCTCCAAGGCATCGCCGTCCACCGAATAATCCTGGCTTGGGTAGTGTTCCACGGGGGCATATCGATACACCTGAGGCTGTTGGAATTGGTGCCAGCAGCTTGGGGTCCTGTTAGCGGTGCTTCTTGTTCCTGGAGTAGCGGCGTGACATACCTTGGTGCCTGCAGCACGTATCGGGCCATCGCCTCTCGGAATCGACTCTTGTACTCCTTCGGACTGGTGACCGTAGGCCTGTTCTTGCCGCCGCCGGCGAACCCACGGTCCTTGATCCATGACTCCAACTTCTTGTCCCACGTGTATGTGCGAATGCAATCGATCACCCCGACCACCAGCTCCGATCGACTCTCGTCGATGGCTATCATCAATGAGTAGTCCATCACATTCTGACGGCCAAGGAACAGCGTGTCGTTCCAGACACTCTGGCTCAGTAGCTTCTTCGAGTGCTCCCGGGCGAACAACGGTGTTTCGTAGATGAAATCCACCATGTTCTCGTCCAGGAGAACCTCATTGCGTTCGCCGGTGCTCTGCACTTTGCGGTTCCTCATCGACCCCTTGAGGTCGAAGATCCGCGTGGGGACACGGTCGTAGAACAAGTTCTCCATAAGCAGGAGGAACCAGTTAAACTCCGTGCCGGTGGCTGGATTCTTGATAATCACCTGGTAGAAGCCGAACATCTTCGCTATCGCAGACGGTAGCTCGTGGAACAGCGCCTCGGACATGATTTGGAAATATGCCGGGGCAAACTTCAAGAAGGCCTGGGTTTCGATGGGCGAAAGCGACTTGAGGATGAAGCGATCGTCGAGAGTTTTCAAGAACAAAGACTTTGTCTTGCCTCCCTTGGAATCCCATTTGGCGCATCGGGACAGTGACTCGACAATCCGCTCTGCAACTCCGCACTTCTTCCTCAGGGCGTCAAACTGCTCGGCATAGAAAACCTTGCAGAGCATTTTGGCCTGACCCTCCTGGAATTGATACTTGAGATGCGTGCCGGTAGACCGGAGAAGCGCATGCTCGACCCGAGTTTCATACATCACATCGGCGCTATCCTCGGAGTCTGCGGGTTTCTCATCTGGCTCCTCATAGCGCCTTTGGATGGCTTCTAGCTTCTCTTTATAGTCGGCTGAACCCAATGCAAACGCAATCAAGGAGCTTGGCTCATCCTCGCGCACTATTATATCACAATCCGCAAAAACGTGATCGGACATGGTAAGTGGGTAGTCGAGAGGAGCCCATCCACTGGCAGAGCGCTCAGACCAGAAGTTGGTCAACATCTTGAGTAGCGTACTCCTCTCATGCTTGGGGAACTCCTTGAGGTCCATCGACTCGTCCTCCGGGGACATTTTCATTTCCTCATTCGAATCAGTTCTTTGAAGTCCATCCATTGAGGCTCGATCCTCATCGCTGTGTCCATCCTCCGCTTCATGCTCAGAAAGGATGTGATCATCCTCCGGGATAAGGTTCTCCTTTTCTGCCTTAGGGGTAGTTGGGTCGTCCAAAATGATGTCTTGCCGATTCTCCTCCTCCGAGCCCCTTCTCGGCAGTTCTTCGCTCGTTCTGCTGGACTGGTCTAGTGGAATGCGTGATGCCGATGGTATGAAATCTTCCCCTTCCCCTGAAGGTTCGCGCTCCTCCACTGCCTCCCTGACATTCTTGTACACCTCTACGATTGGTTTCGAAGAGGCGATGGGAATTGCGCGTGAGTGGGTGCCCTTAGCAGCTCGTCGCGCTCTTTCTCGCTGACGTTCCTTCTCAAACTCTCGGCTCAGCTGCTCAAAATGCTTGGCCAAATAAGATACACGTGTGGTCTTTTTCGAAGGAATCGAGCGGGGAATAAAGGATGGACCTGGTGCCATTCTTCCATTTCTGAAAGCGGTGAGACCGAAGCGATCCGTGATTTTCTTGTCCGAAGTCTTGAACTTGGAGTCCAGAGGAGGACTGGCAGCTCCCTCCGACGGAGTCAATCGACCAAATGCAATCTTCATGCCCTTTGCAGGGGTACCGTCATTGCCAATTTCTCTCTGGGAATTAACAGGTTGCGTCTGGGCACGGAATAACGGTGGAGATGTCGACTTTCCACTTCGTCGGTATGTTCCTTCGGCTGGTCGTGGGATACCCGATGGTAGGCGAGTTGGCGTGGTGATTCTTTGGGATTCATCGCTTTTCTTTCTCTTGTGAACTGATGCTTCCTCGGAAGCCTCTGCCAAGTTCGCTTCGGACTCAGTAGGCGCAATCAGAGGTGGCTGGGTCTCTATGGTGTCCGCTGGGCTTAGAACAGGCGGTACCAAAACCGGCTGTTCAGAGCGACTCAAGGGGGCAGCTAAGTCAAGGTGCTGAACCTCTTTCTCCGCCGCAACCTCATCCTGACGAGGAGAAAATTGTGAGCTTCCCGAACTGGATGAAAGGGCCACCGATCCAGCATCCTCAGCTTTGGCAAATTCACCCCCCTGGGTCACAGCAGCATTCTTGTTTCCAGAGTGTTCTTCGACAACCGACACGAGGACGTCCTGGGCCTTTTCTGGCGACAGCGTCATGCGGCGTGCTGCCCGGATGCGTTCTGAATCTTCGACGTTCTCATTTTCTGTTTCGGTCGGCGTGCTCGGAGGCTCTTCAGGTGATGTCAAAGAAGTTACGGACGCATCCCTGTCCAGGAAGATCTTTTTGAGTTGCAGAGTCGCCAGTCGCCTAATATCCTTCTCCGAAGGGAAGAAATTCTTTTCGAATTCGGCAAAGGCAGTATCCCATTCGACGACTTTCTCCTGAACGGAGCGTATCACTTCGTTCAGAGGAATCACTTCCCAATAGCGCGAATTGGTATATTTGTCTTGCAGTTGTTTGATCAAGGCGGTATGATCCTCGTTGGCCTTTTTACCCAGAAACTCGATTTCCTTTTTGCAATCCTCCGCCAGCTTTGGGATAACGCTCTCGACACTGATTCCCTTCAATCGTGCTTTAACTGAGGTCATGAACCTGTTAAGGCGGTGCTCCATTCTCTGGTAGACTTCGTTTCTGAGCTTCAGGTCATTGTCCACCTTCCATGTAACCCGGGTTCTGGGGACAATAATTTCGAGTAGGTTGACACTGTCGTAATGTATTCTTATGGCAACGTCCTTGAAGCCAAAAAAGCGGAGGTGATCGCGCTGTAGATCATGAGGGCAGACGCCTGCCCGGGCGTGCAGGTTCTTGCTCCAGAATGAAAGCTCCAAGTACTTCCCAAAGGAATATTTCCAGGTGCTCTCGGACATGGGGAAGACCTGGGTTTCGTTACCGCAGATCTTGCAACAGCTCCACATCAAAATTGTATCCTGGAGACCTCGAAGTTTAGAGGGATAGGGTTGAGTAAAAACGCTCAACTGCGCTTCGCCGTGAACGTATTGACGGTGATGCTCAAATATCCGCTTCTCGCAGCCATTCGCGGTACACACTGCATTCGCATGTATACAAATGTCCTCGACATACTGGCCCAGTGTGCAATCCGGCTCGAATATTGAGTCACCGCCATGTTCGTTGTAGTACTCCAGGGCAAGGAGATCTGGACCAGAGCAAGGAATCGATGTTGTAGTGCAGACAAGACTGAATAGAACGACGATGTTTTGATGGGCGTACGGATCAAAAAGTCCGACGCTTCCAGCGACATAAGCTTCCCACTGCCGCTTTTGTGTTTGATAGTGGTGGAGCGCTCTATCATATTCGGCATCATGCGCTGCGCGCAAAACCTCCTTGACTTTGGGCGGGGCGCCTTGAGGGGACTCGTGAACCATTTCTGGAGTTACCAGGATGAACTTCTGGAGTTTGGCTTTCTCGTCCAAAACTTGTTCCAGGTCAAGATCCTGGTCTCGTAGGCGCTTGAGATACGCCAATCTACGTTCCATCTCTCTAGCACGCATAAGAAGGTAAGGAGGCTCGAATTTCACGAACGGCGAGGCGGATAAAACTTTCGTTTCGTGGTCTCGCACAATCTCTTCATAATATGTGGGCATGGGAACATCGTCAGGCACTTCGCTAACATCACCCGTGACCGTTGACGTGTCCTTGGTGGAAGCAGTATCTTGCTCTGGATTGTGTTTCCTTTCAATTTCGGCTTCGGACAAGGTCGGCATCTGCGCGAACTCGTCTCTCATCAAGCAGGTCTCGAGCTTGAGATTGTAGACAACATATGCCATAAACTCGGTGATTCTCTTGACCTTCGCGAGCACATTGCTGTCACCCCCTCGCAAAACAATTGTACAACCCAATGCTTTGCTGCAGCCTGACAAGTACATGTACGTTTTCTTTCGACCGTTGTAAACGTAGGTCTTGACATCGAAGCTGCCACAGTCACTATGTACGGGAGTTGTCACCAATTTATCCATGGACGTGATGATTCTTGTCTGAGTGCATCGGGAGACGGCTTCAAGGACAGACGACTTGACATTGTACGCTGTGGCTATATTGGCCTTTTCCAACAATTCCAAAGCCAAACCGGACACGTTCTTCTCAACTAGAAGCAAATTAGGTCGTAATGCGGCTATTCTGCTGACCAAGTTTTCAAGAAACTCACGCTCTTGGCGGATGACAGGCTCCAAGCTCATGAAGTGCTGCTGATGGCGCGCATATTCGAGAGGAAATGCAATTATGAGAATTTTGGGTTGCGCTATGCTCCTAGGCATACTTTTAAGTGCAAGGTTCTTCGTGAAAACCAAGCCAGAAACATAGGAGGTATCGCCCGGTCGACCACCCAATATCCGTTTCAGCTTGATATAGTGACGAATATCCATGTCATCGCCTCCCTGAACATCGGGGACGACTTCATCTGCAGCCTTCAGAAGTATCGGAAGAAGCGCAGTCTCCCACTTCGGAGCATTGGGCACAGATGCATCCTTCAAGAGCTGCCGCAAGAGTTTGCGAACGTGTTGCAGGCTAGCTTTGTTCAGCTCAACAGGCGGAGCGCCAGCACCTCTCATCGACGAGCTCCTTGTCATCTTGAATCCACTTGTAGGCAATCCAGTAGTGGGGAACACATGAATAGTGGACGGTGGCTCATGCGTATTGAAGACACTATCCTTCGATGCTCTTGGGGAGTGGCGTTGGTGGACACTGCTTGCAACACTCAGATTGCGGCGGCGAGAAGGGCGAGGCAGATTTACTGCTCTCGAACTACTAACGCTACCATCGTCTGCGTCGCGACTTAGAGGATTCAGACCCGCAATGCTCCTGTCTCCAAATGCCGACCGGCCCTTCTTCATGGCTGCGAGGAGACCACTGAATGTGGTTCTTTCGCTTTCTCCGCCACTTTTGGACAACGAGCCCTCTGACACGGCTGACATCAAATTCGGTTGCTCTTCACCACTAGAGGCGTCATCAGAGAGATACTGCGCCAGGTCTGGATCGATGATATTATCTTTGTGGAACGCAGGCAGCCGAGTCTCGTGGACAGCATCCTCTGCGTTGCGACGTTGGAAAGGTGCTCGGTCATCATGATAAGGCTTAAAATTTCGAATATACTGTTGGCGAGAGTGGTGACGCTTGTGGCCCATTGAATGGGGTCTTCCACTTAGCGACGACTTCAAGGATCGTGAGGAAGTCGGTCTGGCTAAGGGCCTATCTGGACTGATTTCAAGGACAGCTGAGCGGCGGTTGTGACCTTCCCCTGCGCGTCTTGTTGCTGGAATTGCCATTGTAGGTGTCCTCATCACATGTTCTATTGACTGAGATACCACGGATGATGTATCGTCCTCTTCGGAGGGGATGCGTGGATAAAAGCCAGAGCCAAACTCAGACATCCTAGGATTGACTACCACGGGACTCTGCTCGCTATCAGAAAATTCGGAGGAATCATCATCGTGGCCATTAATCATAGCCTCACAGGGCTTGCACACACGTATGGTACTTGGCTGACCAAACCTGTCACCCGGGATCAGGAGTGTGCACTTGGAATCAAAGATCTGACCACAAGTCCGGCAGTGATGTTTCCGTCGAAAGGTAGAAAAAGGCTCTCCGCAATGAAAGCAGTCTTTGGCATTCTCGTCCCTCATCCAAAACTCCTTACTGAGGAGCTTACTTCTCAGCTGAGACATAACACCTTCACCGCTAACATGAGGCCGCCAACCTCTGCCGTCTGTGCTGGGAACTCGCTCCACAGCCGTGTTCAAAGGCGCCAAACCTGGTGGACCTGATGCCGACTCTGTTGTTGAGGCCTGGGACGCCACGTACCCTGGCAAACGGCTCCCGCTTGAGATAGAGGGTCTGTCCCCGGCCTTGTGTCTCACGGAAGCCTTTGAAAGTTCTTTTAACTGGGCCTCTCCATCTGTCAGGGGCACAGGTGTAGTAACTGTGGAAGGCGCCTGTGCTTCCATGAATGGAGCTACCTCATTGTTGTTGTATTGGGTAACACTATTTGTCCTAGACCCCAAAGCGACGTTGGACTTATCTGGGTTGAAAGAGGCGCCGGAGTTTGACCGCAGCCTCTCGGAAGGGAACGAAATGGCGTCCTGCGCTCCGTCAATTGAACGCTTAGCCTTTCGCAACGGTCCAGGTAAAGCAGCTTCTATCTCATGAGTCCCTTGCGAATCTGACCTCCTGAAACTGTCGGGCGCCTGGCTGCCTATTGTGGATGATCTGCTCACGTCTGGGCTTCCTGGCCTCTCGAAGGTGCTGCTGTGCGTTTTGACTTGTAGAATCGGAGAGTTCGAAAGCCGCTGACTCCAACCCGAGGAACTCAAAGATCCAGGATGAGGGCCCTCTTCCTTGTCCGTACCAGCGGAGTCCACAGTATGCAAGCTGTTGGAGGAGAGATTGACCGAATTATTACTCGAGATGTGGGAAGGCTCTTTAATAGCATTCACGTGAAGTTCGGTTACCGTTGGGTCTACGGCCATCGAGCTACCCGTAGCTTTTGGTAAAGGCACTGTAGGAGATTTCAACGCAGATGACGATAGGACTAGAGCCTTGGAGGATGTGCTCGCTATTTTTGAAGGAGCTTTCGAGCCTTTTCCCAGTCCAGATAGATGGGGGCCATCCTGGGTGGAGTGATGGCTCCCCGGTGCCGGCGAGTGAAGCCTTGACCCTTGAGAAGAGCTCGGGTTGTACTGCTGAGGTTCCTCGGGAGCGGACTTGGTAAACGAACGCTCTGACGGAGGGCTTTTCACGCCAGAGTCTTCAACAGCACTTTTATCCGATGATTTCCCAACACCGCTCACCATCCCACCCACGGAGGTCCGAAACCGACTGTATAACCCGCTTAGCCCCCCCTGGAGCTCGCCAGAGAGGGTCTTTTCGTCTGCTGCGGAGGTCGGGGCGGGAGGACTCGTAAATTCGTTGAAAACGGTCAGGGTGTCCGACTGGTAGGCTGCGGTATGTATTTGGTCGAGAGCTGCGTTTAGACTTTCGCGTTCTGCCTGTGTCGATATAGACGCTCGAGAGCCCCGGCGACCGAGAGGGAGGAAGACCGACGAGGCGGATGGGCTCGACGTCCCTTGGGACTGGTGGGAGGCCATCCAGGCTCCGTTGTCCCCGTGAGCGCTAGGAAAATCAAGCAGTCCCGCGGAGTGTTATCGTGTGGTTATCAAACGGACTCAGCACGAGCAAGGGGTGGCAACTGCAAGCATTCGCGGTATCTTGCTGCGGAGAAGCTGCCGGGTGCTCGGTGGTCGGAGTCTGTGCGGTGAGTATCCATGCATGGGGAGCGACTCCACATTCTCTGGAGATATTAATACCGAGATAAATTAGTCGGGTTGGGGTCGGAAGAAGTCACGGAGGCAAAGACAGCCTCTGTCGGGGGATGTGAAAACAGGAAAGAGGAAAGAGGTGAGAGAGGAGTGAAGCGGGGGTGGACACGCCTTGTCTAGACCTGGTCGACCAACGGATTGATTACGGGAGGACGACTACAACAACAACTGGGCGAGCGGTGCCCAATGACGTGGGCTGCATGACCGTGGCGCAGTCCCTGGGTGTGGCGGTGGTCGTCCGGTACGCCACGGCAAGTCAGCAGCTTCAGGGCGGTCGGGCGCGTCAGTTTCGGAGACAGACACCGCGATCGGATTGTCGCGCAAGTCAGTTACGTTACACCTCGTCACTCGTTGAGATGTGAATACCGGCCATATGCAATTCATCATCACAGAATCTTATCCTTCAAGCTCACTTCTTGACAACCCACCGAGGCCGTCCGTATATGTATACCAAGCGGCGCATCAACTACCTATATCATATCAGCCTATCGGACTATGTGGTCGTATACCAGAGCAATTCCCCTCTCTTGCCCGTTGCTAGATCCTCAGCATGGCCTCCCAATGGATTGCCCCCTTTCTTGAGAACTCTCTCTCCGCCTACCTCCAAGGTTCATATGGCGCAAATGAGTATGAGGATGACGGGAGTAACCTTCGATTCGTCGCCCGCTCCCAGCACTCCGCTTTAATAAACGGCGTAAGCTCCCTCGTCTATCAACTTCAAAGGTGTCATACTGATCAGTTCCTTCGACTAGTTGACGGAGCTTAAGAACGTACTGATTTTCAACTTGACCGATTCAACGACGCAAATTGAGGCGATCCTTTCCCAGGAAGCGTTGGAAGAATACCAGAAGTTCGCTCCGCAGCATCCGTTGCGCAAAGATGCGGTTCGTGGCTATAATGTCCAACTGTTATCTTTTGAGATGGTCCTCGAGTACTCCACGGTCGAGCCGAAGGTTCACTTATACGTTCAACGCTTTAACATTGCGTGGCAGGGGGGCAAGATCAGGGCGGCTCCACAGGGAAAGTCTATCAAGAAAATCCCTGCCCTGAAAAAGCTGATGCGATCCGTCTTTAGCCGCGTGAAAGGCTCTGCGATGCTGGATGTGAACCTCAAGGAAGAGTTCAATGACTCTACTAGATCGTCGATCCGCCAGGACACCCAGATGCCGGCCTCGCAAGGCATCCTTATGTCCCAAATGCCTCCAGTCATCCCCGCCATGAACCCGTCCCTTCCTTCTCCATCAACCCACCAATCTGGGTCTGCCCGTTTGTTGCTGGGTATGTTGGGGACCGCCTCTGAAACATCAGGCGCTCCGTCAATAAGTCTGAAGAATCAAGCCGTTCCCCCTCTATTCAATGAAGAGGCGCATACGGGCGGGGGGGCCGCAGGACAAGTTCGAAGTAGCCAGCACTCTGCTGAGATTAGCCGTCCCTATTCCCTAACCCCTCGGGGATCTGACCCCGGCCAACTCCAGCCTGCCACTGAGACTGAAACGATACAGGGACCTGTCGTACCATCGAGCATAGCCCATGATAATTTGGCCAATGGAGATGCTCAGCAGGCCCCTGTAGTGACGGAGGCAGAACAAGACCACCTGGTAGAACATGTGGAGGAGTCAACCAGTGCAGCTAACGAGAAGGGGGGAGCCAGTTTGGCATCTCCAGAACAACCTTCTAATAAGGCATCATTAGGGGCTAGGAACTCTCCGGAGAAACCACAGTCCAGTCATGTTGATCCGTGGCATGGCATGGACAGAATCCGAACCAGAGACGTTAAAATACCAAAGGAACAAGCTGAATTGCTGGAACAACATAGGCGCCGCTGGATACCACCATCTCCGGGGGAGAGTACACCGCAGGGCCACGTGCCACCTCGGCTTCTTGATCAATGGAATAAAATTGCCCTGCGAAGGAGGCGCATGGCTCAAGGAGAGGAACCGAATGATGCGCAATCCGAGCCGCCGGTGACACATGAGGCTTCACCTAGTTTTCCCAGCCCAACACCTCAAACAGATACGGATTCTGACGAGGAGAATTTATCATGGTCCGAGAGCGAACCAGAGCAAACAACTCGTTCACGACAGGTCTTGCCTGCAGACAGTAGCCCAGTACGTGTTGAGTCAAAAAAGGCAGAGGAGCCATCTCTCCAAAAGAATGCGCATTTGCCTGATGAACAGTCACCGAAAAGGCCTAGTTCGGAATCTGCACGCTTCAATGATGATAGTCTACAATCAATCGCCAAAGGCCAAGATGCTGATGTTTCCATGAACGTATCTTCCCCTGGGGTTGATCAGCCAGCGAACCATAATGATACTACCACGTTGGAAAACACGACCCATATTCATGACGCTCAGGCTGAATCTGACGATGACTCGGTGATGGATACTTCTGTTCCGTGCCCGCTTGGAAATAATACGCAGCAAGTACAGTTTACAAGTCAGTCAGAGCAGGAAGTTACTAGCTCAGGTCCATCTCTTCCTGGGCAATCTACTCGCGACCACGTTCAGGTCGTGGAAACACCAGATGTCAACATTTGTCGGCACCGCTTGGCGGGTCCCAGCAAAGGCGATGATCTACAGTCACCTACTTCCGGACAAGTACCTGAAGCGACCAAGTCATCATCGCAGTCCCGAATCCTGAACACATACGCAACTAAAGGGACTTCGTCGCAGATATCAGATCCCGGTCAAGCGAATAGAGAGAGTCATGACGTCGACATATTTGGTACACAGGTAGGCAGTAGCTTGTCGATGCATGATACAACGCCATATTCAACCTCTGATATGGGCTTGAATTCTTCTGCCCGGAAGGATCAGGAGCCCAGTGCATCAATAGATGGTCCAGCGTACCAATCGGAAACATCAAATCCATTCTCTTCATACCGAGAAATGCCTTCGTCGATGTCGGAAGAAGCCCAAGAACAACCTTTATTGGACATTGAGAGTTCAATACTGGTGTCAACTGGGATTACCACGGGACATTCTTTAAAACGTCCTGCATCCGACATTGAACACGACTCTCCCGCAAAGCGGCCTAGAACGGAGACCGATCAGCGGTCGACCGAAACAGTATCCAATATGGTCGACCATGGCCATTCCACTGCAAATTCAGAATCGCAAAAGATCTATGAGAAGTTCCGGCGAGATTACCCAAGCTATTCCGGAAGCTTCGATCACTTTGCCATTCTCTGTTCCAAACTCCAAGCTGTTCGGGTCAATGGTCACCTAAAGCGATCATTTCTATGGGATGACTTCGTAATCAAGCACCTCGAGGAATATCCGTCCTATCTCGAGCAGTGTTCATCTGCGGGGAATAAGTCTTTGGTATATGAAGACTATTTCGCGTCGTTCTTTTCCAAGCCTTCTTACAAGAAACGAAGCCTCACCGCACACGGAATTGACATCAGTGCGGCAAATATACCCACGAGTCAGACTATCGCACCTGTCACGGTTGTGTCTCCTGAAAAGCCAAACGATTCCTTTACGGTCAGTCTAATCGACCGGTTGACTAACTTCCACGCACATTCTTTTGAGCCGGGGACACAGGATACCCAATCCGATACGGATATGGAGTACATATCGTGTCTTATGTCCTCTCCCACACCCCAGGAAAAGGGCACTCTGAGCATCACTGGACTTCCACTGATTGCTGAGCAGCCCATGGAGGTAGACCAAGAACAGGAATCAGAACCTGACGCGCCAGTGGACAAAGTGGATCCCCAGGCGGAAGAGGCTGATGCCGAAGCCAAAAATCCAACGAAGAGACAAACTCCCATCGCTGATCCAGAGGAACAGCCCGAGTCCACTGACTCGGCTACTGATAGTGAAATGGGGGGACTGACTTCGGATCAACAACAACTTCGGCTGATGTTGCGATCTGAGCCACGGCCGAAGTCTGATATAGCAGAAGATAATGTCGACGTCCCGCGGAGAGGATCCTCTGGAGACCAGCCTATGCCAGTCAAAGATGAACACCATGGCTCTGGCAGCACAGATTCTGATGAAAGCTACTCCGAAGAAAGTGATTCCGATGAAAGACCGCCACCTCCAACTGCGCACGATCAATCCTCCACGGTAGGAGAGGATTCTAGTAATCCGCGCAAAGTATCAACTTCTGGAGACCAACCCATGCCGGTCAAAGTTGAACACCATCGCTCCAGCAGCACAGACTCCGATGAAAGCGGCTCTGATGAAGAACTGCCCCATTCAACTGCGCACGAACAAACCCCAGCAAAAGGAGAGGACGCTGGTAACCCACAGAACCAGGTGATAGAGAACCAGATGTCAGAGAGCCAGATGCCAGAGAGCCAGATGCCAGAGAGCCAGATGTCAGAGAGCCAGATGCCAGAGAGCGAGATTCCAGAGAGCCAGATGACAGAGTCTCAAACCGAATCAAAGGCCCTAGCCGCATACAACCAGCCTCAAGCAACAGCAACGGACCTAGACTCCAGCATCCCCGAAAGCATGCCCTCAAACGAACCCTCGCAGCCCAAACCCCAGAACCTAGACTCCCAATCCAGCCACGTAACGAACGACGAGACGCACGAAACCGCCAGCATCGAACTCGGCGACAGCACCCAACGGACCGACGCCGACGCCGACCCACCCAACCCCAACCCCAACATGGACATCGACACCGCATCCGAATCCGAACCCGAATCCGACGCAGAAAGTGACAACGAGAACTGGTTCGACTCCCTCCGGCACATGCGTCCGTCGGGCCCCGTATGGTCCGACGACCCTCACACGCCCTTCAAGCAATGGGCGCGCGCAGACCAGAATGTTCTCTCGGAGCGATACCGGCGCGGTGGCGCTTTTCTGTCTGTGGATGAGAAGGGGGTTATTCGGCGACCTTGACTTGGTGAGGGGCCTGGATGTGAATAATTGGGGTGTCATTTTATTCTTTTCTATTCTTTCCCATTCTATTCTTAGCGGAGGGTTATCTGTAGTAGTTATTCCCACTTATCTTCTATGTATATGTATATCTTCTCATTTATCATTATGGGCGGTTTTTTTTTTTCTTAATGGATAATGGATAATGAATGGGTCAATTGGGATGGGATATGTTATGATATCCGGATGAGCGTTGTTTGCGCTTCTTTTCTTCTCTTTTCTTTTCTTTTCTTTGCGGGGAGGAAGAGAGACCTCATCCTACCCTGCGTACATTAATCTGCTGTGGTACTCATAATCGTAAGGAGACTGACTATCCGAATGCATTGACTGAATTGGTGTCATCCTGGTAATTATCCCACTACCACTAGGTATAGTATATACCTACTACCTACTTACGGTTGTAGTACCTGCCTGTAAAGGAATTTGGGATTAGCTGCAAGCACTACTCCGTATCTAGTACATCATGGACCTACCTACCTATGGTAGTAGTACTCCGTAAAGAGTAACTACCTAAGTATATATGACCCTTGCTTGCCGGTACTTAGGTAGTACTACTAAGTACTGTCCTACACAAAACCTGATCTGTGGTCGCACACGGAGCTCTATCACCCATCCACCCACCCACCCACCCACCCACCCAAGTCAAAATCTACTCTACATAGTCACCACAAAACAACAATCCACAATTCTTTTTTTTCTTTTTTTTTTTAAGAAAAAGGGGGGGGTATCAGAATTTCTGACAAGTCTATTTCAGATTCATATACAGATAGACAGATAGACAGATAGACAGATAGACAGATAGACAGATAGATGCAACTAGCATTAACCTCATCATAATACCTAGAGAGCTTATCCAGACCGGATCCCAACCCTCTATTCCAACCCTCCGCCTCCTCCAACATACGGGGTATCATGGGTACCTATGCACCTTCCCTTCTTTCCTCCTCCCTTTCATCCTCTTTCGAATAACAAAGATAGCAGAAGAAAAAAAAAATCAAGTTCCTCATGATAGTGTGTGTGTGTGTGGTCATTACCCGAAGCCGAACGCCGTGAATCGAACCAAGACATGGTTTGTATGTATGTATGTATGTATGTATGTTCTTTTTCTTCCCCTTTTAGGTAGGTTTTCGTTTGAGATGTTTTTCATGCCATACGTTTAAACAAGCTGTTTAGCTTATTTAAACATGACGGAACGGCTCATAGGCATTCGACCGAGAGGGCTGGTTGCCGTGAGTGGGCGGGGGCGGGGGAGGGGGATAAGCGGTGCTGGTGTTGCCGTAGGCGGGGTTAGAGGGCTGGTGCTGGCCGTAAGGACCGAGAGCCTCGTAGGTGTAGGGGGTCTTTTCGGCCATGACGCCGCGGGGGGCGCGGTTGCGGTGGTTGTAGGGGGAACGGCCGGAGCAGCAGCAGGAGCTGAAGACCCAGAAGAGACAGGCGCCGAGGGCGAAGGCAACGGCGAGCCAGGTAGCGACGTAGATGTTCTTGCCCATGGAGCCGGTGATGCCGTATTTCTTGAGATCGGCTTCGAAGACGCCCTTCAGGACGGCGAACATGGCCGTGGAGGTGACGGAGGCGGCGGCGGTGAAGACGAAGGCGACCTTTTTGAGGGTGTTAGTTGGGGTGCAATGGGGATGTTTTGGGGGAGAGGGGGCGGGGGGCTTACGGCAGACACCAGACTCGTCACGCAGCTACCCCAGCGACTGCAGATGGCAAAGACACCGACGACCAGCTCGACGATGGTGGCGATGAAGGCGATGATGTAGGCGATGAACATCCATTTGGAGACGGCCTTGTAGGTCTTCAGGGACTTCTTGACGTCGCTGGGGAAGACATCCTCCAGACCGGACTCCTCCAGGTTCCAGACATCGAGAGGGTTGAACCAGAACTCGGCCACGGGCTTGGAGCAGTTGGTGGTGCTGATGCTGCCGTTGTCGAGGCTTCCTTCACAGTAGCCCCAGAGACCGATGGAGTAGTAGTCCGCGATGTTGAAATCCTTCTCGATTTCCTCGAGGGCGGAGGCGAGGTCGGTGGCCGATTCTGAATCCGAACGCACCGAGATACCGGTCAGGTCGCTGACGACGGAGGATACGGCTGAGGAGGTGGAGGTGCCGGATGTGATGTTGGTGAGATTGGCCTGTGCGCAGTTAGCAAAGTCGATCCGGATGGGTTTGCGGGAGGTGGTCGCAACGCACTCTGAAGAAGTAGAGATCATCCAGGGTGCTGGAGCTGGCTTTGGTGCAGCCCAGGCCCACTATGATGATGCATATTAAGGAGGCGATGGTGAGGACATATGGAGTGAAGATGCAGATGATGCGACCGCCTTTGCCCATGGTGACGGTTGGATGGGGATGACGTCGGGGAGTTTAGTTTGTTTTTTCCCCCCTTGCTTATCGGGGATCGATGGATGTCTGTCTGTCTCAAATTACCCGAGAGTAGGGGGAATGACAGCTGGTCGAGATAGGTGAGGTGAGGCGAGATGTTGATAGAAATTAGAAAGAAAAAAAGCGAGAAGAAGAATGCTGAGAAGGGCTGGGGAGGATGGTTTTAAGCGGACAAGGCTGGTGATCGTCGGGACGGTTGAGGGTGATCACAATACGGCTGTGTAATCGGTAATATTGACGGGGGCGCAGTGTGGGATCCGGTGGACCAGCCAATGAGACCCCTCCCCAGCCGGCTACGCCACGCTGGTTTCTAAAAACAATCGGCGGTGTTTCCACCGCAACCCGTGGTTGGTCGCGTCGCTCTAATCAATCCGCTGCTGCTGTTCTCCAGCACGGTAGAAAGTGGACCGCCAGGGCCCTGGATGAGGTAAATTCCCTTGACATCGGTATGGGCATGTAAGGGATCTCTAGCCCCGTCGGGTCAAGCGCCCCCCGTGGCCGGCACTCACCAGCCCTACCGCCACGTCAGATGTGGCTGGGAACTACGCGTCCTGCTGGAAAATCCTGAAAGTTGACTTTCTGATGGACACTGATGGGCAATATTACACGGCAGACGAAAGGCTCAGACCCTGAAGTGTGGTCTGTGAACCCCCGGGGGAGCCTCGTCTAGGTAGGTACTTTGTAGCTATCTGATACATGGTGGACCTCGATCCCAATCAAGAATTGTGTAGGATCATCCGCGTCTGACATCCTTCTGACACGGTTACTCAGCAGTAATTAATTTTCTGTCTTAGGTCCTTGGGCTCGAAATCTTAATGTCTCGCATCACACCACCAACCACGGGAGCAGCACCGATGAGCCCCTAGGCTTCATCATTCTGGACTTGGCAATACGCGGTCTCTGGGGAAGGCGAGCCTAGTCCGTATGTGGTCGGCTTTTGGCTTTTCTACTAGGCTTCCAGCATGCGGGCGATCGCATGCAAGACACCGACTGCAGTCATCAGAACAAAGGAGGAGGATGATGATGATGATGACTCTGTCCTGCTATTTCGATCTCGACAGTCCCATGGATCCACGTCAGGAACGATCCGAGATATACAGTACCAGTACTAGTAGGCAGTGAGAACATTCTTATTATTCCTCCGAACAGACGATCTTCTCGAAGACAGCAGCCTGTCGGCTTGCAGCACCGCCCTCCAAAACGCAAAACGCAAAAAGAGCGGTTCAACAAACAGCCGCGACAGACGAGGAGAGACAGACGAGGGATCGTCGGAGATGATGGGCGCCGATTAATAACTGGCCGGGTTAGTTACCTACTTTACCGTCCCTGAGCTTACGTCGTGGGCTTGGCTTGGCGCCCTCGTTTCTATTCTGGGCCAGCCAGCCATGGTCCGTATCGGGCGGGACCGCGAATCCTCATTCTGATTCAAAACTCATCTACGTGCATATAGTATGTATACTCCCTGCCCCAGCTTCACCACGATGTTAGAAGTTTGGTTCCCCCGAACTACTGCTGCCCGTAAGGCTGAGCATGGGGATGATGTATCCCTCTACGACGCAGTGGGCCTCGTGTTCAGCGACGCGACTCGTGAGCCAGTCAGTCATGGCAGGTTGATAAGATTTCCCCACGCCGCATATACGCCTCACGCCTCCTACTGGGTATATACGCCTATCATGCATGGTCCACACCAGGCAGCTATCAATGCAGCTCCCAGTGCTTAGCAAAATGCGCGTCCGAAGCTCTCCGAAGCTGATTCATGCCATGTCAATCCGTCATACATCCACACAGCTGCACCAGGACCTCCGTGCAGTCCAGTCACACATCCATCCGGGGGCCCCTTGCGGAAGATGTAATCTGCCCCCCCCCCTCCCCCACATCGCACCCTCGCACGTCCGTGTTGTTCGGACGGATCCGGCACCTCATCCACCTGCGAGTCCAGCATGACTGGCGTGGAACGAGTCACCGACGGAGGCCACGCAATGGCTCAAGGATAACGACATGGTCTGCATTCTGGTTGAGTATTTTGGGGGGTATCAACGATGTGTGTCGGACCGCTGTGTCGGGGATGCCGGTCCAGGTCCGGGTGCGTGCATCTCGTAGATGATCTTCCGGGTCGGTCAGATCCTTCGTCGACCCAGTTCTAGACGTTGGTCCACGAGGTACCCTCTACAGAGGATAGATGTCCGTGACGACGTAGACATCTACTTGCACTGTCATCGGTATGTGTCTATTGACTGCTGTATGGAGCTTGTATACCAAGCCTACTACTAACCACCCACCAAACATCCGATAGAGACGACAACCACCCCCCCCCCCCCAAAAATCAAAAAAAGAAACCTACCACCCCCCCAACCCCCCAAGATAAGGTTTCATATCCTCCGCCTGCAAAAGATGATACTTCATACCGGGATGATAATCATTCCACCAAACACAGCTCGTCCCATCATCATCAATGCAGGTATTATTCGGAAACCCATACTTAGTCGGATCATCGAGGACCTTGCTCATAAACGACCATGAATCATAAAACACGGTCGTCACGTCGCCCTTTTCCCTTGTCCAGGAGTCGACCATGCTCTCCAGGTTGCGGTTGTACACGGACAGGTAGGCGGCGACTTCGGCGACGGTGGCGTTGCCTTGGTCCTGGAAGAAGGGCGTGCGACTGGTGGGCGGCACGTTGAGGAAGAGGAATTTGCGCGCGCCCGAGGCGTACAGCGTTGAGGCGAGGGAGAGGAGTCGGGTTATGAGGATCGGGGTGTAGGTTTCTGCGTTGGTGGTGGGGAAGCCGTTGCCGATGCTGTGAGGGAATGAGAATGGGTGGGGTGGTTAGGATTTGTGTTGGTTGGTTTGGGGGGGTGTGAGGTGATGGGGAAGAGGAGGTTTTAAGCTGGCTGGGAAGGAGGGGGAACACACTCATTAATCCCAATCCAGAACCCAAAGACGGCGTTCTCGGATGTCCAAGGCGCGGTGGCGGGCTTGGAGCTGTAGACGTCTTCGAAGAGACGGATCTGCGAGGCTACGTCGCCCGCGTAGGCCGAGACGAGCGCGTTGTCGATGGTGGCGCCGCCGACGGCCAGATTATAGGAAAGCACGGTGGTGCTGTTTTCTTCCGTCGTGAGGTAGCCGATCCAGTTGGGGCCGTTGGTGGTGGTGCCGATTCCTGGGGTCGGATGTTCTCAGAGAGAGATACCGACTTGCAGGTGGAAGGGATGGGATGGGGATTTACCTAGGTCTGGGTTTCCCATGGGGTTGGAGGCGTTGGGCTGGGTGCTGGAGGTGCTGAAGCCGGTTTGTGAGTAGGAGTCGCCGCTGGGATAGGGGATGTTAGTCGTGGTTATGGACATGGACGTTGCCATTGGGGAGAGGAGAGGGGGAGGGTGTTACGGACAAGGTGAAGAAGTAAGTGGGATCGACGATGGTATCGCGAGTCGTCCATGTCCATGGTCGTGCAGTGGCCATGGTGAGGAAGCTAGCGAGAAGCCAAGGGGATGGTAGCTTCATGATGGTGGTTGGGACGGTGTTCTTGGTGGTCTGTCAAGGCTTGGTCTGTCAAAAGAGCTTGGTAGTCGATCTTTGCTCGGGCATATATATATATATAGGATAGCCGGATGGATAGCGCACCTCGCCCCGCGGGGAATGTCGATTGCCTGTACATCATGATGGGTATGCTGGGAGTGTTTCCATCATGACGCATTGCCAGCAGTGAGTGAGTGTCCTGATGCAAGTGCATTCTGCCGACACCCATTTAGCCGATGAGCTCTGGACAACTGGTTGATGGGATCAGATTTCCCCGAAGCCGCTTGGCATGATTGCTTGCGGGGCAGGTCACTCCATTGCTGCATGGGGATAAGAAGGCCGATGCAGGGCTTGCTTGATTCTTGAAGGATGTGGATGGCGGGGAGGGAGGACTATGCCGTTTTGGAAACGGGGTGGACGGATGGGGCTTGCAGTGGCGAGCTAGGAAAAGCTAGGATGGGGTGATCAATCACTAATAACGGACCCTGAGGTTGCAGGGGACTAAAGTGCGGAGAACCGGACACGTCGGAGATTGGGTCTCGCTATGACACGCTCTATTCTATGTTCTGTTTCTATGTGCATGTAACATCTCATCTCATCGCATCGTAAGGATCATACCTCCTACAACCGGAGACTCATCATCTCCATGCCAGCTCCGCATACAATCAGCTTGCTTGCGCCTGACTCATCGTGGACAATGTCCAGGGAGGAGATGTCCGCGACGCAGCTGTATCGTTCCGCTGCTTTGCTGATCTGGATGCGGTCCTGTCCGTCCTTCCTGGTGTCTATGTCGATCCACCAGATCTTGACCTGGTGGTCGTTCCCGGAGGAAGCAACGGCAAACCGTGCGGTTCCGTCGCTTGGGTTTGGGCTCTGTTTGATTATCTTTGTAGCAGTAATGCAGGCTGCATGGGCATCGGGGATGGTGATGGTGCAGGCAGCAGCATCAGTTTCGACACTCGTGTCCAGGAGAGTCGCGGTGATTGCATTGTCGTCGCCACCAGCAACGATCAAGGACAATTTCTCTGATAGATCGGCCAGCTCCAAGGACTTGATGCTGTTCCAGTGGATCAGGTAGCGGTTCTCACATGAGATACTGCCTGGCGTTATCGACTCTCCCGTGATGGGGTGTTTCAGACGCAGGGGTGTGGACATCGTATAGAACGGCTCGAGGACGGAAGTCAGATCCCAGAGCGTAAAGTAACCATCCGTCGAGGCTGTGATCAAGCTCAGCGATTCTCCCTTGAGCATGAACTGTGCTTGCGTCAGACAGTTGCTCATATACGTGCCACTTGCCAGCAAGGTAAAGATGCCTTGGTCGATTGCGGAGGAGGATGAGTAATGGAAGATCTGTAGAGTTAGTACGTATCAGAACAACGGTCTGGAGTCAACTTACATTTATAGTGGAGTTTGAATAGGTCAAACAGAGAAGGAATCCGTTCTCTGCCTGCTCTCCATCCACCTCCAACACGTCAAAACTTGTCACTCGGAGATCAGAGTTTGGATCGCTCTTGGGGCACGATCCATCCAGCATCGTCCCGAGACCAAACCGGGGAATCGATTGCGTCCGCCAGACAAAGAACTGTTCATAACCACCGCTCGTGAAGATAAATTTGCCGTCCTTGGACCACCCCACATTCTGAAGCCCGGTATGATGCTCCCTCAGAAGACGCAGACACTTGAACGCGCCCCAGCGGCTCTCTGACTGCGGCTCACTGGGTGCAAATATACGCACATTCGTGTCCTCGGAACCTGTCGCAAACAAAGGGCCAAGTCCGTCCGATTTCTGGGACGCACACATGGCCTTTACCTCTCTCCCGTGGCTACCGGAACGCAACGTGCGGCTGGCGTCGGGTTCGATCTCGAGGGCATGGAAGCTAGATTGAATCCACAGGAATGACCCAGCCCACGGCTTCTTTTGGCTAGGCTGGAAGGCCCAGGCTCGTCGTCCCCCGTTGCATTTGTGCCTAGCGACCTCTGTCTGTGCCGACTCGTTCCAGAGCACAAAGTCCATGGGCTGGAACCCGTAGATCATAAGATCTTGGGTGACGCTATCGATATACGCTCCCTGGATTTCGCAGTTGAAAGCGAGAGAAGAAAAGTGGAGGGTTCTGAAAGCAACCGATGGCTCGACACCATCTGAAATGACCAGCTCGTGAACACCGTAAGTACCATTTCGCCCACAGGTCAAAAAGTACGGCAGCAAATCTCCCTTCTCGCCATATAGCGAGGATAAGGGTGCGATAAAGCTAAGTCCGTCGCGACCATGTAGCTTGACAGGGGGCAAGACTGGCTCGAGACTTCCTTCCCTCGCTACCCGGTACAGAGCGAAATTGCCCGTCACGGAACCCAGCGCCAAGTGCTTGTTATCATGGATCAAAGATGCGCATGTCACAACAAAGCCGTGCGGAAGATTCAGCGTTGTCTTATCCACACGAGGCTCTGCGTCTTCCGACATCGAGACAATGAACAAATCCGCGATCTCGGTCTTAGGATAAGCGGCGACGAAGATCAGGTTCGCCCCGGATGGTGATGCTGGGTCATAGTCAAGGACATACAAGCCCAGCGGCCTTTTGCCGGTGTCGACGAGTCTTGTAAGGGATTTTGTGTTATGACTGTAGCATCGAATCACACCTCTTGCATTCCCCAGAAGGGCCACACCTTTCTGCGGTAAGCTGCCAATGATGGAATACGAGCGTAGATCTTCTTCGACGAATACCGTCTCCTTGAAGATGTGTTGTTTACCGCAGTTTAGGGACTGGATTTGTCCGATCTGAACCTCACCGCGGACGGTCACAGCAACAAACCGATCCTGGGAGACAAATTCAAAGCCTTTGATGGACGTCTCAAGATAAGGCTCCGGGTTTTGAGCATCGACTGACGTTGCAATGCGATTTTCCAGGTTAGGCAACACAAACGCCCCGTTCTCCTCCTTGATGGTGAAGTTCTTAACAGCCCCATCAGCACCTCCACTATAGATGACTGCCCCGGTAGCCGTGCTGCGCACATCAAGAGACCAGACATGCTTGCCGGTGTGTTTGCGGATAGACAGCCCTTCCTTCAGTTTGAACTCGGGCTTCTGCGAAGACGGGTCCCAAGTGAGGTCCCACAGTATACATGTCGCATCCTCGCCCCGGGAGAGCAGGCTCATCTTGCCCGGGCCGTGTTCTAAGGGTAGGAAGTGCACCCCCCAAATACGAGCCAGGTGTCCAAAAGCACTTGCTATCGTTGACTCAGATCCGAGCTCATTACCGGGGGCTACTGCGCCAAACCCTGTGCTCCGGAGCTCGAAGCCATCTGTTGAATAAGCAGGAGCATCGTGACGAGATGTGCGCTCGCAATCAGAGATATCCCAGATCCGGACTGTCCTGTCATCGCTACAGCTAGCCAGCAGCCGTCCGCTCTGATCTCCGCGCAGGGAAGCGATCACAGGAGATATCCGAACCCCAAAGATGGACCCCTCATGGCCGGTGAAGAAGTGATGTATGGAGCCAGTTGCCTCGCCATTGTCCGATAGGAAGCAGGACCAAACGATGATTTCGCCAAAGACAGTCCCGGCAGCAAACAAGAGGTGAGATTCCGAAAGGGAGACAATATCCGCTGAATAGAGAATAGTGTTCACTCCAGCAACAAGTGGTCGTATATGGATGGCATGCTTGTACTTTGACTGGTCCCCATTCGCTAGATACAGACCAAAGACAGCATTGTGAGCCGTCAGGACGTATGCGCTCTGAGTGACATCGTCGCCGCCAAGGGCGCAACCAGCAAGGATCCAATCCGGCGCCTGGTATTCTGCACTCGCAGCAACCAGGCTCGCCTCGGGCACTTTTTGAGCCTCATTGCGGGAAAGCAACAGATCAAAAGCTCTCACGGACTGCCCTCCCCAGGCAATGAGGCGAGTCTGTGCGTTTTCCGCATCTTGCTCCCTTTGGCTGAGGACCACAAAGCCATGTACATGGTTTCTCTTGAAAGTCTTCAGCTCCGAGAGCAGTCGCCCGCTCACTTCATCAATCAATCTGATGTAAGTGCCTTGGGCCTGGAGGAGAACCTTGACATCCCTCAACACCAGCGCTTTCAGCGCCGTCACGGGGACGCAAATATCAATGTGCTGGAACGGGACTGGTCAGCAGCATTCGGTAGCCTGGGATTTGGGACGGCCACTGACTTCGAGCGAGGGATTCATTGGTGCTGTCTCCCAGACACATTGGTCCGCTGAGTACAGGAAAGTCGGAAGGAAATTCTAGCGACTGATCTATACGCGGTGACTTTCCCCGCCTCATCTCAAAATTCCAGAATTTCCATCCACTGTGAGGATGCTTATGTAAGAGGCTTGCGGGATGTCCGCTTACCCATTTAGTGCTCTGCCACGTGATCACTGCCTCAGGCATATAAGGGCAACCAATCCTTTCCCGAATAGGAAACGGGGATTTGTGAAGGATTTCTTAAGAGGTTGATAACCACTTGGTGTCCTTTTCCTTGGGAAACTACGATTAGATTTTGTCCGGATATCAAAACAAGTTATCCCAGAGGAGTCTTTGTGTACGAATAAATCCGGCCGTTTTTCACCGTAGCCTACAGCAAAAGTCGATGCAAAACAGCTTCTAGTAGCTGTTTATATAGCCTGCTATTCATGGGCATGGGATCTGCCTTCTTCCGGCACTGGTGACCAAATAAGCCAAAAATTCCGTCTAGGGAAAACTTCCATCGAAGCCATGCTTTAAAGGAGCATTGTTGAGGGCACCGCAAGCTATCGAAAACTCAGGAAGCCCAGGCGGAAGACATTTAGGTTACTTAGTAGAAAATCAGGATCGTAGCCATGGGGAAATGGTGGTATTGGACACAAGCTTTTTACTTGGAGTAGATGGTTGCTTTTTTGCAAGTGGGGTTTTAATGCACGGCTTTGCTTTGACAACAGCAAGATCAAAGTGAGAGTGGGACACAGCAACCACTCCGTTTTATATCTCATTGCCTTCCTTCAAGTTGCTGATATGCTGGGATTCAGAACAACCAAGATAAACGATATATCTGATCAGCTTGGCCACTTCAAGTCTATTGGAACTGCCTGAAGTATCCCTAAAGACTAAAGGCGCATGTGTAGAGATTCAACGGTCCTGTCCTCTTCTCTGTAGGGTCTCAATAGCTCAGGGCTTGCAGAGTTGGTTGCTGTGGTTGATATATTCCAAGTGCAGGTGTGTGTTATTTATCCGAGGGAATTGACTTGAGGATGTCTCATTAGAGTAGTATTCCACGGAGCCGTGTCTCCGGAAAAGATGCTATGTAGTAAAGAGCCAGTGGAACTGTTAAGGTCGCAGCGACTCATGGTGACGATACGACTGCCGCAAACCTGGCAGTGGACGGACTGCTCTCAGGTCGCTTCTTCAGGGCAATCTCCGAGTCTCTAATCCTAGCCAGAAAAATCTGCAAGTCATCGGAAGTCGACGGGAGATAGACACTCCACCCCACCGTTCGTCATGATGTTGCAGCATCACTGAGCCCTGAGCCTGCCGGAGCCAAGCGAGATCCAGGAATTTTGGTTCTGGGCGGTCCGAATGCGGAGACGGACGATCACCCCTGGGCCATGGACGCTAGACCTAGATACTATCTGTAGGTTATAGGAGACTAAAATTATAGTCCCGCATAGATCTGGACTGTGCGCTTGATTATCTATCTTGAACTCCTGATCGGGTGTGTCACATGGGTGTACTCCGTAGTTGGGGAAAGGCGTTTTTGCTCCAGGGGAAAGTCGGGTCGGACACTGTCGGGATTCGAACAGTTGGCTTGGAACACTCGGAAATTGGGAACAAAAGAAAACCGACACGAACAAGCCACTTACAACAGGTCATCACCTTATCAGAATAGCCCAAACTCTGATGACACGGACGAGCGGTCAGACTCTGGCCTGAGTCGCTTCAACTTCGACCTCCACCGATGACATCAGATGCCGGGCATGGCATTGTCGGGTCGTGATGACGTCGCAGATCCCTCTTGCCGTCCGCCGATAATGAAATATGAATTGATTCCCCTGCAGACCCCCTTCCCTCGTGTTCCTTAGACAACCAACCTGGGTCGGACAGTGTCGGTTCGAAGTTAATTGCAACGATCCGCCGCCCTTGATTTGCCCGAGCTGCCTTGCGTTGAGCAGTCGCTCGTCATTATTATTCATCACTGCCTGGCGCGCCCTCCCGAATCGGGCTTAGCTCCTCTGTCCGCCTAGTCTCGACGTCACCAGCTGAAGCGCTGCGACTGTTGCACTTGCACCAGCAGCCTAACTCCCCTCACCTTCTCCACCCAACCTCCCAAGGGGAAAAAGGACCCAGAGGGAAACCCTTCAGACTTCAGGTGCACACAAAAAAAAAGGAAAGGAACCGCAGTGTCATTGATCCATCTCAACTGGGTCTCGCACCAAGCTTTCTGACGATCTCCGCCTCGATCTCCGATCGGTTGCAATTCCCACCCCTCCCTGCCTCCTTGCTTGCGCTTCCGTCGCATCCCGTCGCACCCTCGCACACACGTCACTCTGCGCGAAGAGTCGCTTCAAAGAATCCGTCCCGTCCGATTCGATACGATCGTCCTTGGATTTTCTTTCCACTCACTTCACCTTCCCCCCTTGTCCACTAGGCCAGTCCTTCACACAGCGACAAGTCACCATGCATCGCACTTATTCTATGCGCCAGTCGCGCCTTCCGACTGCCTCGCAGATCGAGACCCCTCCTCCGCCATTGTCCACGACAAAGACGAACAGACTGTTCGGGAAGGGTGGTTTTGGTGAGTGGCTTTTCTTGTATCCCCGGTGTTGAGTGAGGATCAATGTGTCTAGCGACGTTCCCTACCGGGGTGTCCTAGAAGAGATCGTCATCCATTGGAGAGGCTAGGCTTAAGATCGTGACCTCGCTGACAACCTTTTACCTATAGGCCATGCCTTGCGCAAGAACACTGCCGGCGCCTTCGGGCCTGACCTGGCCCGGAAACTTTCCCAGCTGGTGAAAATGGAGAAGAACGTCATGCGCAGCATGGAAATGGTGTCAAGGGAGCGCATGGAAACTGCTGTATGTTGGTTGCTGTGGATACCTCTGTGGGAAAGGAAGACTAACGCGACGTACTTGTAGCAACAACTTTCCATCTGGGGCGAAAACTGCGACGAGGATGTGTCCGATGTCACCGACAAGCTCGGCGTGTTGCTCTACGAGATCGGAGAACTGGAGGATCTATTTGTTGACCGCTACGACCAGTACCGTGTCACCATCAAGAGTATCCGGAACATCGAAGCTTCCGTTCAGCCCAGTCGCGACCGTGAGTATTCTGTTCCTCTTCCGACCAGCGATGTGTCTTAGTCGATACTTATGCGCGTTCACTGCACAGGGAAGCAGAAGATCACCGATGAGATTGCAAAGCTCAAGTACAAGGACCCCGCTTCCCCCCGCATCGTCGTCCTGGAGCAGGAACTAGTCCGCGCGGAAGCCGAGTCCCTTGTGGCTGAGGCTCAACTCTCCAACATCACTCGCGAGAAACTCAAGGCTGCTTTCCAGTACCAGTTTGATGCGCTCCGTGAACATTGCGAGAAGGTGGCTCTCATCGCTGGCTATGGCAAGCACCTCCTGGATCTGGTCGATGACACGCCGGTTACTCCAGGCGAGACCCGCCACGCCTACGACGGATACGACGCCAGCAAGGCCATCATCCAGGATTGCGAGGAAGCGCTCTCCAACTGGGTCACTTCCAAGGCTTCGGTCAAGCCCACTCTCTCGCAGCGTTCGCGCACTCTGTCCCAACGTCACCGTGACACCCTCAAGGGCCGTGAAGGCGTCGACCTGTCCGGACAGGACCAGCCCCTCGGCCGTGATTCTTGGCTACCGGCCGACCAACATCCGACCTACCAGCATGAGGTCGAGGACGGCGAAGACGTGGCCAGCACCGTCGATGGAGAGACTCGGGGCCGAGAAGAGGAGAGAGAGCCCGTTACGGTCTCTGTTTAAACAAAATGTCCAGTAACTGGGGAGCATCCAATTTTTAGTTGCGATGCCCTCGAACAATCACATACTCTCTTTGAGCCCACTGGAGTAACTGACTGATCTCACATCTTTGTTTCTATATTGCGGATTGTGATTCCCGCCTGACGTGATGTTATCGTTCTCCTTGATGCTTTTTGTTTCTGCCACCCCGATGAGCTTCTTCACTTACGATTAATCAAATCCCTAATCATACCTGTCCCGAAAACACCGATCGAGCCATGTTCTCCCACCATCCCTCGCCTCCGCAAGCAACAATACAACCCCTTGCTTTGGAGCGGAAATAAAAAAAACGAAACGGACAGGAATGGCTGGGACATCAACAGGACAGGGTTAGATCGATGGGACTTCCTCTACTGTCTAATGCAGTAATGTAATAATATACCACGGGCGAGGATGACGGAGATGGGGAGGGTGTGTTACCCGTACAGTTGATGCTTTTCCTTCGCGGTCTCTTTTTCTTTTTTGATGCCTTGTCTTCTAGGATATGAGTAGTTAATCAATCAATCAATCGGCCGTTCTCATGAGTTGCGTTATAACGCATGTATCTGCAGACACGGAATACTTTAATCCATCGAATGCGCATGCAGCATATATCTATCATGTCTCCCCCCCCCCTCCCCCCTTCGCCCCATCGCCACCACCGAATCCACTCCCCCAATTCCAAGACCAGCCCAATCCACCTGGCCCACTAACAACCAGCCAAAACACCTACGACTAACCCCAACCCAACCAATCACACCCCCCGCATACCTGCCGATATAACACAGACAGCCCGGTTGAACTCCTGAATCGCGGTGCTAGTTCCATCATTGCCGAAGAAGGAGTGAGTCCTCAGTTATGTTGTCAGGAAACAAATCTAGCACGTCAGCACCAACCAACCAAAAGCCACCTACCTCATACTTTCCACTACCAGATACGTAGGGACCTGTCTAGTCCTACAGCTAGGTAGGTAGGTAGGTAGGTAGGATGTAGGTAGGTCATTTCCCAGCAGCAAGAACACAAAAGAACCGAACACGCGACCTCGAGACAAATTGACTGGTTAATGCACCTATCTCGTGATGGATGGATGGATGGATGGATGGATGGAAGGAAGGATGGATGGACAGGGTAACCTTCCTGTCTAGGTGGTCTCCGACGGTCTCCTGTTAATATACTGGCTGATCACAGTGAGGAGGCAAGCATGCAATCGGGCTCCGAAGCCCATCACACTCATCACCCATCACCCACCATCCTCATCCTCATTCATCCATTGGCACCCACCCCCAGTATGCCAGATACTAGTCCGGTATAGTAGTCAGATATATTCGACGCATGACATGCCCATCCCCAAGCACGCCATCCGCCATGCGCCATCATCTCATTCTCGCCGTCCGTGACCCAGTATCAACATAAAAAAGACGCTTTTACGTACAGAGAATTGCTAATAGCGTGCCCTTAACACTACTACTTTGTTAGTCCTCGCTTGGGTCCAGGGGAATTCCGGAACTCTGGAACTATGGAGCTCTTCGGCTGTGGACATACGTAAGAAGGGAGGGGTATGATACTATCCGTACATACTTAGGTGATACTAGTAGTAGTAGTAGTAGTAGTAGTATCTACTCCGTACTGGTAATGCGAGATGTTGGATATCGTACACAGTAGTATCTACTAGTAGCTCTGGGTGAGTGTAGGTCGGAAAAACGTAGACCCGATTCGGCTCGGGTGCGGTTGCCCCTTTTACCGAGCTGCTATGTAGATTGTACTTAGATAGGGTGTACCGGCCGGTACTAGTACGGAGTACTCCGTACTCTGTACTGAGGGCTGGGGTTCCGCGGGTGTGGCGGTGATGTCACGGATTCTCTTGCGCCTTAGTTACTCTTACAGTAGTAAGTACTGACTGAATCAGAACTGTGGTCTGTCGAGTGTTGACGGCACGGTCGGGCCAAGTCTCTACCTGCCAACCTGGGTACTCCGTCTCCAGTGTCCATGCGGTCGGGGAAAGCGGATTCCCCCGGATCTGCCTATTTGATCTCAGAATTCATGTCGGGTTACTCAACCGGGGAATGGCGGTCTCCGGCCGCCGCCCGTTCGCCCGGCTGCTGCCTCGTGGGATGGAGTATCACAGGGCTGCTGTCTACGGTACGGATTTGGATTTAGAAGACGACTGTAGCACGAGGGCAGATGAATCAGGATTTAGTCCATTTATTCTTCGGTTCGGTGGTCTGAGCTCAGCTCAGAGCACGGTTTCCGAGCATATCTGAGTTGCAATACTTGGCAGAAGAAAGAATAGTCGCGTTCATTGTCGCACGTGGGTTTGCAAATGCAGCCAACACCGGAAAATAAACAATAGAAAAAAGAAAGAAAAAAAAAACAGACAAAATCAAGCCCAGCCCAGTACTCCGATTGCAGGACAACAATATATATAGAGGGCGCAGAGGATTCTATCCCTGTCCTGATCCCGCCCAAAGCTCACCACAACGAAAGAGAAACCACATGGAAAACCCCGGTGAGGAGGACATCGCACCAGCTGAAGACGACCCGCTGCCCTCAACTTCGCACACCGACAGGAGATAACAGAACAAAGGAAATAGGTCATTACATCGTCGTCTGACTCCATCCTAGGACGGACAACCAGCCTAAAAAAGGGACACGAAAACAGATGCGAAGGGCCATGAGACCCATGAGCCCGCAAAGAAACCCACGGAGATCATCCGGGTACATGTCAAAAGAATAGCGACGAGTGGGAAGGAGAAAAGCCCAAAGTGTAAAAAGCATATAACTTCGTTGGTTTGGTCTTTCAGTTGTCGGTCCCGACGCCCTTCTTTTTTGGCTGAATATGTTTTTGTCCGGGTCCGGTAGCGTTATTGCCTTGGGAAAGGGCTGTACTGTCGCTAGGGGGAGGAGCCATCCGACCAGGACCGGCTTCGTGTTTCTCGGTCAAGAGGTTCTTCAACCATCGGTTCTCCATCTCAAGCTGTGCGACACGTGCTTCGAGGGTGGCGTTCTTCTCGGTGGTCTCGCGCACGGTGCGTTCTAGCACCTGTTCGCGCTGCTTCTTCTTCATGCGGAACCGGGCGCTGGCGGCCGTGTTGCGGCGCCGACGGTCTTCCTCGGCAGCGCGGCGGACTCCCTCTTCCTGGCCAAGGGCGGAGGCGAGGTGGTCACCGGGGATTTGCGTGCTGTACTTGCTGTGGTTGATGTGACCATTCGGGGGGGATATCGACGACGAGACATCCGAGGGCGTCATAGCCCCCGGGCCGTGCCCTAGATCATCGGGCGGTCCATATGAGATAGGTGGATAGATTGGATGAGCTGAGTAGGACAGCATTTGATCTGATGCAGAATAGTTAATGGACTTGTCCCGTACTAGTAGGTGATGTGAGTGGTGAGACCCAGGACCAGACGGGCAGTAATAGAGACAGGGTGGAGGGTATAGACAAGACAAAGACAGGAAACAGAAGCAAGGGGATCATGGAACTCTTGAAGGGGATCTTGGATGGCCAAGGGGAGTAAGCTCGGAATAAGGGTCTGTTAACGACAGGGTTCCCGACGTTGTCATTGGTGTGATCGATTGCGTGCTCGAATAGAGCGCTCATCACAGAATGGGGACCGGGGGGAGAGGGGGGAGGGGAGACACCACCCAACAATTTCAGGGCGAAAAGAACAAAGAGATAGAACAACTCCAGAAAATGGGAATGCACAGGTCATAAAACATGCAAGGAATGAAGGGATTTCGCGATAGCTCAAAAGGGGTCATGATCGGGAAAACCATCAAGACAGACGGGTTTGGTTACAAAAATTGGGGTATAAACCAGCCATCAGGCAGCCAGAATTAAACAGCGCAGGGAGAACGTCTTCAGAGAACATAGTCACAAGAACCCAGAGAAGAGCTCCTGCGGTTACACGCGCTCCCACAGGAGCTCCAGCACAGACTGATTCGATATGCCGTAGGGCCAGGGAAATTAAAAGCGAACCACGAGCCATGAAGATTGCGCAAACGATGCAACAATAAGAGTCATAGAGTCTCAGACTTACCATGATACGGGTATCCGCGCACATCGATCGGACTGCGCTCGTCCTCGATGCTGTCGTACGAACTGACGGAGAGTCCGCCCATCCCCTCGGTCTGGTCGTAGTCCATGTTTAGGTTGGAGAATGCAGCGAGGCCAGCAGAATCGGCGTCAAAGGAGTAATGTCGACTCTTGGCCAGGTTGGGGTCGTGTCGAGAGAGAAGGAAGTTGAAGTTTTCGAGCCTATCGAAGCTCGAGGCCGCCTGAGAAGCGAGGTGCTCATCTGACATATTGGCTGTGGAGGATTATTTAGAGGGAATCCGGTCCTTGTCCTCTAAATTAGGTTCGTTTTAATAATTTTTGTTTTTTTTCGCAATCGCCTGCCCCGAGAATGCTTGGTGGCTGCGTCCCGGAAAAGCAAGGTCCAGAAGCAGTTAGATGACAACAGACAGCAGACAGCAGACCCAACGTCGAACCCCAGATCAGCAAAGGAGGGGTGATGAAAGTTTGTGCAATAATACAGGATATCGAGAAATCTCACAGGTCGAAGATTGGGTGACTTGTAGCAAAAATATCTGTTTCTGCATTCACTTCATCGCCATGACATGCCCGGGACGGCTAGCCACGTACGCAGAAGCACGAGTGATGGATGGATGGATGAATGGGGGGGGGGTGTCGGAGGCTAGCTAGTAAGGTGGATCGAGGCCAAGGGTGGCCAGATTAAGAGAGGGGGGAGAAGGGGGGGGGGTGGGAAGGACGTTGGTGCAGAAGCAGGAAAGGACCAGCGACCGGACCATGTATCACCAGGGCGAAAAGATCAGAAAACACAGCATCAAGCCGGGGAGAATAAGCACGATGGGCGACGCAGCAGTGTTGATCGTCTCATGCCCGGGCAAGGCTAGCGGATGATCTGATAGAATGGAGAAATGTCGTGATCGCGGGCTGTGGTTGGTCGGCCGTAGCCTCGGAACAGGGCCTCCCAAATTGGCCGCTCGAGGGCGGGCGACCGCGGAGAGGGCGTGGACGGAGCAGAGGGGAGGAATAATCTTGATGGCGAAGAAAATTGGGGGGAGGGGGGGGAGGAAAGGGAAGATAAAGAATACAAAGCATGGGGAATACGGGGTTCAAAAACCCATCTTCCAGAACGTCAGGGAGCAGGGAGGACGGAGCCTGCGGACGTCAACACCCATCTGCGATCATCGCCCGGAGCAGGCGAAGGGGAACGCCGTCCGAGGCCCTTCCCGCCCATCAACGGCTGAAAAGGGGAAGACTGGACTACCGCTGGCCCAGGGGGGCGGTAATCTCAGTACCGCGGTACCGCAGTACCGGCCGGGACATCCACTATACTCACGACCGTAGTCCGCAGAATAGGTCCAATATTCTCCCGGGCGTAATTTATGTCACCGTGTAACGCCTCTGGTACCGTTTACATCATCCGCCGCCTGCCTCCCACTCCGTACACTCCGTACACGCCGTACACGCCGTACACTGTTTACACTGACCACTGTCACGCCCGTTTAGCTTCCACCAGGGGCTGGCGATGGACCAATCCACTCCCGCGAAGACGGTCCTCCTCCCAGATATTAATACTTAAGCCCAGTCCACGATTCATGAATCCGAACTCCACCACAGCACAAGCTCCCCGTTCGAGCCTTGGGATTCTCTCGTTTCATTCCCGTCCTGGGAACAAATCACAACCGGTCAAACGCGTTGCCAAATGACGCGGTCCCTCCAGCCCCCAATTCCTCGATCGAACTTTCGAGGCATCTATCTAGACTACTATGATGGTAGTAGATAGATAGTAGATAGACTGGGTACGGAGTACTCCGTACTGTTTGGTTGTCCGGAGACCCAGGCTTGGCGTTTCGGTCTCCTGAATCTATTTTCTGCTGCTCGTTGCGTCTGCCTCCGGGTACCGTGTACTTCTTCCCCGCGCTCCACGGCGGGAAGTGACTTCATCCCCCCCCCCCCTCCTCCCTCCTCCGGCCTGCCCTGATGCTCGTACTTTTACAGGCATGATCTGGGCGATCGATTATGCTAGATGGACTGCTGTGCTGGACTGCCCTTCCGGTACTCTCCGTCTAAGGTCTCCCCATCGATGCATCGAGAGTACATACGGAGTACCGAGTACTCCGTACGGTGGCTAGATTCTCTGCACCTGCCCGTATGCAGCACAATAACCGCCATGTACATTATCTCAACCACTCTCGCTGCCAATGGCGGTTGATTCTCAGATCACCACCCTCCAAGCGTTGACTGGTTGGTTTGGTCCCTGATTTACTTAGTTACGGAGTCCTCCCGTGCCACACTGCGTATCCACCACGGCTTACTGTCAGTGGGAGCTGCAAAGCAGCCTGTTGATGCCCGGGATACGGAGATGCCTCTAACTACTGACATTATGGAAAGTCAGCATCTGGGCCTCGCCTTGCTGGGCCTCTCCGACACCGCGATGAACCTGGACTACGTAAGGGATTCAACCACATCACTGACCGACTAAGTCCTTCTGCGCCTGGCTCGTTTGTCTACCCACTTTCCCAGCTGCTACGACGTTGTAGTTTGTTTCTCCACTATGGTCTGGTGCTCCCTGCGATGATGATTGTCTTCGTATCCCCCTGCCTGTTAATCGAGAGAGCATGGTCTTGTCAACCGATGTCTGTACTCTCCTATTGGCAAGGCCGATGAGACTCGGCCATCTTTTCCTATTCGGAGCATGGTAAAAGTACCCACTTGTCGCGTCAGTACTCCGTAGAGACTGGGAACACCATGTGTAATTCCAGCATGGAAACGTGGGATGCAGACCGCATCTTCTACAAAGTTTCGGCCTATTGGGCCTTTCTAAGTTTTGGATATCGGCGCCTCATTATTCTCAAAAAACGGCTAAAGGTCCTGCCCCAATGGGCACCGTGCAGAAAAACCATCCGCGTGGCTGAACTGTACGGAGTAGATATACGTACTTTCATGGTTGATGTGGAGCTATCAACAACTGTACTTGGGTCTCCCATTATAATCTGTAGAGAGATAAGGGAGATACTGGCCATGCTCATTTCTGTACGGACATTGTCAAATGAACTGGACGGAACAGGTAAGCGAGAGGCGTTGAGGCTGTCTAGCCCGGGTACACTCTATAGCCGCCCGGAGATTGCGGTTTTGTTTCCTCTCGTTTGCTCCCAGTCTCTACCTCCATTTTTACTTTGTGCTCTTCCCTTTCATTGCACCTCCAGAAATGCTGCCGGAGAACCCCCCTGGTCACAAGACGCAGTCTCAGAAAACAAGCCTCTCCAAGCAAGGAGACAAGGTCTTGTGACAAACTTCAAGCTTGTTTCGAGCTCGCTTCGAGCTTGCTTCGCCGGTGAAAACGAAACAAACACCCTACGATGGAGAGCAACAACTCCCAAGTACTCTGGACTTACTATATTTCTCACAGCCAGCGAGACCCTGCCCGTTCATATAGCCACCACGCCCCTTGAACTTAATACCGTGCAGCTACCGGGCTATCGGGTAGGATAGCCCATGTTGAATGACGCGTCGAAGGAATCCGGGGCGTTCCACTGTTCCCACGCTGCTCTAAAAGGGGGGAGGAGCCAAGCCTTTTCCATAGATTGCGGGGGATCTTTTGCTTTGCTTGACTGAGAAGGCCTAGCTGATAGGGTAAGATGGGCTTTATCTGGGCTGGGACTCTCTTTCGCCTGCAGATCGGGCTCTGCCGCGGCTATCTACTTTTTGCCGAGCCTTTATGTACTTTTTCGGACGAAGTGCTACTGTCGCCAACCGGCATAATGACTTTTGTCTGGCTGTGACCTAGTGACTAATTGGCCTTTCCTCTACAGTGCCTATTACCCATGATATTATCACGGTGGCAGTTTTTATCATGACCTGTCGAACACAACCTCGAGACGTGACATACGGTGCGGGACGCCAGGGCGAGTTCTGCTGGATTCGGTGGCAGAGGCACTCGGTGAAGGGCAATATTTAGAGAGCAATGTTTCTTCTGAGCTGGGATATGGAGGCATAAGCCCGCAGGTTCTGTCTGTATACTCCGTACAAGTGTGCCAGTAACTTGTCGGGATGTGTTGGGTTTTCTAAGAGCAAAGCAACAATGGCCGTCACATTGCAGCAACTGATGGAAATACTCATCGAACAGGTTGGAGGGAGACGATGGGACGTCTTGCCCGCGGGGAGTAAAAGTCGTCTGGAAACAGCCCGGGGCATTTTCCTTGACTTAAAGTATTTGAGACACTGTCGAATGAGCGATGTATTTATTGAATGGACCGTCTGGATCTGGAGGTAGTACTGGGCTGTTGCTGTTTTCAACTACAAGTACATTGCTCCAAGTCAGCAACTCTGCCGTAATATTACTTGCCTGGCTCTTGAATTTACTAATTGACAGTAAAATCTAGTCCTCGAATTCATAGTTGTTACAAGCAATGCTACCTATGCATGGCATTCAGCTTTTGAATATTCCGCAGTTAACTAACCCAATCAAGCTAACCGTATAACTACATAAGTTTGTCAGCCAACCAGGTTTAACTAGTTACACTGAGCATAACTTTTGCTGCTGCTTATTTTACTAGTACATTTAACAAAGGAAAGAAAAAAAGACATCTGAAGCACTAGTGGTGTAGCGGTAACATACTTCCCTTCCATTATCATTTCTGATAGGAAGTGCTCTGGGTTCGACTCCCAGCTAGTGCATTACAACTCAGAATCATTCTATTTTTTGCCCATTACCGTTGTTCAGCATAGATGGCCATAAACAATTAACTACTCGTTTGAATAACTTTGATTTTTTTTCTAGCCGGCATTCCCGACATCACATGTTCGTGGCAGGACTAACTACCATGGTTCTCGAGTGATATCAACAATGCGGCTCCGCTAATAGGACCTGACCTTGCACAGTCCCGATATGACTTCACCCTGAAGACACCTGGTTGTGTAACTTAGGAGCGGTGTGCAGGCTTGGGCCCTAGTAGAGAGACCCAAACCCTACGATGCTGGGCATCTTGGCATGGGCCAATATAGCTCGTTGACTGAGGCAACGACTTCGACTTGTTTACTTCGGCGGCCCCTTCCGCGGCCATCTCGACCATCCTGGCCAATGAGCTGCCTCGAAGATGCCAAACTCGCCCTGTGATTGGCCATTGGCCAGTCGATGGGATAAAGAACCTCCTCCAGCGGCCCACTAGGCAGGACTAGAACTCCGTATGGATGTTTTAATACGAAGAAAATGCAATGACGAGGGGTCTAGAACCCAACTCAGCTGGGGATGTTGAAAGCAAAGGCAGAGTCAGGTGATGCTCGGCGCGGAACAACCGGGGGCACCGCAAAGGCAGGCCGGCACGGAAGCCGCCCAATCCCGACCGCCGAGAGCGCGCGATTGGAGCGCCATTAATAATCTTGGCGATGTCCCTCGGTTGGCGTCCAGCAGAAGGGGATCGAGTGGAAAATTCTGGCCTGACCTTGGGCATCGGTGACTTGCAGCCTTGCAGACTTGCATCCGTCGTGGGCCAGCAGGCGAAAGGAGCCAGCCGTCCCGGAACCGCACCTCGCTCAGGAATCATTAATCCACAGGTTGACCGATATTTGCCTCTGTCACTGGCAGCTGCTCGGGCAAAATAAGCTGCACGCCACGGAATCCGAACATCCCCAGCGCTAAGCGGGACCGGCTCTCCCAGCCTCGATCCAGCCCGTCTAGCGCTTGTCATTCGCCCGCCATCCACTCCTCCCCCCCCCCCCCCCAACCTCACTTTTCCTGTATATTGCTTTCCGCTCGTGGTCGGCGTGCCTCGGATTCTTGTTCCTCTCGCCGTCTCGTTAGACTTTCTGTCCTGCCTATCTCCACTAGTGTCTCAGCCTGTGCTCGAGCTCACGCCAGGACGGGCGGAGAACTCGACTAATTGTCCGCCGCTTCCAGACGATCCACTAAGCAAGCCCCCATGGGTCTGCCTTACTCATGGTCATAGTAACCGACAGCTTTGTTTCCACAAGGCCATGCAGAATTCCGAACTAGCTGCTGGAACCTGGCCTTCGTGGACTGTGCAAGACCATCCTCCCGTCATCCAGCAGAGCGCGGGCCCGAAAGGCCCTCATGATCTGGGCATCCGGAGGCGTAACCCACTAGTAAGGCTCCCCCGTTTCCAGTCACTCTTCCGGAGATGCCCCAGTAAGACTTATTGGTGCTGCAGGCGTGCGAGGCTTGCTATAAGAAAAAGACCAAGTGCGAGGTCGAAGGATCCAGCAGAACGTGTGTCCAATGTCTGCGTCGTAATACAGCGTGCAAGTTCACCACGAGAAAGGAGAAGAGAGAGGACCTTAAAAGGTATAGACACCTCCTCTCCTGGGTAGACCGTCTAACCGTTCATGGCCCTGGGCCGCTTGGCTGATAACACGCGCAGGTCTCACTACATCAGAACTCTAGAAGACCGCGTGAGGAAGACGGAGTCCCTCCTCCGAGTTGCCGGCCTTCTCAACGAGGACCTGATCGGACCGGATCATGATCCCAGTGATGAAGATGAAGGGACCGACTCTGGAGCTGACTCGGAGGACGAAATAATCTCCCCTTATTTTAGTCCCCGCGACTTCTCCAGTAGGCGTAGCTCCGCGGCATTGATCTCAGATGGCACGAGGGACTCTGACCGCGCACAGTACCGTGCGTCAACAGGAGAAGACCCGGATACCACGTCCGATGCAGCAAGCGCCTCTGCTCGTCACCCTCCTGGCCATAACGCCTCTTCTAAAACGGCAGAGTGCGGGCACTCTGAAGAATGTTCTCATACCCATGCCCCCGTGTTCAAATGGGACAGCAGAGAGGACTCTCGATATTATGGTATGGTTATTGTTAAATTTCACTGTCAATTACTTCGGGCATGTTGCTAAATCCTCATGTAGGGAGATCATCTTCCTTGTCCATATTATCGCGAGAGGCACTCGAATGGATCAAGAACAAGACAGGCGAAGTGAAAATCCTGAACGTGGTGTTCGCCGACTCCAATCGAGACAATCCCTGGGATGCCTGGCGACCGGAAGTGTTCCATGACCTGTTTGCCTCGGAGGTGTTCAAGCCGTTGCCCCCGAGGGCGGAGGTATTCACGCTGTTACGGGATTATTTTCGTACCGTGAACCGTCTGTTTCCGCTGTACCACGAGGCGACGTTCATGAAGCTCGTTGAGTGGCAGTATACGCAGCAGACCTGTGATGATGCTGCCCGATGGGCCAGCATCAACATCATTCTCTCTCTAGCCTACGAGTATCGGTTTTCCAACTGCCAGAAGTCCGAGAAAGACCGGGAAAGGGCTTGGCTTTACTACAAGAATGCAATGTCGGTATTTGCGGAGCTCTCCCTGCGACGGACAGACCTCTTAAGTGTACAGGCCCTGCTGGGCATGGCGCTATTTCTTCGTGGGAATTCGGGGACCCAGTCAGCGTTACCGATTATCACGGCAGCCATACAAACCTGTCATCGGATGGGGCTACACCGGGATCTTCCAAGGCCATATCTCTCCCAGGTTGAACAGGAGCAGAGAAAGAGGGTGTTCTGGATTGCGTATATTATGGACCAAAGGTGAGCAACTCACGCACTCCTTGATCACGATTATTCTTAAATTGGGCATATCTGACCTACAGTTCCTCTACAGCACATGTGTACGAGCAGGCAGCGCCCCAGCGCAACACTATGAGGACTTTGATGTCGACTTCCCCGCCGACAACGCCGAGGATGCATTTGTGAAACCCCACGACAACTCCTTTTTCCGCCAGCTTTGCAAAATCACTGTGGTCAAGAGTCGTGTGTTTAGTAAGCTTTATGCCGCCAGAGCCCTGGAAAACAAATCTCCAGCGGAGATATTCGACACCATTGATGAATTGCATGCGGAGCTTGAAGAATGGAAGTCTTCCAATTCATTTGACACTCAGTTGAGACCGAGGGGTTCGGGCGAAGACTTTCTTATCGGATTTGCTTCGGCGGGTCTGCAGTTCGTCTATTATAATACCAAAATCATGATTCATCGATTGCCCGTGATGATCCAGTTTGCTTCGACGCATTTTATCGCACAAGGAGATGCACCTTCTATGGACTATGATTTGATCTCAGCCCAGGCATCTGCCTCAGCTGCCATCTGCGTCCAAGCTGCTCGGGACACTGTGAAACTGGTGAACAATCTTCCATGGGGGGATATTGCATGGATATGGTGAGTGTTTAAAGCTTATATTCACAACAATAGCTTCCTTACCATCACTAACACTGCACAGGTCCTTGCTATACTACATATTCCTGGCAGTAATGAACATCTTTGTGAACATCCTACGAGATCCGCTCAACAAGAAGGCCAAAGACGACCTACAGTCCCTCAACATGGCGGCGACGTTCTTCGCAACCCTCATACCGGGCGACGGGCCCTGCCATTACGCGCGATTCATGACGAAGATGTGTGCCAACTTCGAACGTGTTGCCCGCGCCGTCCTCGACAGAACCCAGAGGGTCATCAAGCCCGGCGAAACCAAATACCCCCCTCGCAAGCCCACCACGTTCGTTCCCAACTCGCAATTCCACCACCACCCCAGACCGCAATCGAGCCCATCCGTCTCCCCCTCCACAACGTCCATCGACATCCCCAACCTTGAAGGGCTCCCTCCTGTCAACTCCTCCGGCTATGTCGTCCCGGACGACCTGAGCCCCAGCCCACCACCTCCAGCCCCAGTCCCAGCCCCAGAACCATCACACCCCCTCTCAGCCACAAATATCCCCATAAATCCCCCTGTCCCTGCCCCACAAACCGCTCCAGCTTCAATCCCCGCCCCCGCCCCCGCCCTAGCTCCTTCTCGCGCACCAGCACCAACACCAGCATCCCAGCCCTATTCCAACCCCACAACAGCAAACCCCAACCCAAACCCGTACCTCACAAACGCCTTCTTCCCCATAAGTGTGAACAGCGACAACTTCAACTTCCAACAGCCCGAACTCTGGCAGATCCCGCTGACTGCCGACTGGGAAATCACGCCCCAGGTCCTAACCGGCCTATTCGGCCCAGACTCTACCTACCTCTTCCCAGAAGACGAGATGGACACCACCGGCTCCCAACCCCAACACCAACCCCACCACCACCCCATGTCCATGTCCATGGCGTCCGCACCCCCACCCCCACCCCCATCGATGCAAATGAATGGTTTCACTTACACCCCCAACCCTCCTCCTATGGCGTCTGCGCAGCCTCACAGCCGGCATGGTGGTGGTAATAATGGCAGTGGTATGATGGCTCAAAACCACACCCAGACTCAGAACCAGAATAATATCCCTACTACCCCGGGTGGTCATCAGCATCAGCCCATGTTACCGAATAACGGGGTGGGGGTGGGGGTGGGGATGGGGGGGATGTGGGTGGATGGGACGTATTACACTTTCTCTTCTTGAGGGAGTATAGTTCCCCCCCCCTCCCCCACTCACCACCCACTCCACTGCCGTCCCTTACCTGCTGTTCACTTGTCGACCTGCACATGCCGACCTACCTTGCCTTACCTTTCTTTATCTAATATTACTACTGCTACCTACTCAGTATCCGGATGGACCGACAAACTTAATTTTTCTTTTTACCAAATTGGATGGATGGATGTGGAGAGTGGACGAAGAGTTGAATGAGAGGATTGGATAAATTGTATATAGGACGAGAGGAACACATACACACGCAAAAAAAAAAAAAAAAAAAAAAAAAAAAAAAGAGAGAGGCATGAATGAGTTATGATCACGTATAACAAACAAACAAAGCAACTTGTTTACTACTTACCTATCTACTTGTCTACCTGGTATGTAGCTAGCTACCTAGTACCTACTTACTTACCTGCATACTAGTATATATATCATGTAAGTATATCATGTATTGTACTGTATTGTGTATTGTGTGCATGGGTTTATGCACTAAATTTATTTACCACCCACCTACCCACCTACCTACTATAGATGTTATAATGAACGAACAAACTGCCAGTAGAAGAAGTTTGTACGGTACTGTACATACACACAGTGAGTGATAATACGCCGGGGTGCTTGGACAATGAATGAATGATATGTAGATGATAGATAATACTATGTAAACCAAACAAGGAAGGAAGTATGGTAGGGAAAGAAAAACAGGAGTCAGGAGATACGGCAGTAGCATTGTAGGTAATAACGGCGAATAAAAAAAAAAGATCGCAAGCATCCAACCTATTCACCGTCCGTCCATCCATGGTATCCTGTGCATTGCATACCCAGCGAACCCGACCGAAACACCATGCCCCGTGCCAATTGCATAAACACAACCAAAGTGAAAAGGTAAAAAAGATAATTACAGGCGAAGTAAAAGAGACCTGGTTAACAGGTACAAGTAAGTAAGGAGGAGGTATGTAGGTATGTGGGTGAGGAGAAAATAAGGAGGGCAAGCGAGAAGACTAGAAGACCGCGCCCGTAAGTTTCCGAACAGCAGTACTCCATACCCCACCGCCGAGTTGCAGACCAGATGTCTTCTCTCCAAGCCCGCTGGAAAGAATACCCTGCATCTCGTTCTCAGAGATGCCGGTCTCGTTGGCGGACCCGAAGCCATACACCTTGCTAGCGAGGACGTCAGTCTGGATGTCCAGGACGCCGATGCCGCAGGCCTGGTCTTGATTCTGCAGAATGCGGGCCTTGATGGCGAAATCGACGTCGATGCGACGACGGGATATTTGCTTCGCGTTTGATGATGATGTGGGTCCCAGGAGGGTGCATCTTGCCCGGAGGGAGGGCTTGTCCTCGACTTCGAGGAGCTTGAGTTTCGTAACACCGCAGAATTTGAGCATGCGGGCTTCCTCCTCGAGTTTGAGGGTAAGGTCCCATGCTTGCGAGATGAAGCTGAGGAGATGCTTGGGGGCGGTTTTGCGTTGCTGGATGCTTGCAATGCGGTTTCGGAGGGATTTCAGGACGAGTAGTGACACGGGTGAGAGTTGAGGAGCGGGGACGGCGGGTTTGGCGCCGTTGTTTGGAGAGTATTTCAGCTCGACAGGCGTGCGCGTGTCCTTGTCCTCTGGAGACGGATCCTCGCTATCGTTCTCGATGTTGAAAGAGGCAGGGTGGAAGGTAAGCTGGAGCTGGCTGCGGTAGGACATTGTCACTGTCGGGCCTGCAGGGGAACCTTCGGAGGACGTCGCGGCGATGATACTCCAGCCGGTCTGTAGCTCGATCTTGCGAACTGATTCTTTCAGCTCGCCGATCTCCTTAGCACTCCAACCGCGACATTCTTCCTTGACCCTTTCTGCTTCCTTGATCTGTGCCATGAACTCTGCTTTGAGCTCCGCGCCCGCTTCGATGGTGTCTGTCTTGTTCTGCAGTTCTGCCTGCATCTCCTGAAGTCGCTTCTTTTTCTCCGCAATCTCGGCTTCAACGTCGACAAGTTTCTCCCTTGCACCACGGAGCTCATCCTGGTCACAATTCTCCATTTCGTCTGCCAATTGCTGCAGCGTTGTAGCTTCTCCCTCGAGGGAAGAGTGCTTCTCAACCAGCGCGGGAACAACATTATCCAGAAGGATTTCATGCTTCGACAGAAGATCGCCATCCGCCTTCATTTCTTGCACATGGCGCTCAAGCCCGTCTTTAAGGCCATCAAGGAGCTTCATGCGCCACTCGTACCACGTTGCTTTACTGAGCAGTCTAGCGTGGGTCTTGACGTTCCGGAATTGGTTGTCCATCAGCAGACGGATGTCAGGAGGGGCTGTCATGTATTCTCGAAAAAGCGGCGGGTTTTCCGCAAAGGTTTCGGTTTCGATCGACCGAATGATCTGTCTCCCTTCAGAGATGTACGACTTCAATTCACGGCAAGACTGGTACATTGTCAGTAAAGACGGCAATACAATTGGGGGGGGGACCTACATGTTGATATAGCTCCAGCATAGGCACGGTGCAAAAACCAGCTGCTACGCAGGCGACAAAGTCAGAAGCGCTTGACTTGGACTCACTCTCAGTCGAAAGTCTGGCTGCTCGTCTGCTAGCACTGTCAGGAGCCGTAGTATGCCGTCTTTTAGTGGTCGTGAGCTCCATGAAGTGGATGTTGGTCATGTTCAGGAACTCCTGCAGCTGTATAGGGTCAAATTCGGGGCCAGGATCCTCAACAATGGCCTCTTCTGTCTCCGCTGACTCGGTTCCAGATGGAGACTTAGAGCCCTCCTGTCCAGCTTTCGCAGGACTGACTGCTAAAGAGCTGGCTCTCCTTTCCTTAGAAGGCGTTGAGCTGACCTTCAATGGTGATCCACTGAAGGGTTTGAAGGGAGAACGAGTTGCACGTCCAACTGTTTCATCCTTGGTAGGTGGCGCAGGAAGCCTGAATTTCTTCACTGGGCTGACATCCTCGCGGCCCCTCAGGCGCTTTGGCGTGTTATCAACATCCTCATCATCGATATCTAGCTCAACTGGACGCTTGCCAAGAAGGCCGCGCGCAGCACCAACATGCAAACTCTTTCTGCCACGCATCTTATTCTTCTTCGGAGTGAGACTTGATATCATGTCTTTGAGATTCGCAGTGGGATCCAGATCCGGGGGCGGGAAGTGACCATCCTCCCGGTTTTCCTCCTCCTCGCGTTCTCTCTCAACCTCTTCCTGGAGCTTCACGGGATCTTCAAAACGCACACCCTGTTTTGGTTGCTCTTGGGGAACAAATTCTGGGGTCTCTTCGCCAATAGAGCGACGTTTGTCAAGCATAGCAGCTACCCGTGGTGATCCAAGCCCTTCTTTGTCGATTCCAAGTCCTGAGGATCGCCTCTTCCCCGGAGGATGTAGAACAAACTGGGGAGTAGATTCACCAGCTGTACTGTTTCCAAACAGGCTTTTACGTCTCGGGGATTTTCTTATGCTGGTGGATGCTTGAGGTTCTGGCTGAGAGAGCTTTTCTGGCGATGCAATTTTGGGATCCGAGGTTCTCGATGGTGGGGTCATCGTAGAAGGTGAGAGCCCGCTGGCTTGCGGTGTCGGCTGCTTTGGGGGCGATAGTGAGACCTTTTTTGGAGATAGTTCTGGCGTAGGCGAGGTTGGCGTGCTCGAAGCCGCACGAGAAAGGCTCTGTCTCGTCCGTCGAGACCTCACACTTGCCAGGCTAGGACTCCCGCTTTCTGAGGCAACGGCAGCGACATGGAACGATGCAGGTGATTTCGCGGGGGAATGCCGAGCAGATTGCTGGAAGGGTGAGCTGCCGAGTTGAGTAGGGTTTGGCTCTAGTTCCATTGCTTCCTGTGCCTCGTCCCCATCCTGGAGCTCATCTTCGGGGACATCTTCAGGTTCAGCTTGGGGTTCCGCTTGGATTTCCGCTTGGATTTCCGCTTGGATTTTTGCTTGGGGTTCCGCTTGGGGCTCATCTTGGGGCTCATCTTGGGGCTCAGCCTGGGGAGCTTGGGGCGCACCTTGGGGCGCATCTCGACGTTCCGGTTCAGAAGATAGTATCTTGCCCATAGCGACCGTGACTTCCATACCCTCAGTCTGATCGTCATCCTGCATTTCAGTCTGCTCTTGAGCCGCAGGAAGTATGCCACCAATAGCTCCAGTAATCTCCATATCCATGCCACCTTCCATGTCATCCTCGTCGTTGTCCCACTCAGAGAAGGTCCGTACCACAGCTCCTGGGATGAAAGATTCTGGTCGACCAAGATTGTTCTCGTCGGTAATGTTAGTCAAGGCTGGTCTGTTCAAAAGACCACCAACGACAGACGTAAACTCCATTGTCATTCCCTCATCCTCATCGGCATTGCTGTCGAGATCCATAGGCTTAGCGGGAGAGATGGATTGCGCAATACCTCCAATAACGTTTGTGAACTCCATGGTTTGTTCATCATAGTTCGTTTCCTCTCCAGTAGACCGGCGACGTACTGTGCTCTGACGACGGGTTTGCTGGCCAGGGAGAATACGCCCAATGGCGTTAGTCACCTCCATGCTAAGGTCCTCATCCCCGATATCCATTGTTGCATCCGCAACGGCTGACTGGTTGGCCAGAAAATCAGATGGTTGAGCATTTTCTTGATCATGACGGGCGCTAAGGTCCTCCCAGTCGAAACTTTGGCGCTCTCCCTTCTTGATCCACGGCTGAAAGGCGCCGGTGATCTCTTGATCTGCGATTTCCATTGACATGTCACCATCATCGTCGTCTTCAATGCCATGTGTGCCTGCCTCTCGAGCCGCCTGCCGCAGAGCTTCATTCAACCGAGCACTGGAACTGGTGGCGTCCGATAAATCGGATTGCGCTGTTGCAGCAGAGTGCACGGACATATCATCCATACTCATCGCGGTACTCTCCCCCTCAAATCCAGACGCCGAAGAGTTGTCATCGTCGTCGTCGTCATCGTCTGGCTGTAAGCCTTGTAGGCCGGTGTCTTCACTGCCGTCTGCTGAGCTTCCACTGAACGGACTGGAAGACATTTCCTGCGACGACGTCGAGCGATTCTGTAGTTGTTGTAGATCCGGGTACTGAACGGGCGAAAAGCCGATGTCCGACTCTGCGTCGATATCAGGGGAGGGAGGATCCGCCTGCGCGGGCTCGTGCGCAGGTGTCTGGTTTGCCAATGACGAGGCGCGTCGAGTCGAATTAGAGGTAGATGAAGAAGTCGAGTCGTCAGGGATTTCCACGACATTCCACGTGTGTAGTGTTGCTTCAGGGGCGAATGAAACACGGCGATTTGCTATGGGGATCGGTCAGCCTGTCGCTTACCCCTAGAAGCTGCAAGACGACATACCCATCGACTTCCGTCGCGCTTCCCGTTTTTGGAGAATCATCTTCCGCTCTCTTTCGCGCTGTTCCTGCTCTTCACGTTCCCTTACCGCTGCCATCTCGTCGCGAATTGATGCAGCGTTGAAACTGTCGAAAGGGTTGGCCCGGTCTTCGCCGACAGAAGTGGAGGGTTGCGCGGGGGTGTCGAAATCAATCAGCAAGCCTTCTTTGCCTTGGTCTATGCCATCGTCGTTGCCATCCTTCTGTTGTGGTCCGCGAGCCGGCGTGCGTCTGCGTGTCTCCTCGAACGTGGGAATGTTGCGAACCGGAGAGACAGGTACTGTGGGTTTCAGGATAGACTTGAGAGGGAATGCTGCAGTGGACTATAAGGCGACAGGTGGTATATTAGTACGGTGGGGAGATGGAGACATCGCGGGGCAGAGGGAGCTAGCTACCTTGCGTCGATTGCCGTTTGAATCCTGGAGCGCATCCAGGCCGCCAGGGCCCAGACTCTTACTCCGGGACTTCTTGTCTCTGCCAAGAGGCTTTGGGCGCCCGTCCAAAGGTTGCGAGGAGCTGATGTTTGTGGTCGCATTTTCCTTCTCCAGGGTGGAGGTCAACTGCGATCGGGGCACATGGGCGATGGAGCGACGAGATCGCGGACGGAGAGACCCCGCGGAGTCACTTCGGGACGCCATGGATCAGGATAAGAGGAACATAGACAGGGAGGGTGAGGATGAGGAGTGTAGGAGTATGAGATTGGAATTGGACGTGCTGTCAACTGCAACAAGAGATGCGAGATGCGAGATGCGACAAGACGTAACTTCCAACTCCAACAACAAGAAGCCGGACAACAACAAAGGTATGACCGTCTGGCAACAACAAAGCCAACCATTAACTTCTCCGCGCGTCTCCCGGCCGCCGCTCATGTGATCTGCGGATGTAAACAACCCAAAACGGCAAGCCCTAGCCGAGTCCCGAAGCGGATTAGCGCCCCCATCGCACACTCACCAGACGAATATCCGCCATCACCGAATAAATCTTCTCCAACATCGACGTCGACACCGCAGGCCCACGACACCCCCCCTCGCGACGAATTTATCACCCAGCTCGACTCCGCTTCCTCGTCGAACTGAATTCTCGCAACAATGGCGACCGAGTTGACCGTCCAGTCGGAGCGTGCGTTCCAGAAGCAGCCTCACATCTTCGTCAACCCCAAGGCTCAGGCGAAGAGCAAGAAGGTTGGCACTGGCCGCAGATGGTACAAGGATGTCGGTCTGGGTTTCCGTACCCCCAAGACCGCCATTGAGGGTAGCTACATCGGTATGCACGACCTATGTTGAAAAATTTTGTTTTCTCGAATATCCGATCGGACGGGGTGGACTGGGGGTGTTTTTCAGGGTCTTTGGAGATGAGATTCGAAACGCCACATGGATATATACCAAAGGATCCAAGCATGAGTCTACGATGCAATGCAACCACCTGGTGCAAAGGATCGGGATCGCGTGCGACAATAGCAAGGATTTTGCGGGGCTTCAAAACCGGAATGTGCTTTTCGACAACTTGCGGACTTCGATCATTCTCATCTCCAAGACTCCGGGAACACCCAGCCATGCTCTCTTCCCATCGCTCGGTGGAACGCAGATAACTAATATCAAACAGACAAGAAGTGCCCCTTCACCGGTCTCGTCTCCATCCGTGGCCGTATCCTGACCGGCCGTGTCGTCTCCACCAAGATGCACCGTACCCTCGTCATCCGTCGTGAATACCTCCACTACGTCCCCAAGTACAACCGTTACGAGAAGAGACACAAGAACCTTGCTGCCCACGTCTCTCCCGCTTTCCGTGTCCAGGAAGGTGACTGGGTTACCGTTGGCCAGTGCCGCCCCCTCAGCAAGACTGTACGTGCCAACTCCCAGGAAGTTTTTCTCAGGCATCGCTGGGTGACAAATGTGCTGCTGTACATTTCTACAACGCAGGAGATACACATCTGCTACCCGGTGCTACCAAAGAAGACTTCCCCACAATACGAATATGCCGGATGATCTGACAAACTGCTCTATAGGTCCGCTTCAACGTCCTCCGTGTCCTCCCCCGCACCGGTAAGGCTGTTAAGTCTTTTGCCAAGTTCTAAGCGTGTCGATGAAGACGGGGTGTTTTCGCGAGGAAGATAAACCTAGGGCCGCGGCGTGACTGGATATACACGGAAATAGTTTACGGGTTGGGATTGTTTCACGATTTCATGTCCCAGGTACCCTTGTGAAGGAATATCCAATGAAAAAATTCTTTTGATTCTCCCATAATAGACTCTACTACTATGGAGGGAAGGGCTCGTGGTACACACTATTCTTAAAAGTTGGGCTCATAAAGCCGAGTCATCGTCATGAAACTGGGTCTCCTCGCATTTCCTTTTTCTCGACCTTTTATGGTTGGTCTTTGCTACTTAGCTCATATGCGCAATGACGTTGGTAGTATTCTTTTTATGTCCGAAACGTAAAAGACCATCTGGAGGATTACTTCGATTCGAGTACACTTTTCACGAACGACTATGATCATGTCACAGTTCCTTCAACTACTCCTATTGTACCTCCGGTGACATATTACCATAATTGCGACCACATTCTCATATCCTGTATTCTGCAAACCTCCGCATTCATCCCATCAGATAACCCCAGAGACCAACTCGCAGAGACAAGTCGCTGAATACTCCCAGTAGAGGTATGCAGTATCAACACATGGCTATCCACTAGTCTCTCCCGTCTCTGTCGGCCATCCAACGCCTTCGACGCGCTCTATCCTGCGCAAACCGATCAACTGAATCATCCTCTGTCAGCGCTCTACCACTTGCAAGCTGAGTATTCGAAGCCACGCCTGGCCGCAGTCTGTCACTCGCAAACCGATTCTGAAAATCCACATTTGTTCGTATTCTCTCACTCACAAACCGACTGCGTGAAGTCAGGTGCGCCCGCGCTCTGTTCCTCACAAACTGATTGTGCGAAGCCACGGCCTTCCGCGCTCGATCCCTTGCAAGCTGATCGTGTAAAGCTATCTCTGCCCGCGCTCTATCAGTCGCAAGCCGTTTGTGTGAAGCCACATCTGGCTGCGCTCTATATCTGGCAACCTGATCGTGTGGACCCGCATCTGCCCCTTCCCAAGACATGGCCCCAGACTCCTCGGTTTCGGTATCATCGATGTTCATATAGGCCGAGGACGATAAGGCGTCAGGCATGTCCAAATTGCTCGAAGGCGGTCGGATGGGAGACTCGCCGTCCACATCCATTCCATCCCTGTCTAGCGCAATTTCAGCCTGGGTTTGCACCCATCTACCGGTGCTTTCGTCGTAGGTCCGAATTATCTGGGGTTGGACACTCTGGATAGTTAACTTTGACACTTTTGCTTGCTCTTTGGGCAAGTCGCTAGAGTTGCTAGAAGTTGCCTTGGACGAGCGAAGAATCTTGTAGACCTGCGTTCTCTCGGATCGCCTTTCCGATTTGCATTCACTTGAATAGGCCATTTCGTCAAGGTTGACTAGTGGAGCCCACGCTGGAGATATATTAGGCCCTGTTATCGGAGCCCACGCTTGAGTTGTATTTTGTGTAGTTAACACTTGAGACGTTTCACGCCTTGTTATTGGAGCCCACGATTGATTTGCATGGGGTGTAGCCAACGCTCGAGATATATCTGGCCCTACCATCGGAGTCGACGCTTGGATTGTCTGGGGTGCAGCCAATGCTCGAGGTGTATCTGGCCGTGCCACCGGAGCTGACGCTTGGCTTGTGACGGGTGCAGCCGATACCTGAGATGTCTCAGGCCCTACGACCGGAGTCAACCCCTGCGCTGTATCGGGTGCAGGCAATACCTCAGATGTATCAAGCCCTGATACCGGAGCCGATGCTGGAGATGCGCTGGATTCTCCTGGCGCTTGACCTGGATCTTGCGCTCCTGAGCCGCTCCGCGGGGAAGTACCAGGCCCTTCTGGCGCGTTAGGTGCATCTGTAATTGCTAAAATGTCCTCGTAAATTCTTTCAAATAGTTCTGGCGAGAGATCCTGACTATAGCGATGGGTGCTGTCAGTCTGTTCCCGACTTCCTGCGCTGGAGGATTGGCCCTCTTCTTCGCGGCTGCCGGTATCTGGTTCACCTTCTGAGTCTGGATCGCGCTCGGTGTCTGAGTCGTCATCCGAAATCTCGTAGAAGTCTGAATCGTGCTCGGTGTCGGACTCGTCGTCCGAAATCTCGTAGATCTCTGGTTTGGGGCGTTCATCGCTCGTAGGAGATGGTTCTGAAGACCGGCCGTAGCCAGCATCCACTCCTTCATAGAAGGATTCCCATTTTCCTTCTTTCTTAAGTCTCCACGAATAAAACAAGCCAGTACCCACGTCCTTGCTGAACCTAAATGGAACATTGACTGAAGAAAGTAGCTTGCCAATAGCCAGGCCCGTGGCATGGTCAAGTCCCCCGGATGCTCCTCTCTCCAGGGCACGATGCAATCCCCTTGAATTGCGCTTGTAAGATGCTAGTTTGTCGAGTTGGAGAACATCACGGATTCCAGAGCTCTCCGCAGCCATTTCCTGGATAGTGCTTATCTTGAATGAGGATATGATTGCGGCCGATGGGATGCGCCCCCAGATTAAGAATTCCCCCCCTCCATTGTACTTGCTGATCTTGATTCCGTGTTCAGTCTCAAATTTGACCTTGATTCCGTGTTCTTTCACAAAATCCCATGCGGAATACACCGGTGTCCCGAGCTTTCGGGTGTCAATAATTGTTACAATCGCACCTTCCTTTCCCGTGATCGCTCTGTGGACAGGCGCCAGCATCGATTGACAGGTTGAGATAAACGGCGACAGTGTCTTTTTAATATGGACGTGGTCGGAGAACATTTGGTCGAATTCTTCCTGGGTAATGTCCTCCGGGGGGAAACGTTCAGCATCAACAAAACGGCCAGCAATAAAGAGTCGTTTAGAATTGACTCCTTGCGAATTTATGTTTGACCAACGGTACAAAATTGGAGGCAGACAATTCTTGGTCTTGGGAGGCCCATGTTTCGGTTGATTTTGCTGCTACTCGAAGTATTACATGTTTGATACTTTGAACGCAGGGCTAGTAATACTCACCTCGGCCTTGCGTTCCATCTCACAAAAATAGCATGCTTTCTCACCAGCTGTGCATAAGCTTGTCTCGTTGGCAGGTTCTAGTAGGACCGGCTTACGCTTCGAGAAGGGGACGATTGGAGATGAGTATATCGGTACCTGTGGTAGGTTAATTACAAGTTTGCCCATCAACTCTAATAATTCAGCTTACCGGTGGAGGTTTGTTTGTGGTGGTATCAGGTACCTGATCACTCCCGCTTGTAGCATTCATTCCATTCGAGCTGCTTTCCAACAGGTTTGTTGACCTCTTTGATAGGTTAGCATGTAGAATACATCCATCATGCCTGTGATGTTAACTTACCGATGTATCTTGCGAGTTCTCTTGGGTGGTGGAATCAGATACTTGGCCTGTATTGTTTGTAGCATTTACTCCATTCGAGCCGCTTTCCAACGGGTTGGTTGATTCCTATGATAGGTCAACATGTAAGATATATCCATCAGACCTATGATTTTAGCTTACCGGTGTGTTTTGAGAGGAGCTATCTGGTATAATGGGATCAGGCACCCGGCCTGTCTTCCTTGTAGCATTGTCTCCATCCAAGTTGACTGCCGGTAAGCATACGCAGCTCTATGATATGTTAGTATACAATCTATTAACAATGGGGCTTCAGATTACTGATGTGCTCGGCGAATCGCTCGGAGCGGTAGGAAAAGGCATTTCATCATTCTTATTTGCGGCATTATTCTCGCCAGAGCTACGTGCCAGTGAGTATACATAGCTCTATGGCATGTTAGTATGCATCGATTAAAAATGCGGTATCAACTAACTGATGAGTTTGGAGAATTGTCCGGTGTTGAAGAATCAGATATCTGACCATTCTTGTCTGTAGTAACCTTCTCACGGGAACTGCTTGCCAGTAGGTGCACGGGGTTCTGTTTTATGTCAGCATGGAACCCATTAATATTGTGACTTCCACTTACTGGCACACTTTGAGAATTATCTTGGGGGGTAGAAGCAGGCGGAGTCTGAAATTTGGAAGTGTTGATATCATCGGAATTCTTTTCCGCAAGCCCAAGCTCAAGAAATCTCGATTTTTCTCTTATTTTCTCAATTATCGGACGCCAGCAGCCCTCCTTGTCGAATGGAGAAAGATGCACCTCCTTCCAGACTTGGTGAGAGTCTTTTCTCATGCTACACCATTGGGTGTTCAACGTGGCTGATGGAATGCCATTCTCAAATCCACATCCCTTCACCTCAAACTTGAAGACATGGTTGAAAATCTCTTTGAAAGCTTTTGAGTCTCTCTCAAAGAATCTGTACAAACAGCAAAGCAAAACTCTCTGGTCTCGAGTCCATCTGTTTCTCAGCTTGGCGGCCGCGTAGTCAAGACCAGCCAAGCAATCCATTGGAAGAGTTGAGTATTACAGCCAGATAAGGTCAGACTAAGGTATCGAAGCAGTGAGGTGGGATAAAACAGAAACGTCGGATACAGTTGGCGTTGAACAGGGTAAAGATTCAGATGAGTGTGAGAGGAAGGGAAAGTGGATTGGGTTCAACTTTTGAATTAAAATGAAGCAGATGATAAGAGCAGTCTCAGAGCAATGTTTTGGGGGAATAAAGTGGCATCCTCGAATGTGAGAATTCAGTGGGAAAGGTTGCAATGTGTTGCTATCTGAAGTAGGAAACAGGTTAAGAGAAGAGGCTTGGACTTGGGAAGCCATTTTTGAAAGCATTTGGGTTTCTGAGAGAAACGCCTGATTCATCATGTTAGTGAGGAGAGTAACACTCAAGATGAATCAACAATCAATGAGGAAAACATCTGAATCAATGAATGCGGTGGACAGTCAGAAAGTAGTAAGATATATTGTGCGGAAAAGGGACTAGTAGAGTATGGAAGTATTCGGTACCTCTCTTGTCCCTGGCGCCGGATTGAGTGAATCAGACTTGTAAGATAAACCATTCACTCCTGTAGCCCGCAGTAATTTTCTTTCTTTCACCACCAACCGTGACCAGATCATATGTATGGAGTAAAGTGTAGAGAGTAGGTAAGTAAGTGTAGTTGCTGCTCGGATAACATCATCGGGCCGGCAGAAACGGCACTAGGCGGTTCACAGCCTAGGCGGCAATGAGGCGCGCCCCACTACGATGCCGCTTGCTGGAACTTGGACGTCCAACATCCCGACGCCCTGAAGCTCTCTTCTCTCCCCGACCTGCTCATCATATCTTCTCCCCTCCCGTTCGCCTGCTGGGTTCAATCCCTTAGCTAGCAGCCACCCCCCCTCGTCTTCCCCCCTTATCTCACCCGGGAAAATCCCTGGCAGATCGTCCCTGTCAAGACCGAACGTTCCGACTCCCCTCCCTCCTTGGAATCCGTACTTCGAACCGTCCCACTCCACTATTGACCGGCCGCGTAAAGAACCCAGCTTTCGCAACATGGCAACTTGACGCATCATGATAATTTTTGGCATCGATGTGGGCAGATCAATTAAAACACGATTATAGTCATTGTCTACTCTCATTCTCGATCGATCCGGTTATCGTCTCTCACCCCCTCCATCCCCTCCACCCCCGAACCCAGTCCGTGGCCACATTCCCCTGATTCCTGTCCCCGCACAATCGCTACTGCGGAGACCACTCATCCTTGACCATGTCTCACAATTTTGAGAAGTCGGTGAAGGGGGCCACCAAAATCAAGGTTAGTACATGGCTATGCTGCTCTCATCGATCCGACTTGCGCAATGTGCTGACGGCCCGACTCCTATCGACAGCTTGCCGCCCCCAAATCCAAATATATCGAACACATTTTAGTTGCGACCCATACCGGCGAGGCGGGCGTGGCAGAGATATTCCGAACCCTACAGCTTCGACTGCGCGACTCAACATGGACCATCGTTTTCAAAGCTCTAATCGTCATCCATCTGATGGTAAGAGAAGGCCAGTTGGACGCCACCTTGCAGTACATGGCGGAGAACCCCAGAAAGCTTGCGATTAGCGGATACTCAGAAAGTAAGCGATGCCACTAGAACTGGCGAGGGAAGCTGCTGACGGAGCAATGGTGCAGTTCAGTCGCAAGGCCATAATATCCGGAGATATTCCGACTACCTCATCGCGCGCGCAAGAGCTTTCGAAGATACAAAGACCGACTTTGTGCGAAGCGGACAAGGGCGCATGAGAAGACTGACAGTGGAGAAGGGTCTTTTAAGAGAAACGGAAGTAGTCCAAGACCAAATCCGGGCGCTGCTGCGATGTGACGTAGGTCATCATCTTCCTGGGCGTGACGATCGTCGCGACTGACCAACTCCAGCTTCTAACCGACGATGTCGAAAACGAAATATCGCTGACCGCGTTTCGGTTGCTGACCTTGGATCTTTTGACGCTTTACTCGGTCATGAACGAGGGCACAATAAATGTCCTGGGTAAGTCTTCCTCACTAGCCAATCGGTGCGGCATGTTCTGACATGAATTGCGGACAGAGCACTACTTCGAGATGTCCCGGCCTGATAGCGAACGCGCGCTCGAGATTTATAAGACTTTTACCGTACAAACAGAAGAAGTTGTTAAGTTCCTGGGCGTTGCCAGGCATTTTCAAACCGCAACGCGACTGGAAATTCCCAAACTCAAACACGCTTCTACAGATTTGACGCGACTTCTCGAGGACGACCTGAATGATCCCGATTTCAACCTTCGTCGGCGAGAATATTTGGCGCGGAAGGAAGGGAAGAGTGTCGGTTCCCCAACACCTGTAGCCAAGAACGCAACTGGGGATCGATTTGTTAGCAATCCGAATACCTCGCCAGCTCGACCTCAAACACAGCCCAACCCGCAGAAGAAGTCGAACCCCGTAGATCTTATTGACTTCTTCGATTCAATTGAGCAAAACCAGCAGCCAATGGACCACACCAACCCGTTCCAACAGGCACAGCTACAGCAGCAGGCGCAGGCGATGCAGTTCCAGCAGACAGGCTTTCAACCGCAGCAGCCGGCATTCTATGCGCAACCCACAGGCTTCCAGCAACAACCTCAACCCACAGGGTTCGGTCAACAGCCGGACTTCACGTCCCAGTTTCCGCCGCAAAATGGCCCGCAATTTAGCCAGCCGCCACAGCCAGTCCCTCAGCCGCTTCAACCCAACCACACGGGGGCAGGGTTTGGCGGTTATTCGGCCCAGCCCCAAACATACGGGTTCCAATCCAACCTCGCTCCCATTCCGCAACATGACGTTAGCGCATTCCCACAACAGCAGCAGCAACCGATGCCAATGGCTCAGCAACAGTTACAACCGCAGTCAACCAACCCATTCAGACAGTCTATGTTGATGGCCACGCCGACCGGATCGGCCACAGCCGCAACTCCACTCAGCCGCCAGAACACCAATCCCTTTGCGCGGCGTCTCTCGACAGCCAACCCGCAATTCAACTCGGGCCCTCCGGAGGCCTTCCCGCAGCAGCCGCCGCCACAGCCACAGCCACAAGCACCGCAGCAGCCAGCGCCGCTCCAAGCGCAGCGAACAGGGACCAATCCGTTTGCTCGAGCCTCGTCTGTTCCTCCACAGCAATCACAGGGATTGCAGCCGCCTGCCGCGGCGCCGCTCCGGCCCAATCCTACCGGGAGCACCAACCCATTCCGTCAGAGCGCGTTCGTGAATCAGCAGACGGGCCAGGGGTGGCATACCAGTGGCCAGCAAGGCACGATGGGTGGTTTGGAGCAACTGGACACTATGCAAGTGTTCCCGCGACCGGGGCTGTCATAGGGCGCAGACGACCGTGCCAACAAAACGCTGCGCCGAGAGGGTTGTTGTGTTAGACGTGCCTATTTTCCTTTTCCATTAATACTCGTTATTATCAGCTTGCATTTGATTATTGTGTGTTATTTAATGCATCATGGCGAGCTCGCAGCGCGGGCATGACCGTGGACGATGTAGCGATATCAAGCAATACTTAGTGACAGGCGCATATAACAAGACTTGTAGCAGACTGAAAAGCAACCCGAGCCGGTAGAGAAGTACCTACACAGGATCATATCCACTCAGGACCAGCAAGGACGACCATAGTAATCATGGCTGACCGCATGACCGCCGTCATCGGCAAGGGATCGGGATACACGGGATTATCCGCATCTTTCCATCCCACGACAACCAATTGTCTGGTCTCAATAGCTCATCATAGGTGGCCTATATATGTACCTTAGATACTACGTAGTACGCACAGGACCAAATGGGTACTATCCAGTCGTCAGTATTAGTAGTGACCCCCGCACCAACGTCCCTCTCTCCGAGACTCCCACATAGTCCTGTCCTGCGTAAGTAAAAAAAAAAAAAAAAAAAAACGCAAAACCCGACATCTACTTAGGTACTATTGGCAATACAGCAGCTATACCTTACACTACACAAATTCTCATTACCAACGGCCCATTTCATCCCGGTATGCCGGGCAAAAGTAAGTATGGAGCAAACCTCCGACGAGTCCGTCGGCGTACATCCCCAACCCCATCCCCCATCATTATTTTCCAGGCAGCCAGACCAGCGCCATCGAGCCAACCAACCCCAGTGCTGCGATCTGTTTGGCTCTCAACATCAGGACCTAGACCTTAGCACGCTGCATGGAGATGCTAAGACCGGCGGATGGTGGACCGATCGGCTTGTTCCGATAGGCTTAATAACAGGTGTGTTTCAGGCCTTCAACAATCAACACAGTCACACCGGAGGGGACTAGGACTCAGGGAGGGAGCCTGGAAGGGGGTTGGTAGGCTGATGGTGAGAGGATAGAGTTTGGAGGTGCAAGCCAGATCCATTTTCTGTGAAGCAAACATGGATGTTTGGCGTTGTAGGTCGTAAAGTACGCGTAGGCAGTTCGAGTTTCTACCTAGTAGATTGGTTGGAACGGAGTAACTGCGTAGACGTACTCCGTAGGTAGGTAGTTTGATGCTGGATCGCGTAGTACCGAAGCAGCGCCGCAGCGCCGCAGCGGCGAGCGCAGAAGGCCATCATCCATCCATCCATCCATTCATCCAAGTGTTGATTGTTGAAGGCTGAAAGGGTTGGTTGAACTTGACAAACAAGCCCAGTGAGCTTCGGCCCACAGCCGACTCGTACCCACCGTCTTACCTATTTCCCACACCGTTTCATCAGGGTACCCGGCACCAGTCCCGTCGAGCCATGGTATGGATGGATGTCCGCTTTTTCAGACATGATATCCGTGCCAAAGTCGAATCCCAACCCGACGATTGGCTCTAGTCCCGGCGGAGATGACAGCCGTCAGGACCCAGAGCGTGGGAAAGACTGGTGTCCCGTGCATGATCGCGATATTTCCGAGTTTCTCGTAAAATTCTGTTTGCTTTTACTACTTGGTAGTAAGTATGTAGGTATGTAGTCAGCGGATAGTATAGTTATCCAATTTCTGATCCTCTACTCCGTATCTATCCATTATCCGTAGAGTACCTACCTAGGTGCACAGTCCACACTGCCTAGTATCTACTCCATTCATAACAAGTTCTCGGTATTACTCTTGTTCAACACCAGACACCAGAAAACCGGATAATATTGGCCCTAGCGTCCGGACGTAAGTGCCGTATCTGGACCGGTTGGGTAATCATTATGCCACTACTATGGAGTTATCTCCGTCCGTCTAGTCTCCAACTCCAAAGGCTCAAGGAATCATAAGGCTGGCTAAATGTTGGCCTGCAGGATGGCTGATTCATGATTACGACTCATGTTGCGGTCAGAGATTGCCTTCACACTGAGTGTGATTTCGTGCATCCAGGCATGTGCATACTCCATGCTACTACCATGTACATGTCCTGACTCGTGCGTGTACTTGGCACAAGGGAGTATAACTAATATGTAGGCAATGGTAGTCACAGGAGCAGGATTATCCCCCTGCAGTCGACGATCGCTGCAGGAAAGGTAGAGGCGAGGTGCAGGCAGCTGTGCGTGTTTGGTATGCCGGTTTTTTTAGTCTACGTAGCGGCGCAGGAGGTGGAAGACGCTACGACTGCGCCCATGTCCTCTAGACCGTTGCTACTTCGATTCGATGCGCTACAAGTACGGAGTACTCCGTAGATGCAGTAAGTGTATACGGAATACAATCAAAGCACTTTCTGGGAGACTACTAGTTCATCTATTCCATCGAATAGATATGTTGACATACAAAGTGCTGCGTACGGAGGTCGGACATCAAGGATGATAATGACGTGCTCAACCGTTGCGGTCAATGGCAATTTGAATGGCGGTGGATCAACCTGTTTAGCATCCCCGGTGGTCGGCGCGTGCGTGCTTGTTGGGACTTGGGATGGGGCGGAAAAAGTGTCAGCCCTGAAGACCTGACATGACGTACGTGGAGTCCCAGCTTTGATGGCCGTGGATTCTGACACTGAGGGTTTGTCTTTGAGAAGGCGAAATCTCTCGCGTAGATACAGTCGAGGCACCCGGGATTGAGTCGAGAGACACATCGCATCAAGCACCCCGACAGTTCAGGAGGGAAAATTTAACCGATCTGATCCGATCGGTGGTGTGGAGTCCACTGGGTTTGCTGGCCTTGGGTCACGGCTTTTCGGATGTTCCCCTGGGGGTTTGCCTTTTTAACTTCCGACTAACACGGTTTTTTACGATTTGGATGTGCAGTCAATAACAGAGTCGGGTGCCTGAGTTGGTACTCCGTACTGCGTCGTACTATTGTGTCGTAGATTATAGTACCGTATATAATCTATCGACTTTGTAACCAAAGCCAATCAATCACTTACCTATCTATCTGAATTCTGAAGTGCATATTAAGTGTGTAACTAACAGCCCTGACTATTAATAGTCTGCGAATTCTCGTAATGTGACTTATTACTCATACTTGGAATGTCCAATTCGCATCGACGAAATTTAAGTTGCTGCTCCACCCGGGCGCCGGCAGCAGCAACATCCGAGATCTGGACCTCGTGTCTTGCTGGCCTATTGTCCATTTTCATTATTATTTTCATTGTTTTGTTGTTATCTTATGGTTTGCTTTGACATTAGCGCTTGACGGACACTTACACGAGATTGGACCAAGGATTGCAATCTTTCGCCGGGTGGTTTTGAAGTTGTACTTGTGCCTGCATGTGCTCCGGTATCGTTGGTCGCGACGCCCACGGTCATTGGCTACGCGTCGGCACAACAGAAAATTAAAACGCAAAATAAGGGAAGACACAGGCATTAAGGGAAACAGGGAACAGGCATAATTCTCCTTCACATCGCTTTTTCTTACGACCCTTACCCTCTTCAGGGCCCGTCCCTCTCCACTTTCATTACTTCCAATACAGTTTACAATACAGCCCCTCCCCTCCGCCGCCGCCGTCTCTCTCCCGCTCGCTCAGTCGCTCGCTCTCTCTCTCTCCCACTCAATCATCGGTCTCCCTCCTCCTAGGCGGCTCCTAGGCTCTCACAAGTCACATCAACTATCCCTCTCGCTCTGATAATTCTTTATTCCCCATCCATCCGAATCCCGTCTCCCCCCCTACCCTAAGAGATGGGCTTTTCCTGATAAGGGCAGTGCGCTGACCATTCAGCATTTCCCTTCTCTCAATATCCCCTCTTCTCTTCCCCCAGATTCCTCGTTCAGTCTCACGGTTGCACCCTCAATCCCACCCCCAGACCCCCCACGAGGCCTGTCCCATCTCCGCCCACTCTAGAACGATGAGCATCCACGAGGATCGCCAGGATCTGTGAATAATACAATTAGACTCGCGCGTGCGATGGACGCCAAGAATTCCCCTCATTATCAGCCAACGGCGCGCTCTTTGGCCACCGACCACGAGCACGTCCTGCCTTTGCTGGGCAAACCAGCTGCCTGGGCAACTCCCAATGCTGTCCATCCGGGTGCTATTAATAACACCACCTATCATCCTCACCACCATCCTTACAACTATCCGATTCCAGCGCCCAGTCAGGTGCCTGCTTACGGTCCTGTTCCTCCCCCGCCGCAGCCATCATCAATACCTCCGCCTCCCGTCCATGCCGATGCGCAGCCTTTCACCAGCGAGCCCCCCGTCAGGATGTAAACAGGAACGGTGTCACGAAGCTACGCAAGCCGCGGAAGACCAACAATGCGTCTGCAGGGAAGTCGACCCTGTTCTGGGTCCATACCGATCCCCAGTCCGTGTCCGAAGGAACAAGGGAAGAGACGCTCAAGCGCATCCGTTCCCATGTCATGTCAGAGCACAACCGCAAGAAGAGGCTAGAGAATACAAAGCGTTACAAGAGCAAAACCTGGAAACACCTTGCCTTTCAGCCTGTGGAAACCACCGCCTCCAGTTCGTCCTCTGCCACCGCAGCTTCTTCGACTTCTCCGCCGGGACCATCGCACAAGCAGACCGTCACCGAATCCCCTTCGTTCGGCACGCGCATCACTTCAGATTCGTCCTCCTCCGGCTCGTCCTCTCCTGAACAGCGACATAAAGAAGAGCCAGATAATGCATTGGTTGTCACGAACGTGGCCAGTCATCCGGCTGTTTCTGCAGGAACCGTTGACAACTATAGCCTCGAAGCACCTTCGCATAATGCGCTCACGCCTGTACAGCCAGCCTCTCCGTGGGTTTACCTGGGCTCCGGGGGCTCAGATCCGTTCAATGCGATGCACACGGTGATGTCGGACCGTATGGGCCGGCATCTGCAGCACTGTATGTTGGCCTGGCTCTTTCCCAATATTTAATTCTAACGTCTTGTCAGTCTTTGATTTGACACAGCAGGCATATCCGTTGCAACGCCGATATGGGCCCAAGTTGCGCGCCCATTGGATGACGTTGGTGCAGCATGACCCGGCTTCATTGCACGCTTGTATATGTGTGGCGGCATCCAATTCTGCATTGGCCGCTGGGGAGTTCCCCCTGACGGATCCGAATAAGCGGCGTTCTAGTGTGCTCCTGCTCGACACGTTCCATCACCGAGGGGAGACGATTCGACTAGTCAACGAAGGCTTGTCAGATCCGATCAAGGCATCCAGCGACGAGCTGATTGCTGCGGTGTCAATTCTTTTGACCATTGAGGTGAGGGGGATCTCTGCAAAATATGCGAATGCTTTGGCTGACCGGATAGATTGCGTCGGGAAATGCCGACTATCTCAAAATTCATCTTGCCGGCCTACGGCAGATGGTCGGCATGAGAAATACATTTGCGGACGTGCCACCCGACGTTCGATTCCAGATTTCATGGTCAGCCTTACCCAACGTTGTGGATCTGTGGGCCCCTACTGACTCGACTAGGACTGACATCCGCGTGGCATGCATGGCCGGCTCCAAACCTATTTTCCCTTTCATTCGTTACGCCCGTCCTTCGCAATTAACACTTATCCCCCCTAATGAAGACCTTGCGCCTATAGCTTCCCGTTTGATACAACTAATAGAGATACCCGGCATGTTCGGCGATGCCATACCTAAGACGATATACGACCTGGCCGAGCTCACATGGTATTGCGAGTGGATCAAGAGCAGCCCACAATACCAAGACTTTGATGACGAGACGGAGAATTACTTCAACACGGAGGTCATCAGCGTCGAATACTCCCTTCACACTGATCGTTTCACGGCAACGGGCGGAGTGAAGGACGAGGCGACCATCGAAGGTTGCGTTCGGCTAGCTTGCCTGCTGTTCCACAACACGGCCATCTGGGGCTTCTACCCAGATATTGCGCCGGTGTTCCCCAAGCCCATCACCACCCTTCGCGTGGCACTCGAAAACACCATTTTGTCCGGTTACTTCCAGCTGTGCCGGGATGTGTTGGTGTGGATCCTGTTCACGGGGGCGTGCAGCGCGCGGCTGATGCCGGAGCGAGGGTTTTTCGTGAGCCAGCTGATCCCGGTGGTGCGAGAGGAGGGCATCCAGACTTGGCAAGAACTGCGAGCCCTGCTATTGGGCTTTTTCTATGTGGACCGGTGTTATCTGGTCCAGCTGCGCGAACTCTGGGACGAGATCCAAGGAAGGGTCCGCGCGCCGCAGGAGTGTATATAGAACCTGTTGCAACTCATATATAGGACCGATGCGCATGTTACATGGGCATGTATGATATATACTACTAATGAGACACGGTACATATGACCATGGATTCGCACGTCCGACTCATTCAACCCCATCTATCCATTCCATCCCGTAAATCCATTGACTGCCTGCATCTTAGTTTCATATATTTCCTAGATTTAAGTATGATGGATAACCAGAAAAGACCATTCCCAAGAAAAAGGAACGAAACCGAAAACGAGACGGACTAAAAATCCCTCACCACTCACCCATTCGGAAAAGAAGAGGAAGCACGCAAGACAAGCACATGATGAAACAGATTCTCCCAAACCCCAAACCAAAACGACACGATAACTAATAAAGAGCTAATCGTTCGGCAGAAAACGGCCTGTGATGACACCACCACGCACCCACCCGCCGAACAATATCCGCTCTCCGAGTCCCGCCCGAACCCCGAGCGTCTGCCGGCGCAAAGTCCTTTTTTTTCCCTTTCCCTTCCGTCCCTTTCCTACAAGTACTAATTGATGGGTACGCCCCGTGTCTCTGAAGGGGGAAGGAAGGGTTGGGTTAGATTTCTTTTACTTCTAGTCCTGCTCGTCTGGTGCTCTGCTTCACCCGTCCGCTTACCCTTAAGTTGAGCTGGAAAGCTTGTACTTACGTTGTTGCTGCTGTTGTTGTTGTTGTTGCTCGTCGCATTGGGACGGACTTACCTCACTCAGTCTTGGGACTGAACTAACTAACTACTGATTTACTTACTTGCTAATGAACTGATTACCTCCAGAGTATAGGTTGTCTCTTTCTTTCTTTCTTTCTTTTCTTTTTTTTTTTTTTTTTGTTTCTTTATCGAGGACAACACGACTTGGGTGCGGGGTTACGAGTCCTTATCTCTTTGTTATATCGGTTGTGATGCCCCGAGCTATACATTGTGCTCCTTGCATAGTAGTGCGGTGATGGTTCATGCTCCCTTGCGTGATCGGCAAAGCTTATGTTTGCCGAGGTGCGACCTGACTGAACTGGCTATGGATGGACTTGCAGTATGGAAAATAGTACCGAGTACTCTGTCCAACCACTACTTTATGATTATGAGGGGGGCTTGGTGGATACGACACAATGGATGATCGCCGTGACTTCAGGTAATTCCCTTTACAAGATATTACAGAATGCTGACGTACCTCATTTGTGGTCATTCAAGGTCAATAATTTCATGAACAAGAGCTAAAACAAACATCAAATCAAAACCGTCCCCCGTCCATTGTTCTCGACAACAGACTGCCGCGCCATTATCCGTCTTGATATAACCTGTCCCAATGGGAAACCAATACAAGGAAAGAAACACTTGTTTGGACCATTCGCACCTGCTACAGGGGGTTTGCAGGCCTGGTATATCCCACGGACGGTCTATGACCCGGACCATTCCCTGCGCAGCAATGGCCCTACAAGAATGGGTATCTGAAATATAAGTGGAGGTGTATTACTGTTTCGTGAGGGTTCTCTCTGGGTTGCTTCTTCGCCGGGCCTTGTTCGCGCCTGCGCCCAGACAAATGCTGCTGCGCCGTCGCGCTTAGACCGTCTCGCGCTCGGTCTTGACACGGCTGCGGGCAGTGGGAGACCAGGGGAAGTGGGCAACAGGGATAATGAAGAAACTGTTGCTGCTGTCGGCAATACCAGCCAGTGCGTTGTACCATGCAGCAAAAGCAGCCAGGAGACCGAAGAAACCACCCGCCTTGATGATAGGGGGGTTAGGCTCGCCGGCAGCGTTGGGACGCAGGTAGCCAATGGCAAGCAGCAAGAAGGTCAGGTCGAGGAAGAAGAACAGCAGGAAGAAAGCAACCGTGGATCTCAGGGTGCAGAACAGCATGATGGTGGTGAAGATGAACCAACCCTGCGGATGACAGTCAGCATTCACACTCGCATTCGCACTCGCATTGGCCGCAAAACTCACCATGAGGAACAGTCCCATCGAGTTGTAGAACATGCTTGCACCGCCGGCGGATTCAATCGACGAGGCGATCTCAAACCCACCGGGGGTCAACACAATGGCGAACGAGATCCAGAAACCTCCGTACGAGGACAGCGCAGTGGCACCAAAGGTGTTTCCGATGGCCATTTCCCTGTGCGACGAGTTAGATTGGGTCACAACCACCCAATGGAAGCAAACTGGAGAACATACCACATGCCAGCAAGTAGCTGAACGAGACCGCCGTATCCGAAAGCCAGACTGACGACGATGTTGTTCGCGGAGATACCGCGGGTTCCCATGTTGATCAAGCTCAGGAGGAAAGTGGTGAGGGCGAAAGCGCAGAGGCCCAGAGGCGCCGGGTTGGCGAACTTGCGGTTCTCGACCGACTTGTACAGACCGGGCTGGAACTCTCCTCCGAAGGGACGCAGGTTAGCTTCAGTGGTGTTGACATGGGCCATGGGGCCATAGCCAAAGCGCGCAGCGGCTCTAGCGGTGTCCTCCGCCGACATCTCATGGTGCATGGGCGCACCGCCGTTGGAGTCGTTGTCAGGAAGCATGTCCTTCTCGAGGGGCGCGTGTTGTGCCGACATTATGACTATCTAAGGCCGATGATCCGATCAAGGATTCAGGTACAGGAGGGAGATTGATTAAGGTGGTTTAAGATCCCAGAGGCAATCCAGCAAGCTGGAGGGTGGAGGAGAGGAATATATATGAAACCGCGGATGGAGAAAGGAGAAAACAACCACGATGCGCACAGCTCTGCTGGGCGGATCAGCAAGAAATTATCGTCACGAGAACCGGGACCGTGCCAGGTGTTCGAGGAATAAATAGAAGCAATGAGGAGAAGGGGGAGGGAGGTGAGGTGGAAGAAGAGGGGAAACGAGGTCAAATAAGAAGAAGGGCCCGGACGTCGCCTTTAGGATTGACGGGCGATGAGACCCAACCGGACGAGCGAAGGTTGCAGGGGAGCCAGCAATCTACCGGATTTGGGAGGAAGGACCGTTAGTTGGGGTTAGGCTGGGTTTAGTGGTTGGTTGGTACTTGGTAAGTCAGTCAGCTCTTTTTTTTTTTTTTTTTTTTTTTTCCCTCTTTCTTTCTTGGATGGGGGGAAATCAGAAAAAAAATGATTTTCCCCTCTGGCCTGATTATTATTTTCTTCGTATTATTATTACTCTATCGTGCTTTGTCGGCGGATGAGCAGCAGTGGAGCGCACGAATTTAGGGCCGGTTTTAAAACTAAAACGATGTGCAGGAATCCACCTGACGGGCCACTCCCGCCTGAATGTCCCTAATTGACTCTAGAACGGTAAAACGAGAACTTGGACGCTGTTCACCATCGGGACTTGGGATTTTGGAGAGACGACGATCCTCCATCATCCTGCGGTAGTATGCTCTCTCCATCGTCCATCTGGCCACCCGCGGCTCATTGGAGGCGCCCGCAAATAGACTTTCCATGGCCATTGGAAAGCGGGGGGGAAAGTGCTTCCAGTGTGCTTAATTACCTAGTAGGTTGCCGGGCACAGGGTCCAGTCCGGGCTGGATGAAGGGAACATTCCTTCCATTCGTCCAGCCGGGACTCTACGTACCTTAGCAAGTAGCGAGCACTCCGTAGCACCTTCCCACTTACCCATTCAACTTCTAGTCCTGTACTGGATAACTGGATGCACGACGGACTCCCTCCTAACACCGATTGACTTTTCAAGACCGGGGAAAAGCAAGGGCGGGTGGAGAATAAATGCGCCCGAGGTCTGGGGAAACAGCCAATCAGCACCCGCATATGCCGCAATCAGCCGGTCTCGCGCTCGCTTTCCTGCGTTGCCATAGGCCGGATGCGCCATTACCGTATTTCCGTTACTTCCAGTCATCTTCGGCTCTCATGCCAGTCCTATATAGTAACTAAGTACTCCGTACCAGCGAGGCTATGCCATGCTCTCTGATTCATGGTTCACGAGCCCTGACTAGCTAGATGTTCACGTCTCATGAAGATTAAATCTGTTACAACTTACATCTGAGCTGCAGACGGGGCTCTATTCACCATATGCAGGATGCAACAGAAGCAGCTCATCTGCTCCCAATGTAGGCACGAAGGACTCCGATAGTAGTTACCTGGGACTAGATTACCTCAGCGGAGTAGTACGGTAATTACAAGCGCTCGTTCTCAGCCGGACGATCCGTGGCTGCTGTCACTTCTCCATGAATGTCACCCCCAGGCGAATGGGTTCTCATTTTTGATCCATTGCCCACGGTTGCGAGTTGCGACGGAGACGGTATGATCTCTACCGTCGATGCTCCTGACCCGAACACTGAATCTCTCTCCCTTCCGTCCGATTTAACATCGGGTCGCTACAGTCACAGCTGCAAGGAGCTGCCCCCTCCGCGACCAGGACCCGACTCAGTCCCATACAGACTAATCCTAATGGGCATGGCTTATTGGAGAGGCCACCGACTCTGGTGGAACCCTTTGGCGTACTGCGAATGCGGGGCCCTTGGCTTGACTGCTAACTGTGAGCAGCCTAGCTCTCTGGCTGTGGCTGCTGGCCTAGATAGCCAGGGTGCTACCGTACCTGCTGCTAGCCTTCTGCATAGCTCTGTGCGGTACTGCAGTGCTCTGCCAGTGCCGAGTGGATCGGTCCCGAAATCTGATGCTCTCCGAGTCTCGAAACCGAAGGCGTGATGTATTTATTCATCGCGGCCTTAAATGTATTAACGGATGCACTCTGATACAGAGACGCGGCTGATGGATTCCCAATATGCTTAATCTTCCTTTGCGCTTCCTTCGAGCACTGCGCAGGCGGAAGAGGCTGGCCCCAAGCTTCTTCCTTCAATCTCCAGAGCTCTTGATGCTGATACCGGCGATGTTTGGTAACCACCGAGGCCGCGGCAGATCACACAATGCATTCTCATGAGCAAGGGCAGAAAAAAGTACACGATCCCCGTCACCATGATCTGCATTGACCTAGAGGTTAGAGTGCTACATAGTCGGCGTTCAACAACGCTCTAGGTCTCACTATGCCTATCGGCTCCAGATGGTCAAGCCCCCGTATGCGGTAGCGGAAGAGACCCGACAGGCGCTGGATCCGTGAGCAAGATGGTGAGTCAATATGAATGGCTGCAGTCCGCAGTCTACGAACAGTCCATCTGAGACTCGGAGACAAAGTAGCATAGCAGCACACAGTAGTAAAGTTTTTGTGCGAGTGGGCCCCATTCCCGGTTTGTTTCGCCGCGGCAAAAGGGACGTCCCCACTTGGGGCCCCCCTTGGCGACCGTTCTGCCGCGTCGACGATTCTCTTGCCTGTTCATGTCAATCTCGAACGACGCCAGCCGCACTTCTGATGCTCATCCCCCTTTTTTCTCGCCCATAGCCTCAGCGATGGCGTATGAACAAGCTCGAACCGCCCCGAGACCCATCTCTCACTGCTTATCCTCATTAAAACCACCCCTTTGACAGGTTGACACTGACAAGAGGACAACGTTCCAGCAAATATACCTTGACTAGTCGGGACTCGCTCTGATTCTAATCCCTGATTGCAATTTAAACATTCAATAGTCGGTCGTTGGGGCAGGGAATGTCCGCTGTCAGAGTGACACGCGATATCTACTCACAAAATGCACTTATATCCAAACCACAAAAGGTACGCGCAACTACACTTACACATTACGCATCCACCGTCCAGCCTATAGATATCGCCTGATTTCTTGTGTGGACTGTGGATGTGCACCGCACCTCGGAACTTGCAAGCTCGCTAGCTAGCTATCGAGTTCGTTAGCTGCAGCGGTTGGCGCGGAGTTCGGGTCGGTAAACCAGGCCGTGGCTTTTGTCCCTCCCTTCCCAGTCCCCTCGCATCCAACACGAGGGGCGATGCCAGGTACAAGGCACGCTGCAGGGTTTCCTCTGGCATCAGAATGGCCTACTGTTCATGAAAGCGGGCGTTTCTGTGGTAACAACGACCTAAGCATGTAACTTGATCCAGGACCCCCGCGGAGGCTGGGAGAAGTTGAACATCCCTTGACTTTTTTTTTAACGTGCTATATATCTATTCTATCTATCCGGGGCTTGTTCCTGACCAAGGTCGCCTTGGCTAGTTATTGGTTACCACTACCGGAACCGTGATGCAGGGTATGTACTTAGATAGCTGATAGGCCGGCATTCAGGCAGTCTAATGAGGGCTAGACTAGGTCGGCACCAAGCTCCCCAGTCGCAGACCCATCCCAATTACCTAGCATTGGTGGACTGTCATGATGGTGCAGCAGCAGCTCCGCCCTAGATCGTGGTCCGGCCGTCCACTACTGCTGCAGCTAGGATGCAAACTCGGCCGGACTTAGGTAGCTCTCCAGCTTTTCCAAGTTCCAACGATTGAATTATCCACCTATCTGGATTCTGGAGTGTGCATGTGAACCTACGTACGCGTGCAGAAGCAAAAGAAAAAAAAAAAAAAAAGGCTCGGTCGCGGTTCGCCTCTCTTCTTCCTCTAACCTCTTCTCGTACGGAGTACTCCGCACTAGCTCTTGAGATCACGAGTTCAGCTGGGTTCTAGATAGCTAGAAAGCTAGATGAGTATGTATGTAGGACAGCAGAACTGGGTGATAGTGATACTGATAACCCTTGGCGCGAGGGCGAGGTGAGAATGGTGGTTGGCTGGTTGGTTGGTTGGTTGGTTGGTTGATTTCATTCCACGGAAGACGGAATCCGGGCCGGTATATGGCCTCGCTAGTCGCTAGTATGTAAGTAGAAGTACGGAGTAGTGCTCCGTACGACTCCATCAATGGGACCAAACCAGGGCCAGGCACACTGTGCCACGCTGCCTAGGCAAATGTCATTAATACAGAGTCATAATACTAATAATAATAATAATAATAATAATAATAATAATAATAATACTAATAATAATACTACTAATACTAACCCACTAAGTAAAGAGACAAGTACGTATGCCCGTGCACCCTCAATTATCAATTGTCAATATCAACATTAATTCATAACAACATGCTATGCTTCATCCGGCAAACAGACGCCAGATAGACAGGGACGCTCGGGCAGGATATGAGCTGAGAGCCAGAGTGACAAACCTACCCAGTACCTACTTACCTATCAATCTACTCCATATGTCCTATCTAGATGCGGTAACTACGCCGCAATAATGTAGGGATTGTTATGAAAAACAGCGCAACTCACTCAATCAAAAAAATCAACTAATCTATTTTGTCTCAGACTGGCATTATGTGTGTGTGACTCACTAACAATCAACATTTATGTTATGCTACTAGACTCTACCACGCACACAGCGAAAAATTACTTTGGCCAATTTAGGTTGCTGTTGCGCTGCTAATTAATATCCTGGAAAACCCTGATTTATTCGCTAATGAGGAGGGTTGGCTTGGCGGGGCATTTAGCCATTTATCCCCGCTGTGCGGGAGTACCTGTGTAGTAACTATAGTGTACTCCGTATATGGAGTACTGCGACGGGAGTTTCTGTGGGCATGACGGAGACACGAGAATATAGAATTTTGTATGTGTATATTTGGTTGGTAGGTATGTAGGCGTGTAGATCCTATCTTCCTATGATCGACACCGATCTAGCAAAGTGTATATGTATCTATAGTCCTACTGTACTAGTAGAATTAGATAGTCTATCCAGCTTTATGTATTAACGAAGTATATACATATCTACACGCGGCCTCTAAGTACCCGTCATCAAATAGTAAATAGCCCAATTCAGGACCTAATTACCATATTACTCCTACATGTTGTCTGACCTTAACATTAATTTCCTATTCGGTTCGGACAGAAAAAAAAGCAGGTACCCTTGTCCCCCGTACACATGACCTAGTAAGTACCTACGTAGTAATTACTATCCACCAACCTACATACTACATACTCAGCCGTGTACCAGCTCTCCGCACAGCGTGCTACATGTTGATATTATCCGATAGGCAGGACACCAACCCACCCACCTTCCTGCCTACTCAAGTACCTACTAGCTATGTACATATGTGCGTACGATACGAGGAAACTTCCCCTCACCAACACGAGTGACAGTCTAGAATCCCCAGATCAGGCGCATAGATCCGCGATTTGGAGGTGTTGGAGACGCACACCGTATGTATTACTACTCTGCACGGTACATATGTGTTGCATACGAGGGGAAGGAATTATGCACATAGTAGGAAGATGGTTGAATGGATGAATGGATGGACTCCACGTGGAGAGTACTCCGTAAACGACCTGCCGTACCGGCGAGTATACATCCTAGCGGGCTGCGTGTCGTATTTGTTCCAGATTTGGATGCTTGGCTCTGACCTGTCTGTCTGGCCGGTTGTTTGCTTGTTCATCCGGGGCTTGGAATACGCGATGAGTTGTACAACCGTACCATCAGTATAATATTCTCCTACTGGGCGAGGGAGGACATACTAAAGTGACTATTGTTCTGTACATATGCCGAACCGGGAAGGAAATCCAGATCTACGCTCTGAGACTGAGAGACTGGGGGTCACGTACTTTGTGCGTACCATAGTATGTGCGGGTGGCCTCAACTCTGTTGACGATCCACCCGCTATCAAAAGTTGACAAAGGAGTTGAATCCAAACTATTGGTGGCAGATGGCGGGCACGTCCGTTGATCGATTACGTAGGGACATCCCTGTGGACAATGTAGGGAAGCAGTGTTGGGGTATTATTGGCGAGGTCACGGGATGATGAGGTGAGGGGGATCGACGGAGGGGGTTGGATCTGGTACTGTTGATCGAGTGAGTTGACATGGCAATCAATCACTAACGCTGCGGCGATTAACTCTGCCAGTCCTGGATTCCCTCGGGAAAGGCCAAATGACAAATCAGAGATCATTTTCTCTCCTATGTACACAGATGGCTTGGGATTCAAGACAGAATGAGCGTTCCATACGTCCGGACCGCAAAGAGTCGTTGTCTGGTTGTTCCACATCCATGGCTCTGGTACCGAGACCCAGGAAACAATTGGGCCATTAATTGTTTTGTTTGCTGGCCCGGGTCTGGGGGATTCCCGTTCCCCGCGCCGGGCATGATGAAGCAGCCATGGGTATGAGGTCCTGCCTGGACAAATGACAGGGCGGAATGCGACTACTCGGCACCCTCGGTTCGGCGGAGCGGAAACTGACCAGGATGGAGCTTTGCTTCCAAGAAACGCGCGCCACAGTGGGAGGGATTGCCTTTCGAGGCTGTTCTCTTTTTTGTTCGTACCGGGTTCTTGTTGTCCGTACTGGGCCAGGTCTCCGCGTGCGGAGATGCGGTGTCTTGGATGGTCGGGTGTGAGTGGTTGGAGGGGGGTTCCAGAAGGACTTCTGGTACGGAGTACGCTTGCTGGATTTGTGATCTTAGGTTTAGGGCCCGCTTGAGATTCAACAGCTATGATGCAATCATGCAATGGTGGTGGGTTTGTTTTCCCCTCCCTTCGCTTCGACTTCTTTTATCTCTGCGCCCCTCAATTTTGGGCTAGAAAATGTGGAGTATTTCTCGGAGAGACAATGGGGATTGTACTGCATCGAGGTTGGGTTGAAAGTGGTGGTGGTGGGGGGTATCTAGGACTGGATGGGAAGACCGGGTCCTGCGGCCAGGTTGAGCCGGTCCACTGTGGCTTTCTTCAGTTCACAGGCTCCCACGAAGCGAAGACTGAGATTAGGCCAGAGAACTCGCTGCTCCATAGTTCATGCAAAAGCTCGAAAGCGGCAAGTCGGCTTCACTTACTAGGCAAAAATATCTAGACTCTAGAGAGCTAGACGCCGGGTTAGAGAGTCGCCCACAACTTTAGCCCGAAGGGCTGCAGATCCCGGCTCTCATCCACGCGTATTCGGGGTATGGCCCCATCACGGCATGCCAACCAGATGGGAAGCTAGTATAGTTCGCTCGCCCAAGTCAACTCCATCACGATCCGGTGTTTGCGACGATCTTTGGTGGAATTGACAAGTGGTGTTGGGATCGGTGATGATGCTTCTGGCGTGGTGGGGAGGAACCGAGGGAGATCTACACAAGAAGCGGTCTGGCATCATCGCGGTCTTTCGCAGCGACGAGGTCGATGGCTGAGCTACCGACGGAATGGCGTCGATGACTATCGAAGCTCCAAGTGGGATCTCAGCGGGTGTGGCAGTCTTCCTATCGATGGCTGGGAGGTGGCGGGGTCAAAACTCTCGAGAAAGTTAAGATTTCCAATTGCGAGTAACCGGGTGGCTTCACCGACTCGAGTAGTGGCATAGTGAGTGTGGCAGAAGGCTCTGAGACTCTGCTTCCTTGTCATTACTGATCTGGAAAAGGATGGCCATGACCCGGAGGGAGCGGTGATGGTGGTTGCTTTTTCTGGTGGTGCACGTGCCTGTCCCAATCCAGACAGTCCAGCACTTCGTCAACAACTTTCTCGCGTCCTCTTTCCCTCCTTCATGGCGAAACGCGACAGCGATGAAATTGGGGCTGATGAGTGGTTCCGATCATCATGTGCCTCCATTGATGTCTACTAGTAGTATCTACTGATGACCGTCATCGCAGATTAGCGATATTTTGCTACTCCCACACATGTCGCTCAAGCCAAGGCCACTCGAGGATTGCTCGATTGGCCATGAGATGAAAGCTAGCCAAAGAAGACTAGGCGGAGGAAAGCACACTTATGGCTCGTCTTATTCTTCTCGGGGCCTATCCAAACCAGACAATCTTCAAGTGCTGCATCCAGACCGATAACATCGCATCTCCATCGCGGTTGGCAGTTGACGGCAACTTGCAAAGATGAGACTGCTGATCTGTACAAGCTATGATACCGAAAGCCGGACATATTGATAACCCCGGCCACTATCTGGACAGACTCCTGTCGTGCGGGGTTGATAAGTAACTCACTTCAGGATATCCCGCGCAGAAACCGGCTGTGTCCTATCTCTTCTTTGAACTTCCCACAGGCTACCTGATGCAGCGTCTACCCACTGCAAAGTATATAGGATTGAATGGTCACTGACCTCCGATTTCTGATTTGTGCCGTACTGACAAACAAGTCACACTTTGGGGCCTTCTGAATACACTGAATTGCGCCGCAAAGAACTTTCCAGGGCTCGTCATGCTTCGGGTTCTTCTGGGATGCTTTGAAATTGCAGTAGCGCCTGCGTAAGACACCGTTCAATGCAGCAGAAATTCACTAACAAGGACAGATTGATATTGATTACCTCCATGTGGTACAAGAGAGACGGTATGTAGCTGAACTTGAGGTGACAGACATCGACTGATCCAGTGAAGAACAACCGAAGCGCATAGGCTTCTGGTACCTAGGCACAGGCACCGCTACCATAGTGGGCGCCCTCGTCGCATACGGGCTCCTCTTCTACACAGACAATGAGTTCTATTCCTGGCTAATTATGTTTTTGATTTTTGGGCTTCTCACGATCGCTGTCGGCGTCACTGTTATTTTTATCTTCCCGGATAATCCTATGGCTTCCACGTTAAGTCATGAGGAGAAGATGATGACAATCAAGCGTCTTCGCGAAAATCGGACGGGTATCGAGAACAAACATTTCAAATGAGATCAGTTCTTTGAGGTTTTCAAAGACCCACAAGCCTACCTGCTTACTGTAATCGTTGCCTCCAGCAGCACCAGTAATGCGGCAATCAGCAGCTTCTCCGCCTTGATCATCAAGAACTTCGGGTTCAAAACAAAAGAGACCGAGTTACTAACAATCCCTAGAGGTTTAGTCAGCGTGGTCAGCATATTACTCGGTACATACTTGGCCGGACGTGTCGACAAGCGGTGTTTCTGTGTCATCGGGATCTTATGCTGCGGTCTCCTGGGAGGTTGTCTCATGGCATTTGCCCCGAGTGACAACAAAGGCGCCAAGCTGACAGGGAGCTACCTGACAAACTGTGTCGGGTCTGCTCTCCCCTTAATGTACTCGATTGCGGGTGCCAACGTGGCCGGTCATACCAAGAAAGTGACTATGAATGCCGTGGTTCTGATGTCGTTCTGTCTCGGTAACATTCTAGGTCCGCTGTCATTCCGCACCAAGGATGAACCGGAATACATGCCAGCCAAGACTGCGATTGTGGCAACCGTCTCTGTCGCGATTGTTTTCACTGTAGCTCTGAAAGGGTACTATATGTGGGAGAATCGGCGACGGGACAGCAAGTGCCAGGGTTTGCAGCATCAGGAGAATTCCGAGTTCCTAGATCTTACAGACAAGGAAAATCTGGGGTTGAGAGTAAGTGGAACCATAGTGTCGCATCGACGTTTCTAACCATATGTACAGTACAAGCATTGATACTGGGTAAGATCATCAAATCAAGATCTATTCTAATTGGAAAACATGGTATCAACCAAATCTATCAGAGTATGCTATGCAATCACAACGCCCAACACAATAGAAAAAACATCAGGAAAAGACACATGTCACCAATTAAGCAGCAACCTGCGCGGTCTTGAACTCCTCGCTGAACTCATAGTCGATGTAACCCTTAGGATCCTTGGGCAGGTAGAACATATCTCTCTGGTACGGGCGGAGAGGGATGTTGTGCTGGATCTTGAAAGGAAGTTCGGGGTTCGAGGTCCAGGGACGACCAATAGCAATGATCACGTCGTGGTCCTTATATTGCGAGTCGACGGCGTGCTTGGCTGACTCGCCCTTGTAACCACCAGCGACGATGATAGGGCCGGCGTTGCCGTACGCCGAAACGAAGAAGTCCAGCGTGTCGTGCGGCGAGGGCTCCCCGTCCGCGTTGCCGGCGATGCGCGCCTCAACGATGTGCACATAGGCCAGCTTGAACTCGGCGGTCTTCTTCGCCAGGTAGGAGAACTGGGGTCTCGGGTCCTCCATGCCCATGTTCTGGAACGTGCTGAAAGGGCTGTACCGGATAGCAGTCCTGTCCGCACCAACAGCATCGACCACAGCGCGGATGACTTCCAAGGCGAATCTGGCGCGGTTCTCGACGCTACCACCCCAGGCATCCGTGCGCTTGTTGACAACATCCTGGATGAACTGATCAATCAAGTACCCATTGGCACCGTGGATCTCCACACCGTCGAATCCAGCCTCGATGGCGTTCTTGGCGGCCTGCGCATAATCGCCAACGAAAGCGTAGATCTCCTCCTCGCTCAGTTCACGAGGCACGGCGCCACCTTTCAGAGCAACAGGGCTGCTAGACACGAGGTCATGGCCTCCCTCCTCCTTCAGAGCCTGGGGATCTGCCGCCCGTCCCAGGCCCCAGAGCTGCATGTAGATGTAGGAGCCCTTCTTGTGGACCGCATCCGTCACCTTGCGCCAGCCTGCGATCTGCGCCTCGCTCCAGATGCCAGGAACATGGCGGTAGCTACCAGCGCGGGGCGAGACGAGGGTTCCCTCGCTGATGAGAAGAGTACCGGGAACCGCGGCGCGTTGTTCGTAGTGGTCCGCAACCATGGGGAGAGGGACGTGGTTCTCGTCGGCGCGGAATCGAGTCATGGGGGCCATGGCGATACGATGGGCCAGGGGCGAGCGCCCGACCTGGATGGGAGAGAACAACTTGGTCATAGTGGTGATGTTATAGAAGTAGGTTGGTTTTCTTCGATAAAAAATGAAAGCCGCTTCGCAAATCGAAATAATCCAGTCAGTCAATCAATCAATCGATCAATGGCAATAAATCCGCCCAAAGAACACAATTCTCCACAGTAAACAATTGTCAGTCAGACCGTCAGACAGACGACCCCCTAGCCTACTTATTTATATTCTACATCCCGCCACCTATACCCCCCCCATTATTACATTCCATTATGATCCAAGTTGCCTCGGAAAGGACGGCTCCACCATGATTGATTTCCAATCAATTATGGGTCCGACCCGACGCTGGAAGACAATTCGCGCTTCCGCAATCAATCTCTGTGTACCGTACCACACAATCTTCTTTCTGTGCCGCTACCAGAACGTGCTAGAAATCCTGCACGGGAGGAGAGCATGATCGATAGATAGATAGATAGTGCTTACATTCTTGATAGATAAATTTTAACCACAGTAATAATTTAGTAAGATAAGCTAGCCCCTAGCTGACCGACCATTTGGGTTCGATGACAAGTAAGAGGGACAGGCAGGGTCTTAGTTGGTCTTGGTACTGGTAGATAACTAGCCTGGCCTGACGGTAGAATTCAAAAACACACCCCTCCCCGCCTTTCCCACCGCCTTCCATATCAAATTAAATTGATGATAGATAAACAAATCAAATCCAGCAATTCCTTATTCCAATCCCGCAGAACCCCCCAAAAACCGTAGGCGGTCAGAATGGATGGATGAATGAATGAAATTGAACGAGGCGGCCCAAATTCCAACAACCCCCAGGCAACAACGGCACGCTAACCGCGTCGGGGGTCCCTTGCATCGGACTGGAATTCCCCCGGTTCAGTGGCTGAGTAATGGCTGTTTGTGTCCGAGGGATGACAAATGATAACTAACTAAATCGGTGGTTATTCCGTAATAAGGACGGGGACGATGCCGCGGTTACCTACTCCGTACGGAGCACTCCGTACGTCTTTCCTGTTTCGGGGGATTATTAATTGGATGATTAGTAGTAGTAGTAGTAGTAGTAGTAGTAGTAGTAGTAGTATATACGGATGGGGGAGATTAAATCCTGTGTAGTATGGAAGAGAAGTAAGCCATAATGTGGTATTACTGGTTTTCCGGGGTTGTTGGTGGGTGGGTTGGTGGGTGTGTGATGGTAATCTGCACTATATAACTAGTTATTTTGGTTACCGGCACAACGCACACGTGGGATCTGTAGGATCGCAGGGATGCGATGCCTGTACCTACAGTTATCTACTATCTAGTACTGCACAGCGGGGGTAAAGCAGGTAAAGTTATTCCTAGCAGGGATGAATGCAGACAAAAATAGTATTTACGAGGCTAAGCAATGTATCCAATAGCAAGGAAAAGAGAATACGAAGAAAGAAGGACCGGACCGTAAGCAGAAAGAGAGCAACGCACCATGCATATGCATGCAAGTATAATCCCATCATCAATCTATTGATTCATCATTATCCAACCAACAACCGACAACCGACCCGCACTCCTTACACAACAATGCCGTTGGGTATTCATTTGAACAGGAAAATAAAAAAATAAAAATAAAAAAAGGCTGTTTGAAAATGAGGTAACACAGGAAAAGAAGCGAAGTCGAGTGAGAGGAAGTATTCAAGTAAATATAGCAGAGTAAGCGGTACATCAACTCTCGAGTCTCCGCGCGGTAGCTTCGAGCTGCGCATTGAATGACCGGATCTGATGCAATAGACCACCCTGGGCTCCGGGGGCAACGGAGCTGACGTTGTCCGCGACATTGCGGAGGAGGAACTCCAATCCAGCGGTGGAGGCGGAGGCGGAGGTCGTGGAGTCGGACATGGATTCGGGGGCAGGGCGGTTGCGCTCGAGAGCAAGGTCAAGGCTGTGGAGGGAGTTGTTGATGGTTGAGCGGGCCTGGCGGGTTGTTTATTAGCCATGCTGATGGTCATTGTGTTGTTCCAAGGGGTAGGGGGAAATCTTACCATTTTGGCGCTCTCATCCTCTGTGTGCTTCCTCCGTACAGCGTCCATCTGGAGTGCTATAGCCTCTCTTTCCTTCCGGACTTGGTACAGTCGGCTCCGGGTGTCCATCATGTCCCGCTTGGCTTTCTTGACCTGGCGTCCGAGAACGAAGTTGCTGTCTAGCATCTCGCTCAGTTCGAAGAGACGGCCCTCCAACTCTGTGCCGTATGCCTCCACGGCTTTCTTCTTACGCGTCCATTCCGCACGCCGTGCGGCGTTAGTTTCGCCGGCAATCCCGTTTTTCAGCGTCGTGAGTGTCTTCTCGAGGGTCTCGCGGCAGATCTGGCCGAGTACATCCGCTGCGTTAACGCCTCCACGGTTCGGTAACTTGGCTTTTTGTCTGGCAGAGATCTCGTCGGTTGGTTCTTCTTCCTCGTCGGATGAGTCTTGTTCTAGAATGCCTCTGAGTGAAGCGGCGTTCGCGAGTCGATGGACTGTCACTGGCACTGTTTCGCCGCGAGGTTGTCTGGGCTTGCGTTTCTTGAGCGGTGCTTCCTGGACGGGCTCGGGTTGTACCTCCTCAGCAGGCTCGGGTTGTATCTCCTCAACAGGCTCGGGTTGTGTCTCTTCGGTAGGCTCGACTTGTGCCGTGGGCTCTTCAGTGGCGACCCGTGTTGCGTCTTTCTTCTTTGATGGTGGTTGCTTGCGTCGACCACGCCTAGCAGGCCTAGAAGGCTCGGGTTCTTGTGGGGGCTCTGGCTGTTGCTCCGTTTCGGGTTCGGGTACAGGTTCGGCCTCAGGCTCAAGCTCAGGCTCAGCTTCGGCCTCAGGCCCGGGCAGTTGCACTTGTTCTTGTCCCTTCTGCACTTCGGGCTGACGTGTCTCTTCCTGGATGTCCTGGGGTCGTGTGGCCTTTCTTCCAGGGCGTCCAGCGCGCTTCGGTTTCTTGTCAGCCACCGTTGATTGAGACAGACGTTGTTGACGGGTTTCCTTGCGACTTGTAGTATCATCCTTCGGCTCAGATGTAACTTCCACCTCTTCAGGTTTCTCGGCCGGCTCTTCTTCTATCACAGGAACATCAGATGTGGGCTTCTGGGCCCTTCCGAACCGTCCTCGAAGCCTCTTGCTTTCCTTGGCTTGAACCGGTGCGCTTTCTACCGAGCCAGCTCTGGCAACTCTAGGTACTTTGACTGTACTTGAGGGTGGTTGAGCGGATGCTGCACGTTTGCCTCTTGTTCGTTTCGCTCGTGGAGGTGTTGTGGACCTCGTCTCCGCTGTAATGCCTTGAGGCTCGACTATCTGTTCGGGCTCGGTGGCTTCTAGGGGTTCGGCGCCGTCTTGCAGCTGAGTTATCTCGTTGGTTTCGGTAGCAGATTCCGGCTCAATAGCGATCTGTGGTTCGGTAATGACTTCGGGCTCAGTAGCCTTGGGCTCAATAGCTTCAGGCTCAGCAACTTCAGGCTCATCAACTTCAGGCTCGGGGACGATTTGCGGTTCGGTGGTGAGCTCAGGCTCATTGATGACATGTGCTTCAGCAGCGGGTTGTTTTTCTGCCGCAACCTGCGGTTGACTGGCGATTTCCACCTCGGCAGTAGCTTGCGAATCAGTGACTTGGATTTCAGCACTGGCCTGCGATCCAGCGACAACCGGAGGTTCGGTAACTTTTTTGAGTACGATGCTATCTTGTTCAGGGGGCTCAGGTACAGCAGTAGTCGGAGACTCAGCGGTCTCGGGTATTCCGTCCGACGACATATCCATTGGTTCCGATAACAGCTCATCATTCACATCCGCTGACTTGGGGCTTGCAGAATTCCGCGGAGAAGTCCGTCGAGAACTCCGCCGCGAGGAGCCCTCACTATCCCGGGATGTTCGCCTTTTGCGCTTGCCCTTCGTCTTCTGCCCAGGTGGAGAAGGCGTCCCGTTTGTTTGGGGGGGCTCTTGTGGAATTGGCGAGGAAGATTTTGCTGCAGTCTTGGGCTCCGAAATTGCTGCCGCCCCGTTCGTCTGCTCTGGCACAGCATCCTCGGATACTACGGGTGTGACTGAAGGTATTTCTTGAGGTTGTTGTTCCTCGATCGGAGGTGCGCTATCAATGGTTGGGGGTTTCTTCGGCAAATGAGCCGTTGCGCTTGAATCAACGCCGTTTTGGAGAGATTGTGAGTTATTATCCTCATCGCGCGCGCCAAGCGATGTCGTCGTCGAAGTTCTCACTGGATGACCTTTGATGATCAGCACAGTCCAGTCCATTACAACTCCCACTTTACATACTGAGTTTTCTTATCTTGCGACTAGGCCCAACGTCCGGCGGCTCTTCTGTGGGTATGTCAAAGGTGTCGGGTCGTGGGGGACGCTTGTTGCGCGCGCTTCCCGGTGTTCGGCGAATGGATCCCTGGGGCGACAGGGGGTTTCTCTCCGGTGACACGATGGGAGGTGGTGTATTTGCTGACTCCGCAGCAGTGGTCGTCGCCGTCGTATCGGTCGTTGTCGTCGTAATTGTGGGTGGTGGTGGTGGTGGTGCTGGGGCTTCCAGAGCAATACCAACATCGGCGGGTCCGGGTCGCGACGCGGGTTGGGACTCCTCATCAGCCGCAGGAGTCATGCCAAACGAGAAGCCAAAGTCGACTGCCTTGGTCTTGCGTAGCCTGTTCGAGAATCATAGCATTAGCAATCGGAGGCCTGGCTCAATGCATCGCGGGGTACGGGGGGTGGGTGGTGATGCGCGTACGCTGCTCCGCGCTGCCGCATTTGCTGCCGCTCCTCTCGATCTGTAGGCGTATGGGTTAGCATTGGAGGGGTAAGGGCATCGAAGAGTAGCATACTAGAAGCCATGACCGAGAAGCGGCGCCTTGCCGAGCTCAACGCGCCAAACCACGCGAGAGGGAAGGGGTTTGAGGGAGAAGGTGACGAGAGATGGTGGATGGGAGGAGCTGTGATGGTGATCGAAGCCGCCCGCCCCAATCCGGTCTGGCGCCCGGCTGCACGCCTTTCCATTTGTTCTCCGCATCGGCCGGCCATTCTTCCAAGCTCGACTTCGACTTCTTCTGGCGCACAGACTTCCCACTTCTTCCTACGTCCCAATCTCTACTCAGCGTCGGCGAATCCATTCCCTGCATTTGCGCCATGGGTTTGTTCTGGGGCAGCTCGAACAAGGACGACCCCGTCAAAAAGCTTGACCCGGATTTGCGGGAGTACCTTGAGCATGAAGCCCCCAAGAAATACGTGCCAGCTCCCCAGGATGCCCCCCAGACGGTAGACACACAGGCTCAAGCCTCACAGCCGGGGCCCTCTGACAGCGCTGAGCCTTCCAAACCAGTCGTTCCCGCCGCTTCTCTGTTCCCTGATGGCCGTTACGCGCACCTTTGGAAGACCTACAAACCACCCCAAGATCAGGACGAATCGCTTGCGCAGTCCGCAGAACGAGTGATTGAGAAGTACAAGGAGCGTGGCAATTCGGTGCACCGGGCTTCGATGGAGAATTGCGCCTTGGAGCATGAGGCCTTGTCATACTGCTTCAAGACAGGCAACTGGCAGAAACGATTGGAGGCCCGTGTGACTCTGTGCTCTGAGGAAAACACTAAATTCTCTCGCTGTTTTACCACCCAGGCTGTAAGTGTGGACACGGATGAACTCGGCTCTTTTCCATGCCCTCTGTCAATCGGTCCATGCTGACGGTGATTCAGAAATTTCTCCAGGCCTTAGGATACGCCTCGTCCTTCAACTATGACGAAGAGAAGGAGGAACGGATTCAGATGCACGCCGATAAACTCTACCATCAGATGCTGGACTACGAAGAAAAGGTCAAGGAGGCCAAGAAAGCCGGACAGGAACCCCCGCCCCTCACCTCCCTTTTCAACCCTCAGGCAGCGCCGCAGCCAAACCCCGACACCACGCCCGAGGCCCTTGTAATCCCTGGAGGTGAGAAGATCCCAGAAAATATGAAGCCATCCAAGCCGTTGGCCAAGCTTACTCCGCATGAGCGAGAGCTGGAGATCCGCGTACACCATGCGCAGCTGGAGCAGCAGAAGCTGTATGTGCAAGAGGCAACGCCTTTCATGAAGACCCAGGACGAGGCCCGGCAGAAGCGACGCGAGAAAGCCGTCAGCTGGTTCGGGGAGACGATTGGCCGGTGGGTTACATAGAGCTTATGCGCGGTGCTTCCGCCATGGACTGGATATTTCTCTTCTCTTGTATGATTACCCGATTTGTCCCCGATATGTGGGAGTTTGATTTTGAAAGCGAGTCTGCGACAATTGACGTTGGCGTTACGCATGGACATGCAGGATTACGGACTGAAGGGGTCTTTTTGTTCATTACCTTTTTTCTTTCTCTTTTCTTTCGAAGAACGACGCCAGGGAAGACAAACGAAGGAACTTAAAAAAAAAAAAAAAGTAAACGCAAGAAAGCAAACTGGGACCTTTCAGGGACCGTAGCCACTGGCATGTACACCCATGTACATTCATGCTGTAGAGACGTTGCGACCCGGGGGAAGCGGGCCATGGATGGCACTGCGCGGCGGGCGCACATCCCCCAGCCCAATTCCAATGGGTGTAGAGAACGGGCATGACGGGCGGGAAGAGAAGAGAAGCAAGACGAGGATGGAATTGGAAGCTCTGCTGCAGTGGGAATGTCCAGGGGCCGATCATGCTGACGGACTGGGCGGCTGTCATTCGCCGGGCGCGTTGAACGCCAGAGCGACACGAGGGAGCGAAGAGCGCAGAGCGAAACCAACACGGGAAGCATCGACATCACCACTGCTGCTGCTGCTTCTCTTTCTTCCGCCTCATTCCTCCTGCATTCACTCTGCTGGGGATTAGTCTCGCCTGCCAATAATCCCCACTGCCTTCCCCCTTTCTTCCCTTTCTGCCTCACACTCCTCTCTACTCATTCTGCCTCTCTCTTCATCTTGTCCTTCCCCAGCCATCGCAGCTTGTTTGCATGCACTGCACGGCTCTCTCCTCCGACCCTCAATCCCACTCTTCTCCCCTCCCGTCCTCGCGGTTGCGACACCGCCTCCTATTCCGGACATTTCTCGATCCCCTCACGGGGCGCATAACGGACGCTGGCCCTCCCTCGTTGTTTCCCAGGGGCCCTCATTGAGCGGCCGTGCTCATCATGAAGGCCAGCCCGTTGCTCATCTCGTGGCACAACGACAATGCCCCCATCTACTCGGTTCATTTTGACCCCAATGGCAAAGGTCGCTTGGCTACGGCCGGAAAGTATGATTGCCTGTCCATCCTATCCTGTGTTCTATGTTGCTGGTAGCTGATGCTTCTCCTCCCCCAGTGATAACAACGTCCGAGTACGACCCTCTCCCCCTCACCATATTGGCGCCCCCAATCCTACCCACTCGTTACCCACGACATTTCTGACAGACAACCATAGCTATGGAAAGTGGAATCAACGGGCGAGGAACGGAAGGTATCCTACCTGAGCACGCTAGTCAAACACACCCAGGCCGTCAATGTGGTCCGTTTCAGTCCTAAAGGTAGATAAATGCCCCTTGGATCTGCTTCTCCGGAGCTACTTTCTGACGGCATGCTTTTCGGAATATTCTAGGCGAGATGCTGGCATCTGCCGGGGATGACGGCAACGTCCTCTTGTGGGTCCCATCGGAATTGCAAACACAGTCTGGGCTGGGAGAAGACCGTTCGGACGAGAAAGAAACATGGCGTGTGAAGCACATGTGTCGCTCGTCCGGTGCGGAAATCTACGATCTCGCTTGGTCGCCGGATGGTGTTTTCATCATCACAGGGAGCATGGACAACATCGCTCGAATCTATAACGCCCAAACAGGTGCGCGCTGTTTCTCGAGTATCTCAGACGTACTTTACTGACGGTTGAATATCACAGGACAAATGGTGCGCCAGATTGCCGAGCACTCACACTATGTCCAAGGGGTAGCTTGGGACCCCCTCAACGAGTTCGTTGCGACGCAGTCGTCAGATCGGTCCGTCCACATTTACAGTTTGAAAACAAAGGATGGCCAATTTACTCTCACCTCACATGGAAAATTCCTTAAGATGGATCTTCCTGCCAAACGCATCTCATCCAGCAGTCCAGCCCCGCCGGATCTTTCGCTTCGCTCCCAACCCCCAGCACCGAGCTCTGCTGCTATCGCCTCGCCCGCCCCCTCGACTCCAGGCACGCCGATGACCTCCAATTTACCCATGGATCCCCCCCCCGTGTCGCACAGCCGCCGATCATCTTTTGGATCCTCCCCGTCGATCCGTCGCTCGGCCTCTCCGGCACCATCCCTACCTTTGCCTGCCGTCAAGCCGCTGGAAGTGCCCTCTCCAAGTTTTTTGGGCGGCCTGGGCGTGAAGAACGCCAATCTTTATGCTAATGAGACCTTCACATCGTTCTTTCGGAGATTGACGTTTGCCCCCGATGGGAGCCTGTTGTTCACCCCCGCAGGCCAGTATAAAGCCTCTCATGTCTCTGCGACGGATCCTGCAAAGACTACGGATGAGATTATCAACACAGTATATGTGTACACCCGTGCGGGATTCAACAAACCGCCCATCTCCCATCTCCCGGGCCAGAAGAAACCCTCTGTTGCAGTCAGGTGCTCGCCCATCTTTTACACTCTACGACAGGCTCCCCAGCCTGCCAAGCATATCACATTGGATACGTCATCCGCCGAGGAGTCGTTTCTATCTCTCCCTGATCCGGTAGTGAGCTCCACGGGGGACAGCTCTATGGAGCCTCCAACATCAGCACCTGATCCGGCGAAGAACACCCCCAAGACCACCGACCGCGCTGCCAGCCAAAGCCCCCTCCCAGCGTTCACGCTGCCCTACCGAATTGTGTATGCCGTAGCGACGCAGGATGGGGTCATGGTGTATGACACACAGCAGCAGACACCGATATGCGTGGTCAGCAACCTGCACTTTGCCACCTTCACGGATTTGACATGGTAAGCCTTGCCTCGCGAGTTTCCACCCAAAGTTCTCTATACTAAGTGTGACTGTGACCAGGTCCAACGATGGATTGACTCTGATAATGAGCTCGTCGGATGGGTTCTGTTCGACGCTCGCATTTTCTCCCGGGGAGCTGGGCCAACCATACACGGCTCCGGTGGCGGCGGCGGCTCAGCCAACGCCCACCAATAGCACCCCTACGACCAAACCCAGCCCGGCGCAAGTCCCTCCCGCAAGCCCTGCACGGTCCAACTCAGTATCCTCGGTTACCACCCAGTCCGGCTCCCAGCAGCCTGCGGGAACGGTGGTCAACAACCCGACGCCCACCCTCGGGGCTGTGCCGTTGGTGACCGCAGCCCATTCATCCCAGCCTCCGACACTTCCGCTCACTACCCCGCCACAGACCCCCATGTCTGCAGCCTCCCAAAGTGGGACAAGTCATGTCAGCAACAGCGTTCTGGGCAAACGCGCCGGGGAGTCCGAGAAGGAGGACGACAAAGATCAGAGCGCCGCGCCGCCGGCCCAGCAACCACCGAAAAAGAGACGGGTCGCACCGACACTTATATCAGCGGGCACCGACCCTTCTGCCGCAGCAAGAGACCAACCACCCAATGCTGACGTGGGGGGTTAGAATCATCCGTCCGGTAGACAAAAACCATCCCTTCTTTCCCCTTTCCCCCCTCTTTCCCCGCCCAAGTGTAACTCCCTCCTATGTTGTCAAGTATGGGTTTCGTTTCGGATGATCTGAGTTGCTACGATATTCCGCTGGCTGATGATTTTACGTCCCCCCCCCTTCGTTGCTTATCTATCTATCTATCTATATCCATCGTCCGTTATGCCCCCCCTCTCAGATGGGTTACGGTTCGTCGTGCTGGGATGGGATCCCGGTAGAGTTTCAGGTCTGGTCATGGCATGCATCTATCTCCATTCTTCTGGCGCATTGTAATCTTTCAACGAACAACATCGTCTTCGTCTTAGGTCCTCAGCTCTTCTCAATTATCTGACACTGGCTCGGACGTTTGTCTGTCTGTATGTATGTATGTTACTATCTATCTGGTCTGGTGTGATAATCATCTTCCTTCTTCTCCCAACCACTCAACGAGCGTCGATGACATGAACAGACCCCCCTCCCTCTCCGTTCCAGTCCGTTCATGCCCCGGCATATATAGCCATCCTATATCCATATCCACACCCACTCCCATTCCTACATAGGATGGAATGAGTTCGGTACGGATACGGTGGCCTGATCGTACATGTGGTTTTTTTCTCCTTGGAACAATCGATCAATCAGAAACGTCCGTCTGTGGTGAGTGGTAGGGTAGGCGAGTAGCGGTGGGTGAGAATGGCGGTCTTGAATCTGATTGGTGTGGATTTCAGTCCCCTTTGGTGATGGGATAGCGCTAACTGCGCCCCTAACCACTTCACTACTGTAGGTGACTACAGTAACTACATACATTAGTCTACTTTTAATTGCTACGGTATCATCGCGCACGGGCCCAGGCACAGGAAGAAAAGAAGAAGCGAAAGAGGGGGGGAAAAAAGGCAATGATAATTAAGGATGTACATCGATGGGCGCGTAGGAGGTCCGTCGTCTAGACATGTGATGGTCATGTCATGTCATCTCCATTCGCCGTGACGCGTCATGTTCATTATAGGGGAAAAGAAGAAGAAAAAAAAGAGGGTTAGAAAGAAAGAGAAAAGGAGGAAAAAAAGACAAGGTCAATAGACACAGAGAATAGAAGTGAAGAGGATAAACAGGGTAAGGGTGACACCGAGAGGGTGAAGGAGGAATGTTCGGAGGATGGTACTTGTGTGTTCTTCTGAGAGGGAAGAATGGAGATGGGAAGGAGGAGAGGAGGTTTGGGGAGAGGTTGTGAGAGATGTAGGGACAGAGGGAGGGGGAGAGGGAGAGGATGAAGAAAAAGAAGACGGAGAAGGATAGATGATAGCAGTAGGAGTAGTAGCTTGGAGAGGAGTGTCAGTGCGGACCGGAACATGCAACTAGAGAAGTATTAACGAGGGGTATTCAGTGACTGTCTCCATTGACGCCATTCACCTCAGGAGCAGAAGAGTGCCCGTTCGTGTGGCCGTTGGTATGGCCATTGATGTGGTGGCCGTTGGAGTGGCCGTTGGGAGCCTCGTCTGGCACCATGGGGCGAGGGCTGAAGGCGTCTACGATGTCGGCCATGCTCATGTCGCCTGGCGGGACAGCTTTGGCCTCGGTGGCGTGCGCGCCCACGGTGAGGGTGGTCACGCTGGGGATCTTCTGGTCATCAGCATCATGCAGGCCATTAGCCCAGCGGAAGAGGGCTTCGTCGCCTCGCGCACCGCCCGCGACAAACACGAAGTCGGGGGTGCGGGGTAACTGCTGCCAGACGGATTCGGCTGCTTTGGCTTTTGTCACGTCCAAGGGCTCGACACTCACTGCGCCCTCAGAGAGGACCACGCGGATGGCTTCGCTTCCACGAGTGCCGTTGATCTGGTCGGCGAGCCCCGATGCCTGACGCGCCGCGATTTCTGGATCATCAGCGTTGTTGTACCAGAAGTTCATCAGACAGCGGCGTTCTTCCATCTGACTACCCTCGGTTCGCTCGTGGTAGTATTGGATCACTTTGCGGATGCCGTTGCGCCAGTCCTTGGCTTTCTCCATGTCGACTAGCGTCGTCCATGTGGACGCACCGATCTCGCGCTTGAAGCAGCCGTTCTCTGCGATGAACCCCACCCTGGTGGACAGCCCATCTAGGGCTGAGTCGAGTTGTTCGGGGCTTCTGCTGCTAGTCACGTATACTTGGTTCTTGGGGTCTTCTAAAAGACGCTCAAGCAGAGCGACTAGGTCAGTGGGAGCTCCAGTGGTAGAAGCCAGGATGCCCTCATCCTCTAGGAAGAAGAGCCGCGATTCGGAGCTGTCATATGCTTCTTTCACGGCGTCGACGGAAAGAGGAGACACCTGGTCAAGTTCGCGAGCCTGTTGCATGCTGTGAGCTTTGGTCAGTGCGGCTTGGAAGAAACCGAACCAGGCTACGGCGGTATGAGGGGTTTTCTTTTCGAGCAAGAATTCCCAATTGCGTTCTTTCTGCTCTGGTGTCATCTCAAGCGCCGTATTTATTGCGTCGGCCACCTCTTTATAGTCCCACGGGTTGATCAGAAGTTCATGCCCACTGAAAAGTGAAGCACTCCCCGTAAACTCACTCAGGATGAGAGAGCCGTGGCGTTGTGGTGCCAAGACACCATCCTGACAGTGGATGTAGTCATGACTACTGAGGTTCATGCCCTCTCTAAGGCTGGTCACCATGAAGATCTCAGCCACGCTCATGAGAGCCAAGAACTGAGAGTAGCTTATGTCTTGTCGTAGGAGAACCAGGGGCTGGTGAGTCAAGGTCGAGTAGACGGAGTTGATCCTCATGGCGATCTTTGAGACTTGAGCCTCCAGTTCAGGCAGCTCTGAAGCCGAAGCGACTTGGACAAGGACAACCTGAAGAAGTTAGTTGATCAAGTACTGCATGGGGCATGTGTACTCCGTCAGACATACCTTGTCTCTCCACTTAGGATACTTCTTCAAAAACAGCTCATAGGCCATAAGCTTCTGCTTGATGCCACCCGGGGCATCCAGCCTGTCACGAGCAACGATGAGATGCTTTTCCTTGTACCGAGAGGTGATATTCGCGATCCAATCTTTCACCTCCGTGGACCTGCGTAACACATCTAGTGCTTTGACGTCCACCCCAATGGGTGTGTTCTTCACATGGACAAACCGACGGTCAAGTTGCACACCATCGACGGATACCTCCAGACTGAGAAGGCGAATACATGACTGCAGGAAATGGTAGCAGTATTCTTCTGCCTGAAAGCCGATCAGATCCGCCCCAAGAAGCCCATTAAGCAGCGCATCACGAGCGTTGAGGCACCGGAAGACCTCGGAAGAAGGAAATGCAGTGTGCATGAAGAACCCGATTTCAGCCTTGGGGAGTTTTTCCCGCAGCAAGCCGGGAAGAAGCAGAAGGTGATAGTCGTGCACCCAGATACTGTCACCTGGGCGCCAGGATGCAGCAATGGTCTCTGCAAATGCTTCATTGACTTTCACGTACTGCTTCCAGGAGTAATCATCATACTCGGTGTGTCGAGGGCTCTCCTGCATTTGATAGTGGAAAGCAGGCCAAAGGACATTGCGGCAGAAGTGGGAATAGTGGCCTTCAAATTCGCTGTCGCTGACAAACACCGTGAGCGACTCAAACTCATCTTCGAGGGTCTCGAAGATACTGGCGCGAGTTTCATCTTTCAACGAGTCTATGGGCATACCCAAAGTGCCAACCCACTTCTTGTCCGCCAACATGCCCGCTTCTTCGGCAGCGTTGATTGCATTCCGCAGGCCGCCGTTGCCCTGCTCTGCTGCTTTAACGACCCAGTCATACTCGGAAAGCAACGCACGTGGACTTCCATGGTCTTCTTCCGAGCTTATTGCATCCATCGGGCCATCCAAATACGGAGGATTGCCATCATCCTCCGGCGGACGACTCAAGATGGATGGCTCTGGATGAAATGAAGCCTTAGCGCGTGGTTGATTGAACTTACGGCTCTGGCCCCAGGAGATGGTACGGGGCTCGCTAGGGCCCGGGCCGTTGGGATCGTCGGCGGCGGGGATTTCACCCGCAGAACGAGAGACATAGGGTTTGAAGATCTTTTCATCGTCTGTCGTTGCACCAGGAGTCCACAGGCTTATGCTCTTTGAGTGATGTTTCCGGTTGTAGTCCGCCAACCGGCCCACGATCCGGCCATCCGTGTGGGAGGAGCTGCTTGATGACTTGCGCCGGGCATGTCTCAACTCGGTGGCTTGGAAGTCAATCGTGTAGGGGAGAAAGCTACCCGATTTAAGTTAGCACACCGCCATGTGGTAGTACGAAGGGCAGGCATACAGGGAAGCAATGAAGATCGTCATTGAGACGAGTCTGGAAGGCAAGCCTTCTCTGCGATATTCCAAGGCTAGTGGTTCGCTTGGAGCGTGAAGGATTGAGAGACTGGGGCGGGAAAGGAAGGGCTGAAGTATAGGAGCAGAGCAATATAGCGCGATATGGCGTGGTATAGGAATATAGAAGTATAGGAGTATAGGAGTGTAGGAGTATAGAATGACTAGGGGAGCTGGTGTGATGGTGTCTGGATGACCCGTGTGGTGGCTCGGACTAAGGGATGCTAAAGGAGGGCTTGATATTGATGGAAAGAGCTATCTCTTAAGTCACACGGCTGAAAGCAATGGATGACCCTGAAAATCCCGGTGGGAGGTTAGACACCCGAGCAACCAGAAGAAGCAAGCAGGGAGTGGTGACGTTGATGATTGGGCTGGGGAAGCCGTCCAGGCTGAGGGGACGAGGCACATGCGGAAATGAGAGGAACATTCTGGGCTCGTCGGGGAAGAGAGTGAGGGGCAACAGCCCGGAGAAGGAGGGGTTCGGGCAGGTTTCCTGGCCCTTTGGGCGTCTGCCTTGTCCGTGGCCTTGGGCACAAGAGGAGGTTGCGTTGCATGGACGAGGACGGATCTAGGCGGCCGGCATTTGAGGCCTCAGATCACAAGCCCGGCGCATCGGTGCATCGCAAAAGATGAAGCAGAAAGGGAAAAACTTGCCTGGCGATGCTATAGCCTCCCAGCTAATAGCCGGAAGACCAATGAGAGCGATGACGTTGTGGTTCCCGTAGGATCCGCAGACTCTCCACCCGCACTAAGATAGCGTTTGGCGATGGCTCGAGACAATTCGACGCCGGCGTGCGATTCCCGTCTCCGTCTCCGTTCTCGCGTGCGCGCGCCTTGTTTACGGTGTCTGCAGCCCAGAGACAGACAACCGGAAGAGGGTCGCTGAGGCACATGGAGGCAAGGGTTGGTCAATGATGCTTCCGATCCGGCGGACGGGGGACGGAAGATTGAGGGATAAAGGCCGAGGAGGGGGAGGCGGAGGAGGCGGAGGAAGAAGGGAACAAGAAGAGGGGCAGCCATGAGGCGGAAGAGCGATTAATCTTACAGCTCGGAAACCAAAATTACCGCAATCGGGCCTGAGGTGTTGATGCGCTGCGCTTGCATCTTCACCTTCACTTTCGCCCTCCCCTCCAACACCACAACACCACACAACACACGGCCTCTTGCCGCATTTTGCCCCTCCCCCTCTTCCCCCCGCCTCCCCCCTTTTTCTCCCCCGACTACGCCCATTATATTATCTCTCTCCTTCTCATTAACCAACCCCAATTGACTCATCTCCTCTCTTGTTTCTCCTCCTTCCATTCGATCCACCGCCGTCAAAAGCGGGGCAATCCTCTTGTGCTTATTGACATCTGCACTCTTCCCCCCCCCCCTCATGGCTATCAACGGTACCTCGCAGGAGGGTGACTCCCGCCTGCTGATCGTGTCTAACCGCCTGCCCATCACCATCCGACGGTCCGGGCTTGGAAAATATGAGTTTTCCATGTCCTCGGGCGGGCTGGTGACTGGGTTGAGCGGACTATCAAAGACGACAACCTTCCAGTGGTATGGCTGGCCAGGACTGGAAGTGCCGGAGGACGAGATCGACGCGGTCAAACAGCGTCTGCAAGACGAGTTCAACGCGACTCCCGTCTTCATGGACGACAAGTTGGCGGATCGTCATTACAACGGTTTCTCCAGTACGTATCGCCGTCCTCGCCCCTGCCTGCATCGGATGTGCATCCGCATCCCCCCTCCCTTCCGTGGACGCCACCTGGCAATGCACGACAGGTCAAGGCAAGCAAGGCAAGGCAAGGTTCATTGCTAATCTGAGCTGTCAGATTCAATCCTGTGGCCTCTGCTGCACTACCATCCTGGCGAGATCGTGTTTGACGAAGCTGCCTGGGATGCCTATCGTGAGGCCAACCGGCTCTTCGCTAAGACCATCGCCAATGAGGCCCAGGACGGTGACCTGGTCTGGGTCCATGATTACCACCTCATGCTTCTCCCGGAGATTCTCCGCGAGGAGCTGGCGGCGTTGGGCAAGAAAAGCATCCGCATCGGATTCTTCTTGCATACCCCTTTCCCTAGCAGTGAGATCTATAGAATCCTCCCTGTGCGCAGTCAGCTCCTGCGTGGGCTGCTGCAATGCGACTTGATCGGGTTCCATACCTATGACTATGCGCGCCATTTCTTGAGCTGTTGCTCGCATATCCTGTACGTGTCCATTCACGGTTTGTCGGGATCTCGCTAACCACCCTGGCAGTGGACTGGTCACGACCCCAAGCAGTGTCAAATTCACGGACAGATCTGTCGCTGTCGGGGCCTTCCCCATTGGAATTGACCCCGACAAATTCACCGAAGGTCTCAAGAGCCCGAAGGTGCTGAATCGCATCGCAAGTCTTGAGAACAAGTTTCAAGGCATGAAATTGATGGTCAGTGTTGATCGCCTTGACTACATTAAAGGTATCCCCCAGAAGCTGCATGCTTTGGAAGTCTTCCTCTCTGCGCACCCCGAGTGGGTCGGTAAAGTTGTGCTGGTGCAGGTTGCCGTTCCCAGTCGGCAGGATGTGGAAGAGTATCAGAACTTGAGAGCGGTGGTAAACGAGCTGGTTGGTAGGATCAATGGAAAGTTCGGTAAGACTGGCATCGCTCACGACATTCATTGCGCTCTACTAACAGCGCCGGTACTAGGAACGGTGGACTACATGCCCATCCACTTCATGCACAAATCCGTGAGCTTCGACGAGCTCATCGCTTTGTATGCTGCCTCGGACGCGTGTGTGGTGTCGTCGACTCGCGACGGGATGAACCTAGTGTCGTTTGAATACGTCGCGACCCAGCAAAACCGCAAGGGCGTTCTAATTCTGTCCGAGTTTGCTGGGGCCGCCCAGAGTCTGAACGGGAGTATCGTGGTCAATCCATGGAATACCGAAGAGCTTGCCGGCGCATACCACGAGGCCGTCTCGATGGACGACGGCCTACGGGCGCAAAAGTTCGAAAAGCTCTACAAATACATCTCCAAATACACGAGGTAAGCTGACGTGGCCACCGAGATATATATCGCGTTTGCTGATGAAGATGTCACAGTGCCTTCTGGGGCAAATCGTTCGTTGCCGAATTATCCAAGTGCCCAACTTAATCGCCCTAGTCGGGCTTAGATATTCTCTCTTTTCTGGATCTTTCTCGTCCCTTTCTTTTTGGCGAACACGAGCATGGCGAACATAAATTCAGGTGCATAGCGACCTTTCTAATCCATAGACGAGTACCATTGGTACAGCAAGCGATACAGCATAAATCAAGACCTTGATAGATGCCACCGACGACTACTTGGACAGATTAGAAACAACCTCAACCATAATAATAAATAATAGTCAAACTAGATAGTAGATACGAATACAATTAACAAACAAGTTCAATCACCACACTTCCGATTAATTACTACCAAATTCAACTATGTAACCGTACCAAATAATCCGATCCCGATCCCGATCCCCATACGACCTATCCTCCACACCAGAAGTCCAAACTCCAAACACCGACTGACTCCACAAGCACTGAACATCTGAAACGCGCTGCCTAACGACAGTGCAGCTTTTTGTATGATCATCTATGAATCTGCGGAGTACGCGGCAGAACGAAAGACGCAAAGACCAACCCCCAACGAGAAAAACACCCCAAAAGAGGGGAAGAAACAAACCCGCACTCGTACGTCATCATACCAAACTGCCACAGCCACAGTGCCACTGCCACCTGCCAGGGACAACAGAGTCGACACGACATCGGGATTGCCGCTGCAACGCAAAAATATATATATATATCGCAGCTATGTCCATACCTCTTGAGCAAGGAGCATACATACATTCATTCATTCATGCATGCATGCATGGATACATATTCCTACATTGTGTAGTGGGTAGTGACTGGTTATCTAGGTAGTAGATGATGATTATGATGACAATGAATGGTGATAATGAGTACAATGTTCTAGACATTGCTGCAGATATCAGATAAGTGATGCGTACATTCCTATCCCTGTTGCAAAGTTGCCACTAATATATACTAGTACATGGTAGACAACGTGTCGTGCAGATTCATGACTTCAGAATGACACAACCAATTAGCATGCTTGTTCACATTATTCAGTAGGGTTGCCTGCAGGTTTCAACAGGGCATGACTGAGTCGTGTTGCATCGAGCAGGGTAGATACCCGGTATATAATATGGTTCCAGTATAGGTGGTAGTATCTAGCTGAGTACCTGAGTAGATACCGAGGTGGGTGTGGTAGTAGTGCGGCTGGGGGTGGTCTGACCACGTCGCTTATCTGAACCCACATTGCAGTGAAAGTTGACTATCTAATTTCCACATCCCATCCACAGAGTCAGTAGATACGTCTGGAGTATCAGGTTAGGTTGCCGGATGGGCATGCCGTTTCACACTTGAAGATGAAGGGATCCCGAGTTGTCGTAATCCAGCAAACATCGATGCAGATAAGACCCACCACGGTAAGCAGGGCAGCCCTGGAAACCGAGAGGGACCTTACTTCGCGGATCTACCAATCAGGAAGGGAACGGATCGAACCTCACGTGTTTAAGGGTTCAGGGAGGCTTTGTAAGCGATGGTGTTAGTCAGCTGGGGGTGAATGCCAAGCTACGTAATCAATTCCGTCGGGGTTTCTGGACGCCAATTTATCTCGGAGGGGGCTAGGCCGCTTGTTCCTTGGTGTGGGTGCTAATATTAGCAGCACCCGGATGGTCGACGGTCTGGAGAAGAAGCCGTTCTAACTGCACCTGCCAACAACCAACCCAAGTAGACATGGACTGGAAAGTTTATGGCAATCTCGAAACCCAGGGTATCCAGGGAGCTGAGAACCTAGAAGCAAGCCGTTCAGGGTCTCGACCGGCGGTTGGAATGGAGACCAAACCCAAATGCAAACGACGACCGGACAGCCACGCACTCAAGAAAAGGGCACGACAGGTATCCATGCCAAGCCCCCTGGCCAGGGTCTAGGGCACTGTTAATGTTGACACCTTGGACAATGAGAGAATCAGGCCTAGCGTCATGGGTCTGGAAGGCCCTCTAGCCAGATCTTGTCTAATGCCAAGACGGACGCTTGCGCGTCTCCGCCACCTATCGTCCCGTTTAGGAAGGATACCGTAATCCTGTAACGCCGAGTGGTTTGAACTCCGTTGGATATTTTCCGGATTGAGTTGGGGGGCGGGTACGCGGTCTCCTCGGGTCCCGGGCTCTGGCTGAACTCTGTATGGCTCCCGGAACAGAGCATCTCAACTGTCAATCGCCGAGCGGCAAGCCTCTCTTATGTCGGCATCCCTTCTGGCAGACACTCACTGGGTGTGCAGGTACTCCGTACATCATGATGATGCGTCCCAGGGATTTCCGTTCGGGGGAAAGGAGAGGGTGATCGAAATGAACTGGTGGTTGGTCGTACATGAGAACTGTCAGAGTGGAGATGCACATTCATGAGGGCGCATGTGCCGCGTGTGCTGCTTATGCTAAGGAGGTAGGGCGCTGGACAGGTCTTCTTATATGTACAGAAGTAGCTTTATGGGTACGGACTGGCGGACTGTCGCTTTAAGGGTGTCCTTCGTGTCGACTGTCGAGATTCCGAGGCCGTGAGGATCGCTGTCTGCTCGCGGTCCTCCAATTGCAGCACCTCAACGCGAGGATCGATTCTCTAACAGCTAACAACAAGGCGCAGTTTGAACCCTGACACAGCAAGTAAGTGATCAGGATCACCATGATCACCACCGGCCACCTGACGGCTGAAGTCTGTTCCGGCCAGAGCTCGCGTAGCTCTCATAGGAGGATTCGTTTGATTAGTGACCACAACGTGCCTAACAGTACCATATAGTTCGAGGCTGGCATACAGTGCTGACTCCATCTGGTTCTGTAGGCGGTAGCAGCTCCCAAGACCCAAGTAATTAGCTGCCAAATAGCTCCTCTAGCCTGACCTGACTATCAAATCCATTTAATTTGCCCGATCCCTTCATCCGCCAGAGAATCGGGTTCCCAACCGGGCCGAGATTTCTGTGGTGATTCGTCAGCTGAGGGGACTTGAAAACCTGACGATGGGTCAATACTCGTAAGGCTACGGTCCCAGCCGCTCTGGAAAATTTCCCTTTGGAGAGAGCCCTGGAGGGTGCTGTCCCTGATTAACAATGGGTTTCTCCAATTTTCGTGCTTTGCGATGGAATCACTCCTTAAAATTCTGTTAACTGTGTGCCTAGTCCTACTGTTTAGTGTCTCCTGTCTAGTGCCTCCCATCGGGTGGACACTGCGTGCACCGTGCACGGTAGTTGCGCATGGTAGTGCGCGATGGTGACATTTTTAGTGTGTTGGTCAGAGAGCCGCGTAAGACAGACAGGCTGACGTCGAGCGAGATCCTCATGGCGCGGACCCAGAGTGCGGAAGATTGCGCTGGTAACTTACCCAATGGGGAAATGAAAATATTCTTTATAGAGGAAGCGACATCTCTTGGAGAAGAGGGATGATGAAGCTCTGGGGAAGTAGAGAAGGTTTTGGGGGGGGGTCACGATGAAGATTTTCCGCAGCTTGCGTAGGCGCGTTGAGGGGAACCGTCCCCAACTCCCAGATCGCGACATCCAACCCACACGGACATAGCCAAGCTTTTGGGGGATTCATCAGCAAACTCTCCCTCCCCCATACGGTCGGCCAAAGTGGAGAGGGAAAAGATGGACAGCCACGCCGTTTGAGATGGAGGTCCTACGGTCAGTGTGGTCACGATGCCCTGAGGTGATTTCGCATCTCGACGAGTGGGGCCAGAAGCAGCGCGACAATGGCGGAAGTCGGCCAGGAGCAGGAGAAAGAAGAAGCAGAAGAAGCAAGCACAGCTGCAGGTAGATAGTTTAGTTGGAGTCAATTATCATGCAGCTGGACCAGACGGTATTGCCAAAAACCAGCGGCTTGGAGACACGAGAAGGGGGCGGGCGGTGGTGCGTCTGCACAAGCAGCGACGGTCGCGGGCAACCAAGAACCCAAAGTGTCTTGGCCGTGGTTCAGTTAACTGTTTCGGGGCGGGACACACGCGGCTTGCGGTGCTGGCGCGGGGCCCTGATTGGGGCGAGGAGCTCAAGGCTGACGACGCTTCGCCCTCGCTGCTGGCGTGGAAAAAAGGCCAATGACCCGAAAAATCATCACCTCTCCTGTGACTAGTCAGTCCTTCTCCGGTGTCTGTCTGGCTGTCACCACTGGATTACGGCGACGCTGCGTAACTCCATCCATCCATCCCTCCCTCTCTTTCTCGCTCCTCGCACTCTCTAATACCACATTTTACCTACCAACCACGACCTCTTCTAACCGTGCTCGCTCGCTCCCTCTCGCTCGCTCTCTTTTTACTACCTCCCTTCCCTTCCCTTCCCTTCCTCCTCTTCCCTTCTCCCCTTTTGGACCCTTCCCTCCCTCCCTCTCCCCTCCCTTCCTATACCCTTTCCGTCGTTTAGTCCTTCCTCCCATTAATCTCTCTCCTCCTCCCTTGACTTCGCTTCACTTCACCTTTCCCCATTTCCACCTGTTGCCCTTTCCCATCCCGGCTTCAGGTTCGCCCTCATTCCTCTCCCTCACCCCGCCTCCGTAGTCGTGGCGGTTACGGTGACCAGCGCCAAGCGTGGCGACCGCCTGGCTGGGCTGTGCGACCATCGTTAACTCTCGACCGACCTGACCATACCATCCAACCTCCCACCTGGCCGACAGCTACCTCCCTTCGTGTCTCTGAAACCGGACGAGCCACATCGGACAGACGACCTGGCTTTCTGGACCATCGCCAATCGACTCAATCTGGAGATTCATACCACCTTCTCTCGCTGGTCTCGTTGACCTACCCCCTACCACCATGGCGGACGGTAGACACCACCCTCAAGCGCCGAACCCCGAGAACTTCGACGCAGGGGAACTCACCAACGCCTTCGAGCAACTTATGCGCAACAAGCGATTCAACCAGCTCCAGGAGCAGTCTAGAGCTCAATCCCGTACACAGTCACCCTCCCCCGCGGCTCATATGTCCCCTAGCCTGCCTCCTCATCCCTCGCGAGCACCACCACCACCCCCGACCGCCTCTCAATACCCGTCACCTCAAATGCCACAGCAACAGTCTTCCCAATCGCCTCTCCTGAGAAGCCTCCCGATAGTCCCTGCCCCCCCACAAGATCCGGCCTCCTTGAAATTCCGAAACCTCCTCCACGTTCTTTCTGTGACGCCCACCAAGTACGAGAACCCCGGTCTCCTCGATGAGGCGCTCGCCGTCATCCCTCTCGACAGGTTGTACTCGGAGGCCGAGGAAGAGAGTCAGATCATGCAGGCACAGGCTGCCAGTGTTGGCGGGAAACCAGAATGGGGCTACCAGGACTGCGTCATCCGGGCGCTGCTAAGGTACGTACCAGTCATTTGAGAATCTAGAGAGCCTTGACTAATTGATCGCGACAACAGGTGGTTCAAACGATCCTTCTTTCAATTCGTCAACAACCCCCCCTGCTCTCGATGCTTCATGCCCACCATCGCCCAAGGAATGACGCCGCCGTCCCCCGACGAGACCGCCCGCGGTGCCACCCGGGTGGAACTGTACCGATGCTCGGAGGCAACCTGTGGCAACCACGAGAGATTCCCCCGCTATTCCGACGTGTGGCAGCTTCTGCAAAGCCGACGTGGACGTGCCGGTGAATGGGCCAACTGCTTCAGCATGCTTTGCCGAGCAGTCGGTGGACGGGTGCGATGGGTTTGGAACGCTGAGGATCATGTCTGGACTGAAGTGTATTCCGAGCACCAGAGGCGCTGGGTGCACGTGGATGCTTGCGAGGAGGCATGGGACCAGCCTCGCCTTTACACTGAAGGTGTGTATATCCGCATGCCCGACCTTTAAGAAACGGTAGCTAACAGGACTCTAGGTTGGGGCCGCAAGATCTCCTACTGCGTGGCTTTCTCTATCGACGGGGCCACAGATGTCACCCGCCGCTATGTTCGAAGCCCAACGAGACACGGAAAGGCCCGCAACCGCGCACCCGAAGAGGTGCTTGTGTGGGTGATCCACGAGATCCGGAAGAAGCGACGGGAGAACGTGTCCAAGACGGACCAGCGACGGTTGATGAAGGAGGACGAACGCGAGGAAAGGGAGCTTCGAGCATACACCGCGTCTGCCCTTGCCGCGGAACTGAACAACCTTTTCCCCCGGAACTCGAACAGCGGCCGACTCGAAGACCAGAAGACGCCAACCTCGCGACAGGATGCCGCCATGGAGTGGCTCGACACCCGGCAAAGGAGCTCTGGCCACTCTGGCCCCGATGGATCACAAGACGGCCGGTAACGCTGCGTGTATTCCAGCTCACAACCTCTTGTCTCCTTGCGGTAAGGAGGCCCAGTGCCCCGGTCGGCGATACAGCGTCCGATCGGTTACCAAGTCGCAGGGTCGACCCATATACGACCATATAATCTGGTTGGACCGTTTCTCGATGGACGACGTACCATGAAAACGAGATACACGATTGGCCTCCGCCTATTATAGGATTCACACTATCGGCACCGCATGTTTCATGACTCGCTACATCTTTACATTGTTAGGGAGCGCTTCCGTATGGATTCTAATGACACTGCCGGCGTCCGGGATCACTTCCGGTCGGGAATCGGGTCGTTCCTCCTGCCAGCCGAACTCGAGGCCTGCCTCGGTCGGCGTGGCGGCGAGTACCGATGGTGCTCGCCACGAACTACAATCTCTATCATCTCTTATGTGGTCTTTGACCTCTTCTATTCATTCACTCTTTTTCTTTACTCACATTTGACCAACACATATTTTCCTTACTGTTATGATGCATTTTCAGGATTGTCTAATTCGGATACCTTGGGGACTCGGCAAGGTTGGGAGGCGTGATTGTGCATGGCTTTCTGTTCATTTACTACCATTATATTAATTTCCTATAATTCTGTATCTTCGTGATCCTTTTTTCTCGGGACCCACGCTTAGAACTGGCGTTGGCCGTCGGGCCATGTTTGAAACAATGTTTCGGCCGCATGTCGTCTGACTGAACTACATATTCCTTTTTTGTTCTGATTCCTGGCGATCTCAGATCCCGGATACTACCTCAATTGAACGTCAGACAGCTACATATTCATCGAGTAGGGATCCCCGTATTGCACTCAAAGGGCTTTCCGGTCAATACAGAAGCGTAGGTGTATCGGTGTTCTCTCTTACCAGGCATCATCCAGTCCATGGCTACAGAGTACAGAGCATCACCAAAGAATCTTAGACAAACAGCCCTATTGCGGAGTCTAGCACACAAACGCTATGCTAGGACTACCAAGACATCCGCCCTCGTTGAATTTTCTTTCTGTGGGGTAAAGGTATCCATAATGCAGGACTATCAGACACTATCACCAGACATGGAACCATTCAGAGCAGATACTCGAGTAGGCAAGTCGAACCCGGACTCATCCTGTATGTAAGGCACCTAGGCTGCCACCTACTTACTCTATTGGCTAGCTGCCCGGCTTCCTCCCTTCCTTCCATGCAAGTCAGCAAAAAACGACTACTATTAATAAAGCAGTGGTGCTTCATAGAAAACAACCCCATCTCGTCCATAGCCTATCCATCTTACCTAGTAGCTACCTGCAAAGCACACTGCATTACGAATTATTTAGGCACAACCAAACAGAGCAGACGGGCGAATACCAAACCCTTAATTTCCCAACCCAGAGTTCGGGGACACGCGGGAGAAATTAGAATTCAGGGTCCAGCCCACCCGTCCTGTGTCCACGTAACACTGGCCACTAACCAGACCGGTGGAATGCAAAGAGCATGGTTGCCGGATGGGTCAGGAACAGATAGTTAGATACTCAGTCGCTTACAATCACAGTCACGCTCACACTGACGCACCACACATATCAAACAGTAACAGGCCAGGAACACACAAGGCTGGAAGACCGGATAGATGAATGGAAAGTGGATACGCAGTGACTAGTTAGTTAGTGAGCACGCTAGAAGAACTGATTCAGGTACAAACCAGTTGAACCGCGGGTGAGATATCTATCTGCCTAAGACGACGGGTAGAATGGATTGAAAATTGACGGGTCTAGCCGACACTGACCGACGCGACCGTGTCCTGTCCTGTCCTGTCCTGTCTTTTGTGTGTAGGGGAGAAGAGCAGCAATGGGTGGGTGACCTGAGACAAGGATGAGAATCCATGCCCATGCCCATATTTAATCCGACTTTTACTTTCGCCTTCACTTTGACTTTTTCTTCACTCCCAGGAACCATCATACCGTTCACTGTCGTGTAAAACAGAAGTATCTACCCCATACGAATATACGAGGCAGAAATGTCGTTCCTGGAAAGAAGGCTGGTTGGATTGGGTGGCTGGAATGGACTAGACCTCCTTCCTCTCCACGTCCTTCCTCTCCCTTTCTTTCTCAAGTACAATCCCCTCATAAAAATTATACCGTCATAGCTATACCAACTATCCCAGCACTAGATAACCCCAAGATCAATAATAATATCAACATAATAACTATGCGGAGTAAGCCTGACTAATATATTAATTATTCACTAGTTAGTTAACTGTTTACTGTAGTTAGTCTGTTCATGATATTATCCACGCAGTAAGAACACGCACCGCAATTTAAAAAAAAAAAAAAATCAAGATTGCAATAATAATCCACTCCCCCGCAACGGGGGGCAGGCCCAGCCAAGCTACTACTATAATTAGATAGACGGTAGGCGCTGACTCCGGGATCGAAATCGCGATCTGCATTGGGCGGGCGGCCGTGGTTCGTCGGACTCGGAGGTGGTGTCATGTGAGCACGCGGGTGGGTCGAGGGGGGTTATCTAGTACTCGACGGCGGGTGGTTGGGGGAGGGAGATTAGATGCCAGATGGGTTGATAGTAGTGATAGTACGGAGTACTGGGGGATGGATCTAGCAATCATCTCCATCCGATGTACTATTGGGTCTCGATATTAAGGGGATGGGATGGGATGGGATGGGATATGGGACCGGGATTTGGGCTGTACTTTGTATGATAGGTAGGTGGACGCTAAGGTGTGGTCAGTGTTGTAAACTTACACCTTGTATGGTTGGTTGGTTGGTTAGTTGGTTGGTGCCTGGCTAGCAAGGCAGGTAACTGTGGTTACCGAAGTATACTCCGGACTCCGCATTTAAATCCTGCATTTCCATAGTTATATCAGGGAGGGGAAATTAGTAACTACCAAGGCCTAACTACTTCTTTGTAGATAATTGGCAATTATCACTCAGCCAAAGCATAGTATTGCCCCATATAATGCCTGTGTGCTATCGTATAGGATACATCATAATGTATGTAACGATACTCTTATAATGAGTAAAACCACCAATCATACAGGGAATTTCACTCTGCTATCAGAAAGAAAAAAGCAGCTGGGTAACTAGGATCCTACTCACGGATATTTCAGCGTTTCAGGAAGCTTATAAATCACTCAACTAGAGACTTCTTGAATTAAGAAAGGGAAGCCCAGCGAGCCAGTGTCCCGTTTTCCGGCTATTGCTCCAGCCAGAGTCAACTTGTTCCAACGCCATCCAGACTGCTCTGATCATCAGAAATGGATCGAACACTTGAGACCTTCAAAGATCGTGTGGCAAAGGCCATCACCTCCCACATCTAAGTATCTGTGCATCAGTTCATAATTCTCGACAACTTTGTCGAATTCTGTCTTGGCGGCATATCACACCATACAAACGAGCCGAACCTGTCCGGGTTCTTCGAAACCATGTCCCGCCCCAACCGCAGACAGAATACCTAGTACTACGGTTCTCCACGCTTTTCAGGAAAGAGAAATACATCCGTGCAGAAGCTCAGACCAAGTATCCCGGCGAGCAAGCAGACACTGCCCATGATCATCAGCAGCAACTCGCTTGGACTGCTTGTGTCTTAGCTAAGACTAATATGCTTTTATGCCAGAAAAAATAACCATAAAGAAATAAAGAATGGGCAGAGAAGGGAATGGCCATGCTGCAGATACGGACGCCTCCAACATACCGACCGAGGTCAAAAGGTCTAGGCCTGCACTGCGGTCATGAAGCGACAGTCCAAGCAAGCAGCGAGACCACTTTCGGAATGGATGAACTCGAACTCAAACTCGCTCTCATAATTGCGAGGACCTGGCGGGGCTTTGCCTTTGCAGTTTGGGTGATTTTCCGGGAATCAGCAGATGGCTACCTTGAACTTCCCTCTATGAAGGTTCTGCGGAGGTGATGGTGTTCATTGGCTAGTTGGTAAAGCTGAGGTAAGTAGGATGAAGTGAAAGAGACAAAAGAAAACAAAAGAAAAGCACTCGCAGACCCGGCAGGATTTTCCACGGACTGCTTCCGTGCCATACTCATACTCGTTGATGCCTTCGTCCTACATCTCTTTTCTATTGACCCTGACTCTGAAATAAGAATTCTTTCTATCAGGTCAGGTCGGTCAAGATCATTTGCAGTCTACTCAGCGAGTAAGTTTCAAGTGTCAAGTAGATGTGAGTGTGGGTGTGGGTGTCTACTAGGCATCTCCCAGAGAAGCGCGATCCGCATGACACGAAATAGGAAGCCGCGAAGCCTCCCTATAAACCCCCCCCCCTCTTTTCCACCTTCCCCTCCATCCCTCTCTTCTACCACGAGGCTGGGATATTAGCAGATCCCCCTGGCCTCATTCATCCTTATCGACCGACGCCATGGCTATCACAGCCGCGGGAGTCTTCCTCGTGGAGTGGACATACTACCTACTCCGTGTCACATAAGTGCCAACATAGTACTTAGCAAGAACTAGAGTATCGGGTTGGGAAGCGTTGGCGAGTAGAGATGCAGCTTTCGCTTACCAGCTCTAATGCGGTCTCGTGTTATAGACTGTTCTTGAGTGGTAGAGTTAATTGCAGACTGGATGGGGGAGGGGAGAGGGGAGGTAAGTATAATGCAATCGTGTCTACCCTGCGGCGCCTAGTTTCTCTGCTGTGATGGCTTTCGAGTGCGGTGGCCGATTCACAAGCCTAGCGCTTATCTCGTCTCTGTTGTTTTGGTGTTCTTTGAGGGTGTGCAGGCGGGTGAGTCGAGTAGTAACATGACCCGCCTTTTGGGATTGTGTTGAACAGCTGTGTAGAACGCAGGTCTATGTTGTCGAGGAGACTATGCGAGTGCGTACACAATGGTCAGTTTTGGGTGTCTGGCTCGCATTCTTATCGCAGGGACTCTCACTCGGCTGGGAGCTACCGATGATTCTGACAGTAGACGATTCCGGGGATAATTCTATTCACTGGGCTGGGCTATCTCGCATCTTGTGGGTGTCTTGCATGGGTGCGAGTGCGTCGATGGGCTGGATTAGGAGTAATCTGGTAGTCTGATTATTGGAGACCAAGGCAATAATGCTGTCTTTCAAATTGTAAGACTGCCCTTGTAGATAATTTGATTGTCTTTCCGCATTTGCCGTCCACATTGTGTTGGCCGCACGGGGACCGTTCTGGCCATAGAAAAGCAACTTCAGTGAAGCAAGGGATGATGGGGAGCAACCCCGATGTGCGGCGAGCTCGGTAGCAGATAATGGCATACAACAGGCTCAGATCAGATACCCTTCTCGCTTTATACCTAGTGGGTGGCTAGTGGACATGATTATTTTTGGCTGACTTGTCTGATAGATCAACGGATGAAGGGAAGGAGCAAGCTGTGTTCAATTGAAAGCTAAATTTCTCCAACACATCCACATGAAGAGGAAATGGAGGCTTGGTTTGTGGGATCAGCCAGGGGTAAAATTGTCAACAAGGTATCAACAAGAAACGAAAGTCAAGCACAGCACCAGGTGAGCGTCCTCTATTACACAACATAGTATCCATACCGGCTCGCTTTTGCGCGAGTTCATTATGAAGATAGAGTCTATATACATCCCAGAGAATTAAGAGTATGAGCCACAGGTGCCATCGGCATGCGGGCTCACTATCCCCAAATATTTACAAGAAAACTTTAATGCGTGACCATCCCTTCCACCCCGTCCAGGCTATACCATGCTCTTGAAGCTGTGAGCAGAGCGGAACAGGCTGGCCAGCGATGGCAGGGACTTGAGACGCTGCGGTGACGGCCGTTCGGGCGCGATCAGGGTGGGCTCTGGGCTGACGCATGTGGAGTAGAAGCGTCCCAGGTCACCGTCTGACCCGGCTTCCGTTGGTGTCCCTGAGCTGAGTGACCGGGGGATGCCCTCGGTGGAGATGTGGATGTTGTTGCCCAGATACTGGGCTTGGTTGCGGATAGGCTGTGCGGAGAAGCACGCCCGCGGGACAAGGCCTTCTTGGTTCGTTTCCATGACAGTGACGAGAGCCTGAGAGAGATTAGCGATGGAAGATGACAGAAATGGCTGGGGGGAGCTTACCCATCCATCCTCATAGATGAGGTGCAGGATGGCTGTCTGGCCTTCCTTGAGCTCGATGTGCTCGGGACTGACGGCCCGGAAGTCCATGTCCACTCGGTATACCCGAGCCATGGAGATCGGAGGCGCGCCCCGAGAGGTAGGGATTTCGATGGTAGGGATCTCGATGGTAGGGCTTCTCGAAACTCCAGGGCTGGAGGACTTGGTGGATAAGGCGGGGGAGACTGTCTCCAGCGTGGCAACCTTGGCTTCGGGGATCTTGCTAGACTCGACCTGAGGCGGCGTGCTGGACACCTCCTTGAGCCGGCCGATGTCGCCAACTAACGTCTCCGTCGAGTATTGCACTTCGGGTAATGGAGAAAAGCGGGTTGGATTGGTCCTGGGAAGGTCCAGGTAAGAGTGGTGAAGCTGTCGGAATCCATCGCGTAGGGTGTCGCTGGGAATATGTGCAGATTGCGGACGAGGAATGTGGACTTTTGATCTTTTCCAGGTGGACTTGACAAATCCGCCTGTCGAGCGCAGCGCGGTACGGCCAGTGGCGTATACCAAGAGGGTGAAGTCTTTGATCGGGGTATAAGCAGAGTTGGGTGTCAGCTTTTCGCGCAGACGTGGAATTCGAGATTGGAAGTAATTCGCAGTGCGAGCACCAGCATGCGCGCTTGCGCGTGCGGCCGCTGCACCTCCTGCGTAGGCGGCATTGGCAGCCTTCTTGAGGGGAGACGGCTTTGGTGGTGGAGGTCGCCATTGACCGGGCTTCTCGGTACGGTAGTGGTTGGCAATGGCGTTTTGCAGGGCGCGCTTCTTCTTGTGCAGTGTCCACAAAAGGAACCCGACGCATGCGATGACGGCAACTGACACGCCTACTCCGATAGCGGCTTTCGTACCAGGCGACGTGCCTTCATGACCCAATACTGTTACAACACCGGTCGTGGTCGCGCTGCTGGAGCTGTCGGTGGTGGTGGATGGTTTCGTTTCGAGCGTGAACGAGCTGGGAGAGGGGATGATAGATGTTTGCAAGGTGGTGGTTGGCGTCCACAACGCCTGCGAGCTCGAAGGCACTTGGGCGGTCCAAGTGCCGGTGTGTGGTTGCGCTACACTGCCGGTGGTCGAGTCGGTTCCCAAGGCAGCTGTGCCCGCTGTTGATGCGCCGGTGCTGCCTCCCGCCGCTGCGCTCGCTCCCGGCTGTGCTGCGTCGGCTGCTGCACCGGCTGCTGCGCCGGCTGCCGTGCTTCCCTGCCAGGTCGATGCTGCGCCTGCAACGGGCGCTGCACTCGCGGTGGCGACTCCCGTGCCTGTTCCTGCTCCTGCAGCCCATGAGCCCTCGGCGGCGGTGGTGCCTTCACCCGCGGTGGCTGGATCTGCCGCCATTGCTGCTGATCCTGCGGTTGACTGACCAAGACTGCCTGCGGCCGCTTGCTGTCCGTACGTAGTCTGTGCCGAAGAGCCACTTTCCCACTGGCCGGAGCTGTACCCTGAAGAAGCGCCATTGGCATAAGGATAGGCGGAAGCCTGGGCTATTTGAGGATCGCGGCGGAAGATCCCCCCGTTACGGGCAGCGGTTCGGTGTCGCATGGTTGGGGTTTAGTCAGGTAGCACAAGCATGGACAATCAGACAAGCATGCACAAGCAGCCCAAAAGCATGTACTACTGTGTAACTGGTCTCAAGAAGATATGGAAGGGAAGGAAGAAAAGCCGCGGGCTGGGGTGACCTAGAATGTCAGTGTCTTTTTAAGCACGATCTTGCATCTGCGTCGATAGATCCACAACAACATTGGCACCACAACAAACAGCCGTCTTGGGCCCACTGTCAACAGTGTCCCCTTGAGCAGACAATCGCATGTATATCAGTGGGACAATTGGCTGTTGCGGTCGTTGTGAGGTGAAGTGGAATGTGGTGGTGGTGGTTGTAGTTGTGCTGTGATAGAGAGCGCATTCCGAAGCAGACATTCCACACAGCGTCCGGAGTACTACATCAGGGAACCGCACAAGAAAGATCTGCCAGAATCTGCATTCCTGTCCTGTCCATTACTGACTTGAGCGAAAGAGGGCAAGTCCCTCCGTACTGGTCCCTCTCCCACTTCAGTCTCTGTGATACCTTCCTACCTAGGTATTCGGACACTGTCTCATATATACACTTCTCTTGTATGGACTATGTCCTTTCGATTCTTCTTTCTCTGCGGGCGAAAAAATCACCCAGGCCATACATACGTACTCTCCTCTCCCATAATCTTCTCTACCATTTGCTCCTACTCCACTCCCGCCAGCTCATCCCGCTTCCCAGTTTCCCATCCCCCCCAAAAGCCTCCAAGAATGCCCACCCACATTCCTCTACACCTCCACCCAAGCCACCTCCCCACTCGACAGCTGCCAATTGCTCCATCCTCGCGTACACGTATGCTTTGACTTCAATAGTTTTCTCTTAGTGCGGCTTTCCCTGTTTGTGGCTTCCGGTGTGGGGTCAAGTATGCGCCAGCCTACGCAGACATCTACTGAGGGGAGAGCCGGCCAGCATAATTATCCTGACGGACATAATTTACATTGGCAAATAGTACATACTGGATGGAGTATTGAGTCGCGTAATTCCGTGGAGTTCAGGTCCACGGATAGTTTTGAATTTGTAGTATACACATGCAATTCCCTTGTTCTAGTAAAACACCATTGCTAGCAGGATATCGATAGTTGGTTGTCTTCGACAAAGACATGCATCAACCACTGTCTATCCTCTTTAACCCAGCTCATCCCTCGAGCCTCCACAACTGTACTCCAAAGTACCTACGGCGCAACACGCAGTGTACCAGGCACCTCCCTCCACCTCCCGGTCCATCCTTCCCCAAACAAGAACAAGAATGCCTCCCTATCCAACACCCACAACCCACAACCCACAGCATCCCAACCCTAACCAATTAACCAACTACTACCTAACCCTCCCCTCTCCCGAGCAACGGAGCAACAGAACACAGCAACAAGATACCTAAGCTACAAACTGGCAGCTCGGAGTACTACCCTACCCACCTACCCACTCTCCCTCAGGGCCTTGCGTTAGTTCCCACCCCAGTCCCTTACCCACCCACTAACCAATCAACCCAAACCCCATCTGGCAATCTACAAACCTACACAAACCTCCGTAGTCAGGTACACCCGCGCACAACCGCCGATCTATTGGATTCCTGGCGAACTTACCTTGCCTTGCCTGACGCTTATTGCACCAGTGGCAGCGGAGTGGTCTGCCATTGTCGTTGTCATTGTCATTGTCATTCCCATTGGCATTGGTTTCTGGGGTGAGGGCGTGGTGGGGGTGGCAACGGGGTGGGATTGGATTATTGTATGTTGTTCATGAGGAGGGGGCGTGGATGGTTGATTGGTGGAGAAGGCGGCTATTCCTCGCTGAGGGGCTTGGTTACTGGGGGTTGATTGTTTGTAGACTAGAGTGTACAGTGGTGTGGTGTTTCTAGAAAGTGTCAGAAGATGGAGACATCGGGCGGGCTTGTAGGGAAATACGTAGACAGTTGCAGATGTGGGGGTGGAGAATTAGATTTAGGTGGGCGTTTAGATATGTGCTTATGGGGGATCTAGTAGTGTTTGCTTGGTTATTAGAGGTTGATTTTAGTGGTTAAGGTGGTGGTTGTTTTGCTGGTGTACTATAAAGTATATATACTAATGTTATCCAAGACTTATGTATAGGTGTGGATGGTAGTTCTGTATACTATTTATTTGTATGTGATAAGTATATTAAAATAATACATGATTTATATTAATAAATAGAATGTGTTTGGTTGGCTATCGTTTGGTAGAACTGATTTATATACTATATGATGTCGTATAGTACTTAAAATATATACTGAAGTAAATGGACTTGCTTAGTACTGGTGTTGTGGCTAGTACTACGTAAATATATCATATACTTGTCCTATTTTAAAGGTCAATTTATCGATAAGACACTGGTTTAATCGTACTAAAAATAAAAAAAATGGAAAATCTATTTCTCTTCCATAGTAAACTTAAACTCTTACATATATGTATCTCATAACTGTGAGGTATAAATATAAATAAGTTGAACCCCTTGGATCTGATAGTAGTCTATTTTGCTCGACTGCCCGTAAGCATAGACAAACAAAGTAATTTTTGTTATATATATTAACCAAGACTTGCTAGCATACTACAAGCTATAAATATGCTACAACTATTCACCTGTACACTACTATAAACAGGGTATAAGGATGAACTCAGGCTACCTGTACCTATCGCCATGCATCGCTCGCTACAATCTCCACGCCACGCTATATACCAACATTACAACAAACAATAAAATACAAAGCCCGAAAACAGCTCAGTACAGCCAACTTATACTAATATTAAACAACCCGCACCACACACTCAACCCCCTCTTCCTCAAATCCCCATCAATATTCCGAATTTCCTTCACGTAATACGGCTGCTGCGGGAGCTGCAGCTTCCAGCGCTGCCGCAGCCGCAGCTCGCGCAGCGGCTCCAGAAACACGGGGATCTTCTCGACGGGCTCGCAGAACCAGCTGCCGCTGAGCTGCAGCGTGAACGCCTGCAGGGCGGGCATGCGCGTGACGGCGCGACACGTCTCGAGCCACTGCTGCCGACCGGCGGAGAAGTAGACCGACTTGACGGGGTCCTTGCAGGGAAGCCAGTGGCCCGGGAAGGCCCAGCGCAGCTCGACGGCGCGGATCGCGTCCCAGAAGGGGGCGGGGATGGTGGGACGCAGGTAGGTGAGGGACCAGGTGTTGCTGAATTCGAAGGTGTTGAGGGTGTAGAGCATGGTTATGGATTCGGAGTAGCTGGGTTTTATTTTGTTAGTGGTGTGTTGGATATGGTATGGTGTGGGGGAGGATACGCACATCTGCTTACACGTCATTGACAGCGCGAGGAGATCTCCGGGCGTGTCTTTCACGCTCGAGACCCCGCCGCGACAGATGTCGCATGACCCGGTCTCCGGGCAGACAATGTGTCCCATGCGACGGTTCGAGCGCTGCACGATGTGGATGCGCTTGCCGCCGAGAACCATCTCCCAGATTATGAGGCGCAGCTCGGGCGATAGCCTTGCCAGCAAGGCGCTCTGCGGCTGCATGCTCCATTCCGTTCGGGTATCGGGTTGTTGGCCCTGGAGGGCGCTGTATCGTCGCGATCGGGGGAGTCCGGTGGGCTTGTTGTCTGGGGGGTTGGTTAGCTATCTATGCCATGGCGTGTGGGATATAGATGCAGTGATATGAGGGTGGGTGATGCTGACTCTGATACCGCTGCGCCAACACGTCCTCCCACGAAAATACCCCTTGCTTGATCCGCGCCATGGCTAGAATGTATGTATGTGTATGTATACCAAGTGACAGATGACGGGTAACCGACAATCGAGCACAACGATGCGAAGGAGAGTCTGTCAACAACCCATGGTGTCAACAGGACAGTGGAGGATGTTCACGGGTCGCGCGATGAGCCGGCAAAGCACGCAGGTGGGCGAGGAGCGAGGTCGACTCGACTATTTCACGCGAGATCGGATCTGATGTACGTGGCTGTGTGGAGAGGAGAGGGGAACCAACCGACAATAAGCGGTAGTTTAACCGGAGAGGTCCATGTCGCGGGAGAGGCTTGGGGGGGGGGGAAGATAAAAAAGATATCAACAATAGTATTGGTAGGGAAAAGATGCGACGAAGCCGATCATGGTGTCGGGATTATATAGAGCAGGAAAGTCGGTGAGATGGACGGCGTATCTTCAAACAGGGGCGGCGGTGGTTAAATCAGGCACGATAAGCGGACTCCGGGGATTGTCGGTGCCTTCAGCCCAGGATGGCGATCCTGTCAGGAAATCCTGGGTTGGTGGACGGAATTTCCGCCGGAGTAAATCGTCAGGCATCCACTTCTTCCACTTCTTATCAGTCTTCGTGTCGCTATACTTCGACTATCGAGTCAAATACCCGGCTGACCCGAGGCTACCAAGCGACCAGGCGACCAGGCGACGAGGCGACGAGGCTACGAGGCACTCCGCATCCCCAAACCTACTCCGCATCGGGACGAACTGCTCCATTGATCGGAGTCCATTTCCATCGACTCCCACCGTCTGCTATCCGAGGCTGCGTGACTAATTAACATTGTCATTGTCTATCTATACATAGTCTAATCAACCCTATCAGTCGTCATGAACTGCTCTCGTCCGTCTCCTCCGCCTTTCCCCCCTTCTCCCTCTTGGTGGACACCCATTCAAGGGCCGCCGCCCCCAGAACACCACAACACGCGACCGCCAGCCCAACATAGAACGTGTGTGTCACTGCCTTATTGTACGCGACGAGAACCGCCGGGTACAGCGACACGGGCACCTGACTTGCCAGTTCTGTGGCGCCAGCATTGACCACCGTCTCCGGGTCAATGGAAGGCACCTCCTTGGCGATGTTCCGGACCAGCTGGTTCGTGAACATGTTTGTCGCCACCGACTCCATGATCGCGCCGCCCAGGTTCTCACAGAACATGATGACTGATGTTCCCAGGGTGATGTCAGACAGAGGAAGCACCGTCTGGCACGGCGCGAAGGCCGACTGCAGCCCGAACCCCATGCCCTGGGAGGTTCATGATGCTTGAATTGATGACGCTGGCATCCTTGATGGGATCGTGGCATGGTCTCCCCCACGGACCTGGAGGATAGCAAAAGTGACCAGAAGGACCCCAGCAAGGACCAGGAGCGCGATGATACGCCCGCTGTGCCAGGCGTACGTGGTACCTCCCCACTGGAGCGCTAGCAGCAGACATATAACCCCAGGCAGAAGAGTCGCGGAGCCCAGGGGATCCATCTGCTTCAGCTGGTCGAGAAAGCCGACGGCGCTGGTGGTCTGAGTCTCCGGACTCTTCATAAAAAAGACGATGATGGTCGCTGTAATCGCGCCCAGTGGCAGGTTGATATAAAAGGACTATCTCCAGGTCAATCTGTGGTTATCGGTGAAGGCGCCGCTCAGCAGAGGGCCTGAGATAGCATTCAAATTATACATGGCCCCCATCATGCCAATCAGGGTCGGTCTTCGACGAGGAGGCACCGAGTACGCGATCAGCAGAAAGCATCCGATCCCGACACCGCCTCCCCCAATCCCGGAAACAGCACGGCCAACGATCAGAGCCGTGGATGTGGGAGCCACGCCGCAGACCAAAGATCCCAGTTCGAAAATGAACAGTCCCGTCAAGAACACCCATTTGACGGAGTAAAAGGTGAAGAGCTTTCCCCACATGAGCTGGGTCGAGCAGATTGTCAGCAGATACGCACTCGCCTACCAGCCGACGTCGTTCAGCGCGTGGAAGTGATCCGCTATCTTGGGGATGGCGCTCGAGATGATCGTATTGTCCAGGCCCACCAGGAAGAGCGCTAGGTTCAGGCCAAGGACGATGAAAAAGAGCTTCGATGGGCCGGGGTACTGCGATTCATCTCCATTCTCCTCTGTCCCGGAATCCTGGATCCCCCCCCCCCCTCATTCTTTTCCAACACAACAGCCTCTCGCGGCTTCTCTTGTGCTAACTCACCGGTACCATCTACGTCCTGCATCGTCGAGAAAACAGGGTCTTTCCAAATCGAGGAATGTGTATGGTTGGTCGACGTCGACGTCGACGTAGCCGTATCCGAAACGCTAGAAGAAACAACAGTGGTGTTCTAGAACGCCCTGCCATGCGAAGAATGCTAAACCTAGCAAGGAGTTCGTGCAATTATCAATGTGAAATATATAGAAAAGACAAGCTTGAATCTATCTCATCAGTGTACATCCCAAATAACCCAAACGAATAAATAAAGTATGAGTATGAAATGGAAATGATACCCGAGAAAGCATCCCGCCTATACACAACTATCTGAACAAGGCGGGACATATTCGCAATACACCATCATCACGATGAGTGAGGATAGATGCATCATGATGGCAGATTCCAGCAGCGGGATCGCGACGAAGCGATTCCCAAAGAGGAAAGGGGCGGCGTGAGTGGTCGTGGCTCATGTTGGCTCATTTCTGTACTCTGCAGGGCCTTGAGGCTTGATAGACTCATGTGCTTTACTTGAATAGGTCTAGTTGGGGGGGCGTAGGTAGTGATAGTATTGATATCAGTGTCAACAGGGGTTAAATGGCAGGTGTTAGATTGCTGATCACTCACCACGACCCATAATCTGTCTTGGGCTCTCTCATCTTGGATCATGTACCGTCGATGTAGTGGAGAAGCACAGAAACAAAAGAATATCCTGGCACATTTCTTGTCGTCGCTTTGGTTATGTAATCAGCTATTTGCTCACCTTTAGATAACTTCAACTTACTAGTTATCTTTTATCCATCAGTCTCCACTGTCTAAATCGTCAAATATGTCTACAGATCTAAATACATACCCGTATCATTTGGAAGTAGGTCTGAGTAGGTCTATGAAACGGGGAGAATCGAGGATGAGATGGATTACTGGTATGTGTTCTGGAGAACTATTTGATATGAGATGTAGACATAGATTCACGTCCTGCGTTATGTTACTCCCAATATTCCAATAATAAGTGAGCGAGTGGCTGAGTGAGTGAGTGAGTGAGTGAGTGAGCATCCTGATCTAAGCCAAGCAGGCTTCGTCTGGAAAGAGTGACAGGTTAAACCAAGGTGTACAGATGCGCATAAACGGAAACAAAATGGTCGAGAACAGAAGGTTAAGATACACGAGGTAGAGTAAATAGTCTCTTCTCAACAACCCCCATGTCAGGTGCAACCGGTACCGGCCATGCCGTGGCCGTTCATGCCGTAGCGCTGGGACTGGCACTGACGCTGGGACCGGCACTCTCACTGGCGATGCTGGCCATGTTGGCTCCCAGGGTGTTAGTGGGACACGGGACACGCAGACCCTGAGACAGGGCCGCAAGCCCAGTCGGCGCGAGCTTGTCAATAGTAGTGGGACCGGGAACGGTACCGACGTAGGCATTGAAGTTGTAGATGCCGCAGATGCAGGTATTGACGATATTCTTGAGACTGGTCTCGCTCATCACGGTCTGACCGTTGCGGAGGAGGGCGAACTTCTGCTGGCCCAGGCCCATGGGCACGGTGAAAGCGCTGGGGCCGGCGGGAGCCTCGAATTTCTGGCTGTTGGATCCCGAGGACACCTGGATGGTGCCGGGGGTCTTGAGTAGAGCGACGACGAAGACGACGTCCTGCATGGATTCCCATCCGTTGGGGCGGCCGCGGAAGAAGTTGCCGCTGGAGTTGTTGGGGTTGCCGTCCATGGTCGTGTCGGTGCTATCGCAGTTGATGTCCTTTGGGGTAGGCCGGTACCAGTAAATGATCTTGTCTTCGGTGATGTACTTGTTCACGGATTTTTCGCCATTCTTGTACGCGGCGATGAAGGGCTTGGACATCTGGAGCCAGCCGTCGTGTGGCCTGTGATGTTGGTTAGCTTGTAGGTTGGGTGTGTGGGTGTGTGTGTAGGTGGCTTACATGTCCATGACCCATTTAGATGCACCGTCGTCGGTGTGCGGAGAACCAAGCGGTGCGATGTAGTGCGATTCGCCGTAGTCGTTCCAGGTGACGATCTCCACGAACCGAGGAGCTAGGTTGAGGATTTCGAACCACCGGTTGTACCAGAGCATGTCGGAGGGGAACACCCAGTTCTTGCTGTAGGACACCTCGCCCCCGAAATGCGTGAAGAACCATCCAGAGGCAGCTGTCGCGCGTTAGCAAGATTGTTATGGGTAAACTGAGGGGGGAGGGCGACATACGTGCGATGTAAGATTTACCTCCCAAAGCATTGACGTAAGCCTGATCCCCTTGAGCAACGGTCACGTTGCGTCCGCCGCTCGGGGCTTTATTGTCACCGTTATTGTCCCAGGCCATCCAGTTCAATGCGCCTTGAATGACGTTGAAGTTTCCAACGCCCGGATGAAAGTTCGGGGCGAAGTATACCTCGGATCCGGCGGCGGAGTTCATTTGGCTGATGTCGAGGCCGTCGCCCGCGAAGGAGGACGCAAACACCTTGCCATCAATCTTCAGTTGGGCGGGCAAGCTCGCATACTGCTTGATCTTCTGGCCAACGTTCCAGGCCTGCCCGGTGTTGTACCAGTTGAAGTCGAACGAGATGAAGACTTTCATGTCGTTGCGGGCGGCGGATTCGTACGCGAAGTTGAGCTGGGTATCAGTGTAAGGATCAACACCAATATTCAGCGCAAACGCGTCAATGCCCAGGGATTTTGCCCGCTTCATGTCATCGTCATAATCAGCAGCGCTGTTTCGGTTGCTGGTAATGCCGATCTGGGAAACTTAGTTCAAATGTCAAGAAGGGCAAAGGATCTATCTAACTCACCATGAAGTGGCAGAAGACAAGACGGTCAGTAGAAGCAACAGTGGTATTCCCACTAGTAGCATTCGCATCCAGCGGAGCACTGATAGCCAAAGCGACAAGCCCGATTAGGGCTAAGAAGGGTATCTTGAAAAACTTCATCTTGGAGATGTTAATGAGTGAATAAAGAAAGCGATGAAAGATTCAGGCACATCAAGCGCCTCGATATCTGAATATGAAAGAAAGACTGACCATGATGCCAAACAATGGGCGATGAGGCAGACGTTATATCCGCTGGAGGGACCGCGAGGTAGAGTCTCAAGATGCGGGAATTATCCCGTTAATGTAGAGAGCTCTTTGTTGCTCTGAAACAACAACCTAGTCAGCGATTGAAAATATTAACTCTATAATCCTTGATGCTAACCCAAAATGAAATGAAAGGGTCTGCGATCAAAAGCTTCGGCTGTCTGCTTCTGTTCTAGTCGCCGTTGACTGGACTCCATAGGCTTCATAGGCTCCTTATATCCTCACCATCCTGTCCCTGCCGACGAATAAAGACAGATCTCCGTCTGTATAATCATGGGGTCATTATCCACCAGTAGACTGACATGTGAGATGAGTGACGCCAAATGCCCAACGTTTGCAGGCATCGCAGTCCTTGCAATTTGCCTCCGACCTGTCTTACTGTGTAGAGTTTGACGCTGGAGCAGGGGGGCGGTCTATCCGCAGAGGGGATGGCTGGCATTGGCAGCAACCACGGGAACATCAAAGTCAGTAGGCCGTCATTGTGATCAGGCCGGGACAAATTGGATCGCAAGCTGCTTTTCCGTCTTCGTCGAATGCGAGGAAGTGAGGCCGGCGATCATGGCCCTGAACACGAGAAGGGTTAGGGCCACGGAAGTATCCGAGACAGGAGACGAAGGATCCCCGGATTCGGACCTCAGAGTGGTCCAAAACCCATCGGTCTGTAGGACTTCAATTTAAGCTCACTCTCCTCAATTGGTGGTGACAAAGTCCGACGTGAGACAGGCTGAGGGCCTCGTCGGCCCGTTCTCCTGATGCCGTTAGGCCTCGATGCCCTTCCGCCAACATGACGTCCAGCACGCCAATGCCAAATCAGCCCAATGCAACCCCGAGAGCACTGCATTATGCATGGAGTGATCTCGACTTGCTTTTTCTCCATCCCCGGCATGACATATATCAAAGCTGCGGGGTAACATGCCTGGCAGGTTAGCCACGCGATCCCATCACCAGACGATCGGAACATATGCAGTCCTGTCGCAAACAGGCGCCCTGCAGTGAGCAGCTCGGCAGAGCCCTTCACAGTCGTCGGATTGAGGCTTTTTCTCGATCTTTCTCGGAGCGAGCCTCATTTGGACAGGCGATGTCCCGGGGTGGCAGAGCGGGTGCTTACCTTAAACCCAACCCACCATGGCCGTGTAACAATCAGCCTTCTTTGATTCTATGGAGCGCCTACGAGCGCCCATGTGACATTTGCCCCTCATCGCTCGTTTGTTGTCGCTTTGATTGTTCCGCATCTCGAACGTCCAATCCTTCGGCCGCCGGCACGACGGTGGAACCTCAACCTCTGACGCTCAACCTCATCGATTGGGCACAACTCAATAGGACGACGGAAGTGGCAGCAGCACTACTGTCAAAACGAAGTCAGCCGTTGGCATTTGAAATGCTACCTCTATGCTACCCTTTCCCGGGAGGAGGACGGGTGATCGAAACCTCCTCAAGGGTTCCTTGGCTGAAAATGTCATGAATGATTAGGTAGCTTTCCTGTAGGCATACGTGAGGGAAAAGCCAGGGGAAATGACAATGATTCTACATTAGAGGAACCTTGCACGTAGGCTAGCCACGGTCACTAGCGGAGATTCGATTCAGACAGTATGTAGCAGGGTGAAACTTCCCTTGAAACCAGTGTGCATGGTAATTTGGTGATCATAGAACGGCAAACGCAGAGACGTAGCTCACGGAGCTATCGTTCACATCGGTGATGTCCGAGCTGCGCTCATACCTAACAAAGTGGAATCTGCCCTTCTTCCCCTCTTCTTGACTCGTGACCTCTTCCACGGCAGCCATCATCACTCCGATGGGATGCCGGCCACACACGGTGTTCCCCGTTCTCTGAATTACGTCTAGAAAGTCTGCAGCACTTCCCGTGGTGATGGCTGCCATGGTAGCAATGTCAAACGCTGAGATGCTCTCGTGGATCGTTGGTTCCCGGCTCTGGATGCGGTCCCGCCGCTGCAGGGAGTGGCCGGCGGACACCATTTCGATCTTAGCCTCTACATCACTGACATCACCTCCGGGCTGGGGAAGGAAGTGTGCAGACAGAGGGAGTTTGGGCCCGGGTTTGGGCGCCTGAGGAACGTAGTACGTGTAACGGAAACGTAACCCCCAGTGACAGAAATCCGAGCTAATGACAAAAGCGTTCTCCGGGTCTTCAAGGTACGGCGCAAGTATACTCCCGAACGCTTTCTCCATCAATGCAGAAGTGCTTCCCACCATAATAGGGACCAGCGGTGGATACTGCGAGGTGGGCTTATCTGGATGCTGGAGTTGTAGGAGGCGATGAATATAGGGCAGGTGCAGCTCAATGCTATGCTCATCTTCATCGATCGATCGGGACATCGTGGTGAAGCTCAGGGATGAGCCATTTGGCTTGGTCGCTTCGGTCGAACGCAGCTTCGCGATAAGCTCCGTATCCAGCGGGAGAGGGTCATCGGAGAGCGGGGTATAATACGACGTGAGCTCAGGAAGGGCAAGCGTCGTAAGGTAGTGATGGTGCGATGGTCCAAGCACGAAAATTCGTTTCCTGTACAGAGAATGCGTTAGAGTACAAAAATGCCTCGGGGTAGGACTGTTACTCACGCCTTTGACAAATCCAGAGCCTTGTAGGCATAGGCGGCACATGGGCCAGAGTACGCATAGCCCGCATGTCTGGAGGATCAGCATACATCCAGCGACAGGGAAGACACAGGGTGATTTCTGCCCAATACATACGGAGCAATGATGATGCGCGCACCAGGCACTGGGAGAGAGCCTATGCCATCAATCTCATCGGGTACCTGAGCCAACCATTGATCCAGTTGACGCGTGAGAGTATGTTGACTGTCAGAGTACCACGAGCCAGCATGAGAAGCTTCGCGGGACGGCATCGTGCTTATTTCACTATTTTGCTTTTTCGACTATGGTGTGAGACTCAAGGAGATCAAGATAGTAGATGCTACCTGTGGTTGAGAAAGACCGGACAGTTGGGACTTGGGATGGCGGTGGGTGATAGGATGAAGCGGGGAAGCGGGACTCTTCCAGTCGTCATAGCGGAGCGTCACCGTCACCCCGTACCGTGTACTCTGGTACAGTACTGCTGTCATTTGGTTCAAACCGCGGGATGCCGAGGGCGGCATGCCGACAGTGAGGAGACAAAAGGCATTCAGCACGAGATAAGGAAGGGACAAAGGTGCTCTGGAGACTAGCAGCATGGCCTGGTGTCAATGGTTCTTTGTTTCTTGCAGGGCAATTACAGGTAGTCGTGATTCCTCTTTGTACTTACTGTGACATTCGAGCGATTGACTACGATTGATCAGACTCGCCCCGGCTCATGGCTCCAGACTCAAACGATCTCTAGCTGGCATGAAAGCTCGATATCGTTCTCTCCAAATACTCTGGTATCCTCACAGCCACCTCCAGCCCTGGAATCCGACGCGTCCGATAGAAGGGGAGTCTTATCGCGGTATGGATACCGGGTCCAATTAACCCCCAATGCGGAATAGCGCATACTTGTGTATTGCTACGCGGTCTCGCCGGCGACGCGCCGGGCCATTTACCAACCACGCCCGAAAAGGCTCCCCCATCCTTGCTCCTGTCAACAATCCTATATATTCGGCCCGCAAGACCATTCCTCCCTGAAACCCATCCCACAAGCTCAATTCACCGACAGTGTTCGTCCTCCGCATTATACCCCCGAAGAAATACATCCCTTCCACCCTTTGTCGCGATACCCCAGAGCCGACCCAGCAACATGTCCCTCAAGCGCAAGGCCTCATTCCCAAGTCTGGCCTGGTCCCATCCCGCCCCAGTCTTCACGGGACGGTCATTAATGGCAGACGACGCCCCAAGACACCTCCACAGTCGCACGCGAAAGCGCTTCAGGAACGATCGCCCCGACGAGGAAGTGGTATATGGTAAGAGCCCCAAACTGTTCCTTTCGCGCCAACTTGTGGCTAATAAAAAGCAGAGAACACGCTTCGTTGGCTCTACACAGCTCAGCAACAGCAACCAACCCCTGCTCCTCCCACGGATGAGGACGCGTCCGAGCCAGAACCTGTCCCATCTTCTGAGATCGTTGATCCTCGTCAACAGACATTGCACAAGTTTTTCCGGCCCTCACAATCCACATTCGCCCAAACTCGTTCGAACAATGCGAGTCAACAAACGATTCATACCCCACAACTCACAACAGCACCTTTGCAATCCCACAACTTCGGACTGTCCTCCCCAGCCACATCGGCAGGCTGGGGAAGCAGCAGTCCATCCTCCCAGATAGATAGTGACATGGATGTGGACATGGAATCAGTGAGCAACGAGCCAGTCCAACAACCCAGGAGGCTGGTCGAAGGGTTCTGGGGGACATGACTCAAGACTTGATCATGTTGAATTCCTTCGTCCTATAGCGTACCACACCCGCATTGTCAATCTTCAGCGATGATACCTTATGTTTCTTTCTTTTTGGCTGCCAACTCTTACCAGTCACATTGGTTACCTTTTGACTGATTTAGTGTGATGTCTTCTTATCCTGTTGTGTGAAAACTCCACACTCCACACTCCACACGAAACTGTTTGCAAGCATTGACTTGTTCCCCCCTGATCCAAGCTCAGTTCAGAACTTGCTGGTCATCCAATCTATGTCGCACTATATTTCCTGCTACTAGATAGTTGTATATACTCTTTAAAATATGTCTTTGAATTGAATATGGTCGATGTTGGTCATCACAGTGCTATGGTGAATACAAAGAGAAAGATGCTTACCCACGGCAGGAACGGCCCTGGTCTTAGTCGATAAGATGGTAGAATATTTAGATCACCAGGCACAGGAGATTCAAAAGTCTTAGGTGAACTTGACCTATTCATCAAACTATTAACACTTAGTATGTCGCCATATAGAGAATGAGGCTCATCTTTTCTTTTGTATGCCAGGTCTTCTTATTCAGGCCGAGCTTCTGCAAAGTTGACCGGAATAGAATACCGTGATTGTATAAGTAAAAGTGCTGTTGCTTCACGTCAGGATGATACTAACTGCGTACCAAGGGCACTAGGTACCGGTATACTGGTCTTCTTACCTGGTTGCTATATCTGTGGTATCGGGTTTTATAATAATGATAAACGTGATAATCTCAAATTGACAGGCCCAGACTGGAGATATAGGCTTCGTCTCTGTCCTGCTGATAACATAGAGGACCCACGGGAATTGCTGGTGGACATCCTTCCGCATGAATGAGTCCTCATTTACAGAACACCAATGAACTAACTGCCCATGTTCTAATCCTTGTCAATCAGAAAGACCATACATACCTCTGGCCAAGAAGACGGCAGTGAGGGACTTGCAAGCTCCCAATGGAGGTATTTGAAATGGTTTTAGAGCACCTTTCGTCTTATACAGTCATCGCCGTGGAGAAAGCTCTAGGTATCATTCTCGGTAATGCTTTCTGTCGCGCAAGGGTATCGGCAAAGGTCTTCCATGAGACACGGCATCTCACCGTCGAGGACATTGATTGGCAGCATCTGTGCCTAATACTCGGGCATCGCGATGGGATACTGGAGTATTGTGAGAAAGAGGGTCAGAAGTCAAATGTGGATCAGAACTGAAGAAAGCGTATTGCTACGATTGGTTTGAAGTTTTTGGCTAACAGCTTAGTCTTTTTTTTTTGGAATCAACTTATGTGGGTGCATCTCTTTTCTAGGACAGTCTGCCTTATCTTTGCCTATCTTTGCACTTTTTTTCTACGTTTGGTCTATCTCGCGTGGAGCTCGGAATTTAGGAGAAGTGGGCGATATCCACTTGTCTTAGTGGAGATACTCACGAGGACGATTCACTAAGAATGACCAAAGGAATTGTTCATAGACTATGATTCAGAATCCTCCTTGCGCATCCGCACTTCGACCCAATTTTCGTGGTATACATAATTATTGGACCGGATATTTCTCACGCGGCAGTTGGGGATCCAAACCCAGACGAACTATAGCACCCCGCAGTGGGGCAGTCATCCGGGGAAATTAGCAACTTCTCACAAACATCCGCTGGTAACACAAACAGGCATTAGCCAGTTATCCAGCACCCAAAGAACCCAGCAAAATGCATACTCAGAAGCATACTCTTTCTGCCCCCAGCCTCGAGGAGCTAGTCGAGACGCTGCAAGCTCCTCTTGCAGCAAATTACGAGCACACGACAGTCAGCGTTGTCCCGTGCCCCGATCTCCGAAAGGCGCCTTTCCATTTAGCAACGGAGGGTCTCTCAGGCGATGAGAAAATCGCAGACGTTGGTGGCCAGCCCAATCTCTTTCCCCGTCCTCGGCTGGATTGCATCTATTCCATGCCCGATATAGCCAAAGCCATGGAGATGAGCTCCGCAAGAGGAAGCCTGATCGGCGCAGGAGCCGGACCGTTCCACGTGGTGGGCCAGAACTGCGAGCTTGCACCGAATCTCAGCTGGCAGGATGGGTTCGAAAACCTCGACAACCAGACGCGGATTGTTCGGATTCGCCGGGATACCGGCGCAGTCAGTCTGCAGAAGAGCACGTGTCCGGATTGCGCATTGATGGTCAATCTGTACGGCTCCCTGGGCGAGCCGGGCCCAGTGATCAAGATTACTGCCAGGAAGCGGAAAGGTCCCGAGAAGAGCTTCACTGGATGCATTCGGAAAGGACTTCTTGCAGCGTATAGTGAATCTCGCACGGTTAGTCTCGGAGGGGCTTTCTTGGTCAAGGCTGGAAAAGCACGCTTTCATGTCATGCCGGATTTCCCTTCGGAAGAGGAACTGCCGTTCAAGGACCGTAACCAGCTCGAGAACTGGCTGACTTATCATGATTATGAGGCACCCATTGTGTGTTTGTCTGTCCTGCATTCTGCGGATCCAGATAATGCCATGGGCCTTCGGATAGAACATACTCACTGCTTCTCACCGTTGGGGGATAATGCTGGCGGTCATTATCATTATGATGTCGAAGGAGCTGAAGAGATCGAGTACGAAGCGTATTTCAATACAGCGAAAGCTATTTATCGAGTTGATATGCCGGTGGTGGCTTCGGATTGAAACTTGCATCGCAGAACACAGTGTTGGAAGAGCCGAAGGTATCCATACATTTGCGAACGATCGCTTTTGTGTGGTAGTGAATGGAAACTTGAGTTAGCGAAGAGAAATATTCATTGGTATTATTCCCCGAATGATAAGTATTGACGCTGTTGAGCTTCTAGATTCTCTAAAACCCTCGCAATCACCAACACTTGACTCCGAGGCGATAACTAATTGGCCGATGCTTCCTACGGGGTCAGCCGGGGCTTAGAGTTGCGGCTTCGTCTCTTTCAGACTGCAACCAACCAAGGCCAACCTGGTCTCCTGGACGGGCCGTAGAAACTCATCATCCCAACCTTGTCGAACTTTAATTTCTCGTGTCCTTTCAACAGTTCGCATTCTTCAGAGGACGTAGTACGGCAGAACCATGATTTTCTGAGGGACCCGCTTCGATAAGGTCTCTTGTGAGCTTCGCTCCGACCGTGTCTTGCTCAGTGATCCCCCTTGTCCAGGAGATTAGGATTTATATCGAGATATACTGGAAATGTTTATCATAGTCCGTGCTGGCAGCCTGATTGTAGAGGCCCCAGCATTACCTAATGCCGCGATACGGGAATGTCACATGCGAATTGAATGCCTAAGGTCTCCAACGGCTGTCTTTATCGAGCCTCGTCGGAGACCATTTTCTGTCCTCAAAGACAATTCAGACAACCAACCGGAACCCGTCCAGCCTGACAAAGGTATTTGAGTTCAGCTGGCTATAAGATACTCCTTAGTCTCGCGCCCCGATCGTTTTTGCGCCTCGCACCAGACAACGCACAACAGTCCAGACCGCCAGGTTCCTTTCTTCTAGTGGTTAATCCAACCCACCCCGCCCGCTCCAAGTCAAGGTGTGGGAAGCCTGAGAGGCGACGTGCTTGACGTCAATCGATTGGGAGACTCGATTGGAGGACGACGCAATGGACGAAAATAAAGCTGTCCAATATCTGGATTCATTGATCGGTCGGACGCTACGAGTGCACGCGACAGACACGCGCATTTTCGTGGGCACCTTCAAGTGTACGGATGCGGTAGGTGGTCTTTCCCTTTCAGAAACCTGTTGCATGGATCAGAGGAATAGGGAAAACAAGAATACGAGAGTCGATTTGGCGCTTGCTGATTTGTTTGGCCGCATTAGGCACGAAATATCATCCTTGCCAGCACCTACGAATACCGCTTCCCTTCCCCATCCGCCGTGCGAGACGCTGCCACGGGTACGGAGGACCCAGCCGCTGCTAGCGCAGTTGACGCTCAGAACATCAAAGTAAATATGACCAGTCGATTTATTGGTCTCGTGGTCGTTCCCGGCCAACATATTACGAAAATCGAGCTGGAGGAGACCCCGCGACAGATTCGTGCACGCGAGGCTCTCAAGAAGTAGACTGCGGGGCAGTGCTTCTTTTCGAATCATGCGTCCACCATCCAGTTGCGCCACACGAGTCCCGGAAGCTGAAACGCGATCTGCTCTCTCTACTCTCGCCCGATACTCGGGATTCTATAGGCGGTGGGAAGATAGTAGCGATGGCCATAAGAGGTATATTACTATTGGGGGGTTCGATCGGACAGAATGCACCCGTTAGCGTCAAGCGGACTCTGCATGTCCGTCTGCGAATTAATCTCATCACACATCCCATGGTTGGAATCTTTTACCCGCATCGGCTAGGCTGCTGTGCACGCCAAGGCATATCACCCAGGCATGCCCACACAACGTGGTTAGGAGAAAAAGATCGGACCGAAGTCGTTGGTGCTTGGCGCAGTAGATGGCCTTGGCGGCAACAGCCTTGGTCGTGACCCTGATGAGTTGGGGCTGATGTGGAAATGGCGGTGTTCCTGCAGTGGGCAGAGTTTGGATCTACTGCTGACCGTGGTTGCGTCCTGATGCTCTTATCGAAGGATATCTCGCATGACATGTTATTTCTACGCCGGGGGTATTCTTCGGAGGTCGAGAGGGAGGGGAGGGGAGCGCATGGACTTGGGTATTAGCAGAACGAAACAGCAAAAATACTTAATTAGTGAAGAAGGTTCATAAAGTCTATGACTACATGCATCTCAAGCCAGCCAATGAGTGGATCGACGAAGTCACTCACGGAGTAGTCGGGCGTGCTCGGAAATCTTAGAGGCTGACAGTCGATGATCACCCGAAGATACGTGATGCGTCTGGCTCCCCAGGCAGAATTGAAATGCCCATGCATGGGTTTCGAACCTATGATGCCATGAAGGGAATGAAGCCAAGAGCAAGGCGGGGTGAGATGGAGGGGAGGAGAAGGGGTTGTCCGTGCTGGTGCGGTGCCAAATTCCACTCTATCGAAGTCACGAGGGGCGGAGATGTGGCTCGGTCATCAGCGGCATGCTTATGTGCTGAGGAGGGGGAGTCCTCACGGCTGATAGTAGAGTAATGATAATACTGTACGGAGTACTGTACTATGACATGACTAGACTATGACTATAGTCCCTGATGATATAAATAAACCGGTCCAGACACCCAGCGACCGGACGGATGGATTGAAATTAGACTTCTGAAGGTCGGGCTTATTCTTGAACATCAACCTATTATTGTCGTTCGTTTCAGTTTTGGAGGAGTTCGAGACTCTCCCCATTATTTGCCTCTTCCCTCAGGAATCTAGGCACCCACGGCGGTGTTTCTCCCACGCCTCCCCCCCCCCTCGGGCCGACCAATCCGCCGGACCTGCCACAGCCGTGGCTGCAGGATCGAGACCAAAAACGACAGCCTGGGGATCGAGGCGAGATCCGTCAAGCAGCTGTTACCGTAGCTCTCTTTCTTTTGACCGACCGACCACCGACCGGTTCTCCCTCCCACTACCAACACTACCACCAACACCCCCCCATCTCGCCAGTTTCCCCCGGCTTCTTTACGCCTTCTTCTATCATCTGCCTCATTGTCTCGCCCCTTTGACCGGCTGCTCCTGCTGAGATCGCGTGTCTCTCTTGTGAGGGTGAGTTTCCCTGTCTGTCTGGTTTGGTTTCATCTCCATTCTTCCCACCCCATAATGACGCATCCATTCCACACTATTATTATTCCCCTCCCACTCCCCCAAACTTGACCCAAATTCTCCGTTCAACCTTCGAGGACGGGCTCTACCTTACTGTTGTTCCCCTCCACATGCCACCATCGCCCTAGCTGCAGCTCTCCGCCTGCCTGTATCCGCCAGTCCAGTGTTCTGTCCCTCGCCGCTTGCTCAGTCTCGTCTAACGGTCATCTCCTAGGAGCTTCTTCTCGGCGAATCGGAGCTTCCCCTTCCGAGCACCTAGTAGCTCTCAGTGGCTTGCACTTCGATGCTTTCCTCGCTCCGCTCCATGTCCATCCATTCCTTCCTATAACCCTTGACCTTACCGATCGATCATCGCCTTTTATCTTTCGCAATACCCGGGACTGGATCCCCTCCTCGTACTGGTATCTGCTCGATCGCTTTTTTTTTGCGCTTCCGTGGTCGCCAGTTTCTGTTTCCACGACGGCCGACTTCCTTGCTCATCACACCGGTGGAGGGTTTCTTCCCTTCTTTATACTTTCGCCAACCTTCAGACTAGCCATCGGCCAAGACGGTGTCTAGCATTCCAACACACAGCAGGGCTTGGTGTTCACACCTGCGACCTATACCGCTCGCACAAGCGTCTAGGATCGAGCTTGGCAGATATTTCGCCCTGCAGTAATGGGTCAGTCGCATTCCAAGGGCAACTCTGGCCCGGGCGACTCTCTGCAGTCGTACCCGTCTTTTTCCCGCTCCGACACCAAAGAATCGCTCCGATCGCTCCGAGGCTCCATTCGATCCAAGATCCGTAGCAGTGATAGTCCCCGCGCATCGACATCTGCGTTGTCTCAAACGGAAAGCCAGACCGATAGATCGGATGCAGGATCAATCAAGTCGACAACAAGCAGACGCAGTTCCACCAACCCAGGCGCACAATCTCCCGCCCCCGATGAATCTGCTGCGAGTACCGATGCTCCAGAGCCTCCCCCTTCGCCATCCTTGTCGAGCAGTCTGCAGCGAGGACATAAAGATGTGACTGCTATGCAACAGAGCGGCGAGGTCGACCTCGTCTCCGACGCTCCTCCGACCGGTGTTGGTGTCGCGCCTATTGGCCCATCCACACAGACCGTGGGTGAATCTATCCTCATCAAACGGGAGAACCAGCTGAACCCCATTCTGGACTACATCATGAACACCCCGATGGAAGCATCTGGGTCCCCTGGTATGGGAATGGGCGCTCTGAAATCAATCGACTTGGACGACATGATATCTCGCCTGCTTGATGCTGGCTACTCGACCAAAGTCACCAAGACTGTTTGCCTGAAGAACGCAGAGATCACGGCTATCTGTACCGCCGCGCGGGAGCTGTTTCTCTCTCAGCCAGCCCTGTTGGAGTTGTCAGCTCCTGTCAAGATTGTCGGGGATGTTCACGGCCAGTACACGGATCTGATCAGACTGTTTGAGATGTGCGGTTTCCCTCCTGCTTCGAACTATCTCTTCTTGGGCGACTATGTGGACCGTGGAAAGCAGAGCTTGGAGACGATCTTGCTTCTGCTGTGCTATAAACTGAAGTATCCTGAGAATTTCTTCCTCCTGCGTGGCAACCACGAATGTGCCAACGTGACCCGTGTTTACGGGTTCTATGATGAATGTAAACGTCGTTGCAACATCAAGATCTGGAAGACATTTGTCGATTGCTTCAACACGCTCCCAATCGCCGCAATTGTGGCGGGCAAGATTTTCTGTGTGCATGGTGGGCTGTCTCCTAGCCTCTCGCATATGGATGACATTCGAGGCATCGCGCGTCCCACTGACGTGCCGGACTACGGGCTGCTGAATGATCTTCTGTGGAGTGATCCTGCGGATATGGAGGAGGACTGGGAGCCCAACGAGCGTGGTGTGAGTTACTGCTTTGGTAAAAAGGTGATCATGGACTTTTTGCAACGGCATGATTTCGACTTGGTTTGTAGAGCCCACATGGTCGTCGAGGACGGCTATGAGTTCTACCAAGATCGTGTTCTCGTCACTGTTTTTTCTGCTCCCAACGTGAGTAATTCTCTTATCTATCTTCGACTGCGATCTGTCTTCGCTAACAAAATTCTGCTTCTAGTATTGCGGTGAATTTGATAACTGGGGTGCTATCATGTCCGTTTCGGGCGAATTGCTGTGTAGTTTTGAGCTCTTGAAGCCGCTGGATTCCACCGCCTTGAAGAACCACATTAAGAAGGGTCGGAACAAGCGGAACAGCATGCTGAGCAGTCCTGTAAGTTCTCCCTTGCTTAGCCATCTTTCCTCGCCAAGTTAAGACACAGCTCCCTTGTGTAACGGTGCCGAGAGGCCTGTACTTTGGTTGATGATGTCGTTCTTTAACTTGGCACTTTTTTCCTGCACTGTGCTAACGACTGCAGCCTGCACCTGTCTCGGCGCAAAGCTATTAGATGTCTTGGTGATTACATGCCAAGTAATCGTCATCCGCCATATGTCACCATGTCACCACGAAGGCGATCTGGACTGGGTCCTTTATTGCTGGCCTGTGTCCACCGTCCCATTTACTTGACCAGTGCAGCCTATATTAGATGGTCGGGCTAGCACATCGTGACCGCCAGTACGGGTGCTGCGGTACACCTTCCCGTCAATACATGCATCTCTCGGGTGCCAGTCTCCGGGATTCTCCATTGCCGTGCCGCGATCCTGGTACTCCCGATCAATTCCACCTCCGTTTCCAGCATGCAGACTTGGCAGACACGGGATACGCCAGGTCCGTCATCTCTCGTTACCCAGAACCGAAAACATGAGGAATTCACGACGAGACGCGTCCACGTCGGATTGCTACTAGACAGTTTATAAAGCGGCTTACGACTTTATGGTCCCATATAGCAGCTGCTTATTTATCGCATTAAGAGGGGAGTCAACTCACGACCACGAGGCAACAAAGGGAAACCATGGGTGTTGCAATGTGTCTTCCTATCGGCTTTTTTTTTCGTCGCTTCTTTCCTGTACTTTTGCTTAAGGTCTTCTATCATCTTCGGGCGCTGGCACACACATACAAGACTTTCAGGCATTATGATATGTATGCTGTCTTCTGAATGCAGATCAGCAGGTTCTGGGTTGCTTCTCTTTTTTTTCCCCTTCACCACTCTCATGCTGCATGGACCATGGCTCAATTTTCACGATAGTTTCTGGTAGATATTTCAAGGGAGCTAAACGGCGTTGTGATGATTGTCCTGTCCTTGTCCCTGTCTTAATTCCAGCTTTGGTTTCTACTTCTACATCAATGGAAAAGCATCCATCATCATCATTATCCATCCATCTGATCGCCCGTCCGTTCATCCAAGTATGTACGTCTAGCCAAATGCAATTTCAAACAAACAAAAAAAAAACCCCCCTAGCCCCTGAGCCAAACAAACACCGCAGCAGCAAACAATACCCGATAACCACCTCCGTTTGTCCTCAAATCAAACAAATCCACTGTCACATGCATCCGTATATCAGTCTGAATCGCGAAGCCGCCAAGTCCAAACAAATGATCCATCCTCGAACAAATCAATCCCGGATAACCATTACCTTTCATTTCAATCCCAGCTAGATAAACTACTAGACTACTAGACTAAATACCCCGTCACTGGGAAATGCTTGGCGTCTGCGGTCAGTGTCAGCACAGCACAGCCAAGGCTCTCGGCTCCGCGATGGACGGGGTTGATGGTGGGTTTATCCTAGTTCGAGAATATACATGCCATACATAGATAGATAGTCTGGCTGGCTGGCTGTCTGTCTGTCTGTCTGTCTGTCTGTCTGCCCAGGGTTGGGAAATAGTATGTATGCATGGGATTGTGATGTGAATACCTAGATAGGTTAGTGAAGCGAATTTCTTATTATCCACTTCCACCTATTCACTCAAATAATAGGGGTTTATGCGGTGATGTGCTGATGTGAAGTAACTACTAGAGTGAACCCTGAGAGGTTTTGCCTGCAGTTAGCCAATAAAATGGCCGGCGTGAGGCTAAGTTCTGTCTGTCTCTGTTGGATAATCGGGGACTGCATTGTTCCAGGCCTGGCCTCGGGCCTGGAAGCCTGGAAGCCTGGCTTACAATACTACTCGAGAAACAAACACTCCAAAACAACTTTTGTCTAATTCTGATCTGATCAAAAAGGAACCTATCATGCTCGCCAGGAATATATAAATGAACAAATAAAGAAAGGGGGGGGGGGGGAAAGGGAACCTTCTGTACAGAGAGAGTGCTGCGAAGAGAGAGAGAGAGAGAGAGAGATTCCATCATCAAGCATATACGACGATCATGAAAATTCCAAGGAGATTGAAGAGATGAACGTAGATAGCAGGTATACGGACAGAAACCGGAAAGAAATTAGTATTGCCTGCCAGATTGATCTGCGGTTGCGCAATCTCAAAAAACTAAACTCTTTCATTTCGCAGCAGAGACTAAGAAAACGAGGACTCCGACTCCGACTCCGACGACTCAAGCTCAAGAGGTGAGGACGTGACTGACTATCTAGGCGTAGTCCCGCACATAGCGACCAGGCAAGTCGACATCCCACATGGGTCTTTCGACCACCGCGACTTCCAGGAAGGGGGACTCGGAGCCGTCCTCCGGGTCGGAGCCCAGAGGGACAATACCGAGGAGATCGCGGTACTTGTAGGTGTGCCACCAGCGACGGGGAGGTTGGGATTTTTGGTCACCGGTCTGGACCAACTGTTTCTGGGAGGAGGGGGAGTCGAATTCAGGGATGGAGGGTAGGGGTTTATCCAGTTTGCCGCCCAGCGAGACGCGCTTGAGGGGGGTGCTGGTTTCGATGAACTGTCTCTCTCGTCGGAGGCGCGCCAGAGCCACGTCGTTGTTGGCCGTGTAGGCCTCGTCGTAGTCGTAGGCATCCTCGTCCTCACCACCCTGGGGGCGCTCCTTGTCTAGGGAGACCCACTCGAATTGGGAATCGTCGTGTCCGACGATCTTGCGGATCCTGGATGCGTGGAAAATGTCGGACTGTGCGAGGGGAATCCGGTCACCGGCACCGCTGTTGGCCTTCTTCCGGGCGTTCTCCTCGTCTTCCTGGAAGGGGTCGCGTTTGCGCTTCTGTGATGAGTTCTTCTTGGAGATTTGCGTGGAAGGGTTCAGGTCTTCATGGTTGTCGGCTGAGGCGTTCAGTTCCTCGGGAGAGGGGAAGTCTTGGTTCAGGTCGAACATCCACAGCCAGGAGGTACCGTATAGCCAGAGGCGCTCGCGGGCAGCGGAAAGATCCCAGACACAGCCCATGGCTCTGTCCTTGACTCCTTGGAACTCTGCGGGCAGGAACGCCTTGGGGTTTCTTCTTGACCAGTCGGACAGCTTGCCTTCGGCAGCGTCAAACTCCACGAGCTGGTGCTCGCTAGTGAGGGCCATCAAGCGTTGCTCGTTCTCCGAGCCACCATTCGTGAGAAGCTTCGTCTTGGCGGGGTTAGAAGGACGGAAAGACAGCAGGACTACACCAGATTTGAGACGGGGGATAGGCGACTCTGCGGCGGCATGGTGCCAGCGCTCGCCCTCGAGCACCGGTGCGTCATCCTCGTCATCGGAAGATTCATCATCGGAACCAGCAGCGTTGCGCTTCTTGGAGACAGACTCCTCTGCTTTCCGGAGCACCCAGGTGTCAACACAGCCGGAGAGATCACCAGATGCCAGAACCTTGCTGTCTTCCGAAAAGACGGCGCAGCGGACCGATCTCTCGTAATCACCCAACGAGCCATGCGAAGCTTTCTCAAAACGAGTGTGACGCGTAGCCCGGTTAAGCTTGACGAGCTGGGACAGAATCTGGGGCTTCTCCTGCGCGGTCGAGGCAGGCTTGATCCTGGCCAGGTACATGGCGCTGTTGGGACGCACAACGCAGACCCACTGGCCGTTGGGAGCGACGGTCACCAGACGGGCGCCATCCTCCGAAAGTTCCGTTGGAGTATCCAGCTTCTGTATGCGCAGGGTTCCCTTCTCATCGCCCTTGCGTCTCCGCACGGAGAACAACTTGATCGTCGATATCGTGGCGACTACGAGAATCTTTCCATCTGCGGATAGCATTGCCGATGTGATGTTCTCTTCGCCCTGTTGAAAAGTTGTCAGGAAGGGAGCTCGTGAATATCTGCGGCCTTTCTCTCCTTACCTGAATCAGAACCTTGCCAACCAGGCGGTGCCGCTGTCCATCAGAGTTCTCATGGGACGTAGGTCCGCGGTGTAGACGCCAGATGCTAACTTCCCGATCCCAGAAGCTCATCACAAGCCGAGACGACGGAGAAGAGGCAAGCTGAGGTATTTGAGGCAAGCTGGAAAGCTTTCTGTGGTGTTCCTTTCCGAACTCGCGCAGAGGCAGGACGACCGGGGCGGCATCGGGTCCTAATTATCATCAGCCAAGTTCCAAACGCAGAGTGAAACGTCAATCCTACCTCCAGAGACAACGATGCTGATATCCCTCGTCTCGTACACGGCGAAGGCCTTGACATCGTGAGTGTGATAGCGACGGTGCATAACCTCGGACCATCTAGCCTTCTTGTCGCCCTTCTCTCCGTCCTTCTTCCGGTACACGACCGTCCTCTGGTCGGCACCACCACTGACAACGGTATCTCCATTCGCGCTCACAGCAATATCCAGAGTATCCGCCAGGTGGCCCTGCAGACGTTGGACAAGGGCGTAGTTCTTAGCATCCCAGAAACGAATTTCACCGGCAGAGTCACCCGAAACAATCGTACCATCAGGAAGGCACTTAACAGACCACACCAGCAATTCCTTCGAGCCACCCGCCATACCCTTGCCCAGAGAGATCGTCCGCAGTAGCTGCCCACTCCTGATATCGTAGAGTCGAATCGAACTATCCGCATATCCCGCGACGAGGGTATTCCGGTTCTGGAAGGTAACGCTAAGCACCCTGGACCTCTTCGTAGACGGGCGCATGAGACGCAGGAACTTCAGGTCATTATCAGCCGTTGACAGGATCACGATCGACCCGTCCGCGCATCCCGCAGCCAGATGCTGGCCGACGAACTCTCCCTCCGCCGCAGGGGCCGCCTTTCCATCCTTACCCCGCGTGGCCTGCCATCTAGGCTGGGCAGCCAAGCACCAGATCTCGCCGTAGTTTCCGCTTGAGTGGCGCAAAGGACGGCCCTGCTCAAGATCCCACTCCGTCACTGCAGTCGAGGAGCCGATGCTGAACAGACGCAGCCGACCAGGCAGCTTCGATCCATCGGAGCCGGGCTCGGGGGGATCGAGCGTCCATGCCAGCCCTTCGATGCTTCTGTCTTTTCCTCCGCGAAGAACCGACTCCTGAAACCAGGAGCCGCGCATGGGGTTCCAGATCTCGATATCGCCGTTCGCGCGACCGATCGCGAGTCGGAGGGTAGGGACACCTCGTCCCGCGAGTTCCGCGGACGGAGGGTGGGAGAAGGCAAGCGCATTGATAGCCTGGGGGTTGTAGGGCACGAAGCGGCAGCGGTGGATATCCATTGTGTCGGTGATCGGGCGCGATGGCCAGGGAGATGATGTTGGTGAATGGATTTGGAGGAAGCTTTCGTTTTCGTGAGGTACGGCGTGGGGGTGGGAAAAAAGTAGATCCTCCAGATGGTGGAAAGATAGGATCTACCCGGCTCAGCTTTTGGAGCCGACCGTTATACAATCATTCCGCTCGGAAGGGACGTGGTGTTGAAGGGGTGGTGCTGGCACGGTAGCTCGATTGGTGGTTGCTGGCGACTCTTCAACTTTTTTTCCGTTTCTTTTTTGATACAATTTTTAGCGCGCCGCGGAGGTCCCACCCGTGGTCGAGGTCACGTGAGGGGCCGCCAGTGGTCGGCGGCCTTGGGGATGGTTTCTCTCTCATCGCATTCATTTTCTATTTTGGTCTCCTCTGAAGGAATCATACGCTGAAGGAATAAGTTCTCTCCTAATGTGGCATGTTGCGCATGCTTCAGGGTATTGTCGTTCTTCGACATCAAGGACTAGGATTCAAGGGACAATCGATATACATTCATGGCACCTTGAGAGACCCAGCAAAACCCACCGCACAGGAATACAGAGTTGATAGTGAAGTGAGTGTGTATATACCACTTTAGCTAGTACTTTTTTGCCACTTTCTGTCCTGAAACTCTTGGCTCCAAACAGATGTTCAACTCTAATCATCACCACGTCATAGTCGTAACATGTTGATGATGCTAATATCTAGCGAAGGTTCCCAAAAACAGGACCGGAAGATGCGCAATAAACCCAGAACAAGAACTGCATTTGGCAAAGTGCTAACTATTCTCTTTCACCGGAAGAACCTGGTCCTTCCGCATACGATCAGGGTCGGACAATGGCGTCGGCTCGCTCCCACTGATAAGCCAAGCCAACGTACATACCGAGAACAAACGCTGAGAGCCAACAGTTGCGTCGAGGACTGCCAGCTATATTAAGCTTTGGGAGAAGATAGCAAACAAGTGCTGACCAGGACCAGGATAGTTCGCAGGACCGAATCGAACCGAATCGAATCAGCGCAACACACACGCTGGGAGGGAGTCCAGGCAGTCTGGTTAGCGAATGCTTGCAAATGCGGTCGAGATGACGAGGAGCAAGCTGTTGAACAAATGGATTGTAGTTAGGGCATGCAAGCGAGATATGAAACGGGGTCAATGACTGGCCATCGGGGCATCCATCGGGGATTTGAATTTCACTACATACTTACTAACCCGCAGAAGCGAGTCGTTGCTGCAGGAAGAAGTCGTATCACTGGCAAAAGACTTGCATGTTCTGGGTGGTCGATAGGTCGATTCGAGATCAGGGCACTGCCACGTCAGAGCAGGCTGGTCATCATTTCCGGAACGCGGTTCGCACACTGAAGGCTAGCAATTCCAGGTCTAAGATTTTAGGCGTCTGATAGGACGCGACGATGCCGATGTTGCAGGCACCGCTCCCCACCCAAGGGGCGAATTTTCCTTGTGTCCAGAGCTTATGCGCAAAGACTGGTGGCTGAGGGGAGGGGTATTCCGTCCGCAATGCAGAGGCAGAGATGCCGTCTCTCTGCTGTGTGGGTGGGGGAAGGGGCTATATGCATGGGTATGCTGATGGGGATGCGTACAGCCAAGTTCCCCGGCGTATGGGAGCGAACCCCAGGAGCAAGGACATTTAGTGGGCCTAGAGTGGATTTGCTTGAGATATCCCCAGTGGATTCATCTTCCACCCTCAGCTGGATGTGGCTAATTCCTGGCTGTCGCAAGCGCGGCTCGACGCGTTGATTTGACCCCCGGCCGTGCGGGGTTCTTTGATAGTGATTATCTAGGGAGACACCATTCATGCCGCTGGCTTGGAAGGAGCCGCACAACGCATTACCACACCCAATGGCTTTCCAAGTAACCGAACCCAATCCGTGAGATAAAACAACTGAGGGCCAGATGACCGATTCGCAATGGGCAGAGAAACCCGTAGCATCCGAGCCGAACGATCATCAGCCCGCATTACCCTTTCCAACACCAGCAACCAGAGGTCTGACGGATCAAATGAACCTTATACGACACATAAACGCTGGGGAAAAAGCAAGTCAATTTCCCGAGCCGAGGAGCACGTTGCATAACCTCCCCTATGGCGGCATCGGACACGGGAACATGGGCCCATCAATGATCCCTGGGAGCAGAAGCGCTCACATACAACAGGCGCTGGCAACTTGCAGTAGAAGAACCAGTCCGAACCATGAGCAGGTAACATGTTTGCTAAACATACGCCGATTTAAAGATTGTTTCATCACTGTTGCATTTGATCGACTGTAGTCTAAAACAGTATGAAACAGTCGCCAGCAAAATATCCTGATTTGGCCTGCTGTCACTGTCAGGGCATGACATGAGTTTCCTCCCGCGTTAAAAGCTACTGCTTTGTTGGTCGTTTGCAGAATGATCGGTGGATAGCCCCCGGTCGATTGGTGCTTTGGACTCCGTAGGGCCGAAAGTGATCGTTCAATGGGATCTCCGCGGCCTCTGATCGATCGAAGCCAGGTTCCTTGTTAGTCCATTCCGAGCGATCAGCCATCAGGAAGTATATATATATATTGACTCTTGACCTGAAACACGGGAATAAAATTTGGGCATTTTCATTCTGGAAGATATACGCGACGGGAAGGTATCTTGGGCATATGCAGCGACCGTCGGGAGATAAAAAGGTCGATGAGTTGTTAGTAGTAAGCATAACATGACTCTGATCAGGCATCACTCATTTTCCGGTTCAGGAGGTGGCTGATGGGGGTCGGTCCAGACGTGCCAGTTGAACCTAGTAACATTCCGACATGGTTCGCGACATTAAGCCCAATGGCGTGTAACCGCATATATTATGGTTCTGGGGACTTGCAGGGATTCCAAGGAACAGTGCTGAAATGCAAGACTTTAGACCTTAGCCAGGTTGAACTATCGCGGCACCAGAGTACGGTACTCCGTAGCAGTAATCAATGCCGTGTCTCGCCCTCCCCGGACTAGTGGTAAGTTGCAAGGCACGGAAGCGGGACGAGGATAGATACCCAGAGTCCAAGACAAGGTTGCCCATGGTGTTTAGACCAGGGTTATCCGGAGAACTCCATCGAGGAGGACACGCCCGATTGACAATAATAAGCGCGATGGCTTCGCCAACGCAATCGTCGAATCATCACGCGTAAAGGGCTTCTCACCACCCACGCCAAGCGCCGCGGAATAAGACTTTTAAGGTTTATGTCATCTTGAGCCCCTTAAAGTTAACCCTTCGGAAGGAGATGGTCGCGCGAGCTTGCCTGAGGCTTGGAGATGGGAGCTGAGGAAACGTGGCTTGTTCAGGAGAGGGCGTCAATCGGATGTCTGATCGCCCGGGCTTGCCAGGAGATTAGCCATTCCTCCCAGGAGACCGAGAGGGGGGGAGATTGGGGGGAGAGAGGGGGGGGGTGGGAAGGCTCCATCGTTATATCAGGATTATTGAAGCCTGGGGCGAGATTATTGCCCAGTATTCCGTCCTACCTACCCCATAGTAGGGGGTGTTTCCCGGAAGCCTCGCAAGTCACAACTCATGAGAACCAGTAGATAGTAATCTCCATCCGATGCTGGTCACTCCAGGTTCCATAAGAGGCAGGCCGAAGACCCGAAACGTGGGACGCGAGACAATCAATGACGACATGGGTCTAAAAGAAGGAATACAGAACGCGCAGTATCGATGTCCCGTCTCATCTCCACGCGTCTTGGATGGGGGTTCCCTGCCATTGAGCGACCGGCAACCATGTTCGAGCGGCTGAAGCTGCTGCGGCGTGATGACACGATCTCTGGTCGACAGGATTCCAGTTTCCCTTACTTCAATGCCCCATTGAACGTTTATAATAACTGGGGATTGGGAGCAAGGCTGAAAGACCGCTGAATAATAATCTTCCTTTTTCTAGAGCATTGGGGTTAAATGTGGAGTCGTTTATTTACACTACAATCGGGCCCGCTCTGGTTTTGCGCTAAACCGAATGGGCATCTAGCGTGCGGTCTGTATGATCTCGGTCTGTATGTATGTAAAGACCCTTACTCTGTACGGTCTTCAGCTTACTTACATTATTCTTTGCGTACTTACCCGTACGGTGTGCACCGCTTCACCGCAGGCAGGGGAATTCTGACAGAAAACAACCTCCCTAGGCAGACCCATCGAACTGGCCCGTCAAAAAGCAACTAAGAGAAAAGAACAAAGCAAACCACGGTTGAGGCTCTCCGCTGCCCCCGTCGACGAGACCAGACCATACCAGAAGAGGTCATATTGTCTCGAGATTTGGGGCGTTGGCCTGTCCTCGCGTCGCCGGGTAGCGGTGGGCATCAATTGGCAGGATCTCTATTCGCCGAGATGAGTGTAGTATCAGGTGGAATACTTGACGGGCAACGTGGATATCTTTTCCACGCCTTCGGTGACCACAATATTATATAATGCCGACCAGTAAATGCCTCAACTCGGTGAGCTACGGGTAGTCGGTAGTATATTGCTGCGGTCGAGAAAAAATTTTCAACGGTCACAGACAGACAAAGTCAACGTCCTTTGTGCGTGTGCTCTCTTTGTCACAGGGGAAGGCCGTGGCAAAGACCTACACATAACTCCATGGCGGAGTCTAGATCAATTGGCGAGGTTTACACGGTTCGCGCCGAGTCGTGCGACACGCTTGCTGGCGACATCGACCATCCATGTCTCGTCCACCACCATAAACCAGATTCAACGTACGCCGACTTTAAGAACATGAGGTAAAGATGATCTGGTGGATCTCGATGAGCATCATGACTTGAAAAATAAATGCATATTTACATGCTTCAATGAATCAATACCGGTAACAAAGTATCGTAGGAAAGAAGGCAAAAGTGAGGCCGGTGAAGTTGACGAATACACAGGGGGGGGGGGACGAAAGATGAATAAAGTTCCCTGAGGTCATATAGAACGGCACGATAATATGACGAAACCTCTGACCTACCCAAAGATGGTCTGATTGAACTACTACTACTACTGTTGGCTTGTTGAGCCACTACTTGTTTCTTGCAGAATCCGAAGATCGACGACCCTGGGCTGGGCGATATGCATCATACCGAGATGGAACCAATGTGATGTAGATTCTGGGGTACGTACGTACTTTTTTTTTTTTCTATACAAGTACAACGCTTAAGACTTCTTTCAGTGTTCCAGAATTATTCCTATAATAATTATCAATACTGTCTTGACAACTGGTTTTCCAATTTTCC